CTTCATGTAATTTCTCAAGAATTCTGGATAGTCGTAATGGATTCTATTGTCACTGAGGTAACCTATGGTCTGGAGATCAAGAAAATCAAAGATATCACGGAGCTACCTTTTCCAGTCAGGCAAGACTCTCCTCTTACCGAGGTGCTTCCAACAGATCTGAAGACCAAAGATAATTTTGTCGCTAGAGATCCTGACCTTCTTAGACTCACTGGTTCACGCCCATTCAATTCTGAGCCGCCACTGACAAAGCTTTATGACTCGGGGTTTCTCACTCCAGTGAGTCTTCACTTTGTGAGAAACCACGGCCCCGTTCCTTACGTTCCTGATGAAAATATTTTAGACTGGGAAGTTTCAATTGAAGGGATGGTTGAAACGCCTTATAAAATCAAATTGTCAGACATAATGGAGCAGTTTGATATCTATTCAACCCCCGTTACTATGGTCTGCGCTGGAAACAGAAGAAAGGAGCAGAATATGGTAAAGAAGGGAGCCGGTTTCAATTGGGGAGCAGCTGGAACATCTACTTCTCTTTGGACAGGATGCATGCTTGGAGATGTAATAGGCAAGGCTAGACCATCAAAGAGAGCAAGATACGTATGGATGGAGGGTGCAGATGATCCGGCAAACGGCGCATACGGCACCTGTATTCGCTTAAGCTGGTGTATGGACCCTGAACGGTGCATCATGATCGCATACAAGCAGAACGGCGAGTGGTTGCATCCTGACCACGGAAAGCCCCTTCGAGTAGTAATCCCCGGTGTTATTGGTGGACGATCAGTCAAATGGCTAAAGAAACTAGTAGTGAGCGATCGGCCGTCTGAAAATTGGTATCATTATTTTGATAATCGGGTTCTTCCAACCATGGTGACGCCAGAGATGGCTAAAAGTGATGACAGGTGGTGGAAAGACGAGCGATATGCCATATATGATCTGAACTTGCAAACGATCATTTGCAAGCCCGAAAATCAGCAGGTTATCAAGATTTCAGAGGACGAGTACGAAATTGCAGGTTTTGGCTACAACGGAGGTGGAGTCAGAATAGGCCGGATCGAGGTCAGTCTTGACAAAGGGAAGAGTTGGAAACTGGCAGATATAGACTATCCGGAAGACAGATATAGGGAAGCAGGTTACTTCAGATTGTTTGGCGGACTTGTGAATGTTTGCGACAGAATGAGCTGCCTGTGCTGGTGTTTCTGGAAGCTCAAGGTTCCTCTTTCTGAATTAGCAAGGTCAAAAGATATTCTCGTTCGTGGCATGGATGAGCGTATGATGGTTCAGCCGCGCACGATGTACTGGAACGTAACGTCCATGCTGAACAACTGGTGGTATCGAGTCGCCATTATCCGCGAGGGTGAGAGTCTTCGATTTGAGCATCCCGTGGTGGCCAACAAGCCTGGCGGTTGGATGGATAGGGTCAAGGCAGAGGGTGGAGATATTCTAGATAACAATTGGGGAGAGGTGGACGACACGGTCAAGCAGGCTGAAAGGAGGCCGCATATTGATGAGGATCTCGAGATGATGTGCAACCGGGAGAAAATGGACGTCGTTATCAAATATTCAGAGTTTGAAGCACACAAGGACAGCGAGACAGAGCCATGGTTTGCTGTCAAAGGCCAAGTGTTCGATGGTAGCTCGTATCTGGAAGACCATCCAGGAGGGGCCCAGTCGATCTTGATGGTGAGCGGCGAAGACGCAACCGACGACTTCATTGCAATTCACTCATCTTTTGCTAAAAAGCTGCTCCCTTCCATGCACCTGGGAAGACTCGAAGAGGTCAGTTCAGTTACAAAAGTGAAGTCTGTAGAGCAAAATGTGAAGCGAGAAGTTTTGCTCGATCCGCGAAAATGGCACAAGATAACGCTTGCAGAAAAAGAGGTTATCTCTTCCGACTCTAGAATATTCAAGTTCGACCTGGAGCATTCAAAACAGCTTTCTGGTCTGCCAACGGGTAAACACTTGCTTTTGAGGCTAAGAGATTCATCTGGCAAGTATGTGATCAGGGCATACACCCCCAAATCAAGCAAATCTTTGCGGGGTCGTCTAGAGATATTGATAAAGATTTATTTCCCAAATAGGGAATACCCCAAAGGCGGAATTATGACAAATCTTATCGAAAACCTCCAGGTGGGGAGCCAGATCGAGGTTAAAGGACCTGTCGGCGAGTTTGAGTATGTCAAGTGCGGGCACTGCAGTTTCAATAACAAGCCTTATCAAATGAAGCATTTTGTTATGATCTCGGGAGGATCGGGCATCACTCCAACTTACCAGGTTCTGCAAGCTATTTTCAGCGATCCCGAAGATAGAACAAGCGTTCAGTTATTTTTTGGAAATAAAAAAGTTGACGATATCCTGCTTCGAGAAGAGCTTGACCACATACAGAAAAAATATCCAGAACAATTTAAAGTTGATTACTCGCTGTCGGACCTGGATCATCTACCGGAGAACTGGAGCGGAGTGAGAGGCAGGTTAACATTCGATATTCTAGACACCTATGTTCGGGGGAAAAAAATGGGAGAGTATATGCTACTGGTATGTGGACCGCCAGGAATGAACGGTGTGGTCGAAAACTGGTGCAATGCGCGCAATTTGGATAAACAGTATGTAGTGTACTTCTGACCTAAGCAAAATCGAAATCGAAACTATCAAGAAATGTGGGTATGTTGTAAATATCAAGAACAGGGGTATCCGTTGCAAAGTCTCGATCCATTTCGCCTCTCAAATAGTTTTGGTAGACATCGTTCTGAGCAATCACAGACTCAGGTGGAGGCTGACTTCCCTGTCTTAACTGATCAAGAATGGGCACACTCACATTCCACTGTCTAGCAAGATTGTCCAAAACCTTGATATCTTTTATTCCCCGAGTCCAAACATCTGCGTATTCACTCAAGGCAGCCACGAATTTCACAAATTGAGAGTTTGCCGCTGCCTGGAACGACTCATCTTTGTTGGCTAGAATAAACAGGTCAAACATGGCACATTGGAAGAGGAGATAACCAACAAAGTACGGAGCATTGTTGAAACCATGAAGTTCGGAGTATCTTTCCGTAACCTTGGATGCTGAGGTACATAGCTTGACCATCAGCTCAATGATAGTTTTGGGGTTTTGAATAAGATACGACCTGTGCAGCAGCAGGAGCACAACATAGTAGGAAAGGTGTAAAAGAAGAATCCGTTTATCTTTCGTGACAGGCTTCAACATTATTACATCAGGGAATGATTCATAAAGCGCGCGGAGATTGGAAAACCCCTGTTCAAGCAGCATTTGTCGATGGGAATTGTGCAAATAATCAGCTCGGAAAGAGTATATTTGTTGAGTGGACCGGTCATGGAGATACCACAGTCTTGAGTGGAAAGAGAATGTCAGCTCACTGATATATCTGTCAATGTTCTCTGGAGAGCTTTTTGGGCTATAAAATGGGGTCATGATTCTGAAATACTGAATTCTACAGCCACGACCTAACACAGTAGTTATGAATCTGTCTTGCAAAATGATGGACCAGAAAAGCGCATTCTTCAGTGGCGATGTAGGCACAACACTTGTTGAGGTACTAGATTCGGTAAGCTTCTCACCGGTATGAAGACCGATGTATTGGGCCTGGGAAGCACACATGGCGTCAAACAGCCAAGAACTTGAGTCTTGGGCCATCCCAAGCTCAAAGCATGACAATATAAGTAACCCCTGTAAGGTGTTTTCGTTCAAAGCTTCTTTGCACGCAGCGATTGCAGCGTTTTCGGCACTTTCAAGAAACGCATGTGTGATAGATGGTCGGACATAAGCCGAGGCGTAAGCAAAAATTGAGCACATCAATAAACGGTGGTCCGGCTCAACACATGGATACGGCCAGGATCGCACCGTCTCCAGTGTAAGCTGGGAAACATAGAAAAATTTGCCAAAGTTTTCCTCAAACACGTTGAAAAGGCGCTCTCTGAACTGTGGTGAGCAAAAATCGATATCCAGCAACTCAGTTTCCGGATTCAAAAAGTTCTCGTCTCCGTCCTCCACCACACCCTGCCGTCCTGAAAGCGGTCCATAAAACTCCGTTTTATCTCCGTGCTTTCTAACCTTCCATGCGGTGGACACAATTTCCTCCAGGGCATTGATGTTGGTGTACTGTCCTCCCATGTGTCCTAGCTGAGCAAAGTCGTTATTCTGAGTTAACTGCGGTGGCTGTGGGAGGATCGAACTGAGATCAAAATCTTTCAGGGTTTCGGTCCGCTTGATGAGGTTAGCAGCATGCAACTCCAGAAGGTCGGCCTTGACCTCCAAATAATCGATGTGAGTCGAGTCGTACTTTTTTTTGCGCCGATCGTTCTCGGAGCTATATTCGCAGCCATCAGCGTTATTATACTTGATACATGTTGCACATGGTTGTGCTCCATCACACTTTCTCTTTCGTCTTTTGCAAAACAAGCAGGCGTTGGAAAGCAGCTTTGGCGGCCTTCCAGGGACGGAAGCGGACATGATGAAAAATTAGGGTACGAAAATATTTAAATGTACATCTGTTTAATCTGACTCAGGATCTCCAAGTTAGTCACCCAAAGGCATTTTTTTTGGTATTTTTCCATCTGGCCCAGGATCTGGACACTGTTTGCAACTCCAGGACTTCAGTCTCCACTGGCTGGGCCAGTTTTCGCAAAAACTTCTTGCACTGGTTAGAGCCATGCCTGTGGAGAAACTCATGTCTGCATCAGATAGCTCCCGGGCTACCCCTTTTGGGAGTTGTGATTTCAGTTTCCGAATATCCGATCAACTCACACCCAGTGTACCGTAATCGTCTCTCTTTTGAAGGTCTCGTTTGAGATGTTGCGTGCTGCATCGAATTGAGAGACAGAAAATCGTTCTCCCTGATTTGAGACATCCATAATTTATACACTGGATTTTAGTAGTGCAAACCCGTTGCGTAGACTTACAAAAAACTGTCAGTGAATTTATGGTACTAACGGTGTTAATTTCGAGAAGCTGGTACTAGACATACACTGTTGTAGGATTCGGTATTATATCAAACGAAGTAAAGAAGTGCCAGGAACCCGAAGAAGAGAGAAGGTGCTACAGAGCGGGCTGCTCCACCTTCGAAAGTGGTCACCGAGCTGGCCATGGACAGAGAGGCAGAAGCACTGCTCTTGACCGTGCTGGTGGAGAGGGTATATTGGCTGGCAGAAGGAGAAGTTTCATCGCCAGAAGCTGCAGACGAAGTTGTCCGCTCAGAGGACGAGACTTGGCTAGCGTCGGAGCCCGAGGCTGAACTGGAGCCCGAGGCTATGTTAGAGCTAGCGTCAGATGTGGAGGCAGAATCAAAGCCGGAGGTGGCGTTGGAGTTCGAGCCTGAGTTAGAGCTCGAGCCCGAACCGGTTGCAGAGTCGGTTGCAGAGGTGGAGGTATGAGCTGGTGTAGAGGTGTTACGAGAGGTTTCCGAGGCCGTGGTTTTGGCGTTGTCTTGGGCTGCGACGGAAGCCGTTTTTGATGCCATGGTCAATGACGGAGAAGCAGTAGCCTCAGAATATGCATCCGTGTCATCTGGGTCCGAGCTGGCAGAGCTGCCAGAGTTGTCAGTGGAGCCAGAGTTAGACCCAGAACCAGCGGAGCTGGAAGAGTTTCCGGAGCCAGTGGAAGAGGGGTCGGAGCTAGAGGCAGAGGCAGGGCTAGAAACTGTACCTGGGTCTGCAATGTTGGATTCTCCCGGGTCAGAGACGATTGAAGCTCCAGATGCTGCAGATGCAGACGTCTGGGATGAAGAGTCTGAGTCGGAAGTAGCAGGTTTTGTTGGCGAGCCAGATGACAATCCAGAGGTGTCTGAGGCTCTAATTCCATTTCCAGAGGCAGATGTATCACTTGAAGTTCCTGTAGAGGATTCAGTAGAAGAGCTGGAGGAGCTGGAAAAACCTGTAGAGAGGTTTGTGGAACCGACGGAGCTACCCGTAGAGCTAGCAGAAGGATCTGAGTAGCTTGCAGATAAGATGCTAGATCCCGTGGAAGCTGTTCCAGTAGAAGAGCCTGGAGTTCCTGTAAACGCGCCTTCGGTAGACTCTCCCGCAGTGGCCGTCGAGGATCCTCCAGTGTTGGTGGATGATCCTGCGGGCTCCACCCCGCCACCCCGCCACCCCGCCACCCCCTGCCTGCTTTTCTTCTGCTACTTCTTCCGCCCCTCCCTCCACATTTAATTTTTCCTCCTTTTTAATTCTACTCACTCCTTCATGGCTTACGGTGAGATTATCTGACCTACATACACAACGCACCTAATACCCTGCTATCCACTAAGTAGTGTATCCCACTGGCTGCAAATGGCCACTGGCTGACCTCAGGAATATCCCGGGGTCAGCTGATCGATTGGTCTCAAAGGCTGCTTTGGTCCACGCTGCGCGCACCCTTTCAGTAGGAACCCTTTTTCGGGGATTGTTTTTTTTGCCTGCATACGACCTGCTTATTTTTATTTCAAGTTGACGTCATGGCCGAGGGTTTGGTAAATTGGATCTCGTGCGCAATTTCTTGATCCTCTTGGATTGGTGACGGTGAGGAACATTACTGGAACACCTAACCCCTCTCCATCGTTTATTATACTTAAACCAGAAGCCGATTCCAGCATTTCCCAATTCTCGCTAAATAGTCTTGAATAGCCTATGGCCTCAAAAAGTACCCCTTACTCCTAACACAATATTCAAAACGTCATCTTTCCCACTTGTCTGATCAGTATGTACTAACTGATAAATTATGCAATAGATACAATTGTGTAAAGCGCGCTTTCGCTGATGTACCTCGTTAAATTGTAATGATACATCGTTATCATGCGGGGCACAAAAGGCGGAAATTCAGACACGTCATGCATTAGCCTTCTGTGTCCTGGTCATAGGGAAGTGGCTTTACGGTGACCTAAACTACCAAGTGTCGCTTAATCGTGTAACATTTGTCTTGCAATGCCCCGCTTTCGACAAACTTTTGATCTTCTGCTGATATAAAAGGAGCTCAATCCGTTGAGCATTCAAAGGCTTGAAACTATGTCCAAATCAATTTCGACACCAGACTCTCCGACTTTCATTGGTCTGAGAGGTAAAACGCTTCAAAATACTGTTAGTCTGATGGCTTCCGTTGGATTTTTGCTTTTTGGTTACGATCAAGGAGTTATGGGTTCTCTCCTAACGCTGGACTCATTCAAGAAAACTTTTCCTTCAATTGACACTTCTCGTCATAGCGATGCAGCCACAATGCAAGGCTTCACCATAGCTGTGTACGAAATTGGCTGTCTGTTTGGTGCACTCTCTACCATGGGCTACGGCGATAAAATCGGTAGAAGGAAATGTATTTTTATTGGGTGTGCAATTATGATCGTGGGAGCAGTATTACAGTGCTCTGCTTTTACTGTCGGACATTTGATAGTTGGCAGAATAGTTACAGGAGTTGGAAACGGCATCAATACCAGTACAATCCCTATGTGGCAAGCAGAATGTTCCAGGCCTGAAGGCAGAGGAAGACTGGTGATGATATCTGGAGCACTCATTACAGGAGGAATTGCATTTTCCTACTGGGTAGACTTTGGCTTCTATTTCACTTCTGGACCAATCTCGTGGCGCTTTCCAGTTGCCTTCCAACTCATATTCCCAATACTTATCATGCCATTTATACTGAGATTCCCAGAATCTCCTAGGTGGCTTATCAAAAAATCACGGTTGGACGACGCACGGTTGGTTTTTGCAGCCTTAGATGGAACTCCAGTTGATCATCCTGAGGTAAAATCTCAGCTGCGTGATGTCCAAAAGTCATTAGAGGAAGAACACATTGCCGGAGGTGACTCTTTCAATTTCAAGAGGCTGTTTTCCCAAGGAGAACATCGTGATTTTCATCGGCTTATGCTCGGCTTATGGGCACAGATCTTCCAGCAGATATCGGGTGTCAATCTCATTGTTTACTACGCTGGTACTATATTTGAAAATTACATTGGAATGACAGCATTGAACTCGCGTATTCTAGCTGCCTGCAATGGCACGGCTTTTTTTCTTGCTGCTTGGGTAGCGTTTATATTTATTGACAACATCGGCCGTCGGAAACTGATGCTTTTCGGCCTTGTGGGCCAGACTCTCTCAATGGCAATGCTGACCGTCACCACTTGGGAGTCGGAAAACAAGGGGAATACTGGTGCTGCCATAGGTGCCGCTGTTCTTTTATTTGTCTACAACACGTTCTTTGGTATTGGGTGGCTAGGAATGGGATGGCTCTACCCTGCAGAGGTCCCACCATTGAGTATCAGAGCCCCAGCAAATGCAATATCTACAGCTGGAAATTGGTCATTCAACTTCCTGGTGGTCATGATAACACCAGTGGCATTTGAGAGCATAAAGAGCTTTACTTATTTGATTTTTGCAGCCCTGAATCTGCTAATGATCCCAGCTGTCTATTTCTTATTTCCTGAAACTGCTGGTAGATCCTTGGAGGACTTAGATGCTATATTCGCTCAATGCGATCCTTGGAAGCCTTGGACAATTGTCAAAATTGCCAGCAGACATCCGGAAACCAAAGCTAAAGTGGTAACAGCGGACTCTTTGCTGGAGCAGGGCAAAGTTGAGGCAGAAATGTACGAGGATTCCGAGGATGTTTCCTAAATATAAAGCTATATGACATATTTAAAAACGGGATTAGTTTTGTCAGTGAGATCTCCAAAGGCAAGGAGCGTGTCATCGTCCACCTGCTCAAGCAGTTTGCTGTCCTTCTTTTTGTTTCTCAAATAATAGATGACATAGAGGATCAAAGGGACCGTGGCAGATATTACATAAGTGCCCACCATGGTCCTCTTAGCTGTAATGTACACTGGTGCTTCGGAGCCAAGAAAGGCTTGTGGACCAATAATATTTCCAGTTGAGAACCCGATAAGGAACAATGTATTTGCTGTGATTTTCTTCGTGTGACCAGCAACATTCGATGAAACCACAGAGCTCATACATGCCCAACTAGCAGTAGTCAGGTATGACAAAAAGAATCCTGCCAGCTGTGCTCCTTTGGAGGGTGCAAAGGCAAGCAAACATAAGCCGGTAAACACCAGGGAGTTGATGAAGAAGCAAACTAGTAGTCTGCTTTTAATCAGATAGAAATTGACATAGGCAAAAGCCAATGGAAAGATAATATCAATTCCACTCCCAACCATATTCAGAAGCAGGGATTGCTCTGTCGAAAACCCGAAACCTGTACTCAACAGGATGGAGCTGAAATTTCCAATAGAGCCATTAGGTATACCATATCCAAACATGTAGAAGAAAAATAGATATGTTGTAATGTCACATGCAGCTTCTTTAAGCTGAGCCAGCTTGAAATGCTGGTTACCAAATCCAGTTCGATTGCCTCTGATTCTCTCGACCACATACTTCTTTTCTTCGTCGTTTAAAAACCACGCCTTGACGGGAATATCTGGGATATGGATGATGGACAAAATACCAAAAAATATGGTAATCACACCTGTCACGACGTATAAATACCTCCATGGGGACGTTGAAAACTCATTTTTGTGGGTGTAGAAACCATACGCAATCAGAGACCCAAGCATTGTGCCAAAACCTTGGAACCCTAGCCAATAACCACAGCGTCTGTACTGCTCCTCTTTCTTGTACCATTGACTTGTCATAATCATATAAGCAGGGTCCATAAACGACTCACACACGCCCAGAAGCGTTCTGCAGAGGAGAAAAGTTGAACTCGATTGCGTAGCACCGTGACAGCAGATCACGACACCCCATGCTATGACTGCGCATCCCAGGGTCTTGGACAGCGGGAACCTTTGAAGCAGCATACTTGCGGGATAGCAAAAACCCAAGTACCCCAAATAAAAGCTGCTACCGACCCAGGAGTATGTTTTTGAGCTCATATTGAGGTCTGTCCGGAGGCCAGTAATGGAGGCATAGGAATTCGTGGATTTATCCATCAACTGACAGGACATAAGGATGCACATCATGGGCAAGATGTACCAGTCAATTTTTCTCACAACTTTTTTCTCAAACTCTGGATCTAAAACAACTCTGTCAGTTTCCAGTGCATATCCAAATCCTTGGTCGACATCCTTCAACTCTTCAGGGGAGACAACATTGGTCACGATGAGATTCTTGGCCGAATCAACAGCTTTCTCCGAAACCATGATGAAGACCAACTAAAAAAAAAGAGATGGCGGATTAATTGGCGTTCATACCCTTCTATTTTGTTTGATTTCGAGTTTATCTATTGCCAGCGATATCTTATCTCGCATATTCGCTCAAATCTTGTCACTGAAATTTACCGAATAAGGCAAGCCAAGTCACCTGATATGAATTTTCGGAGTATTAACCCAATTCGGAAATACGATATTGTATATATTCTAAAGTATGAAGGTGCGCACATTTGCAAGAAATATACAAACGCAATAATGGTTGAAAAAGACTCCCCAATCATAATTGTTGGCGCTGGTGTGTTTGGTCTCTCCAATGCGCTTCATCTTGCCAACAATGGATACAAAAACATCACGGTCTTCGATAGACTGGATTTCGACGACAACTCCTACACTTTGCTTAAAGGAGCTGATACTGCCTCGGCAGACATCAACAAGGTCTTTAGAGCTCAGTATGCTGAAAAGAAACATTACCAGGACCTTGCGTTCCAGGCGTTCGAGATTTGGCAGAAATGGAACAACGAAATCAGATTCATTCCTCCTGAAGAAGCAAAGAAGTATACCGATCTTCAAATTCTCGATCTATGCGGTATGTTGAGACTTGATGATATTGTTGGCTGGGAAGAAAAGGCAAGCAGAGCAAACTTTGAAAAGGAACAGATTGCTCCTCTTAGATACGACATCAACAATCCTGTAGATGTGAAAAGAGCCAATGCTGCAGGATTTGGATCAAAGGTGAAATTTGCCCTTGATTTGAAAGAAAAAGTTCCAAGTCTGAAAGGTGCACTGGATACCACCTCTGGCATTTTATATGCCTCGAGAGCTTGTCAGTATGCCAAATACTTATGCACCCAGCTAGGTGTTAAATTTGTCTTTGGAGAGAAGGCTGGTACCTTCAAGGAATACATCTACAAGGACGACGAAAAAACTGTTCACGGTGGAATCATTACCAACGACGGGAAAAAGCACTATGCTGACTTGACTGTAATTAACTGTGGTCCATGGTCTACTTTGCTTGTCCCAGAGCTTGACGGCATGAACGAGGCTGCCTCAGGTAATATCATCATCTTCAAGATCCCTGACGATCGAGCTGATCTCAGGGCCAAATACAACAGCAAGGTGTTCCCTATGGTTGGCTGGAAAACTGGTCATTCAAGAGAAAAAGAATATATGGGAGGTATGTTTATGTTCCCAATGATGGAGCCAGAAGGGTACATGAAAATGATTGTTAGACAGACCAAGTACACCAACCCTGTTAAGTTGGAGAATGGCAGAGTTGTGTCAATTCCTAAGACCTCCAATAGCAATCCTCCCACCAAAATGCTTACGCGTCACATAATCCGCCAAGTTGACGAATGGCTCAAGCTGTTTTTCCCTGACTTGTATGAGGCAAAATTACAATATGAGAGCAGATTGCTTTGGTATACGGATACTATAGACAACGATTACATTTATGACTTTGTCCCGGGAAAGAAGGGCCTTTTTGTTGCCTGTGGTGGGTCAGGTCACGCGTTCAAGATGCTGCCGGTTTTAGGACAATTCTTGGTCGATAAAATCGAGGGCCGTGAAAACTTTTACACTAGACTGTTTAAGTGGAGATCCCTTTCAGGAACCGAGAAGGATCCCAACGGACTAAGAGAAGGTTTGGCCACAAAAAGGAATTACAACCAGCAGGAGCTCTCCACGGAGATAGACCTCAGATTTGGAGACTCTTTCTCAAGGTCACCAAAACTTTAGATTATTTTATATAATTTGCAGACCTTACACTTTGAACTTGTCATAATCAGTCAGAACAAATCTGTATCTAACATCTCCTGCATGACATCTCTCAAGAGCTTCTTTGATACCACTCTCGGAAATCGGCAGGCGTTCCGTCCATGCAGTGAGGTTTTTTTCAGCGGCAAGCTTAAGCATGTCGAGCATTTGCGGTCTGTTTCCTAAGTGAGAAGAGCCAAAAAATACCCCTCCTCTCATGAACGGCATTGCACTGACAGTGAATGGCTCCTCAGGCAGCCCAACAGAAATCATTTTTCCATGAACTTTCAGACAAGATAGATAACCAGCCAGATCAAAGTTCTGAGCTGAGTTGCCGCAAGAAACAATTAGGTCGAGTTTCTTTGCATACCTTTCTGCCCAGTCCTTCTCCTCATAAGTAGCAATATAGTAATCGCTTCCCAGCTTTTTTGCGTCTTTTGATTTCTTGCTCGTACGCGAAAATGTGTACACCTCGGCTCCCAGAGCTTTTGCAAACATAATCGCGAAATGACCCAGTCCGCCAATTCCAACAATTCCTACTTTTTTTCCAGGGCCACATCCATTTTCGACAAGAGGAGCGTACGTAGTGATGCCTGCACAAAGCATAGGTGCGGCATCTTCCGTTTTCAAGCCATCTGGAATTGGGAAAACAAAGTACTCATGGGCACGAATGTGCGAGGAGTAGCCTCCATAGGACATCGATCCATCTGCATATAAGGAGTTGTAAGTACTGACTCTCTTTGTGCAGTAATTCTCGTGATCTTCCTTGCACGTCTCGCAATCGAGGCAGGAATAGATTTGAGCACCAACACCAACTCGATCTCCAACATTGACAGTGCTGACCTTATCTCCAACCTTTATAACTTCACCGATGATTTCATGACCGGGAATTACTGGCAGCATAGGTTGACTCCAGCCCCCTTTGACTGTATGAACATCTGACCCGCAGACTCCGCAGGCTAGAATGCGGATGTCAACATCGTATTCCTCAAATGGCTTGGGCTTGAACTCAATCTTGGACACTGTGGACCATCTCGAAGTGTCTGTCACAGCAAATCCTTCAAAAGTGTCCGGATACATAATATGGTGGTAAATATTATCCTAGGTGTTAGCATATTTATTCTCGCCAAGTACCGAATCAAGAAATTCCCGAATGCGGAAGGGCTTCGGAGTTTTCAGATTTGGCATTAATCAAGATAAGGATTTATGTACGATTCCTCTATCAGGATAATTAGTATAGCTTCCTCTTCACACGGGTGTTGTAAATGTTAAGTCGCTTTCTGGTCAACATTATTCATTCCTGGATCACTTTCCATTTAAGTCCAAAATCTGGGATGCTAGAGTCAGGTGGCTAAAGATTGGTAACCTAGATTGAATGAAAAATTGAAGTTTGGTGATATGCGACTTGATTGTTTCTTCCTCCTGTTGTTTGAAGGCCATCTGATTCAAGAGCAAAAAAAAGCTCGAAATAGTAGCAAAGTTAAATCTAGCCCACGAATACCAAAACGAGTCAAAATGATATGCCCGGAGCCGTCCAAGTATATCCAATATCTCTGCACATAGCAAAATGCTCCGTTGTTTGGCCTCCTCTGATATCGATTGGTGTTTGCCGACGTCATTTGTAGTTGGTGGGTTCTCCTGCTCCCATAACAAAATTCGATGAAGCACTGATTTATATAGTGTCGCCTTGGCAGTAACACTAGCTATCACTAATGCAGCAACTGGGGAGTCAGGATATACACTGCTTTCCAATTTGAAATAATCGAAGTGTCTGGTTTCGAATTCTGAAATTAATTGCAAATGAACATCGGCTTTTTTATACACTGATTCGAGAGAAACATTCTGGTCAGCTTCACTAACGTAGTCGTCTATGAGTTTTGTCAGTTCCGCCATCAAGCAAAACAATTTGCTACTATGGCGTCTTTGTTCGCTGTTCCCATACAAAGACTCATTTTCAAAGTCGAAATCCGTGAGTGGGCACACATTCCAGTCTGTTCTCGAAATATGACTTTTGCGGCCAAGAGAAAATGAGAACCATTTCTCCTGAATATAGAGTGACCACCAAAGACGCCTTCTGATTTTTTTTTCCCAAACAGAGATGTTCCAGTGTGTGCAATCAAGGTTGATTCCCATGGACTGTGCAAAAGTGTACGCTACCCTCAGGATCGCAAGCTCCAGTGTCCCGTCAATACCAAGTCCTTTCCGATACAGTTTTTGAGACAGAAGTAGGCTTGATTGAATAGCCGCGAAAGATGGCTTAGAGGTTTCTGTAAAAATTGACTGTGTGACCTGCTTGACGACCGGATTCACGTTAGGCGGCTCCATAAGCGTCAATTTTGGATCTTTTTGCCAGCTATCAGTTGCTAAAATTAGAGCGCTCAGAAGCAGAAAGCAAGATCTGTTTTGGTTGATGCGCTTTTGGAACTCGATTGTGGATACCACCGGAAAGTATGTGTTAGTGTGTTTCAAAAATAGCTCAATGAGACTGGATGTATGCGGGTAAAACGTCTCTATCTTGAATGCATTATCGTTTGACTCACTTCTGGATCCATCTTCAACTATGATCTGCATCTGGGGTTGACGAGAAGTCTCAAGGGTTCTTAGGTGCACTTTTTGAGACTTTACACTAGGCAAGCCTGTATTTTTGTGTAGCCAAAATGGATCTAAGTAGCCACTTTGATATAGATACACGAATTGGCCTTTACATTCGTCGTCTTGAGTATCATCTTCAGTCGAAAGAGTCATCGTGGGGGTCAAACCTTGTATCGGCACCGTATTGGAAATCTTGTCTATAATGCTGCGATCACCTTTAACTCCTGTAATCTGGACGGGGACTCTGTTTGCTTCTTTCTCTGAATCTGGAGTTGGAGCAATTTCATGTAAGGAAGTGGAAAAACTAGTGTAGCTTGCCAATTCTGGAGCGTTGGAGGAGAACTCTCTTGAAGAATCTGTATCGTCCATTTCATTATCTGCTCTGTGACCCGTGACAGGACCATCGGCATCCGTGAAATAGACAGACTCTGTTGCCCTCAATATTTGTTTCACCTTGTGTCTGTTAATTGGGGGCACCTTGTCAGTGAACTCACAGCTTACGTTCATCCGCGCACACAGCTCGCAAGGTCCACGATGTTCAATGATACATCTTGACTTGCGTTTACGACACCTATCACAAGGCCTATTTTTTCTCGATTTGTACGGTCTTGCCTCTGATCCCATTTGCTTCCCAATTTTACCCACTTTTTTTCACATGATATTTTTTTATTTCAAACATCCCTAAATCGTCAAAGCTTACTTTTGGCTGATTTGACCAGCTCTACAACTTTTTGACCCGCACCCCAGCTCATCTCATAACCAGAACCACCAAAACCATAACAGTGCACAACTTCGGTACCGTCGACTACTTCTCGTTCGATTCTCACACCTCCGTGCCGTGCTGGCCTAAATCCAACATTGATACGTTTGATTTGAAATTCTCCGTCGATTAAAAGCTCTGGAAACCGCTTTTTTCCGTTTTCGATCAGCTTTTGGGTGTCTGCATCTCTGACCTGTGAATACAGGTCTCCGACCTGCTTTGTACCTCCCAGGATCACACCCCCATCCAATGGACGAGGAATGACAAAGCAGAAAGAACCATCCTCCAGTTGATAGGTTACAGTCTCACTGTTGTACGGACAATCCTTTGGGCTTTTCACCAATAGCGTTTGGCCCCTGATCGGATACGTGGCAGGATCATAGCCCCCATAATATGTTAAGCCTCGTCCTGAACAGTTCACAATAGTGGCACCTGGAAACAGCTTCGCAACCTGTTGCAAAGAGCCAAGGCTTTCTTGCATGAATTTCACCTTATAGTACATCTCGAGCCTACGCTCTAGAAATTGGATGTACATTGGAGAGTTCATACACCACGCGTTGTATGTGGCACCAAACTTGACTCCATCAGGCAGGGAGGACTTAGGAAGAACCTTGAAATTTTCAATGCCTTCTGCATATCCTGCACTGACATTTTCGTACATCGGATCGTTGCGTTCTATGAAATCCGTTCCTGGCATAAATCTGATAGAGCTTTCGGGAAAGGTGGCAGCTAGTCTCTTGAAAACCTGAAAAGTGGACCTGGTAAGCTTGGAGTCTCTGTATTCTTCTGGTGTCTTAGCAGGAAATGGTCTGAAGTGAGCACCTGCCCATGGAGAAGTGTACTGCGAGTCTGCTATCGAAGTCGAAGGCAGGTGTTTCGCAACAATTGTGACATCGTATCCTTCTTCAGCCAGCTGGTAGGCACAAGTCAGGCCAACGACACCGGCACCAACAACCACTATGGATTTAGTCATGACGAAAAGTGGTAAGATTAGATAAGATCGAGTTTCAGTTTTTTTTTTTCCATTTATTCCGATTGTGCGGGCAATGTTAGAAAAGTGAGAACGGGCAATTCCATGACCGAAAATGGTTAATTGAATTTATCTTGCCCGAAGCGACTTTGAAACTCACATTTTCATTTGTACGCCTAACCTTCCTGTCATTTCAGTGTTGTGTTTTGTGCGGGCAACTGGTAAACCCGTCAAGCTCTTAAGGCCGAGCTTTGCAATCTCAGCAATGACACAAAACTCAGTGGTGGCTCCAAATGGTGCTGTTCTGAATATAAATTATTTTGCAAACTCTTCAGGGTGGACTAGAATGTAACGCATTGTCTCAACCTTGCATTCTATCGATACAGTTTCCCAGTACCAACTTACCCTATACGCATTTAGAATCATCTAAAAGTTCCTTGGACGAGGGATCTGCTCCCTACTGTCCTGCATTGAGAAGTTGCTACGTACCAAAGTGCACAGAGTGGGAATTTGATGAAACAATTAAGCCTGGTGGTGACTATATCACCTAGTAAGAGAGACTGGACGACGCTCATCGATTACCTTTAGATAAGTCGAACAGCAGATTAAGACTACGGCACCAAAAACGCAAACACCTGACAGTAAATGCCGGACTGTACCTACGGCGATGTTGAATGGACCGACCAGAAAGCAGTAATTTGGTGCCCCGAATAAATTAAGAGCACGTTGCCAACCACATTAACCAGCACCAAATAACTCATCCACACCTGTTGGACCATAATATGGTATATGATCATGTTGGTATTCTACTCTAAACCGCTCATGGCCCGTCTCCTGTGTATACAATTCAGGTGGCTAGTGATTAAATAGAGCTGGATACAAACCAACTTATGCCAACTTCATTTGATCATCTCCTTTCATTGTATGGATCTTTGAAACAAAATGGTTGCAATTGAGGACCAAGAGAAAGAGAATTTATTTGAGAACGTGTGTGGGGTCGAATTCAGTGACCTCTCTGAATGGAAGCATCCACGGGAGAGCCTGCATAGGAATACACTCATCAGCTACCAGCGCGATAAACTGCTGTCAGGTGCAGACTTTCCGCTGGGCATTAAAATCCTACCAATTTTTGGCCTTATTATGGAATCTAGAAATGTACTCCCAATTCTGATGTTTCAGATGACAAATCAGACTTTGAGTATGACTGCAAGCTATTTTTGGTAATAATGTATGCTTACCGGCGCTTGAGGCCAAAGCCCAGTATTGCCAATCAGCTACTCACCACACAAAACACCATGTCCGGCTTCTTAGATGGGGCAACTTTTCTAGTGGAGGAACTTGTGGCTGAACATGTGGCTAAGCCTGACAGCCTGGTGGTCTGATGTCGTCTCTGCCGCTGTGCAGCACTACAGCGAGTACTTTCGGTAATCCAAATGAGTCGGCATCTAGAGGATTCTCAGCATAAAATCAAAACTACAGAACGGTCTTGCTCTCCAACGTTCAGCCGTCTGGGTCTTTAATCTTGTGTGCCAGATATTAGTGCGGATAAATGATATGCTTGCCAGTTGCTTAATAAGTGCCGTCTGAAATCGATCTGCACGGCATTTGCTCAAATGACCCACAACCGTCAATTTGAGGTATGATGGACGGGCATCCCGTGCTGTCGCCGCGTTACGCACGTATATACATTGTCTCCGTCTATTTTACTTCCTCCAGCTACCAAATGCTTGCCTCAAAGACCGTTCATTATGTCGATGTCGTGAGCTGTCTCTACCAGTGCACAATCCAGGTTTCCCCAACGTCGTCTGGACAATTTGCAAAACAGACTGAACCAGCCAATCAGTGTAAGACAGAATAGCTTTGAAGCGTATGGACTGGATGGTTTATGTTCGATTCGCTACAACGTGTTTAGTTCAGTGCCAGTTATCTTTGCCAAAACTGTACTCTAATGGAGTTGGCCACTTTTTGCAAAACCACACTCGCCTAGCCGCAATCCAATGCAGATAGAACACACAACGATAAGTTTGGAGCATTAACGCTAGCTCGACCAGTTACTTGAGGGAAGAAGCTGGGTCATAGCCATGCTATGAGAAGAATACTTTGACACTTATTGGCAAATGAGGCTTGTCGCTGCCAATAGCCACTTTGCTGGCGACCAGAATGGATGGCAGAACAGGCAGGAAATCGCTCAAAGGCCCGCTGGATTCTGCTGGTAAAGTTTACTGAGAGTAAGGCGAAGCGCAGACTAAAAATAGGTAGCTTAGTTGAAGAAAAGCACCATTGCAATCAGTGGCATTAGCAGGCTCTTTTCTATAGCAACGCTCTGGACACTACAAGTTGCTCAAGGAAAAATTGAGGCTCGCATTTCTAGGGACGTTTTTCTCGGCATGAAAGCAGATGTGTCACGCAAGAGTGGAACTCTATTTATTTCCATTACTTTAGCGTGTCTCACCACAATCCTCTAGCGCGTGACGCAAACCACGTACGCACGAGCGTTGAATATCTCCACTTCGGATGACCGTGTCCACACAACAATAGCATGATCGACAAGCGCAATGCTCTGAAATTATCGGAGTCACTGTTTTTGTAGTGTATAGCTGGTTATAATGTCAGCCCCAGGCCAAAGCCCGCCATTGCGGCTATTTTTTCTCTTTTGGTCATCTTACCCGTTTTTGCGGATAGAGAGGAGCTAGATGGCACATTTGGTGGGCTGAAATTGCCGAAACTAAAACGGAACACGAGCCGCACAACCGATTTGGCCCAGGCACTTGGTGGCGTTTAACTCAACAGACATATCTGAGACGTCTAGAATACGTGTTTGAATAAGCAGACATTCGCTCACGCGGGGAACAATAATACGCGAAGTTGCACGCAGAGCAGACCTAACAATAGATCTTACCCACCCCGCAAAACTTTCTTCCAACTAATGACGTCATCCTATTATTTTTAGAGTCATCGTGCACATGTTACTACCGAACTGCAAATTGCTTCAAACAAGAAATAACGGCGCTTTCGCATGTATATAAATAGACAATGGCTTCCACATACGAGGGAGGACCGAATACTTAGCCATGAAGTCGTACTACGAGCTCCTTGGGCCTGGAAAGCCTACCAGAACCGTGTTGACAGTCACATGTTTATTTTCTTTCATTCTGTATGGATTTGAACAAGGTGCCCTGGCCAACATCCAAAATCACCCCGTGTTTCAAAGCCAATTTGGCCATCCCTCGGGTAATTACTTGGGAATCATTGTGTCTGTGTACAACCTTGGAAGTTTCTTCGGTTGTATGATCAACTTCTTCATAGGCGATAAACTGGGCAGAAGAAAAACTGTCTGGGCCGGTTTCACGCTTGTCATCATTGGAATTATCTTGCAGACCAGCAGTTACAGCGTCGTTCAGCTATTCTTTGGCAGATTCATTTCTGGTCTGGGAACAGGAATGGAAACTAGTACCGTGCCTATGTTCCAGGCTGAAGTTGCCAGCGCCCACAATCGTGGTGGTCTCGTTGCGGCCGAGCCTCAGGGTGTGGCTCTCGGTATCTCGATCTCATACTGGATCGGATACGGCTGCAGCAAAAGATACGATGAGACGTCGTGGAGACTTCCAGTGGGAATTCAGATGCTATTTGCCGTTTTTGCCTGGTTTTTGTTGTTCCTGTGTCCTGAGTCACCTAGATGGCTCATGAAGAAAGGACGAGTTGACGACGCCAGAAACTGTCTTGCACGGATCAACGACGTGCCTAAGGACGATCCTCTCGTGAACAAATGTATTGACGACATCCTGTACCTGCAAGAGGTTGAAGGTGAGGGAGACCAGATCAGCTGGTGGGACATTCTGCGTGGCAGGGACGCCATGCACGGCAGATACAGACTTTTCCTGTGTGTCATGGCACAATTCTGGAACCAGTTTGGAGGTGTGAATCTTGTGGTGTACTACGTGCCGTTGGTGCTTGAGACTAACGTGGGAATGGACACCAATATGTCGACGATCCTTGGAGGCTGTATCATGGTGACGTTCTTTATTTTCGGGTTTATTCCATCTCTGTGGCTCGACAGAATTGGACGCAGGTTTGCTCTGATTGGTGGCTCTCTAGGACAGATGGTGTCCATGATGATGATCACCATTCTGTTGAGAGTGGGATCCAAGAGTACCTCTGCTGCTGCAGTCGCCTTCTTCTTCACGTTCATGGCGTTCTTTGGAGCTGCCATGAACTGTGTGCCCTGGGTGTATGTGTCGGAGATTCTTCCGTTGCAGCTCAGATCCAAGGGTAATGCCATTGGAATTTCGTCGAACTGGATCATGAATTTCGTGATCGCCATGATTACGCCGATTGTCACCGAGAACCTGGGCTGGAAAACCTACATCATCTTCACGTTAACCAACGGTGCCGCTGCGCTGATGTTCTACTTGTTCTGTCCAGAAACCGGTAACCGGACGCTGGAAGACATTGAGTCCATTTTCCTGAGCCAGAACACACTGTTCTACGGAATCAGTCACTTTGACAAACCTGTCGCCAACCTAGACGAAAAGCCCGAAATCATGCACCTCGAGACCGCCAGCAAGCTGCTCGAAAGCAATTGATGGAGCACTTACATTGCGCAAGCCTTACCAGTTGTGTCATAATTCAAAGATTGTTTTCAATAAGATTTCAGTAAAATATTTTGGGCTTGGGAGGCCGTCTTGGACGACTTGTGTTGGAACAAGATCACTGTATAATGGGACGGTTCCATCACGGGGTACTCAAAACTGACCAGCCTTAGAAACAAACATTCCTGTCATTTCAGATCGCAGCGCGAACTGGGAACCGCTGCTCAATTGTAGCCAATGCATGCTCCTGGTCATGTGTGATTCTTCATTACTGAGTTTTAGACAAGATTCGATGTTTTGGCCCCAAACTTCGCTATCAAGCGTAATTTGTCGATAACCAGGTGGTACCAACTTAACTATTCAGATCTGATGGGCTCAATCTGGTCCCATATATGGGTAGACACCGGGCTAAGGGCTTAAATATTCATTTGATTTCTATCCTCAACTTAATAATATTTAGACCGCGACGATTTCGTGGACTGTCTGCGCAGCCTTCACGACCTCCTCGTCCAGCCATCTTCTGCCCGTCAACTGCAGAGAGATTGGCGCACCCTTGAAGCCCTCAGCGTTATCATACAGACCGTATTCGTAGGCCTCAAGCTCGCTCCTTGGCTTATAGGATTTATCTGGGGCATCCAAAGCCGGGTCGCATTTGAGTCCGGTGGGGAACACGACGTTTGGGAAATCCAGCACATTCCACAAGCTGGTGTAGCCCCAGTAATGAATTTTCTCCGGCTTGGCTGCAACGGAAACGTACGCTGGCGATAAAATATAATCCACCCCAAGTTCGATCATTTTGTCCTGGTACTCAGTCCTGTATTTGTCCCGGATACCCTGCCCAATGTGCTCCTCGGCAGCAGATAATCCTTTTTCTCCGCAACCAAATGAGAGAGCGATCTTGGACAGCTCGCATACAGGCTCGCCTGAGGCAGCCAGACCGGCCTTCTGTGCTCTATCACCATCGGCATTGTAAAATGAGCCACAAATTTCGACCAGCTCTAGCACCCCAAATGAATCCCATTCAACCACCTTGACGCCTGCCGCCTTTAACTTCTCGGCCGCGTGTTTGAGCCCTCTGATAATCGGAGGTGTAGGCTTGACAACCCCGTCGTCATACATAATGGCCACCTTCAAGTCTTTGGCAGCAGGCACGGGAACATCTCTCCACGGCAGCGGCAAGATCGTTGCGTCTCTGTTCCATGGTTTGCCGTCGAGCGAGACTTTCATGAAAAGATCAATATCCTGTGCGCTTCGTGCAAGATGTCCTAAGACGCAAACGACACCCTCGCCAACTCCAGTGCTGCAGGAAGTCACGTTTTTCATGGACAATCTCTTCTGAGTTGGTCTGAACCCAAACACCCCGCAGAAGGCAGCAGGACAACGGATAGAGCCGCCGATGTCGGAGCCTAAACCAAACACAGACCCACGCATGGCCACAAGGGCACCTTCGCCGGAACTCGACCCGCCAGTTGTCAGAGCCGTGTTTGTAGGATTTTTGCACAGCCCGGTAACATTGTTGTTGGAGCAGAGGTGCATTATTGTCTGAGGTTCGGTGGTTCGGATGTAAAAGACTGCACCAGCCTCAAGTAGAACTTCGACAGTCAGGCACCAATTATCCGTGACGTTTTCAATCTTAGAGACACAGGCGCCATGCGTAACTTTTCCTTTATAATTGTAGTGCTCTTTTAGGGACACTGGGAGGCCATGCAGAGGGCCGACTGTCTTGCCAGTCTTCTTATAGTAAGCGTCCAGTTCCTCTGCTCTTTTGAGTCCCTCGTCCAAGAACAGCTCCATGGCACAGTTGGTGAGCTGGTGAGCCGCCGTAGCCGTCTTAGCATAGGCTTTGAAGACTTGGACGGCCGTCAACTTGCCGGACGCAAGCTGTTTGACGAGTTCATAGCCGGGAGTGTTAACTATTGTCAGCTCCTCTTTGGTGAGTATTTTTTCTGGAATTCCAGTAACGTCTATCCCTGTTTCTTGGGGGATAAGGCTATCACTTAGCTTGAATTCCTCTAAAATCCCGGCTTTCAATTTTGCTCTGTAGGCCTCGATCTTGGGAATGAAAGTGGCGTAGAGCTCTTTATTTTCAGTGTTGTTAGTGTAGGGTCCAAACATGCTCAAACATCAATTCGACGTTTGGGCTTATATAAATTTGGTTGAAGCGTGCAAGCCGAGGGCCATTTCCTAATAGGGAAACGGATTTACCCTTATCTATTTATTGATAAAGAAAATCCACAGCTGCATAATCAGATGCAGCTTTGGACAACATGCTCGCAAATAGAAATATTGATTGGCTGCTGAAGACTGGATTGTCGTGAAGGGGAATCGTTTCGGCTTCATGTGAAATCGATATGAATACCGATGGATGCATTTTCACTTTACTTGACTCGATCGGGCCAATCTGTGCATTGATCTCCAGTCTTGAGCTACAGAATCAACAATACCATGACTCTTGGGATACGATTCTACTCTCCTTTTTGGTGCCAATACTGAAGCCAGTTTACTGAATTCATTTGCTTTCTAATGTGTTGGGATTCTTTAATGATCATTGTGAAAGTCAAAATCCAGGACTTGAATTATAAAATTAGCTAACTCAAATAAATAAATTGTCAAAATTAGTTTTGTCAAGCAGAGCCTGCCAGCCTAAGCCGCCCTCCCAAATCCGGTTCAAAAACTCGATGATAATGTCATAGCACGAGTTCTTCATTGCATAGCCAAAGTTCTGCAGTCGCCAAAGCATATAATCTCGCTGGTCTTTTTGTACAACTGCCGTGCCAATGATGGAAAATGGCCACGTTAAAATTGCTGATATGTTTGAGTGGAAACTGAGCTGTTCCAGATCGCTAATGAAATCGCTTATGCGACGCTGTATCTCACTCTCCATCTCCAAAGCCTTAGGATAGAGTAGCTTATAAAGAAGAATGTACGCTCCTTGGGCCACTATGCGCGCGGCATGACAGCTATCCAAGAGTCGCTTGCAGACGTGTTTGGGCTGGTTGAACCGCACTTCTGGAGGCAGTACAGGGGGAACAAAGTATTTAGCATGCCGAAGTAACGTGATTGCCTGGTGTCTCAGACTTTCGTCTACGGATAGTGCAGCTGCAACCATCCGGCTTTTGATGCCAACTCAAACGCTGGAAGAGCGGCTCCCATAACCGGGTTGTTCATCCAAGGAGCAGGGCATTTGTAGAGCTTCTGATCCAGTAACGGCTGGAGCTCTTCAAACACCTCAAAGGGCGACTCCAGCAAGATCTGGGATTTCCGATCCAGAACCAATCCAATAATAGAGTAGTTGTACGCAAAACTCTCCACCAAGGTGCGCTCAATTGGCGTGAGAAGCCATTTCTGTTCGCAAACAACAGATCTAATGTCATCAGGAAGGCCCTCTGAGCGCCTGGAATTGGCCAACCGTGTCTTCGGCCAGTTGCGGATGAGCTGGAAAACCATTTTTAAGAAGAGCACAGTGCGGTAGCCGTCAAGACCGTAGAACTTTTCCCGCAACGTAAGCGACAAAAGAGCAACAATAAGCCATTTGTTGTCCCTATCGAAAGAAGCGCTGAGTACGATCTGCCGGAATTGGCCCATAACCTTTGTCATTCTGGATTCGGCCAGCTCACGCATATCTTTGCGGTTGGCTGCCAAAAAAGCTGCTCCGCAGGCATAAAAAACGTCCAAAAGCCACGGATTTGCTGCTCCATGAGGAATAAAAACCGCTCCTGGTTGCAGTCGCTCGTGCGTGAGCTGGGTGGACACCGCCACCATGAAGCCGTTGACAAACGCGTCGTAGATATATGCGTCTTTAGGGGAGATGAGCCCTGAAAAACCCAGCCCAAAACCACGTAGAGCGCTTTGAGAGCACAAGGTCGCGAGATATTTGCGGAAAATGGCGTCGTCGAGCTGATCCTGGCGACGTACGCAGTCGACGGACTTGATGGTGACTGTTTCACTTTCTGTGCGCTTGGCACTCTCTATTTCTCGTTTCTGACGTTTGTTCCCATACACAAACACGAAAGGGGTGGTTCGCTTTTTCTGGAGCCTGAACTCGTTCAGGGAGGACTTCGGTACCACTCCATCTGCCCAGACACAGATATACGAATTCCGAACGCATTGGGCGCACTCCGGCAGCGTCTCAGAGCATTTCACTTTGCGTTTGCGACCTGAGAATTAGAGCAAAGGTCCTTTTACTTACAGCATACACAACCGCGTGTACTTTTAGATCTCTTATTTTTCATCTAGTTTCTTTCGATGAATGGCCGTATCATTTTTTTTAGTCTTGAAAAGCGATAAAAAAAAGATATGCCGAGACAATCTGATGCGCCGCCACAACGGCCTTGACCAGTTACTCGGCTAAACATGTTCTACCAGTCATAGGGAGCGAGATTGGAGTGTCCTAAGTTCTCTACGCGGTAGTACAGAGCGTATTTGTAGGCCCCCATATGTTTCTCGGCCCGTACGAGTTGTCTGGAGCATCCAGAGTGGGATCGCATCTCAGACCAGCTGGGAACTCGACGTCTGGAAAGTCTAAAATATTCTACAAACTCGTGTAGCGCCAATCCCGGGCTGCCCCTGACTCTGGAGCAGCAGGAAAAGTACGCTGGAGAAAGAATACACAGGACGTCAAATTCAAGCATTTTTCGAAGGTAGCACTCGCGATAATCTTTTCTGGTCTGGACGAGCTAATGCTCTTCTACAGCCAGCAGCAGTTGGTCGGCCTTTCCAGAGCTCAGTACACTCTTTGCGAGAGCAAAAAGCGGCTCGCCTGAGGCAACTAAGACGGCTTTCTGTCCCTGATTTTCGTCGGCGTGGTACATGCAGCTAATAGCCTTGGCGATTTTTTCAACACCGAAAGAATCCTACTCGACAACCTTTGCTTCCATGGCCTTGGGCCTGTCTGCAGCATTTTTAGGGCCTCCGATGATTGGTCAAGTTGGCCTAACAATACCGTCGTGGCAGAAAACGGCTACTTCAACATTCTTCGGAGCAGGAACAGACACCTCTCCATCTTAAAGGAATAATGGAAGGATCCGTTCCCAAGAGCTTGGTACCAATTAGGACTTTCATGCCGAAAGCCGACTAGAGGCAATCTACGTCACCAGCTGGGGTGCTGGGGTGTCGACAATGGCCAGCTCGTTTTCCGTGAGCACCTTTTCGGCGACACGGGCCACGTCACTGCCCGAGTCTTGCACTGATACTTCTTAGGAAAGAACATATTTATCCAGAACACCGATCGCAAGCTCGGCTCGGTACGCGTCGATCTTGGGCTTGAAAGTCGCAAAAAAGCCGGTCCCCGGTGTTGTTGGTGCACTTTCCGTAGGGGATGGGCCTGGATCACGTCAGGAGAAGAAATAATGCGCACTTTTTTTTCTGATTGACGATTCCGAGGATTCTTTCCGTTTTTGGAAATGAATTTCTTATCTTCTGCACCGTGCATCGCGCCAGATGGCGGTCGATTGGTATGTCCTGATAAGTAGCTGTGAGAGTCCTGATAAGCAGCTGTGTACTATAAACGGCCTCCAGTCCCGCAAATTGTTGAACCAGCTTTACGATGCACACCGAAATTGATTTCTCTGCTATTCCCGGTACTTCCCATCTAGTGGACCTCGACCGCACCAAGGAGACTATTGAGACGGAGTCGGGCATTGTGCTGATCCCCACTCCGTCAGATGACCCTAACGACCCGCTAAACTGGTCTCGGGGCCGCAAGTGGCTCGCCATCTTCTGTACTGTCGTGTACATTTTCGGTGGAAGTGTTCCTGGCTGCTGCATATACTCGATTTTGACGGATATTGCTGAGGATCCAGACGTCCACGTGACAGTTGGACAGCTCAACGAGGGCACTGGATACATGTTTTTGTTCCTGGGGATTGGCAACCTACTGATGATGCCTCTGGCACAATAATACGGAAAAAGACCGATATATCTCATATCGCTGCTCGGAAACATCATGTTCAACCTGTGGCAGCCATACACGCACTCAAATGGTGAGTGGATTGCCTCGCGCATTCTGAATGGGTTTTTCTTTGCTCCCGTCGAGTCGTTGCCGGAAATCACTGTTGGCGACTTGTTTTTCGAACACGAAAGAGCAACGTACATGGGTGTTTACAGCGTTGCGCTCTTTGGCTCCAATTACATGGCCCCTATGCTTTCTGGGTTTGTGAGAGACGGACTGGGATGGAAATGGGCGATCTGGATCGCCTGCATCTTCGGCGCTGTGTGCTGGTTCTTCTTGCTATTTTTCATGGAGGAGACCAACTACACCAGAAGATTGAGAGTGAGAAAGGACGACGAGGGAAACATTGTTGCCGCCATCACGAGCCGTGGCGAGCAGAAGACCGACGAGAAAAACCCAGACACTATGCTAGTGGTCACAAGCAACGAGCTCGGCAACCAGGCTGCGCTCATCGACGAGGAAATTACGTATCCACCGCCAAAGACCTTCTGGCAGAAACTGTCTCTAACCAGCGGAATTCGCAAAGAAAACCGTCTGCTGGACGAGTTCAAGGCCATTGCTCTGATGGCACAGTTTCCTGGAGTTCTCTATGCCGGCTTTCTGTACGGCTCCTCACTGTTTTGGTACTCTGTGCTTAACGGCACTGAGGCTCTGGTTCTGAGCAGCGAGCCGTACAATTTCTCGTCCTCCATGTGCGGACTTGCATATCTGTCTCCAGTGATTTTCTGTCTCGTGATTTATCCATTTGCCGGCTGGTCCACCGACTGGGTAAAAATCAAGATTGCCAAACGCCACAAGGGTCTTTCGGAGGCCGAGGACCGATTCTGGGTCCTGCCAGTCTACATGATTCTGGGTCCAATGGCTCTGATTTTATGGGGAGTGGGAGCAGCCAAGGGCGTGCACTGGTTTGGCGTCGTGTTTGGACTCGGCCTCATGGCCGGTCTCTGCACCATCGGCTGTGTCTCTGCAGTGACGTACATTTTGGACTCGTACGAGCACATGAGCGCCCCCGCAATTACCGTGGCTATTTTGATTAGAAACACCATGAATTTTGCAATGGACTACGGAATCACCCCCTTCTACACCAATGTCGGCGTTCAGAACTGCTTTATTGCCTCGGCATTCATCTGCTTCTTCTGCATCGGCACGTTCCTTGTGATGATCTTCACCGGCCGCTACTGGAGAAACAGAACCAAAACTCGCTACTGGAAAATCGTGCAGGAGTACAGGGCCAAGGGCCTTATAAGTTAATTAAGTTAAGCACTAGTCTTGCCGTCCAAACTTTTTGTCGTAATCTGTCAGAACAAACCGGAACCTGACATCGTGGGAGTGCGTTCTCTCCAGAGCGTGCTTGATATTTTCCTCGGAAATAGGCAAACACTCCGTCCAGGCCTTGAGACCCTTGTCGGCAGCCAGCTTTAGCATGCTCAGGATTTGCTGTCTATTTCCCAGATGTGTGGCACTCAGAGAGATGGCAGACTGGTTGAGAGTAGGTAATTTCACCTCCAGCGGGTCCTCGGGAATACCAACAAACATAAACTTACCCTTGACTTTGAGACAGCCCAGGTAGCCGTCGAGATCAAAGTTCTCGACCGAGCTCGACGACGAAATAATCAAGTCGAATTCCCGCTGGTGTTTGGAAGGCCAGTCGGAATCCTCGCCTGTAGCAACAAACTCGGACGCACCAAGTTTCCTGGCGTCCTCTGCTTTCTTGCTACTCCGGGAAAACGCACAAACCTCTGCACCAAGCGCATTTGCAAACATGATAGCAAAGTGGCCCAAGCCACCAATCCCAATGACTGCCACCTTCTTGCCCGGGCCGCAGCCGTTGTCGACAAGTGGCGAGTATGTGGTGGTGCCCGCGCAAAGCATTGGCACAACATCTTCTGTCTTCAAAGCGTCAGGAATTGGGAACACGAAGTACTCGTGGGCACGAATGTGCGACGAGTAGCCTCCCCACGCCTTGGACCCGTCAGGATAGTTTGAATTGTACGTATCGACCATGTGGGGGCAATAATTCTCCAGGTTGGCTTTGCAGACCTCACACTTCAAACAGGACCAAATTTGGGCTCCGACTCCCACTCGTTGGCCCTTTTTTACGGTGGTGACCTTATTACCGACTCTGACGGCCTCTCCAATAATTTCGTGGCCAGCAATGACGGGCAGGTCAGGCTGCCCCCATCCTCCGGAAACTGTATGAACGTCTGAACCGCAGATTCCACATGCGTGGATGCAGATGTCTACGTCGTACTCGCCAAACGGTTTTGGCTTGAACTCGATCTTGGACACGGTGGACCAGTTGTTGGTGTCGGTGACGGCAAATCCTTCAAAGGAGTCTGGATACATTTTCAAGGTAGCAAATATAATTACCGAGTAGCAACTTAAATAGGGTTGATGCAGCTGCGCTAAATTTGAAAAATCAGCCAGATTTTCGGAGTTTTGAGGTCCAACTTCGATCTGTGCCCCCATTTTGAAAAATTGCTTGGTTGCGCGTAGAACTAATCAGAATTTTTGTGCTTTGGCTATCCCGTGGCTCCCTCAATCGAGTTGTGCCATCATCTCGAGAAACTTGTTAAACGGTACTGTAAATAACGTTCAGACGAAATAGGCGATAGACGGCAAAGATGCTAGGCCAGAAATGGTTGCCCGTAATGATCTGGAATACACTGGCGGAGAATGTGAGCCGTCTATCAAGATGCTGGTCATAGTTCCGCTCATTCAAAAGTGCCCTGAGAGTCCAACGTTAAAGGGGTCCAAGTATTATTCGTGAGCAGTACCATTTGTTAATAGGCTTGTGGAGCTCAACATCGGCATCTGTATAAGTTCCCCCAAAAAAAGATATCAGCAAGTATCTGAAGCGAGCGCGGAAAAATCGTTTGTATTGGAAACGCTATAGAAACTGGAAGCCGGTCCATCCTCTGACAAGCCTAAAAACAGCGCTCGCTAGAACCGCTTGAGAATCTAGCTTTATCTAAGAGAATACACCACTCTTTCTAAAAGATTCTAATACTTCTGACCACTCTATGTATTCTAGTTCTCGATTTTATGTGGTTCAGCTGTCTTCCTGCAGCCAAGCTCCCGAACATATAAGGAAACCCACACAGACATTAGCAGTGAATGTGAGCAGCTCCCATCGCGTCCATGTCCGCAATTATCCTCTAGCAGGTGATGAGCAGGATTTCGGGGTAAGGATTCTTGAAGGGCTGGTATCCAGGAGCAAAATGGTGCGTCAAGTAGTAGCGCTTTTTGACGGACTCGTACAAGTTGCTGGCACAGCGAATTTTGGCATGGGCAAACTGCACACGTCGTTTTTGGATATAACAGGAGTGTTCAGCCCAGAAAAGCCACGCCACTTAATCTTTGTCACCTGTGCCTCGTCCCGGCCGTATAATTCTTTGTCAGCCTTATACCAACTGGCATTGGTGTCTACGAACTCTCACTCATCGGCCTCGTTCATGTATCTGTAAATTTCATCTGTGAAGACCCGGGCTCTTTCCAGTCAATGGCCGATAGATGGTTGCAAGCTTAGGCGTTGCTGCCATCGTTCTACATGTTGAACTTTACCTCGTACATGACCGAGAAGTGCATTTTGATGAGATGAACAATCGCTTTTGCAGAACTGGATAGACTCTGTCGCTAGTAGGAGCCCAATTCTCAACTTGCAACCTCCTACTTGTCAGGCTTGGCCGCTAGTTGTCGTTCTGCGTTGTGCTCCACATAACTAACCTGATGATAAGTCAACGAGGTTGTCAAACCACTTACTGATCAGTTGGTAGCAGGCAGGGTTGAGGCCTGCCCAAACATTTCCTTCCTGGTGCAATTTCAAATAAGGCGGGAGATCAGGCTGTAGTATTACCAATGGCCGGTTCCCAGGGAGTCCCAGACTTTGGGCGCCGTGTGCTCAAATGCATTTTTCACGGCCCTCTTCAGAAGTCTGCCCAAAGAAGAGGTGTACCTATTAGGCATGGCGCTTCAAGGTCCACTCTTTTTTGGGCCCTATCTGTAACCTCAAGCAGTACAACATTGCGTGCGCAATTTATGCCTGCCGTGTCGAAAAATAAATGTCATCAGTGCTATCCTCATTGCACTGGCCGCTCGGCTTAAAAGCTGGGCTAAGAATTTTGTCGGGCACCAAATATCGGAACTGCCTAATCAGGAACATCGATAAGAGATAAATGAGGAAAAAAATAACTTAGTCAAGCATGGTACCAGAGTCTGTGTGTATTATTGGAGCTGGAGTATTTGGCATCTCTACAGCAATTGCCTTGGGAAAGCGTTATCCCAACACCAAAGTCACGGTGATCGACCGGTTAGAGCCGCCTGTTATAGATGGCACCAGTGTCGACACCACAAGGTGTATCAGGGTTGACTACAAGGACCCTATTTACGCGGAGCTGGCACGCGAATCGATGGATATCATCATGAATGATCCTGAAGTGTCGCCGTTTTTCCACCAATGTGGCATGTCGTTTGTATACGACGGGGGAACTGACAAATGGGCCGATATCTGGATCAATGGTAAGATAGCTGCTGAAAAGGCCAATGAAGGACATCCTGGTAGACTGCGATACTACGATTCAAAAGAGGCGGTGTACAAGAGTATTCATGGCGCTGACGCCGAACCAGTTGCTTCAAACAGCCGGTGGAATAAAGGATACACCAACTACCTGAACGGCTTTATTGACGCCGAGAAAAGCATGAAAGCGTACTACGAACGCGCCAAGATGTACGGCAATGTGAGGTTTATCTTCAAAGAGGTGGACTCCATTGTGTACGCTCCGGGGTCGTGCAAGGCGGAAGGTGTCAAGTTGGTCGACGGGTCGACAATTGCAGCTGACCTCGTTATTGTGGCTGCCGGGGCCTGGAGCTGCAAGCTTGTCAATCTTGACGGGGTCTGCAAATCCTCGGCAATTGAGGTTGCCTGGTTTAAGGTGACCAAGGAGGAGGAGGACCAGTGGGGAAAGATGGCCATCACGACCAACCTGTCCACGGGAATTAACCTCTTTCCGCCGTACAATGGAGAGATCAAATGTCTGAGACGGTCGCCTGGGTATAAAAACACGATGAAGGTGCCAAATCCCAATCCGGCTAAGCAGGAGGCCTTGGAGATCTCCTATCCGCGGACTGTCGTCGACCATCCGACCGACTGGATCCCACAAGACGCCGAAGACGCTCTCCGCGAAAACCTGGCCGAGATCATGCCAGCGCTGGCAAAGAGACCGTTTGACCGCACCAAACTGTGCTGGCTCACACAGACCCCCTCAGCTAATTTTGTCATCGACTATCATCCGGAGCTGGAGGGCGTTCTGCTGGCCACGGGTGGCTCTGCGCACGCGTGGAAATTTGTCCCTATTTTGGGCGACAAAGTGGTGGACTACATGGAGGGAAAGCTGGAAGCAACTTTGAAAGACATGTGGTCGTTTGCAGAAAAGCTGAAGGTCACCGTGGACAATGGCTCTGCCCCTCGGATGGACGGCGAGCCTCAGGAGCTCCGTGAGGTGGTGAGAGAATGTCCAAATTGAACATATAGATCAAATTTATCTGATGTTGTGGCAGAGAGTGGCTGGTTTAGGATGTGCAGTAGCTTGGAGAGTCGTCTACGTAAATTTCGCGTGAAATACCAGCTTACTGGTGGCAACAAGCAGTGGAAGACGGTCCACCTCCAACCCGAAGGATGAGCTTGTGTGCAATCGGCTCAGGTTGCCTGTCACATTGCTTAACGAGGCTACAAACTACTAAGTGCGGAAGCAGGCTGAATGTGTCCATAGGGTACCGAGGTCAAATAAAACCGCTTCGAGTAAAACTCCTCTTGAGAAGTGTCGTCGCTCGTCAAACCTTGGAACTGTCTGACATATAGCCAGCATTTTTCACACTTGACTTCCGCATATGTAGTTATAGCTCCAAAGATCAAAACCAATAACTCCTGGCTATTGGATACACACAGTATAGCCTCATCAAAACGTTTTCTCCAAATACATGCTTTGATGTAGCTAGAAAAATCCCTTGTATATGTTTTGGCGAGGGCTGCAGCCGCACATTATTGTTTGAAGTGATGATCAATTTGAATTTTTGGCTCCCTTATGGTCAGCAACAACCGCAGCGCCCAAACATCTTGCTTGCATAGAAGTCGGAGCATGTGTTACAGTCTGGTCCAGGTATCGATGAAAGGAGGCCAAAAGTCGGTCGAATTTTCCAAGTCCTTCAAACTGATTGGCAATTATTTCATGTATGTAGGGTCCGTCGATCAGCGGGCTTGGAAAATTTTTATTCAATCTACTATTGACGGACAGCAAGCCCGAATTTATTATGCAGCTAAATTATTTTGCCTATTTGAAGAACTTGTCGTAGCCGGTCAGCACAGCTCTGAATTTGATATCACCGCTATCCACCTTCTCCCAGGCCTTTGTCACATTCTCCTCAGAGATGTCAAAGGTCTCAACCATAGGTTTGATATCGTGCTCAGCAGCAAGCTGGAACATGTACTCAATCTCCTTAGGAGACCCAATATCAGAACCACCAATATGGATGCAATTAAGGAGGTAGAACATGGGAACCAGCTCAAGCTTCACACCAGCAGGAGGCGCGGTGATGAAGGTGAAACGGCCGTCTGGCCTGAGCATGGAGATCACTTTGGTGAGAGACTCATGATCGAAGTCGGAGCCAGTATTGACAATCAGGTCCAAAGTGTCGTAGTTCTTTGATTCAAATCCTTCTTCACTTGTGGCAATGTAGTGGTCGGCACCAAGTTTCATAGCATACTCCTTCTTGCTGTATCCTCTCGAAATCACTGTCACTTCTGCTCCCAAAGCTTTGGCAAACATAACAGTCATGTGGCCAATGCCTCCAAATCCGTAAACACCGACCTTTGTGCCCTTCTTCACTCCGTAAGAGAGCAGTGGACGGAAACCAGTGATACCTCCACACAGCAAAGGGGCAGCGTGCTCTGTCTTCAACTTCTCTGGAATTGGGATCACAAACTTGCTGTTCACTCTGATGTGAGAAGCGTATCCACCTTGAACAAGCGTACCATCATCATAAGTGCTCAAGTACAAACTCTTTGACTTTCTGCAGGTGTTCTGGAGGTCATGGTCACATCTCCAACATTTACCACAACTGTCACACTCAGCCCCCACACCGACTCTGTCACCGATTTTGAACTTGGAGCTATCCACCCCCTCGCCCATAGCAACGATCTCGCCAATAATTTCATGACCGAAGGCTCTTGGAAGTGGCAGTTCTCCCCAATTGCCCTTACTGGCATGAATATCAGAGCCACAGATTCCACAGGCTAGAATCTTGATGTCCACATCCTGTGGCCTGGCTTTGTGGGGCTTGTAAGTGAACTGCTTGGCTTGCGGCCAGTCTTTTAAACTGTTAACAATTCCCACTGCTTTGATCTCGTCGATGGAAGACATTTTGTCAAGGCATTTTCAGGGTCTGCTTTCCAGACCCTTTTATATGGCTGAGCTTTCTGGATGTAAATCGGAGTTAGGAACGTCACTGGATTTAGTACGGAAGCACGACCATTTTTTTTCAAAATTCTATGCCGTGGGAAAATTAAAGTTGCAATTTCTTTGTCAGCATGATGCACATCGTCGGTTTTGTGCGCGGCTCACTGCGGTTCAAAATTTTATCATTGCTCTGAGTTCTAGTAAAATGAACGCTTAAAAAAGCACGTGACTTTATTTCCTGCTCAAACTCCGTTCACTCAGGTTTTAACACGGAATTAATATTTGAGATGGCCAGCAGTTTTCAAAGAGGGTTGAGTGAACTTGAGTCATCAACTACCCCATATTCCTTGCCACGTTTTTTAAGATAAGACTAGAGCTTTGTGCCAATTTCTTTTGCAAGTGCTCCATAATTGGTTTGGAATCAATAGGTGGGGCCATGATGTCCTGGGGCGTTCTTCGCGAAAGATTGAGAAGAACCTTGGCCATATCTGTCGAACCTGAACCCTTGAAGTGATTCCATATTACCATAACGGCCGTGTAAAGACACCAATCGTAGTGGAAGCAGCCGTCGGCTTGCCAGTAATCCAAGTTCAGATATCCCTCAATGATCATTTGCGAGGCGTGCCACACCGCTGTTCTTGTGTCTGCAAAGGTGGAGTCTCCTATTGGCAGCAGTTTCTTGGGCGATGCGAGGTTTGCTGAAAGTAGCAAATGTGCGTGCCGGTAGAGTGCTCCGACCGAAGTTGTGAACTGCATGAATACCGGATCGTTTTTGACGGTTTCGTTCATGGAACTAGGCCACCTGCTGAAATCATCGCTCCATTTCTCGAGTGCCGTCAATATCTGCAATTTCCAGCTGTTATCGTGGAAGCCAGGACTTGATTTTTGATGGTCCAGGAAAACGCTCAGTATACCATGCAGCAAAATCTGTTTCTGATGACCATCAGTAAGTAGCAGAGTATACTTTGAACTCAAGTACCCTTGCAGGGCCGCATTGAAAGTCACTGGCCTTGAGCGGCGCCTGAGAGTTAGCCATTCTTCAGCCGACGCCATCCACAATTGGAACGAAGACGGCATGTTACAACGGAGCTCGGAAGCCGACATTGTACTTCCACAACCAAAAAGCATGCTTTTCTGGACGTCGAGTTGGAGTGCAAGAAATGTAGCCCTGGTTCGACTTTCACTTACGATCCATTCGTGCCAGTTCGCTGTCTCAGGGGGGCACTCAAAATACCCATTTTCACGCAGAATGTGAGTGACCACTCCACTAAAAGCAAGCGCATGCTCGTGTTGCATCTTGTCACCAAAGAACAGTTTCACAAATTGGCACACAATCAAGGATTGTACTAGCTCTAGGTTGCCCCCCAGAAGCCCTGGAAGCTCAAAAAGCCGTTTTTCTAAAATTGCAACAAGCTTGGTAGCTATGGAATACTCTGCGCAAGATCCTGCCATAATAAGGCTTGTCAACAAATAAATACTTTCGGTAGTGAAACTCTGCACGTGAACCAAGGGATAGGTGAGATTGAAGCCGGAGAAAAAGTTCTCCAATGACCTTTGGACGGAAGACGAATCCAATATTCCACAGGAATTAACCGTCTCAAACATCATTTTTTCTGTCTCACATAAGCCCCGGACAAACCGCTGGACACGTTCCACTGTTGGCTGGTCCAAGGCTGGCATCGAGCAGTCCACCCTGGGATTCTCAAAATTGTATTTATTCCACACACTGCTGGACTTATGACTGAGCTTGAGCAGTTCTGGCTCTAGCATAGCTTCAAAATTGTGGCCTTCTGTTGTGTCGCTGTCGTTTTTCGAAAAGAGCCGTGTGTCTGTGGAGTCCGGCGAGCTGCCACTATCTTCTCCTTTGACGCGTTTTGTGTATCCTTCTTGAGGGCTCCAGAACTTCCGTCTTGTCACAAGCTCTCCGAGCCCCTCTCCGCCGGCCTCGATGTCTTTTTCCTTGTGTCTTTTCAGATGACGATCTTAAAATTAGTACATTAAATTATCTACTTACTCAAGCAATCTGACCGGCGAAAGGGCGCACCGCAACGTGTACAAACATGTTTCGTATCGCTGTGATTCACCATGTGACGTTTCAGATGGTCTTTGCGCTTGAACGCCTTGGGGCACTGATTGCAAGCAAACATTGTGTGGGAAAAAGGGGTTTTTCGCAAAGTGGGAAATATTAGTTTTAGGGACGCTTAGCTAAGCCGGCCCGTAAAAGCGCACCCTGACACCCTCGATCTACAACAGTGGAACGGCATGTGCAATTATACAAGTAGGATAGCGAAATCGATGCCGCTCGTCAGCTCACTGCCACATGCTGGGTCTCAGGTCGTCCCCCATTTGCGAATACACCTGCTGTGCCGATGCAAAAGGCCCCATTCCAGCAAGCCCTTCTTCCTTTATGTCCTTCAACGGATCCGGAAGCATGTCGCGAATATCCCGGCCCTGGGCGTCCACGAACCTGTCTCTGTCCTCGTTCATCTCCACCTCTCTTGTAGAGATCCTGTTCATCAGCTTGAGAAAGTTTGATTTCTGGAATTTGTCGCTGGTTTGCTTCGATATATCTGCCGGAGGCTGCGACATCGTTAGGAAGACAGACCGAGCCAGCTGGGCAAACTTAATCTTATCGTCCTCGTTCTGCGGTTTGACCTGCTCCGCCTGCTGCTCTTCCATCTTCTCGTCGTGCATCTCGTGTTCCAGCTCGTCGAAAGCAGCGTCCACAGCAGAAAAGTCTTCCCGGACAGTCGCAGCAGAGACGACCTGCGGTGCGAGCGATGTGGCAAGCTGCGGTGCGCCCGTGCGCATTCGGAAGGCCGAGGAATACGTGTCTGCCGTTTCCTGCTGCTGCTGCTGTTGTTGGCTCTGCGCAAATTCGTGTCGCCACTGCTGTGAGTGCAGAGATTGAGTCGGCACTTGTTGCAAATGCTGGGCCCCCGGCGTGTCGTGGAGGTTCATATCGCGAAAGTGGTTGACCCACTGGTTTTCCTCTATAAATGCGGGCGTCGGCAGAGTCTGGAAAGACGCCTGGTACGAAGGCGTTTGTTGTTGGAAAGCGCGGTACTCAGACTCGAGTTGTTGATCCACCGTCTGGTGGGGTTGAGCCTGCAAACGCTGGCTGTCGCTGTTCGCCCTTAGCTGGTTCGCGAGGGAGTTGTCCACGTTTGCTCGTTGTGTGAACTTGTTGAGCGCGTTGTTCGCGCCGCATGAATCCCCAAAGGCGTTGCTGAAGCTCATGGTGGTGACTGCTTGTGGAGAGATTTTTTTTTGGCAAATGGATTTAGTTGCTTCTTTCGGAACGGTGCGTCGATCGACGCAAATCATCCGTGCTTGTACTCGACAAGGGCATCGACGCGGTGGTTGGCGGTACTGAAGCTGCGGAACTTGACGCTCTCCGTCGCACCCGTAATCTCGTGTGCGCTCGAGTCCCCCCACTTTTCAGGAACGCGGCAATTAGGGTCGGCATACACAAGAACATTGAACGTGCACTCGTCCTCCAGCTCGGGCAGAAATGTCACCGACGCAGTGATCTGGCGGATGATTGCTTGGATCTCTCGCTGGATCTGTTCGTTCGTTTTGCTTTCCGTCTGCTCGGTGTCGGGCTTCTGTATATCTAGGTTGAACTGCCACTTTTCGACCGTCTCGCCCGTTTCTTTCGACACAATCGCCAAAACGAGCCGCGAGATAGAGCCTCCGTACACCCATTTATGCAGCTGTTTCATGATCTGCTTTACGTAAGACTGCAATTCGTCGTCTGTGGGAACAAGCATGTTGAGACCGTATTTCCTCACGGTCTGGAAGTCCTCGGGTGGGTAAATGCCACGCTGATACAGGATGCTATGAATGCTGTACTCGAAAAAGTCGGACACAATTCGTGACGATCCTTTCAGGGCGAGTTTGGAGCGAGTGGGCACCGAATCTGACATAAATTAAAATAAATATTTTTATTTCTCTATTTTTTTGTCTTATGGTAAGTATTGCTGGTACGTTTGCTAACCAAAGCATGGAGTGAAACGAACAAGGCTTACTAAGGACACGCGCTTGCAAAAGATCAAGAAAGACGCGGTGCGGATCACAAGGTACCGTTCTCTCACTGACCGTGTGCTTGCTAATAAGCAGAATCATGTTTACAATGAGAAAACGCTAGCCCAGACAGAACAGCTGCTGGATATTAATCCTGAATTATACACTATATGGAATTATAGGAGAGATATTCTATTAGAGCGGTTTAAAACATGCGATTCGGATGCAATTCACGACATTATGAAGAACGAGCTGGCGTTGAGTGTTGAGTATTTGAGACGGTTTCCCAAATGCTACTGGATTTGGAACCACCGCAAATGGTGTTTGGAGTACGACTGTCTGACCAATTGGGACGCCGAGATGGCGATGATTGACACTTTTTTAAAAGCAGACTCACGGAATTACCACGTGTGGCAATATCGACGGTACGTGGTGGACCGCATGAAACTGGGGCAAACGAGCCAAGAGCAACTGGACACAGATCTGCAAGAATTCAATTACACAACAAAAATGATCAACAGAGATATCTCCAACTATTCTGCGCTGCACAACCGGTCGCGGCTGGTGAAGATGCTATTCGAAAACTCCCCTGAGTCAGCAACAGTGTTCCATACGAAAAATAAATATGAGTTCCTTGTCCAGGAGTTCCAGATGATGAAAACCGCATTCTATACTGATCCTGACGACTCCTCTGTGTGGATATATCTCAAATGGCTGCTTGGTGACTACTTTATTGATAGCATCAGCAAGGAACAGGCCCGTCAGGTAGTGGAGACTGCAATTGCCGACATTAACGAATTGAACGAGCTCGAGCTCGAGGACAACGGTGTGGACAACCAGTGGTGTTTGAAAACGCTCGTTTTTCTTGAACAGCAGCTCAGAAAAGTCACCGGCGTGACAACGGGGCAGAAAAATGCTATTCTAAAAAAACTCATCGAGCAAGACCCCATGCGAATAAAAAGATACGAAAATTGCATGGATTGATTATTTGTCAAAAGGTCTTTCTGGCCTATGTTTGCGGTTCGGGTTGTAGGTGTGCTGATAATTCTTTTTAAAGGTTTTTCGCGGCGCAGCACGGTTATTAGATTGGTACGAAGAGTTCGGATGCGGACGTGGAGAGGGATTATTTGGCACTCCATGGGCAGGTGGCGCCCTGTAATTCTTCCCCGTGGGCTGTGTCGGTGCCTGTCTGAGCGCCGCAGCCTTTTGCTGAATGTACCTCTCCTTTTCGCTCGCGTACTGGCTCACTTCGTCCAGATACTTTTTCTTGCTGTACAGAAATCTGACCGAGCCTGTCTTGCCCACGTCGTAGTCGCGCAGTTTGAAGAAAAGATCTTCATCCAGGTTCCGGGGCGGTTGCAAGCCATTGGGTCTGTCGTCCTGGTGCAAGCTGATTTTGATGTTGAGAATAACGTCATTTATGATATGTTTGCTGTCAGTTCTCAATTTCAGCTGTTCCAGCGCGTCTCTCATGAACGACGTCTCGTAACTGTCGAGATAGTATTCCAAAAATTCATTAACTGCATTGTTGACCTCGTCCTTACGCGCATGGACAGCAACCTCGCGCTCATTGAGCAAACGCTCAACTTTTCTTTCCATATTTAGTTCGTTCCAGACAAGCAAGCTGGTGCGCAATACGACGATTGCGTTAAAGTTCGAGGGCCATTGCAGCGGCAATTCCGTCGCGTACAAGTCATTCAGCATCGACCAGCTCAGAAAACAGACCTCTCTGGGGATTCTGAAGTATTTGGCGTACTTGATGAGGAGCTCCTCGATCAGGAAATAACGGAAATCGAAAGCCCCAAATTCCATAAACTTTTTCTCCAAGCTCAGAAGTCGTTTTCGGTGTTCGTCTTGCTCCTGAGGCGTAGCCACGATGCCACGTAATTTGTATGCCTCGGAGATAACCAGGGAGAGTTTCTTGATGTAGTCGTTTTGTTTGAGCGAAATGAAAAGCGAGGTTATGCCGACGTCGTAGTGTGCACTGCCATACTTGGCAAAGCTGTTAAACATGTAGAACCGCTGGTAGTAATAGAAACAGCCCTGCAGAATTTTAGTGGGGAATTGGAGCACCTTGATCAGTTTGCATAGAAACTGGAAAACCTCTCTTTTCTTGACTTTGTAAGCTCTGGCCAGGCTGTCATCCTTCAAGCTGTTTTTGAAAAGATAGCTTATCTCGTCCTTGCTCAAATACGGTTTAGAGAGCTGAATCACCCCGACAAAATCGCCAGAGGCGTCAGGAGAGAGAGACATGCTAAAGAGCGAGAATTGATTATTTTATTAAGGACTAAGTTTTTTTGAAAACAATTTTTGGTCTACGGTTTGGTGCGAGGAGTCGGAGAAACGATTCGACCCCGGGGTACATGATCGGTGCCGTTTCCCCGCATTTTTATATTGCGGCTAGATACCCCCGACTTTGCCGCAGGCCAGACGACCCTCCGCGCGCTTCTTCCACAGGTCCAACAATATAAATTTGTCCCGAGTCGCAGCTTTCCAGCATACCTGCTTAAATTTTAGGTTTTTCTCTTGTAAAATGTCTACTGTTTTTGATGAAGTCTCTAAGCATACGCTTATCTCCATCGACACCATGTCCCAGGAGGACAAGGAATTCCTGATGAGAAAGTACAACATAGAGTTCCTGAATGCCACCAGTAATCAAGCTATCTGCTTTGCTAACTGGCAGCATCACCAGGAGGTTGTTTACGAGGCCATCAAATTAGTGAACAAGAAATTCGGAGATTCTGTCCCTCAATCGGCTTCCGCGTCCAACTTCAAAGAGTACATTCAGGCAATCAAGTACTACAGCACTGCCATCAGCGGCAGAAACCAACTGAAGGGTCTCAAGGGCTGTGTTTTGTCTCAAGTTACCCCTGAACATTTCTATGACGAAGAAGCCACCTACACCGGCGTCAAGAAGCTAATAGAAGCTTACGAGGATATTGGTGTCGACCGTTCTAAGGTCATTGTGAAACTCGGTACTTCCTACGAAACCATGCGGGCTGCTAAGAGACTGTTCAACGAGGACAAGATCCAGATTTTGGGAACCATGATTCACTCTTTAGAACAGGCTGTTCTTGCCGCGGAGGCCGATTGTGTTGCCATTTCGCCGTATGTAGACGATTTGAGCTACAATATTGACCCATCAGCGTACAAAGCTGAGCCATTGGAGAAGCATTATGGTTACAATCTCGCCGTCGCTATCCACAAGTACTACAGAGCCTACAACATCAAGACTGTCAATTGTGTTGCTGCCCAGATCGGTATTCTGCCAACTCTGGCTTTGGCTGGTGTTGATGAGATGACTCTGCCACCACCAACTTTGAACAAGATTCTCAACTCGCCGCTGCCGAGCGATTACAAAAGTCCTGTTCTGAAGCAGACCTACACTCCTGAGGAAGCTGGTGCAGAGTTGTCTTTTATCAACGACAAGGAGAAGTTCTACTCGCTTCTGAACAGCAATGCCACTGCCTTGAAGCGCATCAACGGTGCCAGGGACGTTTTTGTGGCATTCGACGCCAAGGCCAGCCAGTTGATTGAGACAGTTCTGAAGGAACTAAAATTAATCTAGGTAATCTTGTATAGCTAAAAAATGATCGACCCGTCGGTATAATTTTATTTTCTTATTTTCATTTCTTCAGTGGCAAACGGACAAAATGGTTAGTATGAATTCCTCCAAGTTAGCTAACAGTACAGGGACAAGATGCATCGATGCCTAGCGGCAAGAAGAAGGACCAAGACAAGAAAAAGGAGAAGCCGAAGTACGAGCCTCCTGTCCAGACGAAGACTTTTGGAAGAAAGAAACGTAAGGGACCAGATAATATCGCTAAGTTACCATCTGTGCTGCCGAACACGCGGTGTAAGCTCAAATTGCTCAAACTCGAACGGATCAAGGACCACTTGTTGCTTGAGGAAGAGTTTGTCACCAACCAGGAGATTTTGCAGCCTACAGAACAGAAGCAAGCAGAAGAGAGAGAAAAGATCGACGACATCAGAGGAACGCCAATGTCGATTGGAACGCTTGAAGAGATCATTGATGACGACCATGCCATTGTGTCGTCTTCTAGCGGCCCCGAGTACTACGTGTCGATCCTGTCGTTTGTGGACAAGGGACTTTTAGAGCCGGGATGTCAAGTACTTCTGCATCACAAGACTGTCTCCATTGTGGGAGTTCTACAAGATGAGACAGATCCGGTGGTGAACGTGATGAAGATGGACAAATCGCCGACCGAGTCGTATGCAGACATTGGAGGATTAGAGTCGCAGATCCAGGAGATCAAGGAGGCCGTCGAGCTGCCTCTGACACATCCAGAATTGTACGAGGAGATGGGTATCAAGCCGCCAAAGGGCGTGATATTGTACGGTGCGCCAGGTACGGGAAAAACTTTGCTAGCCAAGGCAGTGGCAAACCAGACGAGTGCGTCGTTCCTTAGAATTGTCGGTTCCGAGCTGATCCAGAAGTATCTGGGAGACGGCCCGCGCATGTGCAGACAGCTGTTCAAAGTGGCAAGCGAGAACGCTCCTTCAATTGTGTTTATTGACGAGATCGACGCGATTGGTTCTAAGAGATACGAATCCTCATCGGGAGGTGAGAGAGAGGTCCAGCGTACGATGCTGGAGCTACTGAACCAGCTGGACGGGTTCGACGACCGAGGTGATGTCAAGGTGATCATGGCTACAAATAAGATTGAGAGTCTGGACCCTGCGCTAATCAGACCGGGAAGAATCGACAGAAAGATCCTGTTCGAGAACCCAGACCCTGCCACAAAGAAGAAGATCCTGACCATTCACACCTCCAAGATGAACATCGCGCCCGACGTGGACCTAGACACATTGATCAACACCAAAGAAGACTTTTCTGGTGCAGACATCAAAGCCATCTGTACCGAGGCCGGGTTGCTGGCTCTGCGTGAGAGGCGGATGCAGGTGATTGCTGAGGACTTCAAGCAGGCCAAGGAGCGTGTTTTGAAGAACAAGATCGAGGAGAACCTCGAAGGCTTGTATTTGTAGCCTAATATAGCAAACTGAAAAATTCTTGTAGGTCCTTGGCTGACGCGCACGACTATTTTTATTTCTTCCACATCTCCGTTCTCCATTATCATCCGAGAACCTCAGGAACGACCGCGAATCTGGCCGCATAGTCATAATTGCTGCTGTTTATACGATTGTTTGATACTTGAGGATCAGTTTGGCATGTCTAAGCCCTCCCCGTCGCCCAAGGACGTGGTGAAATACTTAAAGAGAAGATCTGGTGACCTTTTGCATTTGCACAGCGACAGCGGCATGAAACCGGTGGAAGAACACGCCGACGTCAAGTCGGGGCCTTGTAATAGACTGTCGTTCGACGTTGGTGTCTGCGAAAACCGAAATTCGAGGTACAGACCCAGTATGGAGGACGTTCACACGTATGTGGCAAACTTTGCTGAGAGGCTGGACTGGGGGTATTTTGCGGTGTTCGATGGCCACGCGGGCAAAAATGCTGCGAGGTGGTGCGGTTCGAATCTGCACAACATCCTCGTGGAGAAGATAATGGATGATGACAACGTGGACCTGCGCGAGAACCTGAACAACAGTTTTCTGGAGGCAGACGTGCAGATGGAGCGCGAAGTACAAGGCTCGAGCGGATGCACTGCCGCGGTGGCGGTGCTGCGATGGGAGGAGGAGATTGACGATTCCGAGAGCGAGGACGAGATCGACCCAAAGACGACGCCGTTCGACTTCGTCCCCACCAAGAAACACAAACGAATGCTCTACACAGCCAACGTGGGAGACTCGCGGATTGTGCTGTGTCGCGGGGGACGAGCTGTGCGGCTCTCGTACGACCACAAATCATCAGATAAGCTGGAGCAGCAGCGGATCGTGAACAGCGGTGGAATAATGCTCAAGAATCGCGTGAACGGCGTTTTGGCCGTGACGCGCTCGCTCGGCGACGTTTACATGAAAAGTCTCGTGATAGGTGCTCCCTTCACGACATGCACAGAGTTGACCGAACAGGACGATTTTTTGATACTGGCATGCGACGGATTGTGGGACGTTTGCTCTGACCAGGACGCCGTGGACCTCATTAAGGACGAGATGGACCCGTACAAGGCAAGCGACACGCTGTGCAAGCTTGCTATCAGTAAGATGAGCACCGACAACGTGACGGCCATGGTGGTGCGGTTTGACACAAGGGTGTTCGCCTATAGCGAGCCGCGCCGCCGCGCAGAGTGATTTTCGCCGTTGCCCGCCTGAGATAATTTCGCCTAGAAAAAATAATTATGAATAGAAATGAATGGCCTTTTGCACTTAGTCTTCCTAAATTACAATTAATGGAGCGTTTCACGGTTCAGCTAGCCAACGTCCATTGTGACGAGTGCTCAATAAGCATCCACCGCGCTCTCAAGGACATCTTTGATGTAACAGAGTTCAATAGAATTGTGTGCCATGACAGAACAGCAGATAAGACAAAGCCCCCAGTTGTTGTGTTTCTGACCGACGGCGAGCTCACGATTGTTGGTCCAGGCGCCGATCTTGCAGCTAACGAGGCCCGTGTGCTGCGCAAGTTGGAAAGCTGCGGCTTTGATGTCATCTCTTGGGACATATCCAATGACCAATCCAGGCCCTCGTGGACAGAGCCGATCAGTCTGGTTTTGCTCAAGGCAAAACGAATCTTGGCCACCAGCAAGCGCGAAAAACACCATCGTGAACACTGCAAGAAGTGTCGCGAGGAGTATGAGCAGCATGGGGAGCCCGATCTGCTGAAACGGCTGAAACGGCTGAAACGCAATACCCAGTCGGATTCAGAGGACAGTACCGTTGTGGACGTGGAGGTGAAGGCAGAGCCACTCAAGGAATACCGTGCGCTGCTCAGCATCCAAGGAATGACGTGCGCATCGTGCGTCGGCAGCATTGAGGCTGCCATAAGTCAGTGTCTGCAGAGCCTTGGTGTGCCGCTTACGGAAAACGACAAGCCTGTTTTCCAAGTGTCGCTCGTGGACAGCGTGTGCACCGTGTTGCTGCCCGACCGCCAGTATGTGAATCACGTGATCAAGGCTGTGCGGGAGACTGGGTTCGAGTGCACGCTGCTGGAGATGCTGCCGATCGAGCGCTCGCAGAAATACGAGGTGGTGACGCTGATTGGCGGGATGACCTGCAGCGCGTGCGCGCAGACGATCAGCCAGGCGGTCGACGAGAACTGCTCGTTTGTGCTGGAGTGCAACATCAACATCGTCAACAAGCAGGGCCTGTTTATCCTGGAGTCAGCGAGCGACGCAGACCTGCAGCGGCTCCGGCAATGCGTAGAGGACGTTGGGTACGAGTTTGAGGTGCTGAGTGTGCGGGAGATCAGCCACGCAGCCACCAAGACCCGCTCGCGCACCGTCAACCTCAAGGTCAGCGGCATGTACTGCGAACACTGTCCGGAGATCATCAACAAGAAGCTGAATGAGTACGGCGACGTGATTGTGGTGAATGACCCGATCAGCCTGAACCACCCGTACGTCAAGTTCACGTATGTGCCGAACCCGCCGCAGCTGACGATCCGCAAAATCGTCGACGAGATCAATGGGTTGAGCGACAAGTTCCAGCTCGAGATTGTGCGCGTGGCGTCCGTGGAGGAGCACCTGACGCAGCTGGCGCGGCGGGAGCTGTGGCGCATTGTGCGCAAGCTTGTGCTGTCGACGGTCGTGGCGGTGCCTACGTTTGTGTTTGGCATTGTGGGCATGTCGCTGCTGCCAAAGCACAACGCCTTTCGAATGTGGCTGATGCAACCGCTGTGGCGCGGCAACGTCTCACGAGTGGTCTGGATCCTCTTCTTTCTGGCCACGCCGGTGTACTTTTTCGGCGCCAGCATGTTCCATCTCAAGGCTTTGCGGGAGGTCCGTGCGCTGTGGAAGCGCAGTGTTCCGTGGGGCCGGCGACTGCTGCGTTTCGGGTCAATGAATCTCCTGATGTCTTTGGGCACGACAGTGGCCTATGTTGCCAGCATTGCGATGCTGGCATTGTCTGCGCATGCGCCGCGGGGCAGCGACGGGTTTACAACGACCTATTTCGACTCGGTGGTCTTTTTGACATTTTTTCTGAGCATCGGCAAGCTGCTAGAGAGCTGGTCCAAGTCCAAGACGGCCAACGCTGTCAGCCAGCTGAGCGGGTTCAAAGCCACGGAGGCCACGTTGGTGGAGGACGGTGCTGAGCGCGAAATTGGCGTCGATTACCTTGAGCTTGGCGACACCATTGCAATAAAGCCTGGAGACTCGCCTCCCGTTGACTGCATCATCGTCGAGGGGGAGGCCGATTTCGACGAGAGCATGCTGACCGGCGAGTCGCAGGCGATCCACCACGTTAAGGGCGATCAGATATTTGCCGGGACTGTCAGCCAGGGCCCTGGGACCGTGCGTGCGCAGATCTCGGCCTTGCAGGGCAATTCGCTTTTGGACCAGATTGTTGACATTGTGCGCAACGGCCAGCTTAATAAGTCGCCGATCGAAAAACTTGCCGACAAACTCACCAGCTATTTTGTTCCCGTTGTGTGTCTAATCTCGCTGATTGTCTGGATAATCTGGCTCGTTCTTGGATACACTGTCCTTCCGCCAAGCTATCTAGACATTGACGTGGGTGGCTGGGCAGTGTGGTCCCTGCAGTTCTCCATTGCTGTTTTTGTCATTGCGTGTCCGTGTGGTCTTGGGCTTGCTGCGCCGACGGCGTTGTTTGTCGGGTCCGGACTGGCCGCCAAAAACGGCATTTTGGTCCGCGGCGGCGGCGCCTCGTTCCAGCAGGCAGCAAACGTCGAAGTGGTGTGTTTTGACAAGACCGGAACGCTCACCAGGGCAGAAATTAAGGTCACCGACCACCACGTCTCTGGTGACTTTGCGCTCGCTATCCAGCTCGCCAGAGACCTTGAACTGGGCTCCAAACACCCACTTGCCGCTGCCGTGCGGAATTTTGCCTTGGAAAGTGCCAACAGCCGCGGCATCGAGCTGGGAACCAGGCTTGTCACAAAAGTCGAGGAAGAGAGCGGCCGCGGTGTGTTCGGCGACTATGAAGACAAGCGTGCGCTTCTGGGTAACGAGAAAATGATGGCCGAACATGGCGTGCTTTTGACGGACGAGAATATGCGGCTTCTAGAGGAGTGGAAGAAGCAGGGCAAGAGCGTCGTTTGCGTGGCTGTCGATAAACAGCTTTTGATGCTGCTTGCGGCCCGCGACGAGGTGCGGCCGGAGGCAAAAGCCGTCATCGAAGACCTCCGCCGGCGCGGCGTAGATGTGTACATGATAAGCGGCGACAACCACCTCACCGCAGAGGCCATTGCCCGCGAGGTTGGCATCGCTGCTGATCACGTGATTGCAAATGTGCTTCCTCAGGGCAAGTCGGACAAGATCAAGTGGTTGCAACAAACGTACCACGGCGTGCCAAACAAGCCTACAAAGCCAGCAGTGGTTGCTATGGTTGGTGACGGCATCAACGATGCGCCTGCGCTCGCGACGGCGGACATTGGTGTCGCCATGGGCTCGGGGTCGGATCTGGCCTTGAGCTCGTGCGATTTTGTCCTTTTGTCGCAGAAACAGCCACTCAAGCAGCTGCAAATCCTGCTCCAGCTGTCGCACAAAGTGATCAACCGTGTCAAATTCAACTTTGGCTGGGCACTGGTCTACAATGTGATTGGAATCCCGATCGCTGCAGGGGTTATTTATCCGTACCATAACTCGCGTCTGAGTCCTACGTGGTCGAGTTTAGCCATGGCTTGTTCGAGCGTGAGTGTTTTATGCAGCAGTCTGGCACTCAGATGGGAAAGCCGGTTCTGGGGATGGCGTTCGGAATGATTTACCAAAATCTTATGATACTCTATAATTACTATAAGCAGAATATTAAATATGTCAAAAATGCCTGTATATTTTTTTATTTCGAGGCTGCGTACTTGAAGCCGGGCCCGGAAACGCGAAAGGACAGTTGGAAATGAGTACCATTACCGGTACCGGCGGACTTGGCCGCACTGCTGGGTACAGGGCTTCCTGCGTCCCTTCATCGTCTCTCTACTTGAACGAAGCTGCCATGACCTACTGGGGTCCCACCCCCGTTTGTGTACCGGCTATAGACACCCCATATCCGAAGTTACAAATTCGCGAAATTCCATTGGCCCGTGGTTTCTCCTCCGTAAGTTCTCCGATCGACCTGATTATGTAAAAACCCCAAGGAAAAAAGTCCTCACGAAAAACTCACCTTGTTAATTTACCATGCTTTCCCTGAAATCACGTATCGCTGGACGCCGGTTGTTCTCGTCCTCGAGATCGACTGCACAGGTGATTACCAAGTACAATAATCTCAATGGCAAAACGGCTTCTTCTGCCATGGCCAAGGAATATCACATCATCGATCACGAGTACGATGCTGTGGTGATTGGTGCCGGTGGTGCCGGTCTTCGTGCAGCCTTCGGTCTTGTCCAAGAGGGCTTCAAGGTCGCCTGCATCTCGAAGCTTTTTCCAACAAGATCGCACACCGTTGCTGCTCAAGGTGGTATTAATGCGGCCCTGGGAAACATGCACCCTGACGAATGGAGATGGCACATGTATGACACAGTGAAAGGTTCCGATTGGCTTGGTGACCAGGACGCTATCCACTACATGACCAGAGAGGCTCCAGACTCGATTATTGAGCTTGAACACTACGGTCTGCCCTTCTCCAGAAACAAGGAGGGAAAGATCTATCAGAGAGCTTTTGGTGGTCAATCCAAGGAGTTTGGTAAGGGAGGACAGGCTTACAGAACCTGTGCCGTTGCGGACAGAACCGGACATGCACTGCTGCACACACTGTACGGTCAATCGCTCAGATACGACACCCACTACTTCATCGAGTTCTTTGCCATGGACCTGTTGATGCACGACGGAAGATGTGTGGGATGCATTGCTTACAACGAGGAGGACGGTACTTTGCACAGATTCAAGGCTAACAACACAGTCATTGCCACTGGTGGATATGGTAGAGCCTACTTCTCTTGTACCTCTGCTCACACCTGTACTGGTGATGGATACGCCATGGTCAGCAGAGCTGGCTTGCCATTGGAGGATCTGGAGTTTGTGCAGTTCCACCCATCTGGTATTTATGGTTCTGGATGTCTGATCACCGAGGGTGCCAGAGGTGAGGGTGGATTCCTGGTGAACAGCGAGGGTGAGAGATTCATGGAAAGATACGCTCCAACTGCCAAGGATCTTGCTTCTAGAGACGTTGTTTCGAGAGCCATCACCATGGAAATCAACGCCGGAAGGGGTGTGGGCCCTCACAAAGACCACATGTTCCTTCAACTGTCCCACCTGCCTCCATCTGTGCTGAAGGAGAGACTCCCAGGTATTTCTGAGACTGCCCACATTTTCGCAGGTGTCGACGTCACCAAGGAGCCAATTCCAATTCTGCCAACTGTGCACTACAACATGGGTGGTATCCCAACTAAGTACACGGGAGAGGTTCTTACGCAGAACGAAAAGGGTGAGGACGTCGTGGTTCCAGGTCTCTTCGCATGTGGTGAGGCTGCCTGCGCCTCTGTGCACGGAGCCAACCGTTTGGGTGCCAACTCCTTGCTGGACCTGGTCGTCTTCGGAAGAGCCGTTTCGCACACTATCAGAGATAAGTTTAGCCCTGGTGCACCATTGCCAGAGCTTCCAAACGATATTGGTCACGAGTCCGTTGCCAACCTTGATAGGCTAAGAAATGCCGACGGAGATGTCACCACTGCCGAACTAAGACTCGAGATGCAAAAGAGCATGCAAAAGCACGTCGCCGTGTTTAGAGAGCAAAAGACTTTGGACGAAGGTGTGGAACAAATGAGTAAGATCGATGCCAAGTTTGACAGAATCAAAACCACCGACAGATCAATGATCTGGAACTCGGACTTGGTTGAGACTTTGGAATTGCAAAACCTGCTCACCTGTGCTAGACAGACTGCCACTGCAGCTGCAGCAAGAAAGGAGAGTAGAGGTGCCCACGCCAGAGATGACTACCCAGAAAGAGACGATGAGAACTGGCGCAAACACACTCTTTCATGGCAGGAGGGCCATGGAAAGGACGTTAAGCTTGGATACAGAGCTGTGATTGCCACGACTCTTGATGAAGCTGAATGTAAACCAGTTCCTCCAGCGAAGAGAGTTTACTAGGTATTTATTATAAAGAATATGTGAATGAAAAAAGTATTCGAAATCAATCTTTGCTTAGATAATCCAGCATATAGAAGAAAAAAATTGAAAAAATATATCGATTGTTTCCATGTTCCAACTCTCGGTGATTTCTGATCTCATCCGAATATCGCCGCACTTGTTCCATCTTCCAATCGAAGAGGCAGTCCAAAATGAGCTAAACATCAAATACGCTAATAAAGTCATCCACAAACTTGGATTGGTGGTCGCGGTTTGGGATCTTCTACAAGTGGATGATGGTTTACTTAAACCAGGAGACGGTGCAGTGTTTATCAACGTGCGATTCCGCATTGTTGTCTTCAAACCAGTGGTGGGAGAAGTCCTCACCGGCTGGATCGAAAGCTGCAGCGACGAAGGAATAAAGGTCAATATGAATTTCTTTAACGACATTTTCATTCCGAAAAATTACATGTTTGAAGGCTCGTACTATTCCGCCGATGATAACGCATGGATCTGGCAAATGGATGAAGAAACAAAGCTGTACCTCGACATCAATGAAAAAATCAATTTCCGCATTGAAAAAGAGGTTTTCAATGACGTGCGACCAACAGGACCAGACAACTCGCTTACTTCTCTAACCGCAGATGACCAAACCAACGGAGTCGACACTGAAGACCGCAAAGTGCCGCCTTACGCACTCATAGCTAGCTGCCAGACCGATGGCATGGGCTGTGTTAGCTGGTGGGAGTGATGGATATTTCTCACGATTAATTGTATTGCATGTATCTCGACGTCGAGCTGAACTTCATGTTTCCCTTTATGACTTTCTCAACAGCTTGTAGGAAATCTTTCTCGGTAGCAACCTTTCGTCTGGAACGAATTGCGAACATACCAGCCTCTGTACACACTGACCGCAGCTCAGCTCCGGTAGCGTTTGGACAGAGTCTGGAAATCAACTCCCAACGAATGTCACGCTCACAGGACATCGACTTAGAGTGGATACGGAAAATATTTGCGCGGCCTTCAAGGTCAGGCAGCGAAAACTCAACCTTTCTATCAATTCTTCCTGGTCTCAGCAACGCAGGGTCCAATGTGTTTGGTCTATTCGTGGCAAACATCACCTTAATGTTTCCTCTAGGGTCGAATCCGTCTAGCTGAGTAATCAACTCTAACATAGTTCTCTGGACTTCATTATCTCCGCCGGCTCCATCGTCAAACCTGGCTCCTCCAATGGCATCAACTTCATCGAAAAAAATGATGCATGCTTTCTTTGTTCTCGCCATTTCAAACAGTTCTCTCACCATTCTTGCACCTTCACCAACGTACTTTTGAACAAGCTCGGATCCGATGACTCTGATGAAAGTAGCGTCTGTTCTGTTTGCCACGGCACGAGCACACAGTGTCTTCCCCGTTCCTGGCGGGCCGTAAAGCAAAATACCTTTTGGAGGGTCAATTCCCAGCTTGACAAATCGTTCCGGGGACAGCAGCGGAAGTTCCACGACTTCTCTAAGCTTTTCAATTTGTTCTTTACAGCCTCCAACGTCACTATAAGTCACGTCCGGCTTCTCTTCCACTGTCATCATCGTCACACTAGGGTCAATTCTAGGAGGAAGAGGCAATTGAATCTCGTACTTTGTCCTGTCCACACCAACTCTCATTCCTTCTTCAATGTCTGTTGGTGAGACTCTTTCACCGAGTCCAACCACAAACTTTGCAATTTGTTTGATGTTTATCACGTATTTGGTCTTGCCATCGGCTTCCTCCTCTGCAGAAGGCTCGATCATCTTCGTACACCTTGCAACTTGCAAGGGCTGTTCTTCGCTCATTCTTTTGCGATCCGCGGCTACATCCCATAGGTTGGGGCTAGCAAGTCCTGTGTCAGACTCCTCAACGCCGATTTTCTCCTTAATGCGTGTCTCCAGCTCCTTAAGATCCTTTTCAATCTCGCGGATCGACTGACTGTATGGGGCGGCACCGTAAGTCTTAAGCACCTGGATATCACCTTCACTCAATGGGGTGATTTTATCCTCTTTCTTCTCTTCTTCGGGATCGTCCACGGGCTTTTTGTACTTTTCCCAGTCTTCTTTGGCGGCCATGCTTGGTTTAAACTTGTTACTTTTTTGCCATCGAAATTTATTTATTTAGTTTTCTAAACACCTTTACACCACACTTCAGAACACCTTGAGCAGTAGCTGTGCTCCCTTGTTGGAGTCGTCCTGTTTCTTGATCAGCTTGTCCATCTTTTTTAGTTTCTTCGGGAAAGAGTGCTTATTGGTATCCTTCAAACATTCAAACAAAGCAACAAGAACAAAACAACCCTGATTGTCGTTGATCCATGATTTAAGAACCTCTTCGTTTTCTCCATTTTCAAAGACTCTCTCGACAAAGCTGGACGCGAATTCCGCACCAATTCCAATGCCGTCCACCACGTCAACTTTCTTCTCCTTGTTGTTCCATTTCCCACCCTGAATAAGCGTCTTCACAAGTCTAGGAGTGAACGGTTTGTTCAATAGATGCTCTTGCCCAAGCTCCTCCTTCATCCCGTCGATTATTATGTCCAGAGCCTGTTGTCTATACTCCTGTGCCTCCTGAGGGAACTCGTTGTTCAGAAGAAGCTCCAGAATAAACTGAGCACCAAGATTCTCGTGCAGAATGACCGGCTTGTGCAAAAATGTGTCGTAAAAGATAGGAAGGAAGTTCTTGAGCAGTTCCTTACGACGTTGGTCCTGTGGCTTCTTGGACGTCTCCGCAGCCATTGCTGTATATTTGTCAACGTCCTTCAGAACCAAAGGGGAGAAATAAGAGCGGTCAAGTCCGTTGAGCAAGTACACAAACGGTCTTCTGGAAAACTTGCCAACCATGATTTTGTCGAAGCTGTCTTTCAAAGCGCCCGAAAACGTTCTGTTAACAAGAACAGTATCGTCAACCGTCATGAAAATGACTTGCAGCACAAACTGACCGTGTTCGTTGGTGGCCAGCGCCTCAGCATGGGTTTTCAAGCCTTTCAAAATAGCCTTTCTCTCCTTAGCATTAGCCTTAGCAACCAGGGTGCAAGCGACCTCGCAGCCTTCAGGAGTGTGCACCAGCTCTGCGACCTGATCCTGTAACAGCTCAATAAACGCGCGCACTTCTTCGTTTTCGAAAATCTGCACATACTCGCGCATGACAGCATGGAGAATCTGGAAACCGGTGGACCCCTTCTCCACAGATCCACGGATGGTTGTGATAAGATTGTTGGCAATCAGGGCTCTTTTCTCAGCAGAGTCAGCACACACCTCCTTGATGGTACGCGTATCGTTAGGGTCACGGAACACAGCATACTCAGAGCCCCAAAACTCCCGAATCATTTGAGATTTCTGTTTCGCGGTCGCATAGAGCACATACAGGTCCTCCACCACGTAGGCACCTTCTCTATGACGAATCAATTTGCGAAGCTTTCCGTGAAGCTCAGACAGAATAAGCTCTCTTGATTCTTTGGAGCCATAGTGAAGCAACTTTACCAGCAGATACTTTCCGTAGGCAGAGGTAGCAAGATTGTAGAAATTGCCTTTGAGAGCTCTCGTTATAATCTCACGACGCTCTTTCGAACAGTACTTTACAAGAGTCTGGACCACACGTGAGGCATCGTGTTTGAGAACCAGATCGCCAATCACGTCCTTGGATAGCTCCCATGTCTCATCGCAGAGCTTGTCTCGAATCTCCTTTGGCATTGGAGGGTTCTTCACCCTCAATTTCTCCCAAAGACGTTTGATGTTCTCCACTTGAGTACCTGACTTACGTTTCAATTTTCTCTCTGACAAAAGCTTTTTCTGTTCCTGTCTGGATGGTCTATTATCGTCACCGTTTTCTTTATTGTTAGTGGACTCGCTTTGTTGATCGCTTTGTTCGTCGTAGCTGTGGGGATCCAGTTCATCTAACTGATCTTCAGACTCATCCTGGGAATCCTCTGGATCAATTTTGGCCTTCTTCACCTTGACAACAGTCTCCTCTGCAACTCTTTTCTTTACCATGCTGATTCAAATTTATTTTTTCAAACTAAAAATTTTTTGTTTCCTATGGCTGTGCAAGGAATTTTTCAATAAATTGCACAGTCTGGGGATTGGTATATTCTTGCACCTCTTTTGCAGAGGCATCTGCGGTCTCTGAAAACTGGCTATTAATCTGCAGCAGTTCACGGTATTTGTGACTTTCAAGATCCTCTAGCAGTTTGCGTTGGCGATCACACTCCCTATGCAGTGTGATGATTAAATCCTCCGGGAGATCCAATCCAGCCGACTCTATGTCTTTCCGGTAGCGTTCAACGGTTCTTAGTATGCTAATGTATTCAGGGTCGTAGAAGAAATCCAATCCTTCAAGTTTGGGCGGCACATCCTGCTGAGCCAAACGGAAGACCTCCATGAACTTGCGCCGCGGTAGGCATTTGTCCAGCGCAAGAAACCTTGTTGGAAGGTCATCAGTCTCCTCCGAAGCATCAGTGAGCTCAAGCTCAATCTCCTCCTTGTTTATTTTCTCGTTTTCTCGGCAGCTTTTCCATGGAACAGTGGCCTCAAATTTAACGTGCATGTGTGCGCTAAACCAGTGGCTAGGTCGCAAATGGCGGAGGAGGCCCATCAAAGGAGGCGATCCCAGCTGATGTTTTTCCATGTCACTTTTGAAAAACGGTTTGCACCGCAAAAGCTGGTCTTTTCTGCCGTACTCGTATATTCCTTCAGGCCAGTCGTGTGACACCATGATGGTTTCGTTTGAAGGTCTCAAGAGCTGCAGCGCCGTCACCTCGGTCTTTCTATAATGATACACAGATCTAATGGTAGATCTGTCGTAAGGAAGGGATTCTTTGCGCGGTTTAAGAAAATTTGTCTCGTTGTAAATCCCTGATATTCCTGCTATTCTCAGGCCCTTGTACCATACGACTCCATATCGCCCAAGATAATATATGTTCGGGGCCACAAAGCCGCCATAGCGCAGTTCCGAGAGATAGTTTGAAGCCTCGTGGTTACCCCCTACAAAAATGGTCATCACAGGTGCGTGTCGACGACCAGTGTAGTAGTCTTGAAAATCGCCCATTTGTCGATATTTCTGGGGAACGGCAAGACATTCCAGGTCTGCGTGGTTCCTCACGCTCTGAAAATCTCCACAGATTATCAGAAGGTCAACTGCTTTTGGTAGGGCTTTATAAATCGCGTTTAGCTGCCCGTGACAGCACCCTTCAACGGCCACGGTGAGCATATATTTAGATTAAATAAAATTTAGTTTTTCTTACCAAAAAATGACATTAGCGAAACCTGCTTCTTGGTGTTTGCTTTTTCCGTATTCTTCGAGATTGTGTGTCCTTTCTTTGCGGGCGGGTGCGTAGCAGACCGCTTGGCCGACGGCTGTTTGGTGGTCACCAAATATCCGTCCTCATCGTAGACTGGTTCTGGCGGGGCGTCTTTCTTCTCGACCTGCGCAGTAGCAGGCTCTGATGTCTCCTCCTCGGCTGGTTTATCTGCCTTTTTCGCTGGCTGCTGCTGCTCCGCGGTTTCTGTTTCTGCTGGAATATCCACGTCCAAGGGCTCATCGATTGGTTCTTCATCAGAGAAATCCACATCGTCGTCGCTGTTTTCGAATAGCTTGGTGAGCTTCGACTTGACTTCGCTCTTGGTTTTCTTCTTCGGCGGCTCTGTGGACTGTATTGGCTTATCCAAGGTTCGCTTAGCCTGCTGTTTTATCTCTGGACCTTTCTTTCTCGAGGTATAAAGTGAGCTCAGCCTGCTGGCGCCAATGTCTTTGGCTGCTGGTTTGGCTTCGTGCGGCTTGGCTTCTGTTTTGAGAGGTTCACTCATGGCATTGCGCTGCACAGGCCGGGCCAATGTCTCGTGTTCCTGCTTCTTTGCAATCTTCTGCGCGGAGGAAGTCTGGATTACGCCCCATTTGACACAGTTCTCTGGCGTATACTCTTTATCTATTGTCGTGTTGATTGCAACCACGGTGTCCAGCGCAACTTGTCCCATGTTCAGACTGTAAATCGAGACAGAGTCTATCTTCTCGAGTTCTGCCTTGCCAATCTCAATGTCCTGCCCAGAAACAAGCTTTACGTAGCGCATATTCCCAGCACGGCCCGTCACCGTGTAGTAGCTGCTCAAGTCTGGCTTTTCGTGTTTAAATTGGTCGTAGAACTCCTGAAGCACCTGTTTGGCCTTGTTCGATGAGATATCCTTCCATCGTGCAAGATACTTGTAAGTGATGGGTTTTTTTTCCACAAACAAATGTGTGTTGATCTCCTCGAACATGGCGTACGCGTGTGGAAAAATACAAAAATTTATTTCAAATTATAATCTCATGGTCGAATTAGACTGGAACAATATTCCCAAAGATCTTTGTCCGGTTTGCAAAACCGACAAGTATCTGTCGCCCACACTGCAATTCAAAATCAACCCCGAGTGCTACCACAAGATCTGCGACTCATGTGTGGACCGGATATTCTCTCTTGGGCCGTCGCCATGTCCATACCCCAACTGTGGCAAAATCCTGCGAAAAAACAGATTCAAGACACAGATATTTGACGACGTCGACGTTGAGCGCGAATGCGACGTGCGCAAGAGAGTGGTGTCTGTGTTCAACAAGACCCAGGAGGATTTCAAATCGCTGGACGAGTACAATGCCTACCTTGAGGAGATAGAGGACTACGTTTACAAGTTGGTCAATAAGATCGATGTTGAGCAGACTGAACAAAAGTTGAAGGAGTATCAGCAGGCGCACAAACATGACATTGAAATGAGCAACAACCAGCGCGACCAGGAATACGAGAAATTCCTCAAACTCCAGAACTTGGAGAAACGATACAAGGCTGAGAAAAATAAAATCAATAGGGAGATCATCAAGGAGGAACAGAACCTCAAGAATTTGAGTAAGTTGGAGGTCATTAACCAACTGCAGACCGCCTCAGGCGAGAGGGATGCAGACAAGATCATCGCCAACGTGCGCGATTCGATGATCAGCAAAACCAGCAGCTACAAGGAGCAACTCGAGGAGCTGGAAAAAACATACCAGGAGCAGAGAGAAAAAATCATCAATGGCCTGGACGAGCTCAAAGAGGAGGAGAAGCCCAAGCTGCCCTTCACGCCTTTCAATGGCGACCGCGTGGTATCTCCTCCGTACGAGTATGGAGAGTACAAGGACCCGTTCTTGCTCAAGCTCGTGGACGATGTACAGTACAAGGCTGGGGGTTACAAAATCGATTTTTACTTCCACAAGTCGCTTAATGACGCTTTCACCGGGCTCCGTTGCATAATAGAAGAGGAAAAAGAGACAGTGGATCAGGTTATGGGGTAAATAGTTCTATTAATTAGTTCGCACTGGTTCTTGCTCCGGAACCCGATTTAATCAACTCAAGCGTCTCCTCGGAGATTTCCACCTCGGGAAGAGCGATCTCGCCTCTGCGTGGAGGTGGCAAGAATCCGATCTTGACCAGATAGCTCACGTACTTCGCCAACACGTCCATTGTGACCCCAGCACCGGCAGACCGGTCCTCGCCACTAAGTTTAGCGTCGGCAATCAGGCTCTCCACAGCGTTTTTGTCACACAGTTCTGGAGCCTTGGTATCCTGAGGCAAGTTATCGAGGACAAAGTGCAACAGTGGATAAAGAGCGTTGTCCTTTCCCTCGTCGACCACGTACCGCTCCAGCGACTTGGTCCATTGCAAGTAGTCCGCCCGCTTGACGTCGTAGCCGAACTTTTGCAACGCTCCAAGCATCTCATTGAATCTGATACGCGGATGGCCGGTCACGTGAACAACAGGAAGGGAAGCAGCCGAAGGCGGGTGCAGAGCAGCAGCCACAACAACACGAGCAACGTGGTCCACAGGAACGGTGTTGACGTTATTGGAGATATCTGGGTACTCGCCGACCTCGACACAGCCCTTGAGCATTCTCAGAAGGAAGTCGTCCGTGTTGGCAGCACCGGTCTGGGAGAAGCCTTGAACATAGCCTGGTCTGATAACCGCGCCTCTGAGTCCCTTCTCGCCGGCCTTTCTGATGATATACTCTGCAGCCCATTTCGATTGGCCGTATCCCGTGCCGAGTCCCTTGGCCGCTCCCATCAGGTCATCGTCCTCTGGAATTCCGCTCTTTCCTTCGTCCACAAGCTTGTCGGAGAGAGAGACGTAGTGAGGAACGTCGATCGTCGATGTCGACGACACAAACGTGAACACTTTTGGTTTGCCCTCTGCACACAGGTCCATCACATTGAGCGTGGAAATGACATTGGCGTCACGGAGCTTAGAATATGGGTACACCCAGTGGACGAGAGCTCCATTGTGAATTATCACGTCCACGTTGGCGACAAGCTGCTTCCATTGCTCCTCGTTGCCAAAGTGAGGCTTGTCAAGGTTGCCCAGGACCACCTTGATGCTCTGGATCCACTTGTCATTCCAGATGCCGTAGGTTTTGCCGGTCTTGACGAGTCGCTGAATAGCAGCCGTCTCGTCCTTGGCGCGAACGTGAGCCCAGACCTTGATATTTAGGTTTCTGCTCAGCAGGTCACGCAGAATGAACGATCCCAGGAAACCAGTGCATCCGGTAACAAAAACGTTCAAAGGCTGCGAGAAGTCAAGAGCGTTTCTAGTAGGATAGCTCTTCAGGCTCTGAGACAGTTTTTTAGCGTCTTCAAAGTAGTCAACGGTCTCATCCTTGGCCTCCGGAACGGCATTATTCTTGCCGTCGGCGAGCTCAAAGCCTTCGTCCTTCTTCAGACTATCAATCTCTGCTGCGAATGAAGCAAGCGTTGGGTGTTTGAAGATGGCTCCGAGAGGGATATCGACAGCAAGCTGTTTTCTCAACTCAAAAATCATCCGCGTGGCGAGGATCGAGTGTCCACCCAGGTCAAAGAAAGAGTCCTCCGGCTGCACGGTAGCCGGCTTATTTGGCAGCACCGAGAGCCACACGTCTCTAATTTTGGCCTCTGTCTCGGTGAACTGGACGTCAGCAACATCTTTCGACGACAGCCGAGCAACAGCAGCTAGCTGTGCCGTGTCGGGGAAAGGAAGCTTAGGCTTGTCGACCTTGCCGTTTGGATTCAGTGGCAGCTTGGCCATAGGCACCACCAGCGACGGAATTGCATAGTTAGCCAGTCGCTTCTTCAAATGTGCCTTCAGATCCTTGATCAGCTCGCGGTACACCACGAGACCCTTGACAATCGGATCGTCGAGGTCATCCACGTCCTGCGACGAGCTCTTGTACTTCTCGAGCTCTGGAGACGTTCTAGGAACAATGTAAGACACCAAGGTAGGCTCCTCGTTTTTGTCTCTTCTGACAAGAGTCACATTCTGTCTGACCAGCGGATGCTGCGAAATATGGGTGTCGATTTCTCCCAACTCAATCCTGAAACCTCTTATCTTCACCTGGTCGTCAGCACGGCCACAGCATTCGCAATTTCCGTCCGGCAGGTATCTTCCCAAATCGCCTGTCCGATACAGTCTGTCTCTAGGGCCAAACCAGACCTGTCTCCAGGGCTCGCCCCGGTCAAGCTGCTTGTCCTTGGCTAGGAACTTGTCCGGCGAAGTGTACCAGTTGGTGACAAACTTCTGCTTGTTGAGCTCGTCGTTGTTCCTGTAGCCTTCAGCCAGACCAGCAGCACGGACGTATATCTCGCCAACCTCACCAACACCACAGGTCTGTGTTCTGTCGTTTCTGTTCACCACCAACAGCTGCACGTTCAACATACCCTTACCGGCAGGCATAACGTCCTTCTGATTGGCCAGGAACAGCGAGTCCTGCTCTCTGGACGGGACCTCAAAGTACGACACCGCACGCTGCGTCTCGGTCGTGCCGTACATGTTGACAATGGCACAGTTTCTGGCCAGAGTCTGCAGCCGCAGACAGTCGCGCTTTGTGAGAATGTCCCCGACAAAAAACGCATGGTGCAACGTAGGGAACTCGGCAACCGCCTGGGCAGTCAGCAGCTGACCCATGGCTGGTGTGAGGTGTGTCACGGTAGCACCGTGCCGCGACATCCACTCGGCCAGCTTACCAGGGGTTCCGATATCGTCTGCCGTGGGAACCAGAAGCGTGGCTCCCAGAAACAGCGGCGTGAACATATCTCTCTGGATTGGGTCGTGCGCAATGCCCGACAGCATCGTGAACTTGTCGTTTTCGCTCAGATGGAAAGTTTCAGCCATCCACGGGAAATAGTATGCCAGCGAGAAATGTCTTCCCAGAACACCCTTGGGGATGCCTTCGGACCCAGACGTGAAGGAAAGTGTAGGGTTCGAGTCTGGCCCGACTATGACACCCGTTCTCTGGGACTTGTACTGCTGGTAGTCCTGCAGTACATCTGGCTGGCCACCAACGACAACACCGTCATCAAGAATCTCCAAAGCGGGAATACGGGTCACTACCTTGAGCTCCTTCTCAATGTAGTCCTCGACAAGCTGCGAGATCTCACCTGCTTTTTTAATTCCAATGATCCCCTGTGGATTGGCAACCTGCAAATAGATAGTCTGTCTGGCTGGAGGATAAGCAGGGTCTATCACGGAAAAGGTAGCGCCCGCTTTGAGCACACCCATCACGGCCACCATCAGGTCGACGCCTCTGTACGCATAGATCATCACGACATCACCTCTTTTGATGCCTGTTTGCACCAGATAGTGCCCGACAACATTAGAGGCCTCGTTGATCTGTTTGTACGTGAACACGCGGTCTTTGGCTCCCGGTTGCAAAAACGACGCTGTCTCCACCACACATGTTCTGTCCGGGTGTTTATCGGCGTTGTCACTGAAAATGTCCTGGATCGCTCCTCTGTAATTGCTCCAGTCCAGGTCGACAGTAGGGTCTGGAAGCACCGACTTCTGCGATTCGGTCACCAGACTGACCTTCGAGATGGCCGTTTCTGGGTGCTCAAACGCGCTGTGCAAGAACTGGTTGAACTGCTCGCCCATGATTTCGATTCGGCGCTGAGAGTACAGCAGAGAGTTGTAGTAGAAGCTCAAAGAAAGCTTCTCTCCGGATTTGTGCAGAAACACAGCAATGTCTCTCACGGAGCCAGGAACCGAGGTCGAGAGCTGTTCGTTTTCGTGGGCATACTGGAAAGAAACGGTAAACAACGCAGGAGGAGAGTCTAAACCCTTGGATTTCTGGAAAAAGGCAGCGATGTCTTCAAGCGGCACAAGATTTTTAGTGCCGATATCGTAGGTCTCTGCCACCTGGCGAGCAAAATCTTTGAACGACAGGGCCGGGTCAATAGAAAGTCTGACAATAAAGGGCTCTCCGGCTGGTGTGTTTGTAGCCACGACAATATCGTCGTCGCCGGTAAGTCTGTACACCAAAACCATCCAAGTAGCCAGGAGGTCCTGGAACGAGGCGGCCGTCTTCAGGGGCACAGACAGCCTGGATTCCACAATCTTGCCCGTGGTGGGTCTGTTGAAATCCAGCGGCACAACATTGAGGGTTGGGGTGTCGAGCTTGGTTGTCCAGTACTCCATGACTCTTTGATGAAAAAACGGTGGATGAAATTTAATGTGCAAATTCGCTCTGTCACAGGAAAACGCGGGTCGAAAAACACATCCAAAAAGAATTACCAGACAACATCGGTGGATTAATTGCCATGTCGCAGCGGAAATTGCAACAGTAAGTAGCCGCCACTCCGCTGAACTAACCAATTAGAGAGATAGACAGAGTATTTAAGAAAGTGAAGGAAGGGCTCGAGGAGTTCGACTTCATCTACGACAAGCTCCAGAGCTGCGACCAGCAGTCGCAGAAGGAGAAGTTGGAAAACGATCTAAAGAAGGAGATCAAGAAATTGCAACGACACAGAGAGCAGATCAAGACCTGGATGTCTGGAAATGAAGTAAAGGACAAAAAACAGCTTATAGAGCACCGTCGACTCATAGAGCACGAGATGGAGAGATTCAAGGAGGTGGAGAAAATCATGAAGACCAAGGCGTTTTCGAACGAGGCTCTCGCGTCCACGGACGTCACGCTGGACCCGAGACAGCGCGAGAAGCTGGAGTGTGCCGAGTTCATCCAGTCGATGATCGAGGAGCTCGACCGCCAGGATGAGAGCATCGAGGCACAGATCGACCAGATCACGAGCTCTCTTAAGAAGAAAAAGTCGGACGCCTCTAAACAGACGCAGATCGACGCGCTCAGCGAGCAGCTCGAGCGCCACAAGTGGCACGTGGGGAAACTAGAGACGATTTTGCGGCTGCTCGAGAACGACAACCTCGAAGTCGACCAGATCAACGACATCAAAGAGGACATCGAATACTACGTGCAGTCGAACCAGGACAGCTCGTTTGTTGAGGACGACACGTTCTATGACGAGCTTGGACTTGACGAGCTGGAGGAAGGTTTCCATGTTGTTCCGGCTGGCCATGACGACGACGACGACGACGACCGCGACGACAAGGAGTCCAAATCCACGACCAGAAAGTCCAGCACCAGCACGCAGAGTGTGCTTCCGACAACGTCCTCAGCTAGCCAGGGTTCTGCACCCGACCATTTGCACCACGTTCCAGCTCCAGCTGCCACAGCAGCTCCATCTAGCCGGATACCGTCTGCCAGCCACCAGCTACCACAGCTGTCCCAAAACAGCCAGACCAGCTCTCCTCTTGTGCGGGCTGCTAATCTCACGCCCGCGGCGTCCAGCTCGACGACGCCAAAGCTCAAATACGCCTCCGTGGTGAGCACAGGACTGCCTGCTGCAGAAAAAGGCCGGGCTTCTCCGTCTGTCTCCACGGGACTACCCCATCCGTCAGACAGTACCAGGGAAAGCACAGCTTCTCCACAGCAATTTTCCTTTCTCGACGCATCCAACTACACACATTTGCCCGAAGGAATAAAAGACTACGTGAGCTGTCTGGAGGCAGCTAAGACGCGCCACGAAAGTGCTGAAAAACGCAGTCTGGAAACCATCTTTCCTCAGCTGGAGTCCTCACTGCTCAATTGTCCCGACTCCTACGACTCAGACAAGCCTCGCAACTACCAGCCGACCAACCAGTTCACCACCCAAACGTGTTTTCCGCAGGAGCCAGCTGTGGAAATCACGGGCTCGACTAAGCTCTTGCAGAAGCTAAAGATCGACACGCTGGCCTACTGCTTCTACTACCACAACATCAAGTACAAGAGTCCATTCACAACAATCAACAACCTCAATAGCCCGGGCGACGATTATCTCCAGTACATTGCTGCAAACGAGTTTATCCGGCGTGGATGGAAATATCATAAAGAATTGAAGACGTGGTTCCTCAGAGACGGTGACGAGTGGAAAATGTTTGACTACAAGGATTCGTGGTCGGTGAAGAGCCAGCCGGGATTCAGCTTTGAACCCCATCAGGAGCAGACTCGGTAACATATGAGATGTACCATTATCTATAAGTCTATTAAGAGCATTCTTTTTGGAGAAAAACCTCACTGAAATGCTTACACTGTCTATAGCACTCCTCAAAGCCGTCACGACCGCCATAGTACGGGTCGTCCACAATTTTCTCCAGCTTTGGGTCCTCCTTCCACTCGCCAAAAAGACACACCTTGGCCTTGCTGCCCGAAGGACGCTTGTGCTCAAGAGAACGAAGATTGTAGTTATCCATACAGAGAATGTAGTCAAACTCATTAAAATGCTGCGGTTTAATTTGCTGGGCGCGATGGTTGATAGGAACGTTGTGCGCCTCACATGTCGCCACAGTTCTCTGGTCCGGAGTTTCTCCCACATGATAAGAATGGGTGCCAAAGGAGTCCACCTTGGTGATGATTGAGCTCAGCCCTTTCTGCTCTACGAGCTGCGAAAACACAGCCTCAGCCATAGGCGAGCGGCAACTGCTAGTTAGCTGGCCACTAAAGAGTACTTACATGTTTCCTGTGCAAACGAAGGCCACCTTCATGTAAAACTAAATAAATAAAAAATTACTCGTCGATCGACGCGTCGTATTTATTGCAATTTGCTCAGCAGAGCATTAAGATCTACATTGACAGGAATCTCCTGACGTTTGGCAGGAGGCTCTTCCCCGTCCTGTGGAGCGGACCGTTTGCTTTCGGCCGTAAAACTGGAGATGAAATCCGAAGGAGTCTCGTAGGTGGGAACGTCGTTGTCCTGCGCTTCTTCATCTCCGTTACTGTAACCAGGAACCTCATCCCCATTGCTGTAGCCAGGCAAGTCTTCATCTTCCTCGCCACCTTTGTATGTGGGAAGCTCCTCGTCGTCATCGTCGTTATTGAGGGTGTTCTCGATTTCTGTCTTGCGCTGCTGAGCAGAATTCTTGATCGATTCCAATTTCTCCAGTTTCGTCTGATCGAGGTTGATCCAGTCTCGCTGGACCTGAATTAGAGATTCGAGACTAGCGATGAGTTTTTCTCTCAACTCTGTCTGGTTTTTAATGCTGGCCTCTAACGCTTCGCTGCCTTTCACTAGCCCTTCTAGTTGACCGACCAGGATGTGCGGTTCAGGGAGATTTTCTGCCTTTAAGGTGTTTTGGTATGTTTCCGAGAGACTGGCAAACTTTGTGCTTGTGGCAGAGGATATCTGTTTCAAATGGTCATACTGAAGAGCCGCCTCGATCAGTTCTGAAGGACATTTCTGGTATGCAGCAGGCTCCGTCTGATGAGTTTTCTGCTGTGCGAGGGTCTGTCCTGGTTGCTGTCCTATCAGGTTCATTAGCTTATTCACGTAATCGCTGGGATAGATATTTCTATCTTTCCAGACCTGGAGAACTTTCAGGAACTTGGGTCTATCTGCTCCTGGATTAATTTGCTGGAGCACTTGTGGGAGAACTTTCTTGAATCCCTCAGTGAAACCTGCGTTTCTGGGGTCTTTGCGGCTCAATTGGACAATGTCGTTGGCCAAGTAGAATAATGTTAATTTGTTTGGCTGCGACGTAATTTCCTTGACCCACAAATCCACAATGGTGGAAGCCTCCCGGTAGTGAAACATAATCCATTGTGAGGTCGTCTGGATGCTTTGCTGCGTAGGAACAAGCGCTGCAAGCTTGACTTTGGCACGATCCACGGAAAAGCTCATTAATACGTGCTAAATATTTTTTTGGTTCTGAGCCCTAAAATATAGTAAGACGGACGAATTCCAGTGTCCAGGGGATGTAGGGATGTACGGACCATGAGCAACGGAGTCGCTAGGCAAATATCACGAGGATTCGTTCGGCTTTGCAATGGTGGCTTCAAAAGCAGGTACCACGATGTCAGTTCGCCATTAACCACGGATTCGCTAAGAATCAAAACTCACGCGTGGTCTAGCGGTGTAGAAATCTGTAACACAGGCAGATCCTCCTGTGATATTCAATTGTCTGAGTCTGGTGTCTTCGTCTACTTCTCTCGCCATCTACAGATACCTTCCTGCCTATTTGCGCCTCCGCTTCTTGCACAATCATGCTACCAAATGTTTGTCTACACCTGTGCACCAGAATATATGCAAATAAACTCTTGCTCACTTTGAACAACACACAGAAAACAAGTGCTACAACGATGGCAGACAAGTTCCCCGAATTAGAAGGCATTGACGGCACTGATGTGGCCGACAGCGGTGACTTTCTGAAGCGCGAAAAGGAACTTTTGGGCAACGAATTCGCCACGGAACAAGACAAGATCGCAGAGGATGACGACGATTTCGACGATTTCAAGAGCCAGTTTCCTGAGGTGTCAACTAATGCCAATGACGTTGCTCCCGATATAGAGAGCGAAGAAGAACCAAAGGAGGCTACTTTTGAGGAGCCGGTGACCAACAAGTTTGCGAATCTGAATTTGGAAGAGAGTATCCACATCCAAGAGTGGCGAAAGGCCAGAGAGCTGGAGATCGCAAAGAGAGACGAGCTGGCCGCTAAGAAGCTGGAGGAGATCAAGAAGGAGGCGGAAAAGGCCATTGACGACTTCTACGAGAACTACAACAACAAAAAGGACGAAGCGGTGGAGGCCACTCGCAGAGAGGAGGCCGAGTTTTTGGAAAAGAGAGACAAATTCCTTGAGAGAGGAACGGTCTGGGACCGCGTGGTGGAGCTTTTGAGCCTGACCAAGAATTCTAACGCTTCGGATCTTGCGGGCTACAGAGACAAGTCCAAGTTCAGAGACTTACTGATGTCGTTAAAAGGCAAGGAGGACGTTCCCGGAGCTGCTGGATATTAGTTACATATATAACTAGAAGTATCTACATGTGGGATGGTGTATTTTGACCTAATTCTATCTTCTTCTGTCGGCTTTAAAGGCCGCACCGCGATTACCTAAGAGCGGCGAAAATGGGAAAAAATTGATAGAAGTATTCGTTTTCCCCATGAATAACCAGGGGTTTGTACCTAACTCCAGGCCACCAATGGGTGCAGCTGCTGGCGCGAATCAGATAACACAGCAAGACCGAGTCCAATTTGTGAACTTCATTGTTGCATCTATCGCCAAAATACAGGGCACAAATTTCTCACTCCAGCGAACAAAGCCTGTCGCGGAAGAGTACGAGAAGTTTGCCTTCAGCAACTCCTCTAACAAGAGGGAATATGTTGACTACTTGAAAAGCAAGATCGCCAGCATCAATCAGTCTCGTCAGAACGCTATGCAGAGACAGCCCCAACCGCAACAACAGCAGACTCAGCAGACTCAGCAGCCCCAACAAGCGCAGCCCCAGATGGCCCGGCCCACCTCACAACCACAGAAAATTGATATTCAGAACATTCCTATACCGCCATCACTACTTGCCAAGCTCCCACCACTATTCCCTCAAGGGTATAACACATGGGCCATGATTATGCCTTTTTTTAGGCAGAAGCAAATGTCGCCGCATGACATGCAACTGATTAAAGAAGTGTATACCATGCACACGCAATTGATTCGTGCGAAACAGCAGCAGGAGTTCTCGCAGATGCACAACGCGATGCCGGGTGCCCAGGTCAACCAAGGCATGTCTGCCGGCAAGCAGAATGCTCCAAACCCGCAGCAGGTTCTGATGCTGCAAAGACAACAACAGATGAAACAATCCGTGATGCACCAGCAGCAGCAGCAGCAGCAGCAGCCTATGGTTGCGCAGCAGCAACCGCAACAACCGCAACAGCCATCTGGCATGCGTCCGGCTATAACTCCGGAACAGCTCGAAAGCTATAAAAACCAAGCATTGCAAGTGATCAAAAACCTCCAGGCTTCCAATAAGCTGCCTCCGAACCTAACCCCTGAGCAGGAAAATACATATGTCGAACGGTATCTGTTCCATCTGTTGAACAATGCGAGACAGCAGCCTAAGGTGCCGGTCACTCAAAATGGGATGCCCGTTCAGAACCAAGTGGTGCCGCAAAGTCGACCACAGCAGAATGTCCCAATAAACAAACAGCAGATTCCGATTCAGCAGCAACAAAATATGATGATGCAAATGCAACAAAACCATATGAAGGCTGCTTCTCAGGGCCAATTTAACCCGATGTCTGCCCAATCGCAACCTGCGTTGCAGGCCATGCCTCAAAGTCAGCCTCAGCAACTGCCAACTAATCAGAACCAGAACGGCCGTACGAGCCAGAGTGGACAACAGTTTGGAAATCGGATGCCTGGTCAGCCTCTACCTCAGGGCCAGAAACCGGCAATGCAGCCTGGAGGCACTGGTCCTCGCTTATTCACGGGCGTGCAAGCAACGGAGGAGGACTGGAGACGGCTCAAGGCTATTTACCAGGAGGTTGCAGCAACGCCTATTAATCTCAAAGACCTAACGGACGAAATATCCGAGCAAGAGAAGCAGCAGATCATCAAGACAATCAAGCAGTCTCAGCAGCTCGTCCTTATATCAGAGACAATTATCATTCCTAATTTCTACATGATGACCAAGAGTTACGAGGGTACAAAAAAACTGATGTACAGTCAACTGATGATCAAACAGGTACTAGAACGACTAAAAAACGGCGGTCGGTTCTATGCGAATTATGAATTACTTACCAAGGTGCAAACGCAGATCACCAGGTTTCTTGCGTATGTGAAGGAGCAAAACTCTAAAATGCTCAAGGGCCAGCAACAGCAGCACTCTGTTTCCGTCCCAAATGCCATGTCACAGCCTGGCATGGTGCCCCCTCAAAGCCGTTATATGATGCAACAGCAGCCTGGAATAAATATGTCCACCTCTGCTTCACCTATGATGCCTCGTGTCAATACACCTCAACCGCAGTTTATGCAGCATCCATCCATGAACATGAATGCTGGCCCAGTTCCTCAACAGTTCCAGCAGCTTTCTGAGCAGCGGCAGATGCATATGATGGGGCAAGGTGCTGTTGGTGGGAAGATACCAGCGCAGTTTATTCCTGGGCCTCCTGGGGGCATGATGCCTGGCCAACAGCCGACGTCTGCCCCGGTGGTGGCAGCTGCTAAGAAGCAGCCTGTTCGGAAGAAGCCTGTCAAGTCTGCAGCCAGCTCTGCTCCTACGCCAAAGAATAAAACCATTCCCCTTACTCAACCAGGCGCTGTTTCTGCGTCGATAGGTTTGAGCTCGGCTTCCTCCGGTTCTGCTGCAAACGGGGCTCTGTCTCCTGAGGTGCAGTCGATAATGAAGGAGGCTACCGAAATGATTGGCAAGGAAGAATCCAGACTGCGTGCCATTGATCAGCAAAGAAACAGGCGTCGTGAGCTAGCAAGCGTTGATCCTGCGCGCTATTTGCTTGCTGTTCTCGCCGACACGCTCAACTTGCCAGAGGAGGAGAACAAGATCTTTGAAATGGCCAAGTCCTCGTCGTTGAAGAGCCGGACCCTGAGCAGCAATGCGGCACAGGGTAACAAGGTGCTTACGCCTTCTGCCATTTTAACTACACCTCTTCCATTTAATGTGAAGACTCCGACTTCGTTCAAGTACTACGGCTCTGCCATCACTCCGGCTAGCTATAAGGGTGGACATTGGCAGGGCAAGGTGAACGCCACTGTGATTGCTGGGGTTTTTAAAGAGGTTTTCTCGATGATCCCTAAAGAAAGGCGTGAGAACAGCCGGAACAATCTGGGCACCGGGCTTCTCGGTGACCTGAGTTCTTCTGTGTACCCTACGCCTCCTGATGAGGAGGTTCAAGGCAAGCGGAAGATTGAGGATGTTGAGATTGAGAGAGAAAAGGCTAAAGTTAGCGGCGGCTCTAATGATCTGGACGACCTGGATAATCTGTGGAACTTTGATGGGTGGTGAAAAAAAAGAAAGATCTGACTATGTAGATTTGCGATTTCTTTTTCAAACGTTTTCGCGAGGCAATAATTATTTAGTGAAAAATATCTGATTTGCATAGATAAGAGCAATCGAGATGGAGGATGGAGGGTTTATTAGAGAACCTGAGACTAGAAAAAGATCTCGAGCGGGCACGAGGGGCCGTGGCACACGTGCGAATGGCACTTCTGGCAGAGGGCGGCGCACCACGAGGGTCAGAAATATGACGATAGAGCCTGGCTCAAGTGACGATGATGGCGATGAGGATTTCGTTCCTGATGACAACGATGAGGATGAGGAGTTTGTTTTTGACGTCAAGGACGAAGAAGAGGCTGAGGAAGTGCCTGAACTTGTTAAGAACGAGGACGACGACGAGGAGATCATCGTTATCGAGGGCACCAGTGCCACCAACGGTGATGGCGACCAGAATACAGTCGATAGTGACACCCCGTTGGCAGAGGTGCCCAAAAAGCGAAAACGGGCACCTGCAGGCTCGAAACCGAAAAAGAAGAAGAACGATGGACCCAAGCTCACGGCGCACCAACGACGGACGATGAAGCTTTACGAGTTCAACCCAGACGTGGCAGAAACGTTCCCGCAGCTTTCCTTACTGAGTCGACGGCCAGTTGAGAAGGCTGAACATCCAGAGGGCATGACGATCACGCTGCTTCCCTTCCAGCTAGAAGGTCTGGCTTGGATGATCAAGCAAGAAGAGGGCGAATATCACGGTGGCATTCTTGCTGATGAGATGGGTATGGGCAAGACGATCCAGATGATTTCGTTGATGATGCACGATCGCAGTAAGCGTCCAACGCTGGTTGTTGCGCCGACGGTGGCCTTGATCCAGTGGAAAACGGAAATTGAGAACCATGCTGGCGGCGCTCTCAAAGTCGGGCTTTTCCACGGACAGAGCCGCGCTAAGTCGCTCGAAGAGCTGGAGGAGTACGACGTTGTGATGACCACATACGCAGTGCTTGAGTCGTGCTACAGGAAGGACAAATACGGCGTGAAGCGGAATGGTAGAACGGTGAAGGAGAAGAGCCTGCTGCACTCGAAACATTTCTACCGGGTCATTCTGGACGAGGCACACAATATCAAAGATCGTCAGAGCTCGACAGCGCGTGCGGCTAACAATCTGAGTTGCGATAAACGATGGTGTCTTTCGGGCACGCCGTTGCAGAACAGGATCGGTGAGCTCTACTCTCTGATACGGTTTCTGGACATTTCCCCGTTCTGCGAGTATTTCTGTACCAAGTGTCCGTGTCGCTCAAAAGAGTGGGTATTTCCCGATAACAGAAACTGCTACTTTTGCGGTCACCACGGCATGCTGCACATGAATTTCTTCAACCACTTCATGCTGAAAAATATCCAAAAATATGGTCTGCAGCAAGAGGGTGAGGAATCGTTCGAGCGGATCCAGTTACTGCTTCGCCAGATTATGCTCAGAAGAACGAAAGTGGAGCGGGCCGACGATCTGGGACTGCCTCCAAAAATCGTCGAGATTCGACGCGACTATTTCAACCCAGAAGAGAAAGACCTCTACCAGTCGCTATACTCAGACTCAAAACGACAGTTCAACGACTACGTTGCACAAGGTGTGGTTCTGAACAACTATGCCAACATCTTTACCCTAATCACGCGTATGAGACAGCTTGCGGATCATCCGGATCTGGTTCTCAAGCGATTTAAGAAAGCATCCAGGGATCTCCTCAACAGCGGGGCCATTGTCTGCCAGCTGTGTGATGACGAAGCAGAGGAGCCGATAGAGTCCAAATGTCACCACAAGTTCTGCCGGATCTGTATCACGGAGTACGTGGAGTCGTTCAACGGCGACGATAAGCGTCTCGAGTGTCCAGTGTGCCACATTGGGCTGAGTATTGATCTGGAGGCACCAGCGCTGGAGATGAACCAGGAGGTCGTTGAGAAGGGCTCTATTGTGAACCGAATAGACATGGGAGGCGAATGGAAGTCTTCCACTAAAATTGAGGCCCTAATGGAAGAGTTGTACAAGTCCCGTTCGGACAGACAAACTGTTAAAAGCATTGTCTTTTCGCAGTTCACGTCGATGCTGGACCTGGTGGAGTGGCGACTCAAAAGGGCGGGTTTTTCCATTGCGAAATTGCAGGGATCCATGACCCCGATCCAGCGTGACTCTGTGATCCAGCACTTTATGACCAATCCGTCGGTGGAGGTATTTTTGGTGTCTTTGAAGGCCGGAGGTGTGGCTCTGAATCTTGTCGAGGCCAATCAAGTGTTTATCCTGGATAGTTGGTGGAACCCTGCTTTGGACACGGGTCAGGCCGCAGACAGAATTCACCGGATTGGACAGCACCGGCCTATCAGAATTGTGAAGTTGGTCATCGAGGACAGCATCGAGTCGCGGATCATTGAGCTGCAGCAGAAGAAGGCTGACATGGTCAAGGCCACGCTGGATCAGGACCAGAACGCGGCTAGCAGGCTATCGGCGGCCGATATGCAGTTTTTGTTCAATAACTGACTCACAGTGTATATAGTGATATATCGTCCCATGCTACCAAAGTCGTGGCATGTCAAAAAAAAAAAATCAAGATATTTTTCAGCTTGACTCACATCTCACCGTAAATTCATAAATGGTTTCTCCTATCCTTGTGAGCGTTGCTCAACCAAGGGACGTTTTGAGCGTGCCGTTTGTGAGCGAGGTTCTTGTGTCGCTTGATGCGGCTGCCGCTGTGCAGGAAATTATCGCGTTGGCTAAAGAGTATCTAGGCCAGGTATATGTCGACTGGGCTCTGGGGTCTGTGGAAAATGATAGCCAAATAGACATTGTTCTGGCTCTTTTGAACAACGGTGTGTACGGTCTTTTTGTCACCTCTGCTGTTGCTGAGCAGATTAGAAGCCGTATTCCCAACGCCAGACTGGTCATCAAGGATGGAAAAGATGCTGCCGAGAATATCTGTGTTTTTGGGGAGACTGAAGTGAAAATTGGAAAAAGAAGAGTCTTTGGTTATTTTGAACAACCACTCCGGCAGATCGCCAAGGGCTTCACTGCTGTTATTGAGCTCGATCAGCTGACTAAGGAGTACGAAAACGCGGGCACCAAAACGCCGTTTGTGGAGTGCTATCTCGCTGCCATGAACACCGACAGACCAGACGGCTTATACACAACTCTTGTCACTGACAGCAGGAACCAGGCTCTTGGTTTGGTGTACTCGTCCAAGAAGTCCATTGCTGAGGCAATAAGGACCGGCACGGGTGTCTACCAGTCCAGAAAGCACGGCTTGTGGTACAAAGGCCAGACATCGGGAGCCACGCAAAAATTGCTCCAACTGGAGCTAGACTGCGATAGCGATTGTTTGAAATTTGTTGTGGAACAGGCCGGTGCTGGTTTCTGCCACCTCGACACTGCCTCCTGTTTTGGCTCGTCCAAGGGTCTGGCAGCTCTGGAAGCCACTCTTTGGGACCGCAAGGCGAATGCTCCTGAAGGCTCCTACACGAAGAGACTGTTTGAGGATGAGAAGCTGCTCGGTGCCAAGATTAGGGAAGAAGCCGACGAGCTGGTGGAAGCCACCTCGAAAGACGAGATTGCGTGGGAAGCTGCCGATTTGGTCTACTTTGCGCTTGCCAGATGTGTGAAGTACGGCGTTTCGCTTGCAGACGTTGAGCGGAATTTGGACATCAAGGCCCTGAAGGTGACGAGACGTAAGGGCGACGCAAAGGCGAAGTATGTTGAGCAGGACGCTACGGAAAAAAAGCTAGAGGAACCAACGGTGCCAACGGTGCCAAAATTGCCAAAGCAGCTTGTGAACGGAGATGGCCGCATCGTGATGAACCGTGTGGATGCCACCACTGCCTCCAAAGAAGATATCGAAAAATGTCTTCAAAGACCAATCCAAAAGTCTGCGGATATCATGAACCTGGTTACGCCGATCGTCGAGAAAGTGAGAACAAAAGGAGACGCTGCGTTGGTGGAGCTCACAGCCAAGTTCGACAAGGTGCAGCTTAGCTCTCCTGTATTGAACGCTCCATTCCCAGCAGAAATGATGAACATCAGCGAAGACGTGCGCAAGGCCATTGACATCTCGTTTGCCAATATCAAGACCTTCCACGAAGCGCAGAACCAGAAAGAGACTCTACGCGTGGAAACGTGTCCCGGCGTTGTGTGCTCTCGATTTGCACGTCCGATCGAGCGTGTTGGCTGTTACATCCCCGGCGGAACTGCCGTGCTGCCGTCCACGTCCCTTATGCTCTCTGTGCCTGCTCTCGTTGCCGGTTGCAAAGATATTGTGTTTGCGTCTCCTCCCGGCAAGGACGGCCGTCTGACGCCAGAGGTGGTCTATGTGGCGCACAAGGTGGGTGCCAAGTGCATTGTGCTTGCCGGAGGGGCCCAGGCGGTGGCCGCAATGGCGTACGGTACCGAGTCTGTGCCTAAATGTGACAAGATCATGGGCCCCGGAAACCAGTTTGTGACGGCAGCCAAGATGCTCGTTTCCAATGATTCCAACGCCATGTGTGCCATTGATATGCCTGCCGGGCCATCCGAGGTTCTGGTTGTCGCGGACAAGTACGCCGACCCAGACTTTGTGGCCTCGGACCTGCTGTCGCAGGCAGAACACGGCGTTGACTCGCAAGTGATATTGATCGCCGTGGACATGACGTCTGCCGAGATCGACAAGATCGACGAGGCCGTCCATCGCCAGGCGCTGCAGCTGCCACGTGTGGAGATCGTGCGCCAGTGCATTGCTCACTCCACCACGATCATTGTGAAGAGCTACGATGAGGCGTTCGAGATGAGCAACAGATACGCTCCGGAGCACCTTATCCTGCAGATCCAGGACGCCGAGAAATGGGTCGACAAGGTCGACAATGCTGGCTCTGTGTTTGTGGGTGCCTATTCGCCGGAAAGCTGCGGTGACTACTCCTCGGGAACCAACCACACGCTGCCTACGTACGGCTACGCCAGAATGTACTCGGGTGTTAACACCACCACGTTCCAGAAATTCATTACATCGCAGGTGGTCACCAAGGAGGGTCTCAAGAGCATTGGCAAGGCCGTGATGGACCTGGCTGCCGTCGAGGGTCTCGACGCGCACCGCAACGCCGTCAAGATTAGAATGGAAAAACTTGGCTACATATAGCGTGACAATTATCACTGATTAAATAAAGCCACGACCAAATAAATAATAAGTGCAATTAATTTTTACCATGCTGACTGCTGTGCACCTGCTTGCTTACTCGTATGTTTTCGGAGCCACTTCGTTCCACTCATTTGTGTCCTCTGTCAGAGCGTTCAAGGTCCTGCCCCGCAAGGAGTTTGGCCTCCTGCAATCCAAGCTGTTCCCGATCCACTTCCTGACGCAGTCGATCGGCCCCGTGGTGGTCGGTCTCTCTGCACCATACACGATCCCAACCGTCGGAATTGCATTGCTGGCGGCCTCTTCGCTCTCAGGTCTCACCAATTACTTGTGGCTGATGCCAGTGTGCAACCGGCTGAAGACTGAACGCTTTGCGCTCGAGGAACTGCCAGAGAGCGAGAGAACTCCCGAGACCAACGAAAAAATCGCAGCTTTGACCAAGAAGTTCGGCAAGTACCATGGAATCAGCCTCGTGTTCAACAGTCTGAGCGTCCTTACCCTTGCTGCCTACTCCTATGTGTTCAGCACGCAATTCCTGGTCAGAGCCCTTAAATAGTTGTTTCGCGCATATTTCAGAACACCGATGGAAATATGAGTGCCCCTACCTGTTTTGGAGAACGTTCCGTAGCCAGAAGATCGTAGCTGAGCACTGCGCTCTTGGTGTCGCCTACTTCGAGCATGATCCCCAACTCGGAAAAGCGTCTTTTCGTGTCTGGGTGTAACATCCGGTTGCTGAACCCAAGACCCAGCACAAACAGCTCGGGTTTTGGGTAGAGCGCCTCTAACAAGGGAAAGAGCTCAGTAGTTGTCAAATCCAATGGGCCTTTTTTGCTGATGGACTTTGTGTTGAGCTCAAATATCTGGTTATCCAACAACAGAGCAGCAACAAGAGTCCCTTGCCTGTTGGGCGATCGCACAACCTTCATGTTGGAGAAGATAATCGAGTCCTTAGAGATCATCTCGATATTGTTCTCAGGCACTGGAGAAGAGCCCAAAACGTCCAGGTTGGCGAGATTGTTGCCCACATTGGCCGGCCCAAACGACGAGCGTGCCCTCGCACAGCTTCTTTGCAGTTGTAGGGCCAGAATCCTCCCCGTAGCCATTTTCATGATTATCAGATATTCCCCTCTATTTAGTGTTACCCGACTGCCAATTATCTGAACTGAAAATTCTTGATTTTTTTTAAATATTTCACCTACATGGCCGGAATCAACATACTCCAGCAGGTGTCGAAGGCTAGGAACGGCGTGGGTGCTTTTGTCCATCCATGCCGTAAAATTATCATTACCTATTGCAACTTCGGTGGCTCGTCAAAAGGCACCAGAGACTTCCTGAGAAATAGACTCAAAACGTTTGCCCAAAAATATCCACAGATTCAATTCCATATCTTGCAAAAACCAGGGTTTCACCCTGTCTTGCGAGCACAGTATACTGACGGACTGGAAAAACAGATATGCACCCGTAAATGGAACGTTGACGTTGTCGAAAACAAGCTGAAGCTGCTTATCAACTCTAGCGGAAGAAAACTGAGCAAGCCTAAACAGTTTGTCAAGTCGCTCAACAAGTCTGTCAGAGGCATCTGGTCTCCATTCCATGTGGACCCATCGCAAAGATACAAAGTTTGATGTACATAGTAATATATTAGAACATGACGTTTTCGTAGGGACACTCAACACTCTCATGCCCTTCGCGCTCGCACAACCCGCACCATTTTTCCCGGCCTGCCGCAGGATCATTGTGCACTGCAGGCGTTGCAATCAGCTCTCCATCTTTCACGAGTGGCTCCGACATGGGGCTTGCTTTGTTCTCGCTCTGCTCTTTCAATAGAGCATACTTGGCTTGCAGCTCGTTAAGCTCGTTCTCAAGCGTTTCGGACTTTTGCGTGGCCGAATCTTTGGAAGAGACAAACTGGGTTTTTTCTCCCATGAGCGCCTCGTGGGCCTTCTGTAGTTCGTCGTACGCTTTCCTCAGTTCTTCCAAAGCTTTGGCCATCTCTGCTTTCTCCTGTTTCAACCTGTTAGCCTCCTCCCTTGCCTCGTCACGTTCCCTTCGCACCTCCGCATTTTCCCGTCTCAAATTTGCATGTTCATTCTCTAGCGTTCGATACTTTGTGTCCATCTCATCGAATTTCCTCTTGAGAGTCTCATAGTCACCATTTTCGGGTTCACTCTCTTTTTTCGTTTCCAACTCGCGCAAACGTTGTAGATATATTTCCTCATTTTCTTGTGCCTGCTGCTCTAGTGTCTCTACAGCCTCGATCAGCTCCTTGATCTGAGTATCAGTATTAGTTTTGAATCTCTCAAATCTCGCGTCTTTCATCTTAAGCTCATTCTGGTTTTCGGTCAAAATGGCTTCAAATGTGTCCACTGTTGTTTGCAGCTCCTCTAAAATGCGATTTCGTTCCTGTAACTGCTGCTTGTAAAGTCGATTCTGTTCGGTAAGCTCGCTGATCCTTTGATCAAGGTCGTAAGGAGCTTTGTTTGGAGAGTTTAGCACAGAAGCCTGAGACACAGGCCTCAATGGAGAGGTGTTCACTTGGACAAGCTTGTGGTACGGTAGAAACAAACCACTTTTGGGAATTTTAGTCTTGAAATAAAAGACACCATCGACATCCCCAGAGTTTTTGCCTTTACTTACGCTCTCACCAATAAGCTCAACGCCGGCAAACGTGCCGCTCTTATTACGTACCCTCCCCACATATCTAACGTACGCTTCCCCTCCTCCAGGTATGACAACTCGATGACCCACTTGTATTGACATGTTTAGTAAATAAATAAGACAGATCGGGTGCAAAGATGTATTGTTTTTTACGGCTATCTATATAATCAGGCTTCAGTTGCAGAAGCACTGTAGTACCTTTCTGCAATTTCCTTCTCAACCAAATGGGTTCCATTAAGCTGATTGCCAATTGTCAACCACCCAGGTCGAGTATTGTGCTGCCGGCCAAAAATTTCTAGTTTCCTTGTTCCAGGCCCCACCATGCGCTCGACCATTCCGTATATTTCATCTGGCTTCCTGGAGGTTTCCCTTGTGGAAGAAATCAAAATTTGCGGATCTATGCATTTGTTGATCCATTTTGGATTTCCTTTGAGGCCCACAAGCAAGTGTTCTTTTGAGTGATTGAGCCAATGGCCTGTTCTTCCTGTACTGATGGTTCTGACCAATTGGTTCGTCTTCACCCATGTGATCTGATTCACCACCTGATACCCCCATTTTTTCAGAAAGTCGCGACCAGTCTCTATGGTTCTTCCTGTGACCCAGAGAAGAAAGAGACCCTCTTTCTGCAGCTTGTCCATCCGAATTTGAAGCAAATCAGAGTCTGTCAAGCTGGAGTAATTAAGGTTCATATGGATGGTCCAGCTTGGATCTGCAATGATAAGAGCAAAATCATCCCCCAGAATGCTGAAGTCAAGTTTCGTGACGTCGCAATTGATCCATTGAGCGGGCAATTCCGGCCTCGTGGCAGGAGAAATGGCCTCGCCCCTGGTAAAGTCTGAAATCTGCATTGCTTTGTTAATGTTTTTGTTGTGCTGCGCAGTTTTTTTGGAGGCACTGTCATCCTGAGGCATCAACTGTCCGTAATGAACGTATCTGCACGACGACATTTTGTGACAAGTGTCAAGGTACGAGCAGTCTCCTAGTTTGGTGTCGGTCTGCGACTGTATGATGGGTATGAAATGAATTTTCTGGTTCACACATCTTGCAAGTTCGGTGTAGGTGTCGCTGGATCCAGTTTCATTCTTCAATCGATCATTCAGCTTTGCCAAATTTAGCTTGCAATAGTTGGTTGCTCTGTCAAAGGATGTTAGTGGGATCAAGAGCTGTGCGTGTCTGGGATCGTCGCAGCAGTCGAAAAACGGCTTGATCGGAGTTCTTAGCTTTGCCCTCTCCTTTGCCAATATATGCGATCCTGCTGGAGCAGAAAGCAGCAAACTGAGTTGTTCTAGTCTTTTGGATCTGGACGTCGTTGTATAAATGTCTTCGATGTCGAGGGGACTCAGTCCTGCGTACAGGTCACTAGCGGCTCTTTTTGACTTGACTGGTGGTCGGTCCACGAGTTCCATCAACAGGTCTAATCTTTCTTCTTTATCCCGGGGAACTTCTCTCTGTGCCGCCAATCTGAGCCTTGACAAGGGTGGGGGAGGTGTCTTTGGTGGCTCAATAGGCGGGTTTGACGACAGTTTGACCTGTTTATATATCAGATTCAAGGCCAGTCGATCAATGTAGGTGATCTTACTGAAGCATTTGAAGGGGTCCTCATATGTCAGTGACAGTGCGTTTGCAGGCATACAGGTGAAGGCGTTGTGAATACAAATCTCGTTCAATTTTTGGAGACATTTGACGAATTGCAACCAAGACACTTTATCCTTGCCTTTCACCTGACAAGACGCAATGAAGCAGAAGTATATTTCGGCAATGGATCCTTCAACTGGAGGCTCGATGAGAAGATAATTCCAGTCGATAAGAAATTTGAGCACCTCGTTTGTTTTCTTGTCCATTTCGGCAATTTTCTTTCGAGGGTCGGCCCTTCTTTATAAATTTAGGGATTGATTTATTTTTCAACACGACTGTCAAAAGTGACGGGTAAGATATGAAGGACGCCATAGCCAGGAATACCAAACGGCCGCAAAACGCAGTAAGTGGACATTTATGAAAGAAATCGGTCGTCCACCTAATTGGCGTCCGCGTTGCAGACTTTTTCAATTCAGCAGAACATGAAATATACAACATATATATCTCAACGGTTCTGTAATTAGACAACTGAGGTATGATATTCCCGATTGTTGCAGTTCTAGTTTATTTCATAAGCTATACGCGTGCTGCTACAGAGTCCGAATCTCTGGCAAATACTAGACGCTCGCTGTACAGGGAGTACAAGAGTCAGCTGGATGCTTCATTGGAGAAGCTGCCTTCAGGAAGTACACTGGACGACGAAGAGCTCTACAATGACTATATAAAACAGCTTGCTGGCTATTGCCAGGTCTCTTACTGTCTGAATGACGAAGGAGGACTCGCTGAGCTTAAGGACAACGAGTTTGTTTTTCCTGATGAGCTGGTTCCCTACACACCCATTAATTACAAGGAAAAATATCTGGATAGCAAGGGACACACAAATATTCGATACAATCTTACAAAGCTTTTTGACAACGTGGAGGAACCAGGAAGAATTATTACCCATGGTGGGGGTGAAGGCTACATGCTTCTTGACCACAAGTTGCGTACGATTAACATCGTGTTCAGAGGCACGCGCGAGTTTTCGCAATGGTACACTAACCTCCATTTCAAGCCTGGCAGATACCGACCCGTTATGAACAGTTCGGAATATTGGGACCAAATCAATTATGACCACAAAAAAGTGCTTCAGGAAAAAATGGCACAGAATATGGAACATCACAACTATTTTGACTGCTCTCTCTCATACGCACATGCAGGATTCACCTATGTTGCACGCGGTATGGCCTTGCAAGTTCATAATGAACTTTTCAAATGGCTGCAAGAGTTTCCAGACTACAAAGTTCTAGTCACGGGACATTCCATGGGAGGAGCTCTAGCTCAGCTGACGTCGTTGGATCTACATATTCTTGGAATAGACAATCTCATGGTTAGCTTCAATGCTCCCTCGGTGTTTTCTCACACATTGGCAGCGGCATACAACAGTCTGGTGGACCAGTCTTCCAACTCTGCTGCCCTACGAGTTTACCACTTCTACGACCTTGTTCCGCGCATTCTCCCGTACTCGCTCTACAGACATGTCGGTGTTCCAATTGTTACGTTCAAACGTGAATTGCCGCACGGTCATACCGACTTCCGTGTAACTTCCAATAGCAGACTGCATGGTAGCAGCCATGAATTCGAGCTCGCGGATGTTGAACAGACTACAACCTTTCTCGCCCAAGGCATCAAGGACTATTTGAAGGAGCTTTGGCGTCGCAGACCAGAAATACTTGACCCCTTTTATCACCGACACCTGGTGGTGTTTTTCGCGGCCTGTAATGACTGCTGAGTAAATAGTTTCAGGTTCAAAAATACACCTCACTCCGAGATCTAATGTTTACAAAATAAAATCATAACAAAACTGTGAGCCTTAAAACAACAAGAACGCTGCAGCACTCAACGGGCTTCTCTTTTACTACAGGCGTATTATTAGCAGTTTTGAGCTTTATTTGCGGGATAAGCTTCTGTCACATATTCAACAGTGCGCGTTTCCAAGTGTACCGATCTGATTGATCATGGCAGACGTTTCAGGGGTGTTCTCGGCCCCGTTGACAAATGAGAACTATGAGTTATGGATTCGCATGGCCACTGACAACGTACGTATAGTTTTCTACGTGTCTCTTGCTAACTTTTAGAAAATCAACTCGACGAACAGTTGGAATTTTGCGCTCATTGATTATTTCCACGAGCTCTCTCTTTTCAAAGATGGCGATAGCATAAATTTCCAGAAAGCATCCACCACTCTGGACGGGTGTGTTAAAATCTATGCGTCAAGAATTGACTCGGCGGCATCTGAAACGGGAAAATTGTTGTCTGGCTTGACGTCCAACAATTTAGAAGGCATCGACGAGGAGGAAGAAGAGAACGATGAGCAAGAAGGAGGCACAACAAAACCAAAATCAAAGAAACATCGTGCTGAGTCGACACTGGTAAAGAAGTTCCAGACGATAAAGCTGAAAGAAGTTGAAAAAGAATTGTTGGTCGATCCGATCTTCAAGAAAGCATTATCAGACTTCGATGAAGGAGGAGCCAAGAGTCTGCTAACGAACATGCTCAAAATCAACTCCGAAGGACGGGTTGTTTTTGATACCAGTGAAAAGTCCAACGAGTTGGTAATGAATGAGAGCGACGAAGAAGAAAATATCCCCCAGCATACTCGATCAAATATCGACATTTCAAAATTAGCTCGCTTTTTTCCTGATACTGCAGCAGATACAAAAGTCTGTCCTTCTCTCGAGCAGTTGGAGCGTATAACTAAAGAAGGTGCCAGTGCTGCAGAGCTTCTTGAGCAAATCGGGCAGCTTGAATTTCCTGAAGAGCAGCCGGTGTTCCAAGAAAATGACATTCTCGATTTTGGAGAAGGCGATTACTTTGATGACGACGACGGTGATGACGGTAATGGCCCGGAAAAATCCCACAGGAATCAGTACTCTTTATTTATTGATGGTGTCAACGATAGCGATCGCTCAGGACCGAATGTTACCTTGACAAGGTTATTTGACGAGAACCAAACTGCACAATTTGACGATGACGATGATGATGAAGGAGGAAGAAGTATGGCCGAATATTTCGATACGATTTCAAGACAAAACTGGCGTGGTCCCGAACACTGGAAGATAGCCATGGTAAAGCAAGCGCATCAAAAGAGTTCGACTCCTGAAATCGCTCCTGCCGAGGTGGAGAACGCAGCCGGGGACCAAGAACAGGGGGATTTTGTACAGAAGGCCACTATCAAACGTAAGGCTGTTTTTACCCTAAATTTCATGGACGATGACGATGACTTGGACGATGAAAAGCTTTTTGCGCCGCCCGCAAATGCTTCCAAACTCCTCATCCCTGAGAAAGAGAGGGTGCCTCACCCTACCGCCAACAAACTGCCTGAAGATTTACAGTTCACCACGAAGCGGCTCATTTGTTTGAACATCAAGCCAAATCAGAAAATAAATACAATTCTCACAAGGAAGAAGAAGAGGGTTGCACAACGATTAGGATACGACGACGAGAGAATAGCTGATGAGAATTTCTTTGCCGCTACGTATAAAGAGCAGGGTGGTGAGCCAGCTGCTGAGGCTCAAGGATTCGACGATACTTTCTTCAATACAGACTACAATGACCATCCTGGCGATGACGAAGATGATGAGGGTGACGTCCCTGAGATGCCTACAAGCTCACAGCCGTTGTTTTCGCAGTCACAAAAACGGCCCGGAGCGTTAGGGTATGCTAGGGTTGCTAAGAAAGTGAATGTGAAACTGCTTAAAGACAATCTGTGGGACTCGTTGGAGGCTGAGACGCGAAAAGCTAAAAGAGACTCTTCAGTCTTGGAAGATAACAAAGAGAACGGGCCTCCAGAGGACGAGAGCAGTAAACAGCGAAGCGAAAAAGAAGAGGACGCGCTCAAGTTTACCGAAGTTGTCAGCAAGTTGTCGAGTAAGTACTCGCCAGAAGAGAAGTCGGAGCTGTCGACCAGTTTCTGTTTTATCTGTCTTCTACATCTTGCCAACGAAAATAACTTCACCATCGAAAATACTCCAGACTACACGGATTTGTTGATCAAAAGATGAGGATATATTCCTAATCAATAATAAATACAATCACCATTCCTGGGCCTTAACTCCGTACTTGGACTTTTTAGTACCCTTCACAGGAACAATGAGTTTGGATCCGCCTTCCAAGAAAGAAAACACTTGTTTTCTCTTCTCTTCGAAAGCAGAAATGTACTTCTCTTTCTCTAAAGTGATACCAATATCATCCAAACCGTTCACCAAACAATGTTTTCTGAAGTCTTCAATTTCGAACTTCTCGACGAGAACCTCCTTGTTAGGTCCCAAAATTTGCTGGTTAGGCAGATCGATAGTGATCTCCTTCTTTTCGACGGCAAATGGGTAAATCTTTTCCTTTATCACATCTTGCGGAATTCTGATTGGCAAAAGACCGTTCTTGAACGAGTTGTTATAGAAAATGTCACCGAACGATGGGGCAATGATCGATCTGATGCCAAAGTCCTTGAGAGCCCATGGCGCATGTTCTCTCGAAGAACCGCAGCCGAAATTGTCTCCTGTCACACACAAGATCTGGGCTTTGGTGTATGGCTCCACATTGAGCACAAAATCAGTCGGCACGTCATTTCCGTTCTCATCCTTGACAAACCTCGACTCGTAGAACAAACCTGCTCTCAGGCCGGTTCTCTTGATCGTCTTCAAGAACTGTTTAGGAATGATGGCGTCGGTGTCAACATTTGCTCTGTCAAGAGGAGCGGCAATTGAGGTCAAGGTGAGAAACTTTTGCATAGCAATGGCCTTCGCTGGTGGCTCTTCCTTGGCGTCCACGGTTTGCTTTGTCACGTGATCAGAAGGAGGCACATCGTTGATGTGGTCGTCAATGGCCTCGTCCTCTGACTCTCCTGGGGCAAGCGGCTCCTTTTCGTGATTGTAGACGGCGTTCTGAAGAGCAGAGCTCTCATCCTCGGAGTCGAGCTTGATCTTCGGCTGTGCAGGATCCTCGTTGTACACAAAGTTTCTGATATCTGTGAACTTGCCAGTGATACCAGCAGCTGCAGCCATAGCTGGTGACATTAAGTGTGTTCTGGACAAGGCACCCTGTCTTCCCACAAAGTTTCTGTTGGATGTGGAGGCGCATCTTTCGTATGGTGCCAAAATGTCAGGGTTCATACCAAGACACATGGAGCAACCAGCTTCTCTCCAGACAAATCCAGCTGCCTCGAAGATTTTGTCAAGCCCTTCTCTCTCGGCTTGTTTTTTCACCAATCCGGATCCCGGCACCACCATGGCCATTTTCACGTTGTCTGCCTTCTTGTGGCCTCTCACCACCTTGGCAGCAGCTCTCAAGTCTTCAATACGCGAGTTTGTACAGGAACCAATGAACACCTTGTCGACAGTAATGTCCTGCAATGGAGTGTTAGGCTCCAGACCCATATATTTCAAAGCAGCCTCAACACCCTTCTTGGTGATTGGGTCGGTGAAATTTGCCGGGTCCGGCACCTTGCCTGTAATGGGAAGCGCATCCTGAGGAGAATTACCCCAGGTGATCGTTGGAACAATGTCAGATGCCTTGATCTTGATGTCGTAGTCGAACTTTGCTCCCTCGTCTGTCTTGAGAGTCTTCCAGTAGCTCACAGCTTTGTCCCATTCTTCGCCCTTTGGAGCCAAAGGACGGTCCTTGATGTAGTTGAAGGTGGTCTCGTCAGGCTGGATCATACCAGCTCTTGCACCAGCCTCGATCGCCATGTTACAGATCGACATTCTGGCCTCCATGGAAAGGTCTCTGATACTCTCACCAGCAAATTCGATCACGCAACCAGTACCTCCTGCGGTACCGATCACACCAATCACATGAAGAACCAAGTCCTTCGAAGTGACGCCTGGAGAAAGCTTACCCTCGATGGTAATCCTCATGTTTTTCGACTTGGCCTGGATCAAAGTCTGGGTGGCCAAAACGTGTTCCACCTCCGAAGTACCTATACCAAAGGCGAGCGCGCCAAAGGCACCGTGGGTTGAAGTATGTGAGTCACCGCAGACCACCGTGGTACCAGGAAGCGTAAATCCTTGTTCAGGACCAACAACGTGGACAATACCTTGTCTGGAATCGGTCATTCCGAAGTAGGTCAAACCAAAGTCTCGAACGTTGTCTTCCAGAGTTTGCACCTGCACCCTGGAGTCATCCTGCTTGATGAAAGTGTCAAGGCTCTTGAAGTTCTTTCTGGAGTCGGTTGGGATGTTGTGGTCGACGGTGGCAAGGGTGCAGTCTGGTCTTCTGACTGTTCTGCCTGCTGTCTTGAGACCTTCAAAGGCCTGTGGACTGGTCACTTCATGGATCAAGTGTCTGTCAATATAAATCAAATATGAGCCCGAATCGTCTTTGTAGACGATATGGTCCTCAAACACCTTGTCGTAAAGGGTTTTGGGGGTCGATGTGCTTGTATCAGAAGGCATTATTTTACAGAAACAAAGATACGGAGAGTTTTTATACTCCCCTGCTGAGTCACGCCGGCTCCGGACATCGTGCATATCGCAGCCGGTAACGGGCCGCTATTTTAATTTTTTTTCGGCCCAATCGAAGCACGAGAATTTGTCAGAAGCCCGTGTGTTATCTACTTACTTCTTCTGGCTAGATACAGTGCACCGCCTGCCAAAATTGAGCCCACGGCGCCCCATTCGGCCCATTTGAGGATTCGCTGCTGCTTCTGGCTAAACCTGACAGCGTCCGAGTAGCTGATGTCCGATCTGAAGGACACCATAGTGTAGAGCGGAATCCAGTGCTGCGGCATCAATCTGCCCAGAACACCGTCCAACTTCTTTCTAAACAGATAAAGGGAAGAAGTCACGTCGCTCGACATCTCGTGGTAGTTTCTCAGCGCGAGTTTCAGGATTGCCTTAAGGTCTTCAGCCCTTGTCTCCGTATACGAGTCGAAGGCGGCTTGTCTATCGCGTCCATTTTTTTCAAGCAGCTCTAGCAAGATCCGCACATCCTCAAACCCACAGTTCATCCCTTGGCCATAGAAAGGCACCATTGAGTGAGCTGCGTCGCCAATAATAATACACTTATCCTGGAAGTTGTATCTGCTGCAGTTCACTTGCATCAGCGCACCCCGCGGATACGTGGTGAAACACTCGATAATTTTATCGAGGCCAATCAGCGGAATGGCATCCTTGAAGTTTTTCTTGAAGAAGAACTCAATTGTCTTGGGCTGCTGGAGCGACTCCACCAACTCCCAGGGACCGAAAAACGTAGACGTGAACGATCCATCCTGGTTGGCCAGGGCAATCAGCATAAACGTCTTGCGTGGCCAGATATGCAGTCTATTGGGGTCGATCCGGAAGCTACCATTTGGGCCTGGAGGAATGTACATTTCCAGGTAGCACATGTCAATATACTCCTGGCTGTAGTTCATTCTGATTAGCTTCTGCAGGCTTTGTCTCACCACTGAGTAAGTGCCGTCCGCACCCACCACGAAATCTTTGTGGTCTCTTTGAGGCTCGCCATCATGGACGTAATCGATGGTGACTCCGCCATTCACTCGCACACTGGTGACCTTGGCCTCAAAGATCAGCTCAATCTTGGATTTTGCGCTTGAATTGAAAAGCTCAATTTCTTCAATCAGGCTCTGGTTCAGCTTTTTGCGGTCAATGGAGTTGATGGCCTCCCCGAAAAGTCCATACAACTGGGATTCCTGGTTTCCATCCAGGTCGTGAATCATCCGGCCATACATGGGGATGATTCCGTCTAACACTCGCTTGGCCATTTCCTCATCTACGTATCTCAAGGCCCGGATACCTCGCTCACTAACAGCCAGATTGATTGAGCGTAGGCTCGTCTTCTTGGCGGTTCTTGGATCCGAGCGAAGATCATAGAGTGTGACACTATACCCTTGCTTGGCAAGACCAAGTGCCACCAACGCACCGACCAGTCCAGCTCCGATAACGCCCACAGACTCACTAGATTCCACCATTAAATGTCAAATAATTTATACCCACTTTATTTATGTTACACTGCCTGAATCGCTTAGTTTTACTATACACACACTCTAGTTTCTCAAAACATCTCTCAAATAGCCTGACAATTTGCCGGCACCCGTCTCCAAAACATCCTTTATGGCGGCAATGTCCTCTCCAATGTACTTTTCTGCAAATTCGGTCAGTTTCTGCTCGATGTCGTCACCATCAAATGAGGTCGATCTTTGATGGCTCGCGCCTTCAGGTTCGCCGTAATATTGGGAAGACGAAATAGAGGTGGCTCCATTGTACGCCTGGAGCTTCGTTCTGGCCTCTTGCGCTTTTGCCTCGTCGTAAGAACCAATCCCGTAAAACTGATCCGAGGAAATGGCTTTTTGGTTTCCAAATCTGGCAGCCACCTCACCAGAGTACTCCACGTCTTTGTACTTTTTCTGGGTGGCTTCTGGAGCAGGGGCGGCGTTCACCATACCAAAACCAAGTCTCGCAAAAGACTGCGTGACTTTCTCTGTAGACGGTGTGGTTGGCTTTGGCATCGCAAGGGAGCCGGTGCTAGCGGACGGTTTTCTGGTTGTAGTCTCAGCCACGGGCTCAACGTCCTTTGGATCGTAGCCCAACGACTTGGCCTCTTCTTCCTCCTGCTGTGCTTTCTTCTCGAAATCGTCAAAGTCGATGTCCGACGATACCTTCTTAACGCCCAGCTTGGCCTTAGATCTATTTGCAGAAGAGCCTCCAAGGATGCTCTTCTTGGCGCCCAGTCCTGTTTTCTGGACGACTCTTGGCTTGGAGCCAAGTAATGTAGTGGCAGGCTTGTCGACTGCCGATTTGTTTGATGGTGTGATTGGTCTGGATCCCAGTGGGGAAGGGGTAGAAGATGGTTTCTCCCATTTGCTGAAGAAATTGTTGGAATCGGAGTCGGCGCTGTCCTCAGCCTCAACCTCGGTGGCTCCGTCGTCCCACTCAAGCACATTAGGGTGGTTTTTGGCATCGAGTTCGGCCTTTTTCTCCAATTTCTCTTTATAGTTTTGCGCGATCTGAGATGAATACTTTTCCTGGGGAGTCTTGTTTAAATATACTGATCCGCCGTTCTTGATTAGAAAATCCTTGAAGCTGTTGTTACCACCGCATTTCATCAAGCGTAACTGCTTTTCTGTCCATTTAGTGTCCAGCACCGATGATTTCACAAACGATATATGCACCCCTAGGCTTCTGTGGTTTGCGCTACATTGTAGACAGATAAATATTCCGAAGGGAATCGAAGTCCATGTAGGGTTCTTTGTTGCACAGTCAAAGCACTGTTTATTTGCGGGGTGCTTCTGAAGCTTGGTGAATATGGCCTTGATCTCCTCTTTAGTTGCAAAATCAGACATGTATAGGTACAAATATTTTCAACGTGTCGAATTGTTTCTGTTTTTTTTTTTTGGATGGTAGTGGTTAAGTGCCCTGAATTTATAGCTTCAAGATATCTAAGTGGAGCACAAGAGCAATGAAACATGGCCACTCCAGTCTGTAGGCAGGGTGGTAACGTGCTAGCAGCGGGTCTAGCATCCAAGAGCTTTGCTTTCTTTCCTTAAAGTTCGCAACAGATATGAACAGCCTGTTATCTGCAACCATTTATTCTCAAGTATCTATCATGAATTTAATATTCGTCAATGATAAACTTCGAGGTGGCCACTACAAGACTTGAAACCACCGTTTGTCTTGTTCCAATTCTGCAATTACCTGCTGAATTTACCTGCAACGCACGACCGTTACATCCTAAACTTTGCATTTGGTTCAGCCTCACTATAGCTTCACGGCTGTGCACAAAATTCAGGGTCTAAAAAAACCCGTAACTGAAAAAAGAAGCAGTCGAAATTCATGTCTAGCGGGTCATTGGAAAGAACTGTGTCAGCACAGACAGCGCCCGCAGTAGTACCTCTGAGAAGCAATGACCAAATTTCTGTTCCAGAGGACAGTACAAAACGATATTCCGTCTCGGGACGGAAACATGTGAAGAGAACTGTTACGACGCCTGGCCGTTTCCAGACTGAAATCAAAATAGACGAACGCCTGATCAGAAAATACCCCACCGTGAAGTCCGAAGCCAGCTGGTTCTACAGGTTTGTTGCCTTCATGAAGGAGATCAAGCACGTCATGTTTGACGACGTACTTGACTTCATTGATGGTTTCTACGCACGGTTCTGGAAATGGTCGTTGATGGTGTGGATAATGCAAAAGTACAACGCAAACAAGGATAGGCGGTATGTCGGCACTCTGCTGCAAGTAATCAAGCTGCTCTTGAACACCCGAACGGTTATCTTTCTTCCTTTGTTCCCTGTCGGAATTGTGCTCTATGCCAAGAAATCGGACATTGGCGCAGTTATCACGTTGGTGCTGGCCTTGATGTATTTCGCCAAAATCCTGTCCAATGTCACTGAGCACGCAGAACACCACGTGGGGCCGGCCTTGGGTGCGCTGTTAAATGCCACCTTTGGAAACCTCGTGGAGCTCATCATTTCCGGAACGACAGTGTCGAAAGACGACGCAACGTTGACCATCACCTCACTGGTGGGATCGATCATCTCGAACAACCTGCTTGTCATTGGCTCTTGTTTCTTCTTTGGCGGCTTGGAAGGTATGCAGTTTGCTACTTCTGCAGTGAAGGGAATCGCCAACCACATGTTTTTCTTGGCGTGCATCACCGTTATATTATCCATGATGTCTGTGATCTCCGTGATTGACCCCGGAAAAAGCATGCAATTCAAGATGAATACATCTCAGATTGGTGCTGCTTTCATCTTTGTTGTGTACGCGACTTACCTGGTGGTTTCCACAAACGAGGAGTTTAAGTCGATGAAGAGAGTGAAACTGAAAAGCAAGCAGCAAGAAGATGCCCTGGAGGGCCAGCCGTTGGACACCGACTCAGAGCTAGACAGCGATTCCGAAAGCGATTCCGAGTTTGAAGGCGAAGAAGAGATCTTCCCACTCAGAGTCTGCTTCATCGCTCTGCTCGTTTCGGTGGCAGGCCTGGGCCCCACGTCGAACTTTTTCGTCGAGTCTCTGAAAACTCTCACCGACGATAAGCCGATATCCAAGGTATTTATTGGTATGGTGATTCTTCCCTTGGCCGGCTCGCTTCCAGAACACATCTCGTCCTTAATCAGCGCTCACCATAACAATATGGCACTGTCTGTTTCACTAGCAATAGGTTCCTCGAACCAGGTGCTGGGAATGGTCCTTCCAATCATCCAGTTCATCTCGTCCCACTACCCCTCGACCGGCTTTTCGCTCTATATCGAGCCCTACGTGGCTGCGTACATCTTCTGCAGCTCTGTGGCGTGCATTTCGTCCCTGGTCCACGGATGCATTGTCTACTTGACGTTTGCACAAAGTTAATTGATAAGGTCATTATACATTAGTCGAGGTCCTCCTCCTCGTTATTGGTCAGAAACACTCTTTTCCCGTAATGCTGGTTTTTTGCTGTGATGATCAGCCAGTTCCAGAAGTCTCCAACAATCTTGCTCCAGGTGTAGAGACTCCATGGAAGCCACGTAAAGTACGCAATGGTCCATGCCGCCACGGGCTCGTAGCCTGGCGTGTAGATGACTTTGTAGACCAGCTCCAACGACTCCAGCACGCTCTTGTTGCCCCAGAAACTGTACGCCAGCACATAATACGCCACAATGACCAGCAGCTGCACAACAAGCACGCTGAAATAACCAGGGCTCCTGAACATAAACTCGTACCACGTCCGGGTGAGCGCACCTTCGGTACGAGTGTACGCGTGAACCACAGAGGACACAAAAAGAGAGACACTGTACAGTGGTGTCTTCTCGGATATCCAAGCAGCGTACAGAGGCCCGATCTCATAGACATGTGACTGAAAAGTCGACACAGCAGTAGCACTGGTAACAACCGGCAACACTGTCGACAGCATGCACACAGAAGGCGTCAGGGCAAGAGCAACAAATTTCCTGGAGGTCGGCAGCACATGGAAGCGCACGAAACGAACAACAGAGCCTACTCCCTTCTTCAAATAGGTGATGAGATCCTGCTGCTCTTCGCTCGCCTTGTAGTCAACAAAATAGACAAAGCACCGAACTGCTGCTGCCAATGCAACAAAGCCAACAAACAGCTCGTTTGCATCCAGGGTTTCTGTATCGTGGTGGAAAAAAAGCTTGTGAAGCATGGTGTTTTTCACCGGTGCCAGAACCAATTTGGCAAATAACAGTGTAGCCCCGAAAACCAGACCGCCAAGCGTCAATGAATATACCCACAGACAGCCCAACAGTGCAAAGATACGCGGCTTGAAATTAGGAGGCCGGTAGACTATTGTGTACGAGGTGATCGACACCAGCTCCTCGTCTCCGTAGGGGTTGTTTTCGACTTCAGTTTCATCCTCGCCATCGGGAACAGGGGCCAACGGCACGTCGTTTTTGGTCACGGGAACAAAAAGCTTTCTGATGAAGGAACGGGACACATTATCGTCGTCAGGTGCGCGAACAAACGTTCCATCAGGGACAAAACAGCAAGTGGCTTCTGGGTGTTCTTGGAAGAACGCATTCGTTTCTGTCTCCGGCACCGGCAAGTTATAGTCCGGCTTGTGGGCCAGTAGACGGTACACCAGAGACCGGTACACGACGCGGCCTCGTTCCTCGGGCACGTCCATACCTAAAATGAACGATGAAAGTCTAAGCAGGGAGCACGCCTGTTTGAAAGCCATTTGCCAGTATGCACGGAAAAGTCTTGCAAAAGAGGGTTGTGTCGCGATGGATCTGATCAAAGGAGGGATGACCGACCAAATGCCAGAGATAGTGTATCGAATAGGGAATAACTTGTAAGGAGCAAGGTACTTGAGGCCCCAGGTGACTGCGGCAAACTCCAAGGCGATGTAAATTGTATAAACGAGCCCCGAGAGCGCGATTCTCGAAATCTGCAATCCAAACGGCTTCATCAAGGCGTCGTGGATGAGCCGGACATTTGGGTCGTCTGGAGACCGGATGAAAAACAGAACGCCCTTTCTGAGAATATCGCTGCGTGCCATGCTGACGAAGGACGCAAAAACGTACATGAAGTAAGTTCCTAGTCCAAGGGTCAGCACGATACTCCTGTATGGCGAATTGACGATGTCGAACGTAGCAAAAAAGCTGTTCTCCGTGAGGACTGGAGCGAGCACAAAATCCAGCTGCAATCCACAGAAAAAGGGAAAGACCAGCAGCTCAATGCAGAAAATAGAGAGCACCTTCAATGTGCAAACGACCTCGAGTAGCGCAACATATATGGCCCGGTATCCACGAGAGAGCGGGTTCACGGGCGAGCATCCGGACTCGAGCAGGTGCATGATTGCAGCAATTGTAGACCCCACAGTGAAATAGCCCGCAGCCAAAACCAGCGTCCTCTCCAATACTTCTGCTTCGGGAGTCCAGTTGACGATATTAGAATAGACGTGCTGAAGCGAGGAGAGATCAACGGAAGGCAGATAGTCGAGAGGAATGTTGTAATTAAATGTAAATTGGATGCCAGCCATTCGGACAAGATGCAACATCAGCCTGTAGGAGAGCGCAACAAGGGAGTGGATCGCGGTAAGAGAGATCATACCCAGCAACGAGGGAAGGAAGTAAAAAACACCCAGAACCACAATCACTATGAGTTCCAGAAACCATGCGACCTTGATCAGAAACAGAGGAGTAAGCGAGAATTCCACCAAAACGTTCTCACCTCCTCCGGCTTGCTGTCTGCGCTGCTCCTCCTGCCATTCTTGCATTTGCCGAATGCGCCGCTGCTCTCTCTGGTTCCTTGCTCTGTCAATACGGAGCTGTCTAAGCAGTTCGTCACGAGCGAGCCTGTCGGCGTCATCGTCAATTTCTTCATCCTGCTCTTGTTGCACGGCAGGATCAAGGGCATGCAGACGAGGTGTTTCGGGCCGTCTGGGAATCTCATTTCTTGGTTGCTGGAGCATCTGTAGGATCTTTTGCGCGGTGAACTCCGGCCCAATGTTATGCTCAATAATTTTTGAAAAGCCTTCGTCTTTGGTGACCCACTCGTGAACGGCAACTGTTACAATGATCAACGTGGCCCCAAAAACCAGGATGCGCAGGCCTTTGAAGTAACAACTGAAAAGAAGCGTCTTGAGACTCGTTGAGGTTAGCCAACCTTTTGGGTCTGGTGCCTGTTTGCCAAAAAGAGTAGACTCCCGGATCGTTTGGTGGGGCATGTAGCAGCCCAGTAGATATGTATAGAGGCGAGCTAGGAATGTGGTGGAAATCGGGAGTTGCAACAAGATGAATACCAAGCCAATCACAACAATTAGCACATAGTACAGGACACTCTGGCAGACTGTCTGAAGAGTGTGCAGAATTATGTAAATCGGTGGTCGTTCTGGGGTGTCGGAATCATAGATCGTCTGGAAGGCGTACTTTGTATGGCAAATATCGCAGGTCTGCTTGTGCGAGTGTTCGAGCCACGACATCAGGCAATCCTGATGTATGTACTTGATCGACCCGCGACACTTACATGGGTGGAACAGCGGGTCTTCGGGAGTTCCTTCACACCGACAGATTCGACACGTTTGTTCTTCCATGAAGAAAAAAAATAGATTAAAAATATTTTGGTGCGAAACGGGATATGTGTAAAAATATATACATATATAAATATATATATGGATTTATCTAGCTTGGTGATCTGGCGTCGTGCCCGCACGATTGATGTTCATGCTGAGCGCCTCTATGGCGGCCTCCCGCGCTATGTCGTTAATCACCTGCTCTGTGTCTTCTGTGGGCTCCTCGTAGACTTGCTTTGAGTTGCGGAAATCGAGCATCAGCGGACGGATGCATGCCACGCCAGTATCAGTGCGGAAGTGTCTGCGTAGTGCGTCCGGGCGGGCAAACTTCCGATTGCACCCCCAGGTGGTTTTTCCGTCGCTCAAAAGGCCTCCACATTTGAGCTTCTTGTCGTTCTCGTGCAGTTTCTCGTGTCGACGTCTGTCGTGCGACCTAGCGAACGGTTTGGAGCAGTACTTGCAAGGAAACGGCTTTTCATTGGAGTGCGTCTTCTGGTGCGATTTCAGGTTGTACGGCTTGGGGAACACTTTATCGCATATCCGGCATGGGTACACTGCTCCCGACTTTGACGTTTTCGTGGACGCGATTGTCCTGTTGTCGTTAAGCGACGGCATGTACGTCGGCGAGATGCCGAGAGATGGTACGCGAGGCGCGATTTGACCCCTCTGCTGCGGAAACTGGTAAAACATGTCGCCCGGCTTGTTGTATCGGTTCGGCGTTCCAAGTGGCTGTGAGTTGTAGTAGATCGGCGGGGAAAGACCGATGAAGTCCGCCGGATCCGAGAGCATGAAATCCTGGTGCTCATACAAGGACGAGGGAGGCACCAACGGCTGCTGCTGCTGGGTTTGTAGCGGGTTCACAGCCGAGAGGGTAGGAAGCTTATTATACTGGTTTTGCGCAAGGCGAGCATTTAAATGGTCCGTTGACATCTGCTGCAAATTAGAAAATCCTGGGGGAGTAGATGCCATTCCGAACTTCAACATGAAGAGCGACGCCGATTTTGGGGGCTCTCGAGGATATCCCAGATTTATATAAACAGTTGTAGGTGGAGGAGATTTCTAAGATAGCTCGGTTCTTATTGTAATGCGTTCCAGATGCATCATGCAAGAGTGAGGCGGAATAATTTGGTTCTGGAATAAAACCTCACCGTGCGCGAGGAGGCTTAAGTGCTGATGGGCGTAGGAGCCAAGCCCCGTACCGCAGGTCCCAGTGTTGAAACGCCAAGTGCGGCTTGTAGGGACTGGTTGAAACGGTTGGCTCGGGATTTGAGATGGCGCACGCGGTAAATATGTCCTTAGGCTGCACTCAGCCCACATCTAGTCTAGGCACAGATATGTGCAACTTCTCGGTGTCTGGGAGCCAATAGAAAAAGTTTGCAGATTCCGGAAAGGGAATACCGGACCGGAACAAGTAGCAACAATAAAAACACTCCACCGACAACACCCATTTACCGGAGGAAATTAAACCAGTACATGCATGCTCACAGATGTACCTCACAGACAAAGAAAATGGCAGGAAATGTCAGCTTGAGTGGCTTTGTCGGCGTTCAAAAGCTTTGTTCGGGCTTCCCAATCAGGAAGCAGGCTTAACTCGCTAAATTCGCAGACAATAGTCCGTAATCACCGATTCTCAGTCACCGGAAAACCGGGGCCAAAATATAGCCCCTAATCGCCTCCAACGCCTTGACGCGAATCAATTCCTGCGACGTAGTTAATAAGTCTTCCTTTACTTATACATCTAATTACTGTATGTTTGCCTAGGGAATGGGAAAGATGGACCAATCTCCTGGATCGACAGCTTAGCCAGCCAGTGCCCCATGTCAACGGAGGTAGCAAGATCCTTGCCCTGGACCAAGCCAGCGACAAAACCGGCAGCAAAAGCATCACCTGCTCCGTTGGTGTCTGTCACTTTCGAAGCCTCCAACGCATGCACAGGGTACTCCTTCACCTCAAAGTCCCCATTCTGGTGGACAACGACCAAAGTGGGGTCAGTTCCCTGGGTGAAAACAACAGTACGCGGTCTCTTGCCGTTAACTTTGGTCGATTTGGCAATAAACTTGGCAACAGAGACCAGATCAGAGGCGTCAAGACCGTTGGCTTCTGCAAACGCAGCGGCCTCCGACTCGTTGCAGATGACGTAATCAACGTATGGCAGGACGCGTTCCAATGGCTCTTTGAAGAACTGAGGAATGAATGGAGCGGAAAAGTTGAGCACAAAGGGCTTGTTCTCTTCGGCAGCATGTCTTCCAAGCAGCTCGATAGCCTCTGGAGAGACGGTCAGGTGGAAGCCCCCAATGTAGAAAACTTTACCATTTTTCACATGCTCCCAGTTTTCAGGCTTCTCCAGATGCGATGGCTTGAAGTGGTTAGCAGCACCTAAATCGGTGACCAACGATCTGTTGGTACCATTGATCAAAGCAGCACACTTGCCGGTGGGAATGTCGTCTTGCACCATGTAGGCGGTGGTGAGGCCAACAGATTTGTTGGCCTCGATGAGCTTGTCTGCATACTTGTCTTTTCCAACAGAGCCAAAGTAGAGCACAGAGTTGGCTGGCAGAATATACTGGGCGCCTCTAGCGGTGTTCTGAGCGGCACCTCCAGCGAGCAAACGCACATCAGGACGGGCAAGGGCCTCGTCGAAGATTGGCATGTGCTTTTCCTCGCTCAAAATAGCATCATTTTCCTTGAGGCCGTATTTATTAAGGTAAGCATTGCCAACATTCACCTGCAAATCGAGCAGCGGGTTCCCCAAACAAACAAGATCGAAAGCCATCGTAACACAGTAAAGTTTTTCTTTGGTAGGTTCTAAAGTCCTTGGGTATATTTTTTTTATAATTTTTACATAAGCACCGATTTCACATTTTATTTGTTGGGCCAAACACGTTCAAACTCATGCTCTATATTGACCAGGATCCATTTTTGAAATACAATCCGTACCTGGAGTCTGCAAAGACGCCGTTCCAAAGACACTGGCATGAAATTGTAGCCAGCGCGTTGTTCTATCATGCAATCACCATGGCTGCCCCGTTGATCAATACCGCGATCTTTGGAAAGCATTACACAGGCATCACCAATAAAAAACGCAAACTCAACTTTGACATTCACATTTCCGCATTCGTGCAGTCCATCGTGTCAGTTGCCCTATGCATCCCCATGTTCTTCCATCCATACTTTAAATCCGATCCGGTGTTTGGATCCTACGACTTTGCCGGATTGACCGCCGCGCTCACCTGCGGATATTTCGTGTGGGACCTGCTGTACTGCTGCTTGTTCCACTTCGACATGTTTGGCCTGCCGTACTTATTCCACGCAGGAGCAGCACTTACCGTGTTTGGGATGACCTTTAAAGGGTTCTGCCAGCCGTCGATTCCTTCGTTCCTGATCTTCGAGGCCAGTACGCCCTTCGTCAACCTGTACTGGTTTGCATCGAGGCTCCCAAAGGGGGCTGTGAACGAGACACTGTTTATTGTGAACGGAGTTCTGCTAATTGTTTCGTTCTTCTTGTGCCGGATCGTCTGGGGCATCTACGCTGCCTTCAGAACTTTCTATATCTGCTTCCAAGTGCGTGAACAGCTGCCAACCGGGAGCCTGCCCATCACCATAGTGCTCAACATTGGCCTCAATGTGCTCAACATCCACTGGTTTTCCAAGATGGTGCTTCTGGCATACAAACAATTTGCTCGCTCAGGAGAGAAACACGAGTAGCTCGCGATAGACATCCGTGCACCAGCTACCCCACAAAAAACAGCGTAAGCGGTGCTGGAATTTTCCAGAAATTGCCTTAGTATGGAGAAGGTACCAGCAACCGACAGTCGACACCAGAGTTTCCATATGTTTCCATCCGATGTAGCATTTTTTTGTATATAAAGCGGGCCTCATGCCACGCATATTTCCTCAGTATTAATTCAAGATGTCTAAAGCAGTCGGAATTGATTTAGGAACAACGTATTCTTGCGTGGCCCACTTTGTCAACGACAGAGTTGAGATCATTGCCAATGACCAAGGTAACAGAACCACACCTTCTTTTGTGGCTTTCACCGATACCGAGCGGTTGATCGGTGATGCCGCTAAGAACCAGGCTGCCATGAACCCAGCCAACACTGTGTTCGACGCCAAGAGACTGATCGGTAGAAAGTTTGATGACCCAGAAGTGCAGAACGATATAAAACACTTCCCATTCAAGGTCGTTGAGAAGGGTGGCAAGCCTCACATTCAGGTCGAGTTCAAGGGTGAGACCAAGGTGTTCACTCCAGAGGAAATCTCGTCGATGGTGCTGACCAAGATGAAAGAAACAGCAGAGTCGTACATGGGTGGCAAAGTGACTGACGCCGTCATCACTGTCCCTGCCTACTTCAACGACTCGCAAAGACAAGCAACCAAGGATGCCGGTCTGATTGCCGGTTTGAATGTGCTCAGAATCATCAACGAGCCAACCGCCGCTGCCATCGCCTACGGTCTTGATAAGAAGGAGCAAGGTAAAGGCGAACAAAATATTTTGATTTTCGATCTTGGTGGTGGTACCTTCGATGTTTCTTTGTTGTCCATTGACGAGGGTATCTTTGAGGTTAAGGCTACGGCCGGTGATACCCACTTGGGTGGTGAGGACTTCGATAACAGACTGGTCAACCACTTCGCTAACGAGTTCAAGAGAAAGTACAAGAAAGACCTAACGACCAACCAGAGAGCATTGAGAAGACTGAGAACAGCCTGCGAAAGGGCCAAGAGAACTCTCTCGTCCTCCGCCCAGACTTCTGTCGAAATCGACTCTCTGTACGAGGGTATCGACTTCTACACCTCGATCACCAGAGCCAGATTCGAGGAGCTCTGTCAGGACCTCTTCAGATCCACTTTGGACCCAGTCGAGAAGGTCATGAGAGACGCCAAGCTCGACAAGTCACAGGTTGCCGAGATCGTGCTGGTTGGTGGTTCGACAAGAATTCCAAAGATCCAGAAGCTCGTTTCTGACTTCTTCAACGGCAAGGAGCCTAACAAGTCCATCAACCCAGATGAGGCTGTTGCCTACGGTGCTGCAGTCCAGGCCGCTATCTTGACTGGTGACACCTCGTCCAAGACTCAAGACCTGCTTCTTTTGGATGTTGCTCCACTGTCTCTGGGTATTGAGACCGCTGGTGGTGTCATGACCAAGCTGATCCCTAGAAACACCACCATCCCAACCAAGAAGTCTGAGATCTTCTCCACCTACTCGGACAACCAGCCTGGCGTCCTGATCCAGGTGTACGAGGGTGAGAGAGCCAAGACCAAAGACAACAATCTGCTCGGTAAATTCGAGCTTTCTGGTATTCCACCAGCACCAAGAGGTGTTCCTCAAATCGAGGTCACCTTCGATATCGACGCCAACGGTATTCTGAATGTGTCCGCTGTTGAAAAGGGTACCGGAAAGTCTCAGAAGATCACTATCACCAACGACAAGGGCAGACTGTCCAAGGAGGAGATTGATAGAATGGTCGCCGAGGCTGAAAAGTACAAAGAGGAGGATGAAAAGGAGGCTGCCAGAATTGCTGCCAAGAACGGTCTGGAGTCCTACGCTTACTCATTGAAGCAAACTGCTTCTGAGAAACAGTTCGAAGAGAAAGTGGACGCTTCTAAGAGAGAGTCTCTCAACAAGGCCATCGAGGAAACGATCTCGTGGCTCGACAACAACCAGTCCGCCACCACTGACGAGTATGAGGACAAGCGTAAGGAGCTTGAAGGTATTGCTAATGACGCATTGAAGGACTTGTACGCAGCCGGTGGTGTTCCAGGCGGCGCTGCTCCAGGTGGCTTCCCAGGTGCTGGCGGAGCTGCTCCGGGCGCTGACCAGGGTCCTTCCGTCGAAGAGGTGGACTAAACGATTCATGATGAGATAGGTAATGAAGGTTAGAAGGGTTTTATAGGAATATTTAATGGAATTACTATACGTGCTACTCAATTTCCTCGACTGTGGCCCGTTTGGTGGCCGTTGTAGTATTTTTTTCTGATTGCGACGAAACTGGCGGTGCATGTTTATGTTCGGACGCGGCCCTGGATTTCTTCTTCTTCCCCTTCCCTTTAGGTTCTTCCCATGCGTAAAGCGGCACAAAACTATCAAAGAAACCGCAATCGTCAAACAGTCGTGGGAAAAGCCAGAATTGTGAAGGAAGAAAAACGAGCGTGAACACGTAGATGATGAGTCGCACAATGGCGAGGGCGAAAAACAGACCAATCAGGCCCAGCAGACACGTACTCAGATACCAAACACCCTTTCTCATCCAGAAAGGCCACAAGGGGAACAGGATCACGGTGAATATGGCTACAAGCCCCAGTAGAGAATACACCACAAGGTACGGGTTTGGGGGCGTGAAAGTCCATACGAAATATTCGTCTGGTTGCAAAACAGCTTTTGTGGTCGACTCGAGGCATGGAACGCCCTTTTCGAGCTTGGCCTTCTTTTGTTTTGCTTCCTGTGTCTTGAGCTTCTTGACCGGCTGGATGAGCTGGTTCTGGATCATCAAAATGAACATTCTCTGTGCCTGTGCATTGTCTGCAATTATAGGAAGCGAGGGTTGTTTGGCCTGTTGTTTCTTGTACTCGTCGCTTAGCAATGCCCTTATACATCTTTTGTACCTGAAGAAGTCCTGTTTTTCCTTTGTGTTGATGTTGAATCCCTGTCTTTGTTTCAGGATCTTGTGATGGCGCAGGTACGTGGCCACAGTGACCGCCACGGGGTCTTTCACAGCCGGAGGCGTAAGCTTCTGTGTCTCGGATGGCCCTTGTAGTTGATTCATTGACGACGAGTTTTTTATTTAGCGATGTGTTTTAGCAAATCTCGAGATTGAGCGCCACACGACCCTCCTTGTAGCAGCTCTCGAACGGTATCCGACAGACGATGGGGACACAAAATTACATCAGGACCTGTTTAGCCAGTGTTCGTGTCGACCTGCCCTGCTGTTTGGTGGATAGCAGTGGACCGAAAAATTTCACTGTGGCAGCGTTGCGGAGTATGCAGGTATTAGTCATGCTGCTATTATAAGTTCGCTGCTGGCCAAATAATTAGTTGTTCATTATTTACCATGGCCAAGCTTAACGTTGCAATTGTTGGTACGGGTATTTTCGCCACAAAGGCCCATCTGCCTACCCTTCAGAAGTCGGAGTATTTCACTCCATACTCGTGTTTCAATAGAACCAGAGCCAAGGCAGAGGAGTTTGCCAAGAAAGACTCCAGCATTCAAAAGGTGTACGACAATCTCGAGGAGGTCTTTGAGGACCCAGAAGTATATCTTGTGGACGCCTTACTTCCTGCTCAGTTTACTTTGGACGCATTGAAGCTGGCAGTCAAACACAAGAAGAACATTGCGCTGGAGAAACCGTTGGCTGCAAATATCGAACAGGCGAAAGAGTTCGTCAAGGTTTCGAGAGAAAACCCTGACGTTACCGTGTTCATTTTGGAGCACTGGTCCTATTTCAAGGCCGTGGAGGAGCTCAAACGGGCGGTTTCTAAGATTGGAAAAGCGTACTCCTTTACATATCATTCGACAGGACCTTTCAACTTTGACAATGCTTATCTGTCCACGTCCTGGAGACAGAAGCCAGAACACATTGGCGGGTTCCTTTCTGATGGTGGTGTGCACCAGCTTGCCCTTCTGACCGGCGTGCTCGGCGAGGTGAAGACGGTTTCTGCGCACACGAGGCAGATCCGCGAGCAGAGCGGTGCTGACGACATTGCGTACGCGCTTCTGGAGACCGAGGGCGGCCAGATAGGCACATTTACCTACGGATCTGCTTTCGGCAATACTGAAAAAAGCTGTTTTTTCGAGATTCTCGGCGACAACGGGTCTGTTCACTTCGACTTCAGTCCGGGAAAAGAGAGAGCGATCACTATTAGAACAGGCGGGCTCACCGCGGACACTCCCAAAAATACCGAGAGAATTACGATCGAGGACGAGTTTTTGAGCACAGACAGAGAGTTTGAGGTTCTGGGCGAGGCGCTCACCACAAAGGACAAGTCCAAGATTATCACTACGCCAGAGGTGTGTTTCCACCATCTGAGCATTGTGGATGCGATCCTAAGAAGCAGCAAAAACAACGGGTCGCCAGAGGAAGTGATTAAGCCGTAAATTAGCGACTATATATTAAGTTACTAGTACCATTTCCATCTCATGAACTGCAGAATAGCACAGCTCACAATACTGACGCCCAACATTAGGACCAGCATCATGTTGGAGTATTGGTACAATCTTGCTGCGTCGGCCGGCCAGCCCGAATAAAGAGCGTAGGTGGCAGTGACGGAGCCAAGGTTTCCAAGACCAGACACCAGCGCTGCCGCCACTGCTGTGCCAACGTCTCCGTAAACAGGCAGCATGATCTCGGACGACATGGTCATAGTGATCGGCACGGTTGGCCCAAGACCAAAGCCGGCAATGAGCAGCCCGGAGTATCTGTGCCAGAACCCATGGGCATAGGTTGTGACAATCAATCCCACGATGATTATCAGGGTGCTGGCACTAAAGAGAATCGGCCGCAAGCTCTTGAATTTGTCTGCAAACGGTGTCACAAGCAAAATACCTCCAAGGTCGAAAAGCCAGATTGGAGCATACAGCAGTGAAACATCGATACCAGACAGACTTGGGTTCAAGGCACTGATGAGAGTGGTACCGAACACAGCTAGGCCAAATCCGGTTCCAACAACCCCAAAATACATGATAATCAGAGGCCATGTCCGCAGATCAGAGATGACCTTGACCACGTCCCTCCAGCCCCAGCTGAGCTTGATGTACCGTGCCTTCATGTCCTGCTCGTGGATGCGGCGATTTTCGCCAGTTAGAGGCTGAGGCGAGCGGAAGAAGACCGCCACCTTCTCTGGCAGGAACGATTTTTTAGGACTGACTAGGTGTGATGGTCTATCAGGAAGCCACCAAATCAGGGTGAAGCCAACAAAAATGGTGATAGACCCATAGACGATAAAAAGCCATTTCCAGCCCTCCATGTTTCTGGTCATATCCATCTTCTGGAAGCCTGCAGCAACCAATCCAGCGGCGGAAGCACTCAGCTGGGCAGCAGTGAAATAGTAGCCGATTCTGCGGGCTGTGCGGTGTTCTGGATACCACAGAGAGATGTAGTATGTCATGCCAGGCCACACGCCTGCTCCGGCCACACCGGAGAAGAAACGGATGGCAATGAGGCCACTTGCGTTCTTCAAAGCGGCATAACACGTGTAGAGCAGACCAACACTGACCACCATTCTGCTGAGCCAGACTTGAGGAGACATTTTGGTCATGGCTAGGTTCATTGGCAGATCAAACAGAATGAAGCCCACGTATTCCAGCGCCGACGCAACAGACGTGTCGTGGGACGTGAGATTCAAAGTTTGCTTGAGCGAGTGCCCAGTTTCAAAATTCATGGTTAGGGTGTTTCCGTATGCAGATCCTCCAAAAGACGTGAGGAAGTACAGACACCACAGAGCAGGAATGATCCGGAAGTCCAGATGCCTGTAGATCCGGTCCAACTTCTTATCTTCCACAGGGGTGAGGTGCTCAACTTCCTGCGAAGCCTCAGTTTTGGTGCTCGATTCAACGTCCATTTTGGTGTACCATTTTTAATTTTCAGCCGGTCAATTTATACTGATAAAAAAATTGACTAAGTCACTAAATTTTTGTGCAGAATGAATCACCGGAGTCACCTGCACAGCCAGGCTGCCGTGCATGCAACGATGAAAATTCAGCCATGATTTGGACCACCTGTCTAGTTTAGGAAATCGTATCTAGGAGTCCTGTGATTGATATGCTGATCTATTGTTGGCTGTAATTGTTCAAGGACATTTCCGTCGCCTGTTGGGGCCCTGAATCGGACAACCGTGTTTGTCATACTTTTGTTGAACACTGTATCAGATTATATATGGCTGGCTCAACAATGTTTGGATATTGTGATTGGCAAGACGGACATAGGCACAGATCTGGCCTTCCCACTACTGCTCGACGTCATCGGAAGTAGGCCGTCAAAGAACGCTTTTGTACCCAACAGAATTAAGCTGATGGAGTTGATTATGCAGATATAGACACCTCCAAACAAAACTACGATAATACATGCCGCGGAGCTTGTCGGGCGTCGGTCGACCAATGAGCCATCGACTCCGATCATAATCTGTACGCTATATCACATTGCATCGGAGCAGGCATAGATTGGAGACACAAATGGTGCTGCTTCAGACTATTCAGACACTCAATTAGTCTCACCCACTATGTCTGGTGGCTATTCATCATGGGATTCAACTGTAAATCGATTCTCACTCCTTAGATCAACTTCGATTCTTTTACTAAAGTATCCAGTGCACGACCAATATTTTCTTGTATAAACTTTTTCATCGACACTAATACCACCATGTGGAAACAGATTATTACCAGACCCCAGTCGACTCTTACGCCGGTGTCGCTCTCGTTGCCGCAGAGACCTCTGTCTCCTACGACAGTTTCAAGACTGACCAAGGTTTTCCCCCAAATCGAACAAGTCAACGCCGACAACTTGTACGGAAAACCATTCAGAAACGCTTACTACATTTCAAGAACTCAGAAAGGAAACATACCCGTTTACAGAACCTACAAAAGTCAGGCTATTGTCACCGAAGTGCGAAGAATCGAAGGAAGCTTGACCAAGTTTAGGGACGACGTCCAGAAGCTTTTCCCCGAGAAACCAAAAGGCGATTTTACGTGCCTCATGCAAAGTATGACACTCCGGATCAAAGGCGACGTCTCCAAACCTCTCAAAAAGTACCTGAACGAAGCATTCTAGTGTATATAGACCTGAACATATGTAATCTCTCTTGATGTGTTTGTGCTTACGTAAATCCAAAACTAAGCTGCGCATAACAGGAAGGGGAACAAAACACTAAAATATATTGTTGACATCGTTTTCAGCACCAATAGCAATCTGCAGTCTCCTGTTTGCAGTAACGACTCTGTTAATGCATAATGTCGTCTGTACAATCTGCTGAGTTAGCATCTCCGGCCAATGTCGAGCATCTTCATGACCGGTTTAACCAAGTAACTGCGGTTAACGGAGAAGAAAAGCAGAATGCTAGTTCACAGCGATTCTCCGGCAAAGAAAATGACCACGACAAGAACCAGCCTCCTGTAGGAGAGGAAAGCCGCATCAAAAATGACTACTGGAGGGACGAAGACTCGAGAACGGTCCCTACGCCTACTGCTAGAAGGACAGGCAGACTATCACTTTTCTCGTTCAAAGGGACGCACAACGAGCACGCTTCAGAGCAACCGATCGAGGAAAGAGAACCGCTTCAAAAGAAGATTTTGAAAGGGATCAAAAGAGTGGCCACCCGAGGGGAACCAGTGAGAAGTTCCACTGCTCATGGGCAGATAGACCATTCTCACGAACTTGAGTACAAAAGCCACATGAAAACAAGGTGGTTGGTTGACGCAAACATTTTAGGATACCCAGTTGCATTGGTCATTGCCACATATTTCATGTCTGATGAGCACGGCACAAGAAGAGTGCCACTTTTGCTTCAAATGCTTAGCTTGACGCTCACTGATGTGAGTACTAATGCGCATACTAAAAAACGCAAATTCAGAATAGACCTCGATTACGCAGTGGGGGGCCAGTATTTAAGGTGGTCTTTAGAGAAGACTTCCCGAGATTTGGCAGTTTTGCACAATCGATTGAGGCTCATGATTTTGCAAGAGAACGTGCTACAGAAGGGTCACAAGGAGATCGAGCTCCCAAAATTCCCTAAATATAAAAATCAAACCACATACTCAAAGCTAAAGCAAGGAGTCAATAGAGTGGAAACCAACGCATCGTCATTGATGTCGCCCAATGATGAAACCCCTACCGCATACAATCCCGTGAATTCCTCGGAATCCAGCGACGATGAGGAAAATGCCAGCATGTTCTCCGTTCGTTCCAGCCTAAGAAGACATGGGTTTTTTAAGCGCAAGCCAAACGATATTCTCGCCAACGAACATTATAGGGATGCTATGCAAGAGTATCTGGATAATTTGATTCGTACATTCAACTTGCGCCCTCAAGCGAACCGTATATTCCAATTTTTTGAACTGTCGCCAATAGGAATGCTCTTATCGTACGAAACAGGAAGAAAGCGCAAGGAGGGCTATCTGCTGATTAAAACAACAGCGAAAGCTCAAGGATGGAGAGTCGGGCATCTGAAAGCCAGAGAACTGAAAGCCATGGTTGAGCGCCACATTGCAAAATGGTTCATACTGGGTCACAGTTACATTATGTACGTTGCTGACATAAACTCCACAACTCCGCTGGATGTATTCCTCATTGACAACAATTTCAAATTTACTCTTTCAGGCTTTGGTGATGCTCCCGTCACATTGCACAACTTATCCGACTTTGTAAAGCAACAGCTCAAAGCGGAGGAAGAAGATGACGACGATGATGAAGATGGCTATGTGGAAGATCCTGCACCGATGCACAAGTCTTATTTGTCGTTAACCCTCGAAAACTCGGAACGGAAACTGAGTGTCGTCGGCAAGTCCGCAAATCAGATGAAGAGATGGTGTGTTGCAATCAATGAAATGGCAAAAGAGACCATCTGGTCCAAGAAGCATCGGTTTGAGAGCTTTGCACCTGTCCGTGATAATGTGTTTGCAAAATGGTTTGTGGATGCGAGAGACTACATGTGGGCTGTTTCCGCAGCAATAGAAATGGCGAAAGATGTGGTCTATATTCACGACTGGTGGCTTTCTCCAGAATTGTATCTCAGACGTCCTGCAAATGGCAATCAGGAATGGAGATTGGATAGGCTGCTTAAACGCAAGGCAGAAGAGGGCATCAAAATTTTTGTCATCGTGTATAGAAATGTTGCCAATACCGTGCAGACAGACTCCCTTTGGACTAAACACTCACTGCTGGATCTTCATCCCAATGTTTATGTTCTAAGATCTCCAAATCAGCTCATGCAGAATGTCTACTTCTGGGCTCATCACGAGAAACTTGTTATCATTGATCACACAGTCTGTTTTGTGGGAGGAATTGATCTTTGCTATGGCAGATACGATACTCCTGATCACTCGGTGGTTGACGATGCTCCATATGCATTTGACCCGATCCCTCCAAATAGCTCAAGCTCTACAGGAAATGCGTACCGCTACCAGATTTATCCTGGCAAAGATTACTCAAACCCTAGAATCTGCGACTTTTTTGAGCTCAACCAGCCATTTGAAGACATGATCGATAGACAATCAGTCCCTCGAATGCCATGGCACGACGTCCATATGATGACATGCGGCCATATTGCTAGAGATTTGTCGAGACATTTTGTCCAGCGTTGGAACTTTCTATTACGTCAGAAGCGCCCTTCAAGACTGACGCCATTATTGTTGCCTCCAAGGGACTTTACTGAGCAAGAAATTCAAGAGTTAGGACTTACGGGTACTTGCGAAGTTCAAGTTTTGCGTTCATCTTGCTCGTGGTCTCTAGGACTTCAGGAGCCCGAGCAAAGCATCCACAATGCATACTTGAGACTCATAGAGACGAGCGAGCATTTTATTTACATCGAGAACCAATTCTTTGTCAGCAGCCACGAGCATGATGGCGTAGTAATCAAAAACAAGATTGGCGACGCACTGGTTGAGAGGATTATACGTGCGCATGCAAATAGGGAGTCTTGGAAGGCAGTGATAGTTATACCCTTAATGCCCGGTTTCAAGAGCCAGGTGGATAGCAAAGAAGCATCGTCGATAAGGGTTATTATGCAGTGCCAGTACATGTCTATTTCCATGGGAGAGACGTCCATTTTTGCTAGACTGAGAAGGGCTGGTATTAGACCTGAAGACTATATTCAGTTTTATTCGTTGAGAAAATGGGGATACATTGGGAGAAAAAGGTCTCTGACGACAGAGCAATTGTATGTTCATGCGAAGACGATGGTTGTGGACGACCGCATTGCAATTATTGGTTCGGCAAATATCAATGAAAGATCGATGAGAGGTACTAGAGACTCGGAGATTTGCACGATTATTCGTGACAAAGAAATGATCGACACTTTTATGGATGGAAAGCCATATAAGGTTGCCAAATTTGCTCACACTTTGCGAATGCGGCAGATGAGGGAGCACCTGGGTGTTGACGTCGACTTGTTAGAGCTTGTGGAACGAAGGTTCTCTCAGATCGAGAAGTTTGCGTGTACTTCTGAAGGTCTGACCAGTGCCACCTCCAAAACAGGAGACAAAAAATTATCAGCAATGGTCGAGCTCGCTGCTCGGTATGTGCTAGATCTACCTGATGGAACACCGCGCTTCAAATCAGAATTAAGTGCTCATCGGACCGCCGGTAGCGAGTTGACCAAGAAGCTCATAGCTTCATTCCACAATGACTATGATGATGCTCTCTCCGATAATTTGGACCAGATTCCATTTGTGTATTCCTTTAACCATAGAGCAGGTGAAGAGAATCAAGGAATCAGGGAGAAAAAGGCATTTTCGAGCGATTCGCGGGTTACCGACAAAGCCCATAGAAATGAGGTGAAAGGGAATGGGCCGGACAAGTATCAATCGTCAACGCATGTGAACTCCAAGTCGAGGAACACAAAGCTTCTTGCCGAATGGGCAAGCTCGTCTTCTTCAGACATTCACCAGACTCTTCCATGCATTGAAGATGTGTTAGAGTTCATCACCAGCGATGATGGAAACTTACCGATAGACGTCCTCAACCATCAAAGATGGGATATGTTAAAGCGGTTGCATTATCTGCAGAAGCTTCTCAACAAACGCAAGCGGGAGTCGGATAATGCATCTGCCAATAACAAGGAAGATATCGGGAACTTTTCCTCGGGAACAGAAACCGGATACCCTGAAAGTTCACTTATGAAACAGCCTCGATTTCCGGCCACTTCGCTTTCGGATGCTGATGTTGAAGATCTGAGTACAAACTTTCTACCTAAAGTTTCACAATTGTTTGTGGACCCTTATTCTTTTGAAGACCCTCTGGATATTGATTTTTATGAAGGCTTGTGGATGCCGCAAGCTCTGCGCAATACAATGATCTACCAGATTGTGTTCCATGTTCAACCTGACGACACTGTTCAAACATGGAGTGATTATAAAATGTTCCAGGAATTGAAGGAGTCGTTCCTCTTGCACCAAAGAGCCAGTCACGGTGGTGCTACTGCCGCCGATGGAGAGCATGGAACCACAGAGCTGATGTCTCAGCAACTGAGTCCGGAGACAGCAAATGACAAACCCGGATCGAACGATAGTGTGACAAGCTCAGCAGGCGTCCAGACCCAGCCTCCGTTGAGCTCCGAGACAGACGAGGCCCAGATTGACAGTCTTCGCTACGCCATCCGTCGGTCGAAAATTGCCGAACTCGAAAGATATACGCGTCCTGGAGTCTCCAACAGTTACAACAGATCCAAGTCCAATCCGTTGCTGGGGGTTCCTTCGGTTTACGACTACGAGTCTGCCGAGAAGCTATTGAAACTTGTCACGGGCCATTTAGTCATCTTCCCAACCAAGTGGCTTCAGAAAGAGGTTGAGTCATCAAACTGGTTTTACACGGCGGATAAGCTTCCTCCGGTACAAATCTATAATTGACGTAATCATGTGTAAGGCATTGCTAGATTAGAAAAATACCGGCTGATGTCGAGCGGCACACTACTGATAAGATAAAAGAATTGCGTTTTACAAGATTAGGAAGGCAGGGGTTTTTTTCCGTTATGGAGAGTGTAGTGGACAGCCAGCGGCACGCAGAAAAGCGAGGTCGCCAGTTCCAGGTGCCAAAAAGATATGAGTTCCAAAAAAGCATACCAACAAGTCGTGAATCCTCTGCTCATACTTCCATTTTCAAGCCAAATTTTACGCTCAACAAACTTCGACGCGAGCATTCGACACACTCGCTGCAGACTTCGCTCAAGCGAACACAGTCTCCATTTTTTGGCTCCAAGAATGACCATATGGCGGAAATGAAACGCCATAGTTTATCAGCTGCCTCTGGAGGTGGCCCAGGGTACAGAAACCATATAATAAATGCGTATAATGATTCAAAGGTGTTTGAGACTGTCGCTCCAAGACGAACATCCTCTGTCAATTACATTCTTGACACGCAGTCAAAGCAGGACGCGCAATGTACACCTCCGGTTCCCGACGAGACAGGGAAAAAAAGCATACTAATCCGCAGGCCGCCGCCTAATGAGGCACCTTCGTTTAATTCGTCCATCTCGAAAATTAATTACTATCAGAGCGACTTGCAAGACTCACAATATATAGAGCAAGTCAGGAGACGAGACTTAGGAGACCCTAATTCTGCAGAAATCCAGCACAGGCCGAGCTCTACAGATAATACAACAAAATCAGAGCAGAAAGGAGAGACTACCGATGACGAGACACGTTCAGAGTCCCAGAGTAGCGGGCACGACAATGACGACGCAATAAATCCGTACTTAGATCCTCTCGATTCACACGGGATTGGGGTGTCCGAGTTCTCTACGCCAACGCAAACAGTCCCCATGCGAACGCAGCAACGACAGCTGGCCATTAAGGACCTTCTGCAACATAATAGCTTTGCAGGGAGTGCTTGGTTTGAGTTAGGAATCAACGACGTTCCCAAAACAGAGTATTCTGCAGAACCTGTGGAGCTCATTAGCCAAAATATCTGGGCAAACGTCAGTATTGACGAAAGGAACAAGTACGAGCACATTTCCAACGACCTTCGGAAACTGGCATTGTACAACAAGAAACCAATGATGGATTGCATAGGACGGTATTTTGAGTTTGCGAAACAGACACACATCAATACTAAAGTTCGATCTCGGGCGCTACCCCAAGAAAAGCAAGATTCGTATCTCGATTCTAACGGACGTTTCCGAAAGGGAGTGGGAAGAGAATTGGCAGAGGACTTATGGAACTCAGCAAACAGCAATTTTAGATTCTTCGATACATAGACTCATCCTATCCGTACTGTGAATGTTAGAGAAAGGCTCAGCTATGCTTTCTTACCTTTTTTGGATGAACGAATTAGCACGCTGCCAATAAATGCACCGATTAATGTGACACCAATGCATAGCAACAAAACAGGTATTTTAATAGCATATTCTCTTGGTAGAAACAAGTTTTGTAGAAAGTTGTCTGGCTCGAGGAATGGAAGCACAAACGTCCAAACTGTGTAATAAACAAAAATTAGGGTAGCTGCCAGAAGCATTGAGAGTCCAACAGGCTTATCAAAAGACTTGATTGTTAACACATAACATGCTCGGTACTTACCATTTCGTTTGTCAATGTGCTGGTTTTTTTTATTGATTTCCTTGCCAGGTTTAAGGTGGGCTTGTATTTTATTTTGATATTACATCGTCGTAGCTAAGGTGCGGATCATAAACAAATGACGTGGACCCATCCAGAGGTATCATAGAAACCGGTTTCCATGTATACTTCTCGACTTCCACAATCTCGGGCTTTCCGAAAGAAGAGTTATCATACGTGCGGCCAACAACCAGTTTTTTGTCTGTGTTGGCTATCGGTAACTTGTGCTTGAGAATAAGCTCTTGAAGATTCTCCACTATGGCGAATTTGCTAGGGAACTCATCCAAGCCGATTCCAACAAATTCATGGATCTTGACGTAAATCGCGGAACCATGTTTGTATCGGGGTTGTATTTTGGCGTACGTCTTGCTTCCGCCAATCTTAAACTCCTCTCCGTCCAATACAGCTGTGCCATAGTTAGTTATACGGATATTATCCAAAATACTCTCACTTTTCTCTACCGAACGCAGGTATTGACTCCGTAACTTCCTAGAACACATAACCCGTTTTTGAATCTTGGACTGCAATTTTCGATGTCCAACGTTGTGCCTGTCAAATATCCATTTCGCAGGAACTTTCCAATGATCTTGTTCAATATCGTACTTGAAGTCCATAAACCATAGACAATCATGGATGCTTTTCATCAGCAAACGCCCACCGACGGAAGTCATCGTCTTGCTTTTTAGGTTCCTCACCCAAGGAAGCGACATATCCTTCGCCCTGCAGTAGGTGTTTTCAATATTTTTGACCCTTTTGAGAGTATCACAAGCGTTGAGAAGCATATGGCATGGCACGGATTGAAGTTTCTTGAGACTTTCATATTTGAAGCAAAGGTTTTTGAGATTATCGAGAAGCTGCTTTATGAAACATTTAAACTCTTCTGTATGGTCGGTCAGATCATCACAGGAGTATACTTCAAGATAGGCATTAAGCTCTACCAAAAACATGGTAGCTTCTGACGCTACTCCCTGGTTCCGTGACTTAAGGCACGTGACATAGTAAATTGCATAGAATAGTTTATGACCAATCTGCCAACTTGAACCTTTCACCTGCAAAGCGCTGCTTTTTTTCAGCAGACTGTGAACGAAATTCGGTTGAATGAGCGAGAGGTTTTTAGTTATAGATTGTTTCAATTTGCCAAGCTCGGATATAAACCCGGGGCTATCCTTTGCGAAATAAATTTGATGGATCCCTTTTGCATAAATAGTCTCGTAGAGAAGAGCTTTCAAATCAGAAGGAAACGATTCTGGTACGTTTACTCCTGGAATCTCGGCAAATGTAGTTATCGCATTATTTATTCCCCAGGATCTTGGATCAGGTCCTTTGATGGCGCTGATCATAGATGCTGTGGTAGCAAGGTCTGCACCAAGAATTGATGAAACGGTACATTTGCAAAACCCTGATTCGTGTTCTGACAAACGCACTCTTAAACCGTGGTGATAGAGATCATTCAAGTCCTCAATCAAGGGAGCAAGAAAATACTGTATTTGGTTTTTCGAGTCCACACACGGATATGCAAGACTTACATTTATCGACTCCTCACGTGACCTGAGTTCCTTGTATAGATTATCGAAGGATATGGAAACAATATCATAGTCGACATTGCTCACCGTCACTTTTTGTTCGACCATAAGCGTGACAAACAAGTTGTATTCGTTGCCACTGTGCAAAGATGACAGTTCAATCTGGGCCCTTGAAAATGGATTAGACATGATTGAGCCAATCAATGGTCTCACGGAATTGTAGATCAAATAAGAGCTGTTATCTCTTTCGGAATTGCAGTAAGGGCACCTATTGTGGTCAGAATATTCTTTTGTGAACGCAATACAACGTTTAGGACAGATTGCCACTTTGTAGCTGGATTTTTGTGAAGTGTTCCAGACTCGCTGGCTGGATGCACAAATTGCTCTTATCTCAATATTGTGGGACCCTGACTTTGCATTGACTTTAGAGTACAGCTGGTCGAAATTCTCATATGTCAACATCCCCGTTTGAGTGTAAAAGAACAACTCCCTTCTGACGAGGTCAGTCAGATCGCTTTTCTCCACTACCTCATTCAGTAGCTCGTTTATGTTGGTGTAGTCGATACTAAGGGAACCGTCAAAGTTGCTACCAGTGCTTGCCGGTCTAGAATCCTGATGCTGCGGATCCAGGAAGCTGAAATCAAAATCACCACTGGTTTCACACTCGACCAAAGTGACATCTTCAGAGTGAGGACGCGTCTGACTAATATGAAGATTGCTATTCAAAAAAAGGGTGTTCTGGGATCTGGGATCCTTGTTTGGGGCCCTGTTTTGGGCCTTGGCTGCAAAAACAGTGTTAGGGTCAACTTCTTTCAAGACAGGTCTTGACATTGCTATAATTCAGATTTGTGAAGATATCATGGCTTTATTAGAGTTTATGTGAGATACGCGGTTGATTTTACAGCACCCGATCTCTCAAGATTCTGAAACAAATAAAAGGGGGAAGTAGGATCCGTGGATGGAAGTAATGCGCCACACATGGAACATCGAAAATTTCCATGTGGCGCAGGGGGAGGCGAGTCGGACGGATTATAAATTGTAGTGAAAATCCCAACCAATCACTTACATCGATATTGTTAAACAGCAAAGTCTACTAAACAATACAATTGATCCAAACTAGCACCATGTCGTTCGCCAGAATCCCAGTGAGATCCGCATTGACTGTTTCCAGGAACTCCGGCATTGCTAAAATGTCCATCGGTGGCCTCAGAACCAAGGTCAGCCTGCCAGAATTGAAATGGGACTTTGGAGCATTGGAGCCATACATTTCTGGCCAGATCAATGAGTTGCACTACAGTAAGCACCACCAGACCTACGTCAATGGTTACAACACTGCCATTGAGCAGCATGCCGAGGCCAAGGCTGCGGGTGATGTCAAGAAAACCTACGAGTTGCAACAGCACATCAAGTTCCATGGTGGAGGATACCTGAACCACTGTCTTTTCTGGGACAACCTTGCTCCAGCTAAGCAGGGTGGAGGTGAATTGCCATCACCTGACTCTGAATTCTACAAGAAGGTCATCGAGCAATACGGCTCTTTTGACAAATTGATTGCTCTGACCAACACCAAGTTGGCCGGAATCCAGGGTTCCGGATGGGCATTCATCGTCAAGAACAGCGAGAATGGTGCCGTGGAGGTTATCCAGACCTACAACCAGGATACTGCAGCTGGTCCATACAAGCCATTGGTTGCCATCGACGCCTGGGAGCATGCTTACTACCTGCAATACAAGAACGTCAAGGCAGACTACTTCAAAGCTATCTGGAACGTTATTAACTGGGATGAGGCTTCCAAGAGATACTCAGCTGCCTGAATTTCTTTATGGTGAATATAATATATTCCGATTTTCTTTATCAAAGAACTGCACCAAAACCAAAGGTGACTTTTATCGAGGTGATGTAATAATTCTCAAAGTTGTTGCGCACCAACTCCTCATCCCCAATAGGCACACCTTTGAAGCTGACAGCCATCTCTGTCTCGCCAGCTCCCTCGTTGAAGGTCAATTCCAATTCTGTGTAGTGGCCTTCCTTCCAGTCCCGTAGTCTCCAAAGCATCTTGATATTCTTATTTTCTTGCAATTCTAGAATTTTGCCTTGGATGTTGCCGCCAAAGAGCTGAAACTCAGTGCCCTCCTTTGGCTCGATTTGTGGAGCAGAGCGAGTCCAGGCTGCAACTCTCTCTGGAAGCAAAAGAGTGAGGTATAGTTGCTCTGCCGAGGTGTTGAAAGTGGTGGAGAAATTAAGGTCGGACGTGTTGTATTTTGGCACACGAGACGAGTCGGCAGGTGAAACTGCGGTGGTTGTCTTTGCGTTTTGCACGGAGTTTCCTTTGTTAAAGGTTGTGCTTTCCTTCACCACTGTTTTGGTCAATGTCTTTTCTTGGTTAGCAGCAGTGTAAGTGGAATTCACCTGAGATTTGTCCACTTGGATATCAGAGGCATTCTCGCTGATCAAGTCATTAGTGAACGTCGACAGCTTGTTTCTGAGCTCCTCCACAAGTTTTGAGCGAATCAACGACCGGATGGAATCCTCCTCGCTAGAGCCCGTTGGCTTGTCGAAGGTGATGTCGAACTGGAAGTCATGGTGTTCAGTATCATAGGCAAGCTCAGGAATACTGATCGTGCCCTTCGATTTTTCCGAGTTATCACTTTCAAAAGAAAGCTCGAGCTTCAAGTCGTATATGGAGAAAATCTTGCCCTTGCGCTGACAGACCTCCACATCACCTTCGAGTTTCTTCAGCGCCACCACGCTGACTTTAGGGGAGGAGCCCGCAGACGTTCCCACGAGCTTCCTCTTGCACCATTGAGCTGCCCAGTCAATGCAATTCTTGTCAACCCAGTGCCAGTTGTTAGGATTTTGAACGGCCATACTGAAAGAAAAATCGAGAATAATTTACTCCTGAATCAAATATTTTTAAGTACTAGATCCCCGGATGCGCACAGCCAGCAATTAATTGGAGATAAAAGTGAATACATTGAATATTTATATGAACCACAAATCAAAAAAAGAGTATACTCCAGAGTATCTTATTTTTCGCTGGACATTGACGAGCCCAAACACTCTGTTCAGTCTTCAAGAGCCAGGTTCACATGAACGGCTTTGTGGGTGGTGTAAAGATCAAGGGCGTAGGTGCCCAGTTCCCTTCCTATACCACTCATCTTAACACCACCGAACGGAACATGTATGTCTGAGTCACCGTTCGAGTTGATAAACACCATACCGGCTTGGAGCTTGTTGGCCACTTTGTGGGCCTTAGTGATATTGTTGGTGAACAGAGCAGCCGCAAGACCATACGTGGTGTTGTTGGCTCTCTTAATAACCTCTGCTGTGTCCTTGAACTTCGTGATGGCAACGACAGGACCGAAGATTTCCTCTTTGCAGATAGTCATGTCATCTGTACAGTCGGCAAAAATAAATGGGTCACAGAAGTACCCCTCTCCCTCGTGGAACTTTCCTGTTAGAAGCTTGGCTCCCTCTTTTTGGCCGATTTCCACATATTTCTTCACCTTTTCGTATTGCAGAGACGAAACGAGAGGCCCAATCGTACAGCCTTTCTCAAAAGGCTGACTGACCTTGGCGTTTTCCTTGGTGAACTTGACAAACTTCTCCAAGAACTCGTCATAGATAGACTCCTCGATAAAGAATCTGGAGGTGGAAGTACAAACCTCCCCCTTGTTATAGAAGATACCACTGAATCCCCACTCAACAGCCTTGTCCAGATCTGAATCTGCAAACACAATGTAGGGAGATTTACCTCCACATTCCAGGGTCACGTTTTTAAGGTTGGATTTGGCAGCAGCTTCCATAATCTTCTGACCTGTAGCAGTCGACCCAGTGAAGGCAACCTTGTTGATATCTGGGTGGGAAGCCAAGTGGTTTCCGGCATCTTTTCCGTATCCAGAAACAATATTCACCACACCTTTTGGAAGACCTGCCTCCAAAACAATTTTACCCAGGTGCAAAGCTGATAGCGGAGTGATCTCCGAGGTTTTCAGCACCACGGTGTTGCCAGTAGCAAGCGCAGGAGCAATTTTCCATGCCATCATCATGAACGGGAAGTTCCATGGAATGATCGAGGCCACTGCCCCCAATGGAGTTGGGTCAGTAAAGCACATCTTATCTTTTCCAAGAACCTCGGCACCAATGAACTGGCCGTGGATCTTGTCAGCAAACCCAGCGTAGTATTTGAACACCTCGTAAGCCTCAACAAGATCACCAGCAAGAGCTTCGGCTTCATATGGCTTACCGTTGTCGTAGGACTCAATAGAGGCCAGCAGCTCGGCATCCCTCTTGATGATCTCTGCGATCTTGTAAATATAGTCACCTCTCTGAGAGCCCGTGAGGCCAGTCCAAGACTCATTTTCAAATGCCTCAACCGCAGCCGCGACAGCGGCATCGACGTCCTTCTCACTGGCTGCGTACACCGCAGTGATCTTCTTACCGGTGGAAGGATCGATGGCGTCGATGGTGGAATCGGTTTTCACCCATTCGTTGTTTATGAACAGGCCCAATGGCTGTTCAATGGTTTTGCCGTTTGGTGTGGTGATCTTCTCGAATAATGACATTTGTAATGGCAAAAATATTAGGGGACACTGGACCTTTTATACGGCTCAGATAACACTTCTGCATTAGGAATTTTTCCCGGCCATTATTTTTTATCTTAGCGGAAAAGGGTACAGTGGGGCGTGTCGCTTTCCGAAAGTTTTCAGCCCTCGCACAGATGTATAACTGGGGGTGCGCAACCAAGGGTGTCGGTTACAAAAACGGGTTGCACCGAGCATCCATCAGGGAATCGTCTAAGAAACTCGTCAGTTCTCGAGCTCCAAAGCCGGCAACCACCACGATCCACAAAACAGATCTGCACAAAACCGACCTGAGGCTGCGTCATCTGTCAATTTCGCTTCAGAGGAAAGAGTTACCCTGATATGCCCGGACTTTGGCTAGCTGTTCAGGGTATAAGTACTGCAAGTTTGCACTTTCCGAGCACGGGGCTCAGTTTGTATTGTATATCTTGTTGGTGTCTTTCAACAATAGGAAATGACTTCAGATCTTATTGTTTTTGCAAGCGCATAGTCGGAGGCGTCTGAGAGTTGGATTTCACAGCTTAAGTTATTCTGCAGAGCAATATGAACCGTTCCCACTACCCACCCCCCACTCTCAAGCTCCTCTGTTACGTAAAATTTGGGCATCAACGACGTCGGTGGCTTTGATGTGAGGTGCATATAAATATTTTTTAGTTTAGCACTGCTGAAATTTGTTATGCATTACTCTATCCTCCTCCTGTTGAGCTTGGCAAACGCGTGGTCGCCCACCAACTCGTACGCGCCAGGAAAAGTCGAATGTCCATCCTATCTAAACAGCTCAGAATACAACACAGATGATAAAAGAGGATTTATACGTGCTGCCAATAGCCTGAGCGAGCAGGAGCAAGACTGGCTCGCAGGAAGAGAAAACATTACAAATGAAAACCTCAGATGGTTCCTGAACCTTGCAAACATGACAGACTTCGATACCGACGACTTCATGGACAAACTTGCGGAAGAAAGCGAAAATAACGACACTATTCTGGCTACCCCGAGAATTGGACTTGCTTTCAGCGGAGGAGGCTACCGTGCGATGCTCGGCGCAGCCGGCCAAATCTCCGGCCTTGATAACCGTACCGACGGCTGTTATGAGCATGGTCTGCCTATTTTGTCGGCCGTTACTTATATTGCAGGTCTTTCCGGAGGTTCCTGGTTTTTGTCTACTCTGGCCTTCAACAATTGGACCTCGGCTCAGGACATTCTGGACCAAACGGGACAGGACAACGCCACATGGGACCTTACGGACTCCATCCTGTCTGATGGTGGATTGTTTGATACGCTCGGATATTGGAATAGTATCAGTGACGACGTCCAGGCCAAAGAAGATGCGGGCTTCGATATCACTCTGACAGATCCGTGGGGAAGAGCGCTGTCTCACCAGTTTTTCCCCACGCTGGAAGACTACGGTGCCTCGATGACGTTCAGTTCACTAAGAGATTTCCCGGTGTTCAAGAATTACGAGATGCCGTTCCCAATTGTCGTCGCCGATGGAAGAACCCCGGGCACTGAGATTATCAGCTCGAACTCCACGGTTTTTGAGATTACACCTTTTGAAATCGGCTCTTGGGACCCTTCTCTTTACACGTTTGCCGACCTCAAGTACATTGGAACGAATATCACCAACGGAAAACCCGTGGACTCGTGCATTGGCGGATACGACAACACCGGCTACATTTTTGGGACGTCGTCGTCGCTCTTCAACGAGGTGTTGCTGGAGCTCAATAGCAGTTCGACGTCCAGCTTTTTGGCCTCCTTGTTCGAGGACTTTTTGGACCATATCGGGTTTGACGAGAACGACATCGCTGTCTATAAGCCAAATCCATTCTACAAATCTGAGTGGGCAGCCCTGGACTCGATCGTCAGTTCCGAGACGTTAGATCTTGTCGATGGTGGCGAGGATTACCAGAATATTCCCTTGAGTCCGCTGTTGCAACCAGAAAGACAAGTCGATGCTGTTTTTGCATTCGACAACTCCTATGACACCGATACCCACTGGCCTAACGGAACATCGCTTGTTTATACCTATCAACGTCAATTTGGATCGCAGGCAAATCATACGGCCTTTCCCTACGTTCCTGACCAGGCAACGTTTTTGAATCAGAACTTGACAGCCAAGCCAACATTCTTTGGCTGCTATGCTTCAAACTTGACAGATCTCATGGACGAACTTGAAACCAACTACGTTCCGCCATTAATCATTTACATTGCCAACAGACCTTACTCCTATTATACCAACACGTCCACTTACCAGATGTCTTACACGGACGACGAAAAAATAGGCTTTTTCCAAAACGGCTTTGAAGTGACTACTAGAAATAACCTCACCATTGACGAGGAATTCCGCGCATGCATTGGATGTGCAGTCTTGCAGCGCTCTAGAGAGAGGCTTGGCTACTCCTTGGGGGATCAATGCCAAAGATGTTTTGATACTTACTGTTGGGACGGAACTATTGACTCCGATGAGGCCACTATCGGCGTCAACTTCACAGACAGCGGTCTTACTTTGCAATCGGAGGAGACGAATGCCACAAGCGGCTCTGTCAGACTAGGCTTCGATTATTTCACTGCCAAGTTTGTCGTGATGGCTTCGGTCCTCTGTCTGGTTTTATTTTAGAGAGAGACGATCGACGCGAAAAAAAATAGATATTCACTAAAAAATTATTCTGTACTATTACTACATGTCCAACATTTTGAAAGTGCTCAACCCCCCTCCCGAGTCTACAGTATTGGAGGACCGTGACGACTGTCTTCCTTGCCAGATACTTGGGTCTTTGGCTGCCATGGGAGCCGGAGTTTATCTCGGATCCGGGTACCTTTTTAAAAATGATATTGATTTCAAGAAAAACCCCAGGTGGTGGAGATCGGCGACCAAAGGTTTCGGGGGCGCACTTTTCGCGCTCGGAATTTATCGTGCAGGCCAGCACTGGCTTTGGGATAAAGACACTGAGAGAGCATCAATAAAATAAAAACGTTTTCCCGCTAGAGTTGCCACCTGCGATCCAGTTCTGTGTAGGGTGGAAACAGGCGACAGCCGGCACTGCAGACATGCTTTCGTCGTCGAGATGGGCCAGCTGGTTTCCGTTGCGATCGAATATGTCCATAGCCTTTTTCATGTTTGCAATAACACATTTTTCAACTCCGTCCTGAGGATTGGTTTGCCATCTAGCCTTCAATACTGTCACCCAGCGTCCAGACTGGCAATTGTGCGTCATGGTAGCCTGGGGTTTCAAGTTGACAGGGATGTCACCCTCTTCTGCTTCCTCGCTTATTGGTTCAAAGACATGGTCAGGCTTCAAGTTTGATGTGTCTCCGAGCTGGAATATGTTGATGGTGTTGTCGTACCCGTTGCAAACGATGTCTCCTGAATTGTTCCAATCTGCCGCACTGATACTCAGTCTGCTTTTGTACGACCCTAGACAGTGAGGGGACGTTGCTTTCTCGTTCTGAGACCAGCTGGATTTCCCAACCTTGCGTAGATCCCAGATTTTTAGTGTTCTGTCCAGAGAGGCAGACACAAGCTGCTGTGTCATCTTTGGGTTCACGCCGAAGTTGGTTATCTTCTTGTCATGTAACCGCAGAACATTGATCTCCGAACGCGGCTTGTTGGGCTCACGGGTATCGAAAGTACCGAGCTCTCCTTCCATGGTACTGAACGCAACAACATTGGAGTCAAGGAAATGCATGTCAGAAAACGAGGCTGCTCCCCCGTATTCGTTGTCAAATTCCAGAAGAGAATTCGACACGTTCTTGTCCAAGTCCAACATTCTGATAGATCCGTCGTAGGAACACGTTATTATTTCCTTGGGTTTTTGTTCCCTTATCAAAATCCGAGGTATATTGCTTCCGTGATATTTTACATGGGTGATTTCCGCCTGCGAGTCTGAGTCGTCGTCTACAGACCAAATGCCCATCTCGCCGCTCGTATCGCCTCCGAAAATGACCTTTTTACTAATAGATGGATGAAATGCAATTGCGGTCATTCTGGAAGAAGTGAGCTTAATGTCCTGAGCAGGGATCCTGCTGTAGAGACTGACGGAGTTCAGGCTGTCCCTTGCGTCTTTCACATCTTTCGGAACATCCCGATCTTTGATGTCGTCGTAGAAGTCACCGAACGAAACTGTTTGTCCCAATCTGAGCAATTTGTCAAGCACATCCTTGTTGTCCTCGGTATCGGCAGGTAAAATGTCTACAAGCTTCAGGTTGCCAGACAGCCTGATGCGCTTGAGTCTCTCCAATTCCTCATTTTTCTGTCTCGTCAGCTCCGCTTCCTCATTGGCCTTTCTTTCCTCGTCTGTATTTGCCTGAACGCCAGCAAGTCTATTTGATCGCCTTGTAGGAAGTGCTGGTTCCGTCTTGACCTTTTTCGCGCGAGGACCCTTGCTTTTCGGTCTTTTTGGCTCCTGTGGCAGCTCGCGCTGGAAATCACTTGCGATGTTGTCTAGATTAAGCTTCTTGAACAATTCCTTGTTCCTTGCAATATTCTGCTGTCTCTGCCTCTCGAACTCTGAAAGATTGCCCATGGTTAAAGGTGAAGAAAAGAATACGGAGCCAGGTGTAAGCAAAAAACGCGTATTTTATTTTATTTATTTACCATGCCACCAATCAAAAAGACCCCCAAGCGTCCTTCTGCCATCACGCGGATCAAAAAGCTCAAGCATTTGGACAAGCCAGTTTTCAAGAAAAAACGCGCCACTTCCGGGAGTGTGTCCTCTAGTGTCATCCACGATGACAGATCACAGGTGAAGGACTCGCAAACAATATTTAGTGACGACGAGAAGTCGCCTCCTTCCCCAAAAAAGGCACGAAACCAGCGCATAGCAAGACAGAAACATAAGTCTGAGTCTCTGGCACCCGACACTGGTTCCGAATCAGAACGCGGGATCGATGAGATCCACACATTCACGCAAATGGTGTCGAAAAAAAGTATGAGGACCAAATGGACACCGCTCTCGCCAAACGTGTCCTCCTATCTGGACACCATCCTTAACCTCTATGTTGAGGAAAGCATCTCACAGATTCCATTCAGACGCAACAAAGAAAGACTAGCTTTTAGAACACTGGTGAAGGACACAATTGTGAAGCCTCTTGCCAAGAAAATGCGGGTTGCACGATTTCCTGGAGAGCTAAAAGAGCGCCTGCTCGATCAGGAGCAACTGGATGAAGAAAACATGCGGCTGGAAGCCAATTTTAGCGCGAATTTGCGTCAACTGGAGGTGCTTCGTGTTCAGGAGCAGAAAGAACAAGCCTTGCTCGATAGCGAGGAAAAGTATCTTGAGCAGTTCAGGAAATCAGTACATCACCAGGAGGAACTCATGGCCCAGGATCTTCTGCCCTACGCTGAACTGGCAGACGACTTACAAATCTCGGACACCGGATCTGCTGAACACTTGAACCTGGCAAGCACCGAGTCTAATGGCTACGACCCCTCTACAGACCCGGACTTCAGCGAGTCTATGAACACGTTGGATAAACATCTCAATTCTATCTCTAAAAATGTCGAGCTACTCGACCCATTGGTGGACATTTTGGATAGAGTTAACAGCATCCTCCAAATTATCGTTTCTCAATAGTGGACGAAAACGGGTAGCTGATTGAACTCTATATTCAGGTCCAGTGTATTAATATTTTCATCCCCAAAGTCATGCAAATCTGAAAGCAGCTTGTTTGATTCCACAGACTGCACCTTTTCTGAGATAGTCCCCACTGTGATGTGTGGATATTTATTTCCTATGCCCAAACTATCCAAGCGCTCGCCTTCCTCCCCATAGATCCGCTTCACTTCTGCCTCGATGCACATTACTCTGGAGTTCCAGCATATCCGGACAAGTCTCGCGTCCGCCTTGTATGGCAATTCCATATGGTCGTTTACCTTCTCCATACCTTTAATTAGTTCGCAATAGTGTTGGTAAATTGTCTTCATTGGAGGATTTTTCTTGGTAGATCCAACGTGAATCAGCGTGATGTGGAACTCTTTTTTGACTCGATTGGCCTTCTGCAACTCTTCGAAGAAGTCAATCTCCTGGATTTGAGTTAATTTGTCAATATCGTTAACTTGTATGCCAAAATACTGTGGTTTCTCTTTTTTAGTCTTGAAATTCTTTGTCACCACGGGTTTGAACTCCAGAGCTTTCTGATAAGCCTCTAAGAATTGTTCGTCGCTCGGATACTGCAGATTTAAGTCGGTTGCGATTTCTGCTAATCTGCGAGCTATGACTTTGGCGTTTTCCAACGAGGAGTTTTTGTCCACTTTAAGATCGATAATGTGATCGAATCTTGAGTCAGGAAACTTGTCTTCTTCAACAGGTTGGAACCTTCCCAGAAAACCTTTCATGATCATCTCGGCCTTGAAAGCCCCATCGCGTTCAACTTTGATGCTCTGGTGGTTATCTCCTCTTTCCAAAACGCGCGCTCTGGTAATCTCCCAAAGTTCTGGGTCAGTTTTAGACATATTTCCTAGAAAGTTCAAACAGATGAATTTGAGCTTTGACGTCGGAATCAGTTTGTTGAGGTCCGCAAAATACTCAAACGTCTGTTGTCTTTCGATCAATTTGTGGTTGTTTCTGTCAAGGATCACAATTGGCTTTTCTACCAAAACTTCCAGGCATTTGGCTACCTGTTTATTTTTTATTGGAGATGGAATGTCGTCACTTTGGACGACGCCAATAAGATCAGGAAACAGGTTCGCCAATGTCATCGATGTTGTTGTTTTGCCACAACCGATTGTCGCCACAGTGACTAGAACATATTTACACGTATCTTGGCCGTAGCCCGCACACTTCAGCTCCTCTTCTAGTTTTTCCATGGACTGTTCTTCCTTGATGATTTCAGAGCCGGATTTTTGCTTATTCTCCATGTAGAGCTTCCGCAACTTGACAATCCCTTTGTCTTTCAGATAATTTTCCTTGAGCGATGGATCAGCATCAAACAACGGAATCACAAATTTCAGATAATCCATGCAGATTAGCTTGTGTTTTTTGAAGCTAACATTGTCAAGGCCTTTATTCAGGTATTGCTTGGTCACCTCACGCAGCTCCCGGTAGAGTAGGTATGGTTCTTCGAATTTGTACTTGAAAAAAAAGTCAGAGCTGTCTTTCTGGCACCTCACAACAAATCCTTCTATTTCTTCTCCATTGTGAAGTCCACTTTCGTTGGTCTTTTCCAAAATCTTCATAGTCTCTTCAAAGGTGGGGACCTCGAAATAGTCAATCGTCTTGAAGCCAAAGGCACGTGCAAATCTGGTCACCACATCCATGGAACAGGTTTTGAAACTGCGGGTGTTGTAATTAAGTCCGTGTAAGTACAATCCAGCTTTTTCTTGCGTGTACTCTAAAATATGCTCTTCAAACGAGTCGTCACAATACTCTGCCACTGCCGTTATTCCCAGCTGGTGGAGAGTCGTTGCAAGTTCCGTTGAATCAATGTCATTTTTTTCGAGCTGTCTTTTCAAAGAAGCCTGTGCAGCCAATGCGTGGTTACGAGTTAGGTCATCACGATAACCGGTCGAATGTTTTGAGCACACAACTAGTGTGCCGTCCTCAAGGCCAGAAATGAAAACAATACATCCGTTGGCTTTCACTGTCAGGGTGTACGGGCCGGTGGTGGTTTCCTGTAACGCTTTTCTCGAGACTGAACCAAGCTCGTCGACGTTGTAGAACTTGTCGTATCCACGACAAACTATGCGATCACCAACCGTGAATAGACCTCTCGCATAAATGGGCAGCTTCACTTTCTTGGAAGAGTAGTCCCACTCGTTGAATCTCCAGCTGGAGATCTGCACATCGGTACCGTCAATAATGTTGGTGTATTTCTTGACTATGCCCCTTTTCGCTGTACTTCTAGACAGCTCCTCCAGCTCAGAAACCAACTGTTTTGACTTTTCACTTTCATCTTGAGAGACTCTTTCAATCTGTAAATCGAGAATATTCATTAAAAAATATTTATGAAGCCGCAAACGGTTTAATATCTGTCAAACTGTTCACTCCCTTCTGAAGCATTTCATAAGTGACCAGTGTAATTGCCGAACTGCAGGACACCTTCATCAGCCGTGGAAGCCATCCACTCCACATTTTGGCGACGCCTTCTTGCATGCACGTCTTCACTACGAGCGTCATGATGTCACGGTAAATAGGCTTGTAGTTTTTAGTCTGCATCCGTGTCTTCAACACGTCAATAGGCTGTGTAATTGCCACAACGGCGCACGAAGAAGCCATTCCCATCCCCATTAGTTCCAAGTCGGTAATTGAGTCTCTTGTCGGATCAATGAACTGCTGCAGAAAGTTGTATGTCGAAAACCAAACCATGCTATTCATAGTCTGTCTGAAGATAGTGATCAAAGAGCCTCTTTTAAATCCTGAAAGGCCCGTTGTCTCATATATCTCCTTAACAGCTCTGAAGAAAGTGGTGGACGGGTTTGCGCGGTAGTGGTCAATGTACTTTTGGCGAGGGTCGAATGGTTTGCTTTCCAAGGGCCGTTTGGTCAGCCTTGGCTTTTCCACCCCGTCCTCTCCGGCGGTACCTGCATAAGACGGAAGAGGCAATCGGTAGCCTTGCTTTTCCATTGCGTTCTCAATCATTCGCGTCTTCACGTTCTCCACAGGTATCACCCACAGTGTCTCTAAAAAGCCGGTCATCAAACCAGCAACCACCACTCTCGGGGCGTTGGCCTTGCTGTTATCGGTCCCCATGAACTTGGTCATGCTGTTGAAGATCAAAAACCGTGAGGAAGCTTTCAGAGCATTTCCCAAGGCCAGTCCATTGCAGCCAACGAATAGCGACCGCACGCTATTGGTTGGGATTTGATATGGAGTCTTGAGCAGCGAGCTGTTGGCTATCTGCGATGTCGTTTTCACGTATTCAAACGGATATGTCACTACAGTTTGTACCACTGCGGCGCCTGAGCCGGCGATCATTGCCGTCAGAAGGTCTGTATTATCCTGTGTTGCTGGAATGACGTCCATGGAGCGAAGCTTGAAAAATAAAAAATAATTTGATAATCCTCCATGTCGTACAGTATAACTGCCATAGCTACCAAGGTGCTTCCTGGAAATATACAGCAGCTTGTGGAGGAAGCTGTAAATGGACTTTCAGTGGAGATTGTGGAGAGCACTATTTTGGCTGCCAACAAAGCTGTTGATTTTTCATTCGAGTGCGATAAATTTGACGAGGTGAAAAACAAGCTCAAGTTGGTGAAGATCCCAGATGTGGATCTGGAAGTACTCGAGAACAGCCCTGCTCGGAAGAAGACGAAGCTTGTTGTGTTTGACATGGACTCGACTCTGATCTACCAAGAGGTGATCGAGCTCATTGCAGCTCAGGCAGGAGTGGAAGACGAGGTTGCCAGAATCACAAACCTGGCGATGAATGGAGAAATCGACTTCAAAGAATCGCTCAGGAGACGGGTTGCATTGCTGAAAGGAATACCTTCTGCAGATCTTTGGGGAAAGCTTAAGCCCCAGCTGAAAATCACCAAGGGAGCCAGGGAGCTCTGTGCTACCTTGAAGAAAAACGGCTGCATACTGGCAGTCTGTTCTGGAGGCTTTCTGCCATTGGCCGAGTTCATAAAGGAGGAGCTTCATCTAGACTATGCCTTTGCTAATCTGCTCAAAACAGAGGATGTGGACGGCAAAGAGGTTCTCAGTGGAGAACCAGAAGGTGAGATTGTGGATGGCTACAAAAAGAGAGCTGTTTTAGAGATGCTTGCTGAAAAACATCAAATCGATAGGGCATACACTGTCGCTATCGGTGATGGCGCCAACGACTTGCTGATGATGGCCAGTGCAGGACTCGGTATAGCCTGGAACGCGAAGCCAAAAGTGCAACTAGAGGCAGACTGTCGACTTAACACAGGCTCCTTGAGAGACGTCCTGTACATTTTCGGATATAGAGACGAAGATATATAGTAGAGTAGATTATAATTTTATCACGGCTTTGGCAACACCCATGATGCCATTAAATATCAGAGCCTGCTCGCCGTCTTTTATGCTGTTTCTCATGATCACCCCTTCGCTTATGATACCCTTATCCAGCAGATATCTCCTTGTAACGCCACAGAGACACCCTGAAGACAGTGGAGGCGTGGTCCACCTGGTATTGATTTCGCCTGTTAAAGGATTTTTGTCGTTGCGGAGCACAGCTATATTGCAGATCGATGTCTCTGTGATCTGGTCTGCATGGTTGAATAGCAACACATCAGCATTTTCTGCACCGGGAGGGATTTTGCGCTTGCGGGCTTCCGTGTAATGATGGCGATACGTGGACTTGAAAGAGGTAAATGGTGAAATTAACGTAGGCTCAGAGTCCAGATATAATGTCCAGGTCGGAAAACAATTGATATCCAGATTCAGCGAGGTGGCTATTGGAATGGCCTGTATCTCGATCTGACCATCTTTGTGCAGAAGATACCGCATTTTGTGAGCCTGATACACATCTTTATCGTAAAGTGCTTGGGAGAGCTGTGCTCCCAGCAACGACGAGGTGAGCTTTTGAACTGGAAGCTCAAAAAACTCTGCCGTCTCGTTTAGCCTGTCGACATGGTAGTCCAGGAACAAGAAGAACGACTTGTCGAGCGGAGAGCACACCAGAGCTTCCGGTAAGCTTAAGCCTCCAGAGTAGAGCACAGGGTCGTACCTAATGGTGGAGAGCACTTCAAACTGCACTTTCTCATAGTCAAACGGATCGTTCAAGTGCTTCTGAATCACCTCGTTCGCAATAGTCTCTAGGTCGCCCATCGTTTCTTCGTTGTTTGTGCACCAAGAATACTACACTTCGAAACACGGCTGTGCAACTAATTTTTCAAGTTCTTCACAGCCAAAAAGCTCGCTTACCGAAATTCCTGTACTGTTGGGGCCCTCTGTTGATTTGCCAATGTCGTCAGGAAAACCGGCTCTCAAGCCAAAACCAAAAATTCCTCCTCCTGTGAAGGCCAAGAAACCGCAGCTCTCAGCAACGGCTTTGCTTGACTCGAAGTCCGAACTGAACGCGTCATCACCGCTGAAAAATAATCTCACAAAGACAGTGTCGCCAACCTCGGAAATCCCAGCGTCTGCGCAGCCTCCAAAACCGCTGCGCTCAACAAGCGAGCTGTATACTGCTACTGTGTCCAAGTTTCCACCGCCACCTGTCCATGTTCACCGCAATAAGTTGGAGGCCTCGGTTACAGTCGATAGATCGTCTCCGGCCGCTTCGAGCCCTGAGCAAAAACCCGCGTCTCCCGTTTCTTCCCCAAGCCCTGTTTCCTCTGACGAGGAGGACGCTCCACCGCTTCCATCGCGTCCCTCGCGTACGGAATCCGTGTCTTCGGTGGAAGAGGAAGATGCTCCTCCACTTCCTCGACGGCCTACACCTTCAACCAACTCTGCTGTGGTGGACGAACTCAAGTCCAAACTTCCACCACCAAGGCCTCAAGTGCTCCAGAAACATTTGGAGACCAGTATTTCTGAGAAACCAAAACCCCCAAGGCCTGCCAAACCGTCTATCAATCTTAAGCCAACCACAGACTCGTTTTCCAGAAACCTGTCTTCCAATTTGGAGAATCTGAACCTTTCCAGCTCCAAATCGTCGCCCAATCCTCCAACTCCACCCAAATCTCGTTCCTCTGCTCTGTCATCGGGGACATCGACTCCACCGTCCCCTCCTAAACCTCGCACAAAGCCATCTGCTCCTCCGCCACGATCTGTGCCAAGACTGAATTGGAAGGCCCCTGATCTCAACTTGGAATTGTCAACAGGGTGGTTTGCCAAAGAAGACTTTGAAAACCATTTACCCTTGGACCTGAAAGGCTTGGACTACGCTACGTCGTTTGGCTACAATTCGAAAGAATTCTTCAGAGTCGTCGTGTTCCGCTACAGAGACTTGTCCACTATCAAACTCAGATTCACATGGCCAAAGTCAGGAGACCCCGGTTCTTCAGCCGAACACGAAATGAGGTTTGTGCCTCCGCCACAGGCTACAAAAGCACAGCTCGAAGAAGGAGCCTCGTTGTATGGGGATCACGTGGCCGGATGGACAGAAGCTCACAAAGGCAAGAAGGTGGGAGACGGAGAGTGCTGGACTCTTGCACACGATGCTTTGCAACGCGGCTGTGGCAAACACGCGTTCGTATCTTCGGGCCTCGTTCATGGTGCCCTTCTGTCCACCATCACGGGGAAAGCCGGCGGACCTGAGATTCGCAAGGAAACAGTCACCGATACGATCAAAAGAGGCGACATTTTGCAGTTTAGCACCTGCAGCTTCCGGTACCCAAACAAGGCACTGTTTTACGGTTCACCAGACCACACCGCTATTGTCAGTCACGTGACGGGCTCCACGGAGCTACCTAGGCTGCGGGTGCTGCACCAGAACGTGAATGGCGAGAAAATAGTGATTGAGGAGTCCATCGATCTGGAAGCGCTTGTCGAAGGCACTATCAAGGTGTATAGACCGATCAGCGCCAGCTGGATCTCTGAGCTATCTCCCATGTGGTGATGCGGCTCGGTGGCTAAAATATTTACTCTTTAGTATAAACCAAAATATAAACAATTATATAATTAATGTCTTACAAGCTTTCTCAACTCGCACCCCTGCCTGAGCTGAAACACGTGCACATTGGAAAGACGATTGGGCACGGAGGTTTTGGTGTTGTCAAGTCTGCTGTATTCGAGAAAAATGGGGTATCTAAAGTTATAGCCGTGAAGTTTGTTCACCTTGATATGGCTCGCCAACAGAATGTCACCACGGACATGCTTGCGCGGGAGGCCTTCATTCAGAGGGAATGTAGGCATCCGAACGTGATCCAGCTGATAGATTTTGGCGCCGATACCAATTGGGTCTGGTTTGCCATGGAATTAGGAAGCAACGGTGAGTTGTTTGACAAGATCGAGCCTGATCTGGGAGTTGACGAGGATGTCGCTCAATTTTATTTCAAACAGCTCATAAATGCAGTTTCTTTTATTCATTCCAAAGGTGTTGCACACCGGGATATCAAGCCAGAAAACCTAGTTATCGATAAGAGCGGAAACCTGAAGCTGACGGACTTTGGCCTTGCCAGTGTGTTTAAAAAGAAAAACGGTTCCAAAAGAATGTGCACCACAGCATGCGGCTCACCTCCTTACCTTGCTCCGGAGGTGGTCTCTCAAAAATATGATCCCGAGCCCTCGGACGTGTGGTCCTGCTGCATAGTTCTGTTTGTGCTCCTCACAGGGCAGATAGCGTGGGAGATGCCACACGAGGAAGACACAGACTTCCGCTACTACATGGAGAAGAAGGGAGAAGTGTTGATTTCTCCATGGAACAAGATCCCTCTAGGTGCACTTTCCCTGCTGCGGAAGGTGCTAGTCTTGGAGCCGTTTCGTCGACTACGCATCGAAGAGATTAAGCAGCATCCTTGGGTGGCCAAGAAAAACAAGTTTGCGGACCAAAATGATATGTGCAAAGACCCAATGCGTCTCACCACGAGCCTGCTGGTGAACCTTTACATCAACCTTTCGGACGCAGAGTTCAACAAGATCAGCCAGATGTCCACCCAGATCAGCAAGCCGGCAGCAGGAACGCAACCGCCAAAATACGTGATGGACGATACGCAGCCGGCAGAGATCTACAAGGAAAACTTCCATCCGGTTGGGGGTTTCTCTGCTTCGCAGGAGGTCTACACTGAGCACTCGAAACGTCGCAAGCTGAAGGAAGACCTCGACGATGACGCTCTTATATTTGCCACAATCTCCAAAGACCCAGCATCTTTGCAATTCCTAAACTCCGACTCGTTGGTCAACAGAGAGCAGCTGATCAACGCCAAGATGAGCCATCTGCGAATAGAGCAGCAAAAATGTCCGGCTCTCTTCGCGGAGAGTCTCACAAGATTTTTCAGTACCGTAGCCCTGGACCAGCTGCTGATCACAATCCTGGAAGCGGTGAGCAAGCTTGGACTTTGCAGTCACTTGGGTGAAAATGACAGCGAGCTCTATGTGGAGAATCTACGCAGGAACGACCTTCTCAGTGGAGTGATCACCATCCCTATCAATGGCAGAGACTCCAGCAAAGCACCCATAGTGGGAAACATCAAGGTGAGCCGAATGGCCGACAATCTGGACGTGCGAAAGGTCGATTTTCTGAAAATCAAGGCAGATCCGCTGGAATGGAGAAGAGTTTTCAAACGAGTCACGATTCTTTGCCGTGACGTTGTGTATGTTGAAAAATAGGGAAATATTATTTATTTAAATAGTTTAATGCATGTGCCGGACATAGAATCAGGGCCAGATACTTTTGAAATTCTTCTCACCACAGACAACCATGTTGGATATCTTGAGACGGACCCAATCAGAGGAAATGACTCGTGGAGAACCTTCTCTGAGATCATGAGCATAGCGAAATCCCGGGACGTCGATATGGTTATCCAGGCAGGCGATTTATTTCACGTCAACAAGCCTAGCAAGAAATCTTACTACCATGTGATCCGGACTCTTCGTGAATTCTGCTGGATTGACAGGCCTCGTGAATATAAGCTCGTATCTGATCCATCGGTCGTGATGTCCACGCGACATTTTAATTACCCATGTGAGTATGATCCCAACGTGAATGTTGGAATGCCGGTGTATGCTATTTCTGGTAATCACGACGATGCGACAGGAGACGATCTTCTCTCGCCGCTGGATCTACTTTCTGTTGGTGGCTTACTAAATCATTTTGGACGGATCACGAATAACGACGAGATCAAAGTTAGCCCGTTGCTTTTCCAAAAGGGCAGTACTAATTTTGCATTATATGGCCTTCAAAGCATCCGTGAAGAGCGTCTAAAGCGGACTTTGGCCTCGGGCAAAGTCGAGTTCTTGCAGCCCGAAGATCACGAAAATTGGTTCAGTTTAATGTGCGTCCACCAGAACCATGTGCCCAGACCGGGAACGCGCGTTCTCGAAGAGGCGCATCTTCCTCGTTTTTTAGACTTCGTTTTTTGGGGTCATGAGCACGAGTGTATTCCTAGACCGTTGCATAATGCTGCTATGGGCTTCGACGTTCTTCAGGGCGGCTCGTCGGTTGCAACTTCGCTGAGCGAGGGTGAAGTTCCTGACAAACACGTCTATTTGCTCAAAATCAAGGGCAAGGACTATAGTCTCGAGCCCATAAGACTCAAGTCTGTGCGGCCTTTCGCGATGAAAGACATAACATTGAGCGAGACAGGCATCTCTGCAACGTCCGGAAATAAAGATGAAGTGATTAACTTGCTTATAGACGAGGTGGAAGGGCTTATCGAAGCCGCAACTAGCAAGTGGAAAGAAGTCAATCAAGGTTTGCTAGAAGCTCTTGTTGACGTCGAAATACCCCTTCCCTTGATTAGGCTACGGGTTGAGTACAGCGGGGGCTATGAGGTGGAGAATCCTCGTAGGTTTTCCAACAGGTTTGTCGGCAAGGTTGCAAATATCAACGACATTGTCATTTTTTACAGGAAAAAGACCGTTGGAAACAAGCAGGCAAACCGATTGCTCCAGAAACAGCAAAGCGAGGATCATGAGCTAGAAATACGCGAAGGCACTCTCAACATCGGTGAATTTGTTCAGCGACAACTGAGCGAAGACGATCTGTTGCTGCTGAAAAAAACGGACATGTCGAACGTGATTGAAGAGGCCATGAGGAAGGACGACAAACACCTAATTAAGAAATTTGTGGATGACGAGCTGGGCAATGATCTCGAGCTTCTGATGAAGCTCCGAGTTGACGAGACGAATAGTGTTGAAGGCAAATCCTTGAACGAACTGAAAAAAGGTTTCCGGAACATCGTAAAGGAGCTACGTGCCAAGGCCAAATATAGCGAGAGATCTACAGAACGCGAGGAAATGCCTCGTGTCAGCTCGGATCTATTTGTGGAGTCGGATGAGGAGCCATCAACACGTGGCAGACGTAAGAAGAAGCAAGATCCTGTGCCGGATCTCTCACAATTCATGCATCCTAGTGAGCCAATGGTGATTGATTCAGACATTTCTGATGATGGCCTGATCGAAATCGAGGAGCCCAAGAGGACTACCCGCAAAAAGACAACAAAGCCGCGTAAAACCGCATCCAAACCGACCAGTCTGTTCGGTGCTGTAGGCCGCTAGGAAAATAAGATTTCTGTGTAGGGATGTGGAATTGCATCTATTTTAGCGCATCCTGAAAGTAATAGAAAAATAACGACACGGTCGATATATTTCACTTGAAATGGGGTTTCTAAAAGGAATTCAGGGGTTCTTTCACTCTATCACCACAAATGACCATTACGCTTCCTATGACGCGTCGGAATCGGCCAATCTCGGGGCAGCTCCGGGACATGAGTCGTCGCAATCCATCTCGATGCTGGACAACACTTCATCGACATCGCTAGCCCAGAATAGCAGATCAGCCCGAAACTCCACCACCAGTAGGCCAGTTCAGTACCGTCCTGGAATGCGTTCACAGCTAAACGGTAACGATATCCAGATGCAGGACTATATTGAAGGCCAACCGCCATTACCCTCGGTTGCTTCTGTGTGGGACAGGTTGGACAAGTGGATGGAGAGGGAATTCCCGGAATTAGGAGATGATATGGAGAATGGAGCGACTGTTAATGATCTGAACGCTTTTGAAAAAGACTTGAACATTTCTCTACCCTTTGACGTGAGAGAGTCGTATCAAATTCACGACGGTCAGCTCACTCTAGGGAAAAAGCGTGGCCTTATTTATGGATACCCTTTGCTTGACCTGGAAAGCATTGCTGCAGAGGTCAACATTTGGAGGAAAGTCGGCGATAGATTACAAAGAACTACAGAGTATTTTACCAGTGAGCAAATCTTGCTCGAATCCCAAAACAAGTCGGATGGCAGCAGCCATTTCCAGCAGCAGAAGGCCAAGCATTTTCATTTCCTAGACTCCCAGAAGTCAGTTCCAAAGGGGGCCGTGCAAGAGGTGTATTACCACAATCAATGGATTCCGTTAGTGAAAGACAATGAGGGGAACAATATTGCCCTGGATCTTGCTCCAGGACCAAGAGGCAGATGGGGACAGATCATTCTTTTTGGCCGGGATTTCGACACCAAGTTCGTTGTCGCCTCGTGCTTTACCGAGTTTCTGCTCAATCTCGCCGACGATCTCGAGGATGGAAAGTTTTATATCGACGAGATGGACGAAGATCTGGTGTACACCGAAAACGGAAAGACGTACTCGTACTTTGACGTGCTGAAATATCGCTCATTGGCTTTGGCAAAGAGCATGGTGGGATCGCGACTGCCTGTTGGAAAGAGCGGGTCTAGTGTTTCGTTGGTGGCTTCGCCACGGATTTCCCAGACCAATCTGTCGAAACAGTATGCTCCACCTCTTAATGACAGCTTTGTTGTTGAGGACGAGGACCCGGTGATTCCAGCAGAAGACGTTATCAAGCCCCAGACACAGCCTGATCTCCTGGCGGACGACCTCAAAGAGGTTGACTTGGCCCAGCAGGGGGAAAAGACCGAAACAGTGAAAGAGACAGCAACTAAGTCTGAACTCACTCAAGAACCAAACCAGACCGAGACTCGGCCTGAAGTCTCTGAACCAACAACTGTGCCAGAATCCGCTACCGAGTCAATTGACCATGTCGATGCCCAGCCGGAAGCTCGCAATGTCGAGACCGAGCCTGCTGCTCCAGAAAATCAGACTGAGGAAAACAAGGCCTCTGAAAACGGTTCCACCGAACCAGATGCCGAGGATTCCAGGTCAGAGACAGAGGACACCGAAAAGGACGCTACAGAGGACGCTACGAATGCCCCTGTTCCAGCTGCTGGGCCCTCGGCTAACAAGTCAAAGTCTCGTAAGAAGAAGGGTAAGAAAGTTAAGAAATAATAATACATCCATTACATAATATTGAGATTCGCGTGGAGTTTAATAAAATTTCAAGCTGATAAGCTGTGTACATGTCGCAATCCAACATCTATAAAGATCTTCCTCCGCTTCCGCGCCAACTGGAAAAGGAGAATCTCTCGAGCAGGTCTTCGTCAGCAGATAATGGTATTCGCCGACCGGCGCTGACGCTGCCCGTACGTCCTGTTACAAGTGCGCAAGTATCAGCTTCAAGCGTCGACACCGTGGACTCCAGCGGCGGTTCGAGCTTCGGCCGGCGTCCGCCACCACTGTTCAACCATGTCCCACTTCCAGAATCGTCGCGTGTGGTTCAACAGCAGGAGTCGACGCCCTTTGTTTCTTCGCTCAACATTCCAAACAAACCGCCTACACCGTTTTTGGAAAGCAAGTCATTGAAACGAAAGAACGTGATGAAACTGACTCTAGCCACCTCACAGGTGTCTGTGGGCTCTCATCCAAACAGTTCCGGCATGGCGAATGTCAATTCGTCAGCTTCCTCCCTTGAGCAGTCGGGCTTCAAAGACCCAGACAAAAAGGCGTCCACGGACGAATTGATTGCCAATATACAAACACTCGAGCTTGGTTTGGAGTATCAGCTGTCCATCAAGGCAGAGGAGCTTGTTATGCTTAAAAAACTGGGCTCTGGAAACTCGGGAACGGTTTCCAAAGTGCTACACTTACCAACACAGAAAACCATGGCTCGGAAGACCATCCACATCGATGCCAAAGAGGTGATACAGTCGCAAATCATCCGCGAGCTCCGTATAATGCACGAGTGTGACTCGCCTTTTATCATTGGGTTCTATGGAGCCTTCCTACACGAGGGAGACGTGGTAATTTGTATGGAATATGTTGACTGCGGCTCATTGGACAAAATCTTCAAGCTCACCGGGCCTTTCCCGGACTTCATGCTCAAACACGTCGCCTACTCCGTCCTGAGCGGCCTGGTCTATCTTTATGACAACCACAGGATTATACATCGTGATGTGAAGCCTTCGAACGTGCTGTTGGACTCAAAGGGAAACATAAAGCTGTGTGATTTTGGCGTGAGCAGAGAGCTGATTAATTCGATGGCCGACACATTTGTTGGTACCTCTACCTACATGTCGCCAGAGCGCATCCAAGGAGGCGTTTACAACATCAAGGGAGACGTGTGGTCTCTGGGTCTGATGTTATACGAGCTGGCCTCTGGAAAGTTTGCTTTTGGAGGTATGCCTGGCGGAGCAGCCCCTGGGGTTTCAGGCCTGAAAGGGGATCCCCAGATAAAAACCCCGGATTCTATTCTGGATCTGTTACAGCGCATTGTCAACGAAAGACCGCCCTCGCTCAAAGAGAGTGATGGCTACACTCCTGAACTCTGTGAGTTTGTTGAACTGTGTTTGAAAAAGGAGAAGGAGAGGCCTGATCCGCATGTGCTGCTCAAACACAAGTTTTTAGCCGACTTCACCGAGGCAGATAGCTTGAAAGTGTCTGCCAAGTACCGTTCTGACATAAAGAAGTGGGCTAAGAATGTCAGACGCGTCCAAAAAGGCAAACCTACCAAGTAGTCATGGACTAATGTATATATTAGATTGAATGCAGTGTATTCACCATGTCTGGACGCCTCCGTTGCGTAAATGCAAACGCAACACTTCTGCCACTAAATACAGACTGCCACAGATCACGATGGGCTTCTGGGTATTTTGGGCGGCTGATAATGCCGCTTCCAGGTTTGGTTGGATGGTGGAGTCAACAGTGAGCCGTGCTTTATTGAATAGTTCCTCCGGAGAATAACTTTCGATCCAGGGCATTCCGTCCACTGGTTCCGAAAACCGCGTAAAGATTACCGTATCCTGGGGTTTGATGAGAGGCTGAAGCAGCCCGGAGACGTCTTTCCCGGACGTCATTGCTATAACAAAAGTGACTCCCGTTGACCGAGAAGAGCCCAAGTATTTTGAAAGCTGTTCCGCTGCTTCACTATTATGAGCTCCATCAAGCAAAACTGGGACTTCGTCTGACCGGAGTTTGAGATTAAGTTTTTGCAATCGGCCCGGCCAGCTTGTGTTTCTGATGCCAAGCTCTACGGCATCTTTTCCAATTGGCAAGGACCTGGAAATCACATTCAATATCCCAAGGGCAACAGAAAGGTTCATCTGTTGGTACTCGCCCTGGAGGTTCGTACGGAAGTCTCCCAGACATGCTCCCAAACGTTCAAATTTTTGGGCCGGAGAATCACTCACGGGCAAATATTCTGAGCCCTTTTTCCTTGCCAGATGCTCTATTGTGCGCAAAACAGAGCCTTTATTGGATCCATCAACGACACATGGGACGCCTTCTTTAATTATCCCTGCTTTTTCGTACGCTATCTTCTCAAGTGTGCTTCCCAGCAAATGCTCGTGATCCAGTCCTATCTTTGTTATAGCCGTGCACAGTGTGTTTGCTGCTGCTAGTACGTTGGTGGCATCCAGCCGTCCCCCGAGGCCGGTTTCTAGAACTGCCACCCGCACTCGTTTTGCATTGAACATGTGCAAGGCTGTGCAGGTGAGCACCTCGAACTCGGTGCAATTGATGTTATCTCGATGGTCTACTTCACGAACATGTTCCTCTGCAGCAGCGAAATCTCTCTGTGGTACTGCCTTATCGTTTATTTGCACAGAATCCCATTTATATAGCAGATGTGGTGAGTTCAGACGGCCGTTGCGGATTCCTTGTGCGGTGAGCACATGAGACACATACGAGCTTACTGACCCCTTCCCATTTGTGCCTGCGATGTGAACAACTTTGAATGTTGGGCTAAAATCAAGTTTCGAAAGTAGTGTCTTTACCCTGTTGAGCTGTAAATCAATTCCCATAGAAAAAGAATATCTCAAATATTTATTTGTTTTTCGCTGGCCACTTTTGTCATCATGTCTGTGTCACGGCTGGAATCGAGACTCCGGAAACTATTCAATGTTCCTCGCAAAGGTGAAACATTTGAATTCAGAGAAGGACTTGTTTCGCAGTATGCAGATGAGCGTAAGGATACAATTCAAAGAGTGATCGCTGCAATGACTGTGGGCAAAGACGTGTCATCGTTGTTCCCGGATATTCTCAAGAATATCGCCACGCATGATTTAGAGCAGAAGAAACTGGTGTATCTGTATTTGATGAACTACGCAAAAACGAACCCAGAACTTTGTATCTTGGCCGTCAACACTTTTGTCCAAGATACCGAGGATCCAAATCCTCTGGTTAGAGCGCTTGCGATTCGGACCATGGGTTGCATTCGGGTGGACAAAATGGTTGATTACATGGAAATCCCTCTAAAACGGACTCTCAAGGATGACAATCCGTACGTTCGTAAAACAGCGGCCATCTGTGTGGCGAAGCTTTTTGACCTCAATTCTCGCATGTGCATTGAGCAAGGGTTTTTGGACGAGCTGATGAGTCTGCTGGACGACTCTAACCAGATGGTGGTTGCTAATTCGATTTCAGCCCTGATAGAGATTTCCAAGGCAACAAACTCCAACATTCTCAAGATTGACTCAAAGATCCTTAAGAAATTGCTCATTACGCTGAATGAGTGCACAGAATGGGGTCGTATCGCAATTCTTACGGCACTTGCGGACTATGCTGCCGAAGAAGTTGGCGAGGTGCAGCACATTATCGACCGTGTCTCACCGCAGCTTCAGCACGAAAATCCGGCTGTTGTGCTCAGTGCTGTGAAGGTTATCATCAAGCAATTGGACAAGGTAGATGAGGAGCAAAAGAACTCGCTGCTGAAACGGCTTTCTTCGCCCCTGGTTTCGTTGCTATCCACTCCTCCGGAACTTCAATATGTTGCTCTCAGAAATATTCGTATCATTTTGGAGAAATATCCCGTGGTTTTGGCGAGAGAGCTCCGTGTATTCTTTATCAAGTACAACGATCCATTATACCTCAAACTGGAGAAAATTGACATTATGGTGAGATTGGCAGACGACTCGAATGGGCTGCTGCTTTTGGCAGAACTCCGTGAATACGCTATGGAAATTGAAACTGAGGTGGTAGACAAGTCTGTTATGGCTCTTGGTCAGCTGGCTATCAAAATCCCGAAAATATCAAAAAAGGCAATTGACGTGCTATATGAGCTCTTCATTTCACGTTCTGACTACGTCATTGATCAACTAGTCGTGGTCCTACAAAATATATTGAGAAGGTACAGCAACGAGTACCTCACAACCGTCATTACTATTATTGGAGATCTCGAGTTGGACTCTTTGAAATCGAGTGACGCACTGGCATCTTACGTGTGGATTGTCGGGCAGTACGCTTCTGAAATCCCACATCTAGAAGACCGTCTTACGTCTCTGATGGCGCAATTCCAAGACATGGACCCAGCCGTGCAATCAGCATTTTTGACCACAATTGTGAAAATCAATCTCACGAAGCCTACGCCAGTCACACAGAGCCTGCTGCAGCAGGCGCTCAATCAGGCCACCAAGGAGATAGAAAACCCAGACGTTAGGGATAAGGCTTACATTTACTGGAGAATTTTATCTACAGACAATTCGGAGCTGCAGAAGAAAATTATTCTAAGCAAGCTTCCTGTGCTTGAGTCTACAATAGACCATTTCCCACCTCTCCTTCTCAATGAGCTTGTCAACGAGATCTCCAATTTAGGCTCAGTTTATCATAAACCTGCGTCAAGCTTTATCAAATCAGTCGACGGTGAACTGATTAACACTCAACTCCAGACCAAGAAATTCGAGGAACTGCAGCAAATGGCCAAGTCTGAGATTGTTAATAATACTGTCAAAGCTGAAAATCTGCTGGACTTTGATGATGATTATGACGCTGTTCAAAATGCGAACGGACAATCTGATACGAGCACTCCGGTCACTGGAAACATTTTGGATGAATTGAACGATTTGTTCACCAATTTGTCTACGCAGCCACCACCACCGCAGCCGTCTGGCTCGTCCGTGTTCAAGGACCTGATCCAAGAGCCAGAATCTCATCAGCAATCCCAGCAATCTAATCGACATCAAGAGACCACGAATGCTGATCTTCTAGATTTATTTTAGGTACATATAGAGCTTTTGGATATTATCGATCTTAATTTGGTACATAGTGCATCACTCTTCTTGCTCTTCCGCTTCATCGATCTGAGCAAACGTCTCATGTTGTAGCTCTTCCATTTCAAACTGCTCCGCGATCACTTCCTCTTCCTCCTCCTCTTCTTCTTGTTCAACTTCCATATGTTCATCTTCTACCGCTTCCTGTGCAACAGGGAAACACCTTTGCACAAGTTCCAGCATGCTATTACATTGCTCGTCACTAAATCTCTGGTCGCATTCCTCAATCACAGAGAATAGGGAGACGATCGTTCGTGGCAGTCTGTTCAAGATCTCAAGTTTTTCTATTTTCATCAGACTGTACTGATTCAAACCAGTCATAAACTCCACCACATTCTGTTTGGAATAATCATTTGACTGCCCTGTTCGAACCAAAAATCCTGAAAGCTCTCTTGTAATGATTTCTAGATCTATTAAATGGTTTCCTCTCTTTCTGCGTTGTTTCTTATTGGTATCCTCACCCAACGTGAAGTTCCAGTTGTTTTCTTTTTGTATATCTACAAGATGGTTGTATACCTCAAAGTTTGATAAAAGTTTCTCTCGTGCAACTTCCACCTAGCTGTTAGTATTCACTGACTCGAAACCTACCTTCATATCATTATATATTTTTTTTTATTTTTTTTTCTTTGATATTTAGGTATATGGTAGTACTAATCAGCCTGGTCCCAATTTCCCGGTTTTGGTTGCTGAGGCATGGCAGGACCTCCGGCCCGCTTAGCAACAATGATCTGGTCCACACTCAAAACGGTGCACACAGCCTCAGTAGCCAAGTTTATAGCGTTCCTCTTGCAGATGAGAGAATCATAGATTTTGTGCTCTTTAACATCCAAAAGAGACTCTCCCGAAGATTCTGCCTCAATATCGATTCCGTACTTCAACGAGTTGGCATCATTTTCATCGTGGGAAGCGTATAATCTTGGCAGAACTTCAGAAGCATCAATACCAGACGTCTCACACAGGATACGTGGCAGAAACTCAAAGGCCTCAGCAAACTTCTTAATACCAAGCTGCATCAATCCTGGAGTCTTCTCTCCGTAAGAAGTGATTCGTTTCACCAACTCTGCCTCGACAGACCCTGCTCCTGGAAGTAATCTAGGATCCTTCAAGACCGCCTTGACAACAGCAACGCCGTCATCAATGGCCCTTTCGACATCTTCCAAGTTGTTTTTCGTAGCACCTCTAACGACGATCGACGCCGTGAGAGAAGATTCTTTATCCTGGCGGAAAATGGTGACTCTATCACCACCAATCTCTTTGGTTTCCACCACGTCCACTGTTCCCATCTCCTCCGGCATTGGAGCACCTAGTCTTGCCAAAGGAGTTCCACCGCAAACTCTGGCAATTCTTCTCAGATCAAACTTGGACGGCACTTTGAGTACCAGAATGCCGTACCTGTCCAAATAGTGAAGTGCGAGCTCTCCCACTCCAGCACCGGCAACAACGACACGGACTCCTGTATTGTAGATCTCCTTGACTAGTTGATCCAGCTGGTTTTCCTCACCTTTGCTGAAGCCGAGCATCTCGTCGGCGTTGTGCAACAGCACGGTTCCCTTGGTCTCTGTTGTCGATATGTCTATTGGGCACGTAAAAATAGCCACTTTAGATGGCTTGCTGATCTTCTTCACCTGAGACTCTGGTTCCCTTGGGAAAACCATCCCTTTCAGGACAAAAGAACTGTTCAGGGAAGCTCCCATGATTTTGACCACTCGAATCGAGTCCACGTTGAAAAGTTTTGGATTATTTTTTGGAATCACGTTAATTATTGCGTCTGCAACGAGATCGCTGATCTTCTTTTCATTGCCGTACTGCTTCGACGCGATCACGGGCTGGATGATCTTCAGCAATTCATCCTTTGAGTTCAAGTCAGAGATTTGGTCAATCACCAAGTTTTCCAGCTCTTTCAAGGCAAACTTGTTGGCAAGATTGTATCCTTGAATGATTTCCGTTGGTGTCAAGCCCAAAACCACAAGTTTTTCTGCCAGGTGTAACAACTCGCCCGCCAACACCAACACGTAGTTCGTGTTGTCACCCATCTCTTCCTCTTGTTGCTCAGAAGACATGATCATCACTTTGACTGCTGGATGCACCACTTCGAGCTCTCTGATCATGGTGGCAGCATCGTTGGTGATCGAAACCTTCTCGAGTCTGTTCACGATGATTTTGTTCTTGCCACAAGGTCCAATCGACGTGGAAATCATATTGCTGAGCTCTCTGCAGGCCTGAATGTTTCTGTTTATAGCACCGTCCGTGCTAGCATGTGTCTGATATCCCTGTTTGAAGAGGCCAGCGTTAGGCTGGCTGGGCATTCTTAGCGACATGACGAAGAAATGGAAAAAAAAACAAGAAAAAGTCTCAAGGAAAAAGTTCATTATTATGTCCGGCAAGTCATTTAAAGATCGACTAATTGAGGCCGGATCGACGCGAGCGAGCGAGGGTAACTCGATCATGGCCGATAATTACGATCCATTGCTGGATATCCATGAGTTGTTTCCCACACCAGCAAGTCTGGCTCAGCTGGACACCTTGCTAGCATATATCAATGTGTACAAATTGCAAATTGATTCAGACATCCAAACACGTCAATCGCAATACCATGAAGCGATGTTGAACGCCAGCGAGGGGAAGGACGCTTTAGGTGCTGTAGATGAGGAATTGGAAAGCTTGATTGCAGACGTCAAGGATACGAAAATTTCGGCAGAAGCCACCGGAAGCACCATCAACAGAATGACCGCGAGTATCAAGTCATTGGACAACGCAAAGAAAAACCTGACTCTTACGATGACCATAATGAAACGACTACAGATGCTGGTGACCGCATACGAAAACCTAGAATCTTTTTTGAGCGATACGACAAACCCTGTGAAGGACTATCTGCAAATCAAACAGCTTTTCAGCGTGGTAGTGGAGCTGATGAACCACTTCCAGTCTTACAAGAGCATTGACGAGATCAACACGCTTAACAAGAAAATCGGCTCACTGAAAAATAGGATTATAGACGAGATCTTTGCTGATTTTGAGCGCGAAATAATGGAAGAGCTACATAATCCTCAACTGGCGAGTGCCTGTGAGCTACTAGAGCTATTGGGCCGTCCATATCGCGACAAACTGACTACATGGTACACTATCACAACGCTCAAAGAACTTACTAATATCTTCAAAGCCACAGAGGAAGCAGGCTCATTGGATAATCTCAAAAGAAGATTCATGTTTTTCAGACAGATCCTCACCAATTTCGAAAAATACCACGCGAATGTCTTCCCAGAAAGCTGGAAAATGTCTCAGGAGCTGACCAGTCACTTCTGTAAAATCACACGCAAGGATTTGAGTGAGGCGACTGCGAAAGAAACTCGTCTCACTGGTAGCAAGGTGGATGTGAACTTGCTTTTAAACGCGCTTGGAGAAACGCTTGACTTTGAGGCTTTCATCAGCAAGAAATTCAAACAAAGCTTTGAAGGGTCCATTTCCGACGTATTCGAGCCTTACCTGAATATCTGGATAGAACACCAGAGAACTGTGATCAACAACAAGTTCATGGAATTTATGAACCCAGAGTCAATGCTTAAAAAATCGGGAGTGGAGACTGGAGGTACGAATGTCAACGTGTTAGAGTCTGCTGCGGATCTGTTCAGACTTTATAGACAGATTCTTGCACAGCTTTCTAAGCTCTCTCAGGGCGAATCGTTAGTGAAGCTTTCTACCGTGTTCTCTGAGTATTTGCTGAAATACCGTCAGACTGTTTTGGAGCCGCTTGTTCCTGACTCTAAGCGGTTATCGTCGGGATCGGAAACTGAACAGGCTGAAGGCACGGCGATCATTTGTCTGGTATTAAACACTGCAGACTATTGTTCGATCACGGTGTCGCAGTTGGAAGAGAAACTTGCAGTCTTAGTAAATCCACCAACGCTTGCTCAGAAAATGGATTTCGAGAAAGCAAGAAACAGTTACCTCAACTTAATCAACAATTGTATTAATCTGCTGTTCGTCAAGATGGAAAACGATCTTCACCATTCCTGGCGTGAGATGCTGAACTATAATTGGAAGATCATTTCTGAAGTATCTGGAGAATCGCGGTATATGGGTTCTGTAAAGCGGGTGATCAGAGAAAACTGTTCTCTAATATTTCCCAACTTCAACAGAGTCTTGTATATTCGCAACTACCTGGATAAATTAGTGGAGCTAGTTCTGAGCGAGTTATGGCTGAACATTGTGAAATTGCGACCAATTACAGAAATCATGGCTGAACAGTTTGTGTTTGATCTCCAGTCACTGAAATCCTTTCTGCTTGACCTACCTAGCTTATCTCCAGAGCCAGTCAAGATCACATCTTCAAACAGCTTTTCGAAGAACATCGGCTCCAAAGTATCCAACATCAATACCCTCCTGAAGATTCTAATGGTTTCGACATCGCCCATGAGCGACTTTATGTCCAGCTACTTCACAATTGTGGCCGACTCAAATTTCAACAATTTTGTCAAGGTTCTAAAGTTGAAAGGCCTGTTGACCAACGACGCAACGTATGAAAAGGACAAACACAGATATCTGGACCAATTTAAGAACGAGCTTCGTCACTTCGAGACAACAGAAGAAACGTTGCCCGAAAGCAACAGCTTCCTCGAGGGGTTGAAGCTTGAAGATGCTCCTGAGGGAGTAGTCTCGTCTCCAAATATGGCCCTGACTGGATTTTTCAACAGCCCGAACTCGAACTTCAAAATTGATAAACAGTCACTTCTAAACACTCGCGATCATTTCGAGAAAAACATTGCCAAGACGTTCAACATCAACGACAACAAAATAGACATTGGTGAGAACCTGAAAAGTTTTGGCAAGTTCTTCAAGAAGAACTGAAATCAGCCTACAGTATAGTGCTTGTAACATGCTCTTATAAATACTCAATGTTTTCCGCCAGTTCTCTGCTTTCTGAGCTCATCTCTTTGAGCCTCGACTTCTGGGTCGAACACAATAAACTCGTCCAAAGCGCAACCTCCAGGCACCATTGGCAAGACAGACACCTTCTTCTCAACGATGACCTCCATCAGGATCGGACCATCGTTGTATTCAATCATCTTCTTCACGCCGTCAACCATCTCAGACTGGTCCTCAACTCTAAACGACTTCACGCCCATAGCTTCACCAAGTTTCACAAAATCTGGATTACTCTGGTGCGTGTGGGCGTATCTGTAGTCGTAGAACAACGATTGCCATTGGGTCACCATTCCCTGCTCCTCGTTATTGAGAACGACGATCTTGACCGGCGCGTTGGCCTGCACTGCTGAAGAAAGCTCGGTAAGAGTCATATTAAACGAGGCATCTCCATCGATGTCGATGACCAAAGCGTCTGGCTTAGCGATTTGAGCACCGATAGCAGCAGGCAATCCAAATCCCATAGTTCCCAAACCACCGGAGGTGATAAAAGAACGAGGCTTTCTCCAGGTGAAATGTTGAGCGGCCCACATCTGGTGCTGTCCAACACCGGTGGTGACGACGATGTCACGGCCGGTGGCATTGGCTTGTTTCGAGATCTCTCTCATGAGAGTCTGTGGCTTGATTTTGGAGCCTGGGGTCTCCATCTGGTAGGCATATGGGTACTTCTCTTTCCATGCTCTGATCTGATCAAACCACTCCGGACGAGAGGCCACTGGATGCACCAACTGATTAAATAGCTCAAGGTTCTCGGTCACATCGCCCTCGATGGCCTCTGTGGCCTCGACAACCTTGTTGATGTTCTTTGGAGAGATTTCGAAATGGATGATACCGCCACGGTTTTCTTGGGCAGCCAGTCTGGCCTCTGGTGCGAATTTGGCCACGTTTCCGGTGACTCTGTCGTCGAACCTTGCTCCCAGAGCGATGATCAGGTCGGCATTCTGCATAGCGCTGTTTGCCACGGCGGATCCGTGCATTCCAAGCATGTCGAGAGATTTTTCATCCTCCTGGTCAAATGCTCCCAGGGCTTGGATAGTGGTGGTGACTGGGATCTGGGCCTTGTCTGCAAGCTCCTTGAGTCTCTTTGGGCCATTCTCCGAGTTGAGAATGCCGGCACCGACGTAAAGAATAGGTTTTTTGGCCTTGTTAACCAGAGCGGCAGCGCGCTGAATACATTGGGTGGTGAACTCGGTAGCAGCAGCATGTGTGATCTTGTTCAGTGTGTTGGAAGGAAGGGTCGAACTGACTGGAATGGCTTCCTTCAAAATGGCTGCCGTCACGTCTTTTGGAAGGTCCACGAGCACAGGGCCAGGACGACCGCTGGTGGCGATCTCGAACGCCTCATTGATACGTCTTGGCAGCTCCGCAACGTTCTTCACCATAACGTTCCATTTGGTGCAGGATCTCGAGATACCGACAACGTCGGCCTCCTGGAAAGCGTCGGTTCCAATAGCGGAGGTGGGCACCTGGCCAGTAAACACCACCATCGGCACACCGTCTGCTAGAGCGTCTGCCATAGGGGTGATGACATTGGTGGCACCGGGACCAGAGGTCACCAAGACAACACCAGGCTTCCCCACGGCTCTGGCGTAACCCTCGGCCATATGTCCTGCACCTTGTTCGTGGCGTGGAAGAACAAAGTTGAACTTATCAGAGTTGTAGATGGCATCGTACACTGGCAAAATGGCACCTCCTGGATACCCGAAAATGGTGTCGACGTTGTGTCTCTGCATCATTTCGTGGAATATCTGACCACCTGTGAGCCCAATAAAGGAGCTGTCCATCTGAGGAGCAGAGGAGAGGGGCGAAGGGCCTTTTCGATCAGAGGTATTGAAAGAAGGAGCAGGAGTAGGCCGTGAATCCACAAACACGGACGCAGACGAGGACTTGCATCGCACAGCACGGACTGTACGGGCTCCTCTGAGCGCAACCATGCGCATCGCGGGTGTGTTTTTGCAGGAAGTTCTTAACATGTCTGAGAGAAGCTTTGTAAATTCGTGCTCAAATATTTAACTCTTTCCCCGGGTTAGTCATTTTGAAAAAATTTTTTGTCTGCATCGGGCCGGTAGCGGTGTGTGGCGGTGCGCTCTAATCAGTTTGACATTTTTGCGCATTTCGTGTGGCCGTGCAGTTTTCCTGCAATTATGCTCGATTCTCTTCTGTTCCGCAGTCACCAATCTGTGCGAATCGGTGAGGTCAATCGCTTCATTGTCAGATACCGCCCTGAGGGCAAGGACCGGCCCCCCGCGCTCTTTGCCAAAATCAAGAATGTTGAGATGCTTCCCTTGCGTGCCGCCTACCTCACAGGTCCCTATATTTTGTATTGCGATATTAGAGCACAAGAATATTCTCACCAACGCCAGTGTTTCATCACGGCAGACCAGCCTGTTTACGACCCCAACTTGTCTGCCGGACAGAGTCTAACCGCCGAATTGTCGCTGCATACCATCAAGGACGAATACGTTTGGATTATAGATGTTATTAGCCAGATGATCTTCAGCACGAGTTCTGAAGTCCATTTCGAGCTCATGATTGGTCTTGACCGCGATACGCTACACAGACACAACTTTGGAGACACGTTTGGCAAGTTTTCGCCGCAACTGGAGGTCGAACACATCACCACAGAACAGTTATGGAATAAAAACACATCCGAGCCCAATGTGCACCTGGTGGTACTCACACATGGTCTCCACTCAAACGTCTCCGCAGACATGTTCTACTTGAAGGAACAGATTGAGCAAGAGGCCGAGAAAACGGGAGAAAAGGTTATCATCAGAGGCTACACGCGCAACGTGTGCAAAACCGAACGGGGTGTCAAGTATTTGGGAAGACGACTAGCCGAGTATTTGGTCCACGAGGTTGCGCCATCGGCAGACATTGCCAGGATCTCATTTATTGGGCACTCGTTGGGCGGCCTTGTTCAGACATTTGCCATAGCTTACATCGACCACAATTATCCGGAGTTTTTCCAAAAGATACAGCCGGAGAATTTCATTGCGCTCGCGTCCCCGTTTCTTGGCATCTCTAACGAAAATCCGGCATATGTGAAAATGGCACTAAGTTTTGGCATCGTGGGGAAAACAGGCCAGGACCTGGGACTGCAAGGTTTAAACCCTCTTTTGATGTTACTTCCTTCCGAATCCACACGGAGTATTCTTCGTCGCTTCAAGCGTCGTACGCTCTACGCAAACGCAATCCATGATGGAATTGTACCGCTGCGAACCTCTGCTCTGCTTTATCTGGATTGGAAAGGTTTATCCAAAGTGTACGAAACGCAATCTGGATCTGGGTCCAGCAAAGATTATAACACAGGAAACTCAGAAGTTGGAGAAATTCCAGACAATGTTGAGCAGCAGGATCGCGACGTGATGAGCTCCGTAAAAGCTAAGCTGCTGTCACCAATTCAGACGCTGATTTCGCTTTGCGCACCCAGTTCGCAACATCAGCAAAAAGCTAAACGGTACCAGCGGTATCAGACTAGCGACTCTTCAGTGCCGAACGATTCGGTCCACGATGATCTGGAGCAGTTTTATCCACTCCCTAAGTCCTCAGTGATTGAGAGCATTAAGAAAGTGCTGCTTCCCCCTTTGCCTCCACTTAAATACCTCACTGACCCCAATTCGCGTCCAAACGTTATAATACATGACAAAGTGTATACTCCAGACGTCATTCCGTGCACTCCTCTACGGAGTACAAGCGTGTTGCAGACTCTAGATCCTTTGAAGCGCCAGCGAGTGATAGAAGAGAAGATTGCAAGAAGATGGCACAACGGCATGACCTGGCGTAAGGTGCTGGTGAATCTGGAACCAGACGCTCATAACAATATTGTCGTCCGCAGACGTTTTGCGAATGCATATGGTTGGCAAGTGATTGACCATCTGGTGGAAAACCATTTTTCCTCGGCTTGCGTTGCTGGGGAGGATCTTTACAAATATAAATGGGACCCCAGCCCTCAAGTGGACGACGATCAAGAGGGTGAGGACGAAAAGCTAGACAACATACTGACTAAGCAGCACGATCGTGCTGCTAAAGAATACTCGAAGCCTACTTTGAACATGAAAAATGTTTCCGGAATCATATCGAGGGAGCGATCCAAGATTCTGCAGGACGACAGTGCTACCGATCTGCTGGAGTCACGGGACTGGATCAACGACGCAGACTCTATCATATATGATGGGCCTACAGGAATGATCAATGCAGTGAGCGAGAGTGTAAATGGCAAGATGGAGTCTTTCAAAACTTATTTCCACGGTGAAAACACAGTGGGGACAGACCAGATTGTCAATGTATCTGGTCCTTATTTATGACGCATTGATGGATAGGTTATATAATGAATGGGCTGTTTTATATTACAGAAGCATCTAAGACAAATCGGAGGCAACTTCGGCAGCCAATATTTGCGTGATGCAATATGGGCTGATAAATAAAAACCTTGCTTTTTTAAAGCTACCAATTTTAGAGAAATATTTTCCGGGCTTGCGTACTTAATTTAGTAGCAACTACGTTAACACAGCAGAGGCTGAAGTCGGCTAGTTCGAGCTGGTTTAAGAACCTGTTGACATCGAGTAACATCTTTTTGTTTATACTACCTTTGAGGTTTGAATTTACTGGGCGTGGGCTGTCAATTTTGATGAACATCACCTCCAGTGCCATGCAAGTGTAGAAAACGATTATTCGTCATTATTGTGGAATAGAACTCATTTTTCGTTCTTTGCGCCAGCAGTATTGATATTACACGCACTTGGAACGACAAAATCTATTTGTATCGTTAGCAAGGATAATAGGTAACTAAGTACTGTGACGGCTACCGGACGCTCTAGATTTCTCAAATGAATCAAAATGGTCCTTATTTAGGTCGAACCAGGAAGGATCAGAAAAACCGCACAGCATAATAGCGTACTGAAACTATTACAATGGGTTTCTCAGCTTGCAGGTATCCTATCGAGCTTAACTTGAGGCTTAGAATCTATGCAAAAAGCCAGTGATTCATCCAATTATGCAAGACTTATAGCACGCACGTTTATCGATCTTGCTTTCTGGTGCACCTATAAAAAAGTTCTTTGACAACACACATTGTGGTGATGACGTCAGAATAGAGAATTTATTTGTATCGAAAGTAACAAATACACCACAGGCATCTGACAGGACGATCTGAGTCGCCCAAGAGGATTGAACAACTGAGCTAGATGTATCAAGGATGTAGTTGGTGGGGTTGACAGGACACATTGCTATTTCCATTTCGCCGGCTTTTCGATATAGAAAGCTGTTCTATCGAGGAGCTTCAGGTTTCGGTGGGGAGGTCCAAAAACCGACGCGACGCGCATCAGGAGGACCGCAATTCGAAGTACCATAACCTACCATCATCCAACCGAAGGGATCGCGAGAGATCAAGGCCGTCAGTTTTTGTACATGTTGTTCTACTCGAATTAGACTAGTCAGTGTCAAACACACTTGCTCGGTAGCACTTAGGTAATTTTTTGATAAGGACGACTGTCAAAACCTACAATTTATTAATTGCAGCATAACAATCGGATTAAATTTCTTAAGCGAGTCACAAGTGTAGCACAAGATGCACAAACGATATACACTTCGTGGTCGCAGTAGCGCCAAAGGCAATGTATGATAACCTAAATACGTCGAGAATGTTCCTGACCCTGCTATTATCAACTTGCTATTTGGCACGTTCAAACGTCTGCTTACGCCACTTGCCCGTGTAATTGCCCTTAGAATGTGCCGGAAAATACTGCACTGGGCATTCAAAAAAACACCAAGCTGACGGTCGTGCGCGGCACAAAGAACTAACGTGTTACGTCATTGACTCTCTGTCATGTTACGGCCAGTATAAAAAGGCCCCAATTACTAGTTAGACGACATCAATATAATGGAATCGCAAAATTTGGAGATACAGAACGCCCCTACGAACGCAGAAACTGCCAAGACTGCCAGCACCGCTAGCCCCCCTGTCCAGTCGTATCTGAATAACGACGGAATTGACAGCATGACGCCTGCGGCACGTAAAAAAAGGGTCTCCTCACTCTCTTTGTCAGATCAGTGGGCAGGGTCGATGAGGTCGCCCTCTCTTGCCGCTCTATCAAAATTGAGTAATGGCAACAGCAATGTGAGTCTCAAGAAGACGGGCTCGAAGGCTAGCTTGGGCAAATCGCACTCCCGTCTATCGATGTTGTCTTTAGGCTCTGACGGACACCCTGTCCGGTATAAGACCCACATCGTGGACCATTTTCGTGTTGCGTCGTATGCGTTTGCATTTGATATTGACGGCGTCATTGTGAAAGGCCCTGAGACTATCCCATATGCCAGAGAGGCCATCAAGATGTTGAACGGTGAGAACAAGTACAATATCAAAGTTCCTTACATTTTTGTCACCAACGGTGGAGGTAGACCAGAGAGTGAGCGTGCTAAGGAATTGAGCGAGAGATTGGGAGTTGAGATCACCGAGGACCAGATCATTCAGGGTCACACACCGATGAAGGACCTTGTTGCCGTTTACAACAACGTGCTTGTTGTTGGTGGTGTTGGTGACAAGTGTCGTAAAGTTGCTGAGGGTTATGGTTTCAAGAACGTGTACATCCCATTGGATGTGATGTACTGGAACCCAAGCGTGACACCCTACTACACATTGACCGAAGAGGATAAAAAAGTGTGCAAGAAAGACGTCGATTTCTCGAAAATCAAAATTGATGCAATCTTGGTCTTTGCAGACTCCAGAAATTGGGCCGCTGACCAGCAGATCATCCTAGAGCTTTTGATGTCCAAGAATGGAGTCATGGGAACTGTCAGCGAGACATTTGAGGAGGGGCCTCCAATTTACTTTGCCCACTCAGACTTTATTTGGGCAACCAATTATAAGCTTTCCCGGTATGGTATGGGTGCCTTGCAAGTTTCCATTGCTGCTCTCTATAGAGAACATACCGGAAAGGAGCTTAAGGTCACCAGATTCGGCAAACCTCAGCGTGGCACTTTCAAATTTGCAGAAAAGGTTCTCAAGAACTGGAGACAAGATGTGTTAGAAGAGCATGTCGAAGAGATCGCCTCTGCGGTGGCTTCCGAATATTCGGGAGAGGATGGCGAGGAGGAAGAAGAAGCTCTCAGCTTCAAAACGCCTGCTCAGAAAGCCGACGAACAGAAGAAGGAAGAAAAAGACAAGGGCGGAAAGCAGAAAACAGAACCTAAGAGAGGGGTTTTCAATGAGACAGACTCTGAAGATTCCGATGACGAAGATGAAGGATTGACTATTCAAAAATTATCGCAACTGACTCTGGATTTGCCGCCAGCATCGACTGTGTACTTTGTTGGTGACACTCCAGAGTCTGATATCCGTTTCGCAAACTCTCACGACGAATCATGGCACTCGATCTTGGTCAAGACGGGTGTTTACCAGGAGGGAACAGTCCCTAAATACAAGCCAAAGTACACGTGTGATAATGTTTTGGAGGCTGTGAAGTATGCTATTGAGAGAGAGCATCAACTTGAATTAGAAGAATGGAACGCTGGCGCTCAAGATCCTCCAGAAAATCCAGATACGGTTCAACCAACGCAGGATGCCCTCCTTGTCGAAAGAGAGGTCATAAAAGAGAAATAAGTAGTGATATAGTAAGTAATAACTACTCTCAACTTTCTACTAGTTAGATTCATGTGTCCATTGGGGCGATTCTCCTTGCAACTTCCGGGGCACAAGACACACATGCAGTCACCATAGTAGTGACTACGAATAAGCTCTCGTGGCCCAGTCGGTTAAGGCGTCAGTCTCATAATCTGAAGATCGCGTGTTCGATTCTCGCCGAGAGCACTTTTTTTGAAACTTTAAATGCAAGTTGAATAGTCTACAATCTTATCGAAAATGCGGGAAAAAAAATAGAATACTACTGCTATTGTGAAAGAGCTGAAAATCTATTATTTGAGAGGCCAGCGAATAGGCATGACATGCGCTGGAATAGATTGTTGGCGATTAAGGCTTTGAATCGTTCAAGCTTGAATTCGAATTGAAGTAGTCGCGTAAGAACCCGAATTTCTTTTTCTAGTGATGTCACAATGTATACTCGCACTTGAGAGGTCTCGAGCTTTGAAAAGGGAAGCCCAAATTTTGTGTTCAGTAAAACAGGCCAACAAGTGTTGTAGTCAAAACTTTATCGACGCTAGACGCACTTGGTGCCCAGATTAGGATTTTCGCCTAAGGCGGAGACCTACATTTGACACTAGACAGTGTAGCCTCCAGAATATTTGTATAATCAGGATGATCATCAAAAGAGGATACTGAACGCAAATCCCAGCAATATTACAGTTGCCACTTGTATATGACAGAAACCGCGGAAAATACTCGGCAAGAGAGATGCGAGTAGGGGGACCTGAATGCTAACCGACAATTGTATATGTTCATGCGTGTCCTAAAAATAATATGCATGATGAGCCCACACAACAAAAAAGGGCATCAAATGTGAATAGGCGCAAATCGTTATTTTAAGGGCATCATCAAAGATGCAGCCATGTCACAAGTTTGTTACCAGTGGGGCGGTGACCCCCCTATTTACGTAAGATTGTAGCTCATGCACCCTAGTCAAAAACAGCGTGTTTTCGGGCCATGCAAACAAACACGACAGATGATTATGCTATTGCAGGCCGTATCTGCATGAGAAGTCGGAGAAATTATTTGCACCTCCTTCGAATACGGCATCACCAGCTCGTTAAGGCGTGCTGATGGTGCGAGTATACACTTAAAGGAATTAGTTGGCTATCTTGCATAAAAATACCTCGGGGGAACCACACAATAAACAATCCTTGTCTCCGGGTGAAATTAAATGCTATGGCACCTACGCGACATAGTCAGGGCGGATATCCGACTTGTATGTGTGCCAAGTTCCGGTGCTAAGAAGTTTGTTTGTTTGCGTTTTTTTGTCGCAAATTCGAAATGTTCGACCAGCAAAACACTTGCCGATTGATACTCCTGCATCTTTGCGCAATGGATCTGCGATCGGTGCACCCGTATTCCAAATACAGTAGGCGTGATATGCGGAATCTGCAAACTGCATATTGACTCCTGCACTTCCAGGCAACTGGGTTTCCTGATGTACTTGTATTATTTTTGCCTTTGCAGTAGTTCTTTTTTTCCTTTTGCGTCTACTGTCAGAATCCGGAAGTGAAATGAGATTTGGGTAGATTTTAATACTCTTCTGCTCTTTATAACCCCAAGCAATCGATTATACCAGCTAATGCTCTTATTACGGTTTTACTGAACCCACAGTAGATTAAGCCCCAACTCAGTTATTGTTTCTGGCCCCTTTGTGTCAATCATGGCTTCCGTACTCAATCGTGAGAATTCGAGTATAGGGCAGACCCCTGAATCCTCAGGTACATCCTCCGTCAAACTACCCTCCATTTCCAGCCTCACAGCATCCATCACCAGTCCTTCCAGAGACAGTCCAGATTTGTGTCTCTTCCCACCACCACCACCAGCGCCGCAAACATCCTCGAACCGCTATGCTGTCGAACAAACTGTGTATCGGGATCCTTTCAGTCGCCACAATTCACGTCCGCCTTCCCTTTCCGACTTACATGCCAAACAGGAGGTCCACCTGCCGCCTCTATCGTCGATATTGAGTGCACCCGTGTCCCCTCATCCACGACCCCATGCGGCATCTTTACCAGGCCAAGAAGTTTACCCTCCGCTATACGATCCCGTCACCGCCTATTACGCCGCGCCCCAGCAACGGCACCAGTCGTTCGCCGGCTACTCGCCAGAAAAGAGCCACTCGGCGCACGATCCAATGCTAGATAAACGGGAACAATCACCTGACAGCTCAACAGAGAGAACAGACAAACGCAAACGCGTAGTACGCAAGCGAACAAGAACCGGCTGTCTCACGTGCCGCCGGCGACGAATCAAGTGCGACGAACGCAAGCCTTTCTGTTTCAACTGCGAGAAATCGAAAAAAGTGTGCGCAGGATACGAACAAGTCCCCTATGGGGCCCGACGGTACAGGTACATGCCACAGCCAAAGCCGCAGGAAGTCCATCTCGAACATGGAGAAATCATGCAATCCCCGACGTCAGGTACGCTACCACCGGTTATGAACTCTCCGATGCCCCCTCCTCCCTTGAGCGCTGCCATGATGCCTCGGTCTCCACCTCAGACCGCGTTCCCCATGGTCAGACACCACTCACACCCTTCACCGCACGTTCAGCGGTCGCCTGTACTATTATATCAGCCATACGCAGGGAATCCTCCTCCGTATGCGCCTCACTATATTTCCCGGCCCGTGGCATACTCGCACTACTCAGCCCATCTCGGGTTTACGCACCCTCAACGGTAACTGACCGACTGTTTATATCTAGAGTGTCTCTAAATGCGGACTAAATCTCGCTGTCCTGCCATGAGGAGCTGACCTCTATTCTTTTTGAATAAAATAGTCAAAATACAGTTCAGAATTATTTATTTGTTCACTTCTTTATTGATGCGTGCACTTTTTTTGTTCTGTTGCTGCGTTGCCGCAGAATGGATACGCGGCGTTGAGCCAGATAGACAATCGCTGTATAGGCCTGACGAGGACGGGCTTTGGGCATGTCTGGGCAATCCGGAGATCAGGATCTCTTTTGACAAGATTAATGACGATTACTGTGATTGTCCAGATGGTTCTGACGAGCCAGGGACTTCTGCGTGCAGCTTGGGTCGATTTTACTGCGCGAATGAAGGGTTCCGCCCAAGCTATTTGCCTTCCTACAAGGTCAACGATGGCATTTGTGATTACGATCTGTGTTGCGATGGTTCTGACGAGGCTGATGGAAAATGCCCATCTAGATGCGCACAAATGAAGAAATCATGGGAGGAGGAAACAGCGGCACGAAATGCGGTTATTTCTAGGGGACTAGCCAATAAGGCTAAAATTCAGCACAAAGCACACAAACAGCGGACCAAGTTGAAGTACGAAATTACACAATTGTCTGCCGAGATCGAGAAACTCGACCAAGAACTTTATGGTCTCAACCAGCTGAAGGCTCCTACAGAAAAGGAAAGCGCCATAATCTCAGTGTTTGAGCAGCTGGACTCGAAATTGGAGGACATTTCCTCGCAGATCTCGGAAAAGCTCAAGCAACTCGACGCCAAAAGACAGAATCTGAGAAACCTGGAAGAGATTTTGGAATCTATGAGTAACGAGTATAACCACAATTTCAATGACCCGGCCGTAAAAGCTGCAGCTCAAGCATTCCAGGAGTATTCTGTCAATCAAGGTTTGACGAAGGACGAAAAGCACAGTGATCAGGACAGTGAAGTTAAATCTCTGTTCGAAACTCTGCAAAGCCAGTTGAAAGACTCTGAGACAGAAATTCGGAAACTGGCTGGCGGTGGAGACGAGGCCGAAAACGAACTGTTCGACTTCAAATCCACTTTCAAAGCCATGGTGAACTCTTTCCTGGGCGTGTCAAACAGACGCCAAAAGATCCCGTCGACAAGAGAGTCAGAAAAGCGGAAGAAGGAAATCGAAGACGAATTGAAGCGGTTAAGAAGAGATTTGCACACAAAGGAGGAGCGGCTTAATAAAGACTACGGACCACAACAAATTCTCATGGCTATGGACGATTGTATCGTGGACAAAATTGGCGATTATGATTATAGATTGTGCTTCGTGGAAAAAGTGGAGCAAATAGATCGCAATGGCCATGCAGTTAGAATAGGCCGTTTTGAACGGACCGACTTTGACGAAGAAAAACAGCAGCTCAAGCTGATCTACGAACATGGAGACAAATGCTGGAACGGTCCGGTGAGAAAGGCCACTGTTCAGCTGGAATGCGGCGAAAAAAACACCATCGTTGCCGTTACGGAGCCGGAGAAGTGCGAGTACACGCTGAGAGTCAAGTCGCCGATCGGATGTTTCGAGCCAGTTGAAGCTTGATAAATAGAATCGCGCGGTGTATTATTAAGTAGTGCGTAAATGGACCCGGGTGTTCATTACTGGACATAGACTACCACGCTGGTGATGTCGTCTGGCTTGCCTCCAATGTAATCTTGGCCAGTAAGATCGCTTAGTCGCTGCGAAAACACGCTCTTGAAGTTGCTATTAAGACTCAGCTCTTTGACGTTCCGAACAAGGTTCATATTCATTTCCCCTATCTGATCTGCTGCAAAACAGTCATCCAGATACAGCGCCACATCATTGATGACCACGTTATCAATTAAGCCGTCAGTAGTGAACATGATCACGTCTCCTGACTCGAGCTGGAATTCGTACTCGTCTGCATCTTTGGGCAGATTCATTAAATACTTGGAGCCCTTCTTTTTCGCTATGTCCAAGAATTCTTGCGGAATCACAGATAACTGATACGGAGCGTTAAACGAATATGTCTGCTCTTTGGACTCGAAGACGCACTTGAACCGCGAATTTTGTTTCCTAAAGACTCCGAACCAGGAGTCACCCAAATTGACAGCATGCAGCTTGTTTGTCATAGCATCAATGACGCCAAAACAGATGGTCGTAGAGCCAACCTCAACAGACCCGTCCTGCTTCATTTTGGTGTATGCCTTGTCCAAGATCTCAAGCGGAGTAAGGTGATCCTCGTGTAAAAATTCCATTGTTACATGGGTGGACAGCTCGCGGCTGATCGCACTGGAATCAAACCCTTGCTCAGACCAGCCACCAACCCCGTCCAGAACGCCAGCCAGCACCTTGGAATCATTATATGCCATCACATAATTATCTTCTCCCGTAGGCGAATCGTACACAGTATTGGTCTGGACCTTCTTGCGGTACTTGGAAATGAGCCCGTCGTCAGGACGGTTTACGTCTTTGAGGCGATCTTTTGGCTCAAAAGCCAAAGACATCAGATATCCATGGCCAGCGGTCTCAAAGTGTTTAGCAATCGTGTGGCCGTTTTGAAAGTTTCTGAAGGTATACGAGTCGTTCGAAAAACACCGTCTACCTAAACGAGCAGATACCGTCAACCTAGATGTAAACCCAGGGCCATAGGAGGCCACTCTGGTGTTATAGATCAACATGCTAAGATTTCCAAAAATTTCGTACACTTTTTATACTATATTTTTCAACTACCTAGTTTCTCAACAGCACCCAAAATAAATTTCCCGAAATCAAATTCTGGATCATCGAAGTTCACAGCCTCGGTAGAAGCGGCTTGCTTAGGTGGGTTCAGCTTTCTATATTCAGCCTTGGCAGCCTCCACCAGCTTCAGCTTTTTCTGGTAATCGTACAGTTCTTGTTTCTTCTCACCTTCGAGCTTCAAAGTGTAGGTGTGGTAAGCTCCGTACACAATGCCAGCGGCCAATGAGGAATATCTAAGGACCTGAAGGTTAGTTGCACGAATCGAGCTCCAATACTCACGTTTAGTGTGGACATGGTCTATTTGTTTTCCCCTCTATTATTTCACCAATAAAACTTTGGAAAAACTTGTCCTAGGTTATGAGCTGCCCCCCCATGCCGGAAAAAAGCAGAGTCTTGTATTTTGATCTAATATACACCCTTGCACCACAAAAAGCACATCATTGGTGCTGACTGAGCACAAAGTCCTTGATCCTGTCGCGTTCCTGCTCCCACAGCTCTGCGTTGCTCAGCTGTTCAGCAACAAAGTCCACGTCATCGGGAACCTCGATCTTTCGCGCCGCAATCTTGTTTCCCGTTCTCGCTAATAATGTATACTTGTTGGCTCCGTTTTCCGTTTGTTCCTTACGAACAAGCGCGCCGACAGGATGGCGCCCACGAGGCCGAGGGTTTGCTGAGCTGGAAGTTTTCAGACTTGAAGCCAGCATGCTGTCAAATTCTGACTGAATGCTCATCTCGAGCTGTTCGTTGATCATGTTCTCGTCCAGCTCAGGTTCAGTGTCGTCGTCCTCGTCGGACTCATCCTCGGTCTCTGAGTCGCCCATATCTTCTGTATCTTCTGAGTCCGAAACCTCATCTACCTCCTGCTCCTGCTCTTCGTCATCTTCCTGCTCAGGTTCAGGCATTTGGCGGGCAGCTTGGCTAAGTTCACTGATCCGTTTAGCTGCCTCCGCTGCGCTATTTGCACGTTTCACGCCGCGTGACTCGAAACACTTGACCACTTGCAAGTTCAGGTCAAGGGGCAGTTCACCTTGGAGCAACAGGTGATAGTCAAATAGCATCAGCTCCAACGGCATATTTTTCTTTGACAGTTCGAAAAACAGGCACACCATCTTTGCCCAGAACCAGTTAGATGGATCGCCATGAACAGATTCGAAAATCGCATATTTGACTAAATTTCGAAAAAGTGTGGCGGTTATCAACCTCTTGGCCGCAAGTTGCGCCAGGTAGCTTGCAATCGCCATTCTCTTCCTATTGTGACGGAAATCATTCAATTCAAAGCCATTTTGAAATTCCTCTATCAGGCCATCAACCACAACTGTTACTAGAACTGGATCTCGCTCACCTAACCATTTAAGAAAAGAAACTAGAGTAGGGATTTCATCATAAGTTATCGACTCTGGATGGGTAAAAAAGTCCACGATCTTGGAATACGACTCGGGGTCCCATTCGAATTCAAGAAACACAGAAAAGAAAACCTGGTTTTGCAGAGCCCGTTTCAACATATAATCAAGGAATTGGATCTTGGGTTTTGCTGTTTCGACCTGCACCTTGTCTTCAGCAACGGCAAGCGACGTAAAAAAAGCCTGTGCGGCTTTTTGACGGTCTCCTTGCAGCCTGCTTATCACGCTTTGAAGAAGATGGAGCAAGTTGTTCATGGCCTCAGAATACTCCGGTCGATAGAGAATGGTGAATCTGGAATAGTCGAATATTAGCGTCAGCAGATCTAAAGCCACCCCCTCCCCAACACTTACCACTAGCACTCGCAGAGTATTTAAAACCTTCGTACCAGGAATTAAGTTGAAATTCACCATTTCGCAATATAGCCTGACCATGTTGTAATCTAGATGCGACATCATCTGATGATCTTGCAGGATCGCATCAGCTTTGTTTTCTAATTTTTGAATTAGAGCTTTGAACACATTGCGGTTGATGCATAGGAACCTTGCAAAGGCTTTAGAGTTAACGTTATGAGAGTATGCGTGGCGATACAGACGATTTTCCGCAGACTTGGTGTACATTTCCTTCAGCCAAAATTCACTGGCTTTGTTATCTATCTCCTCCGCAGTGGTAGCAGCGTCCAGCTGCTCGATGAATGCGGAGAGCTCATCTTTACGAGCATTCTTCTCTTCTACGTCTGTCCCCCTTTTCAAAAGCAAGCTCGGATCCACCATTTCAGAGATCTCAGGAACTTCTTCATAAAATTTGCGTTGCTCCTCGCTCTCCCAACGGTTTGCTTCTGAAAGTCCGGAAATAGCCGTGATCTTGGCCGTCGGTTCCGCCTCCCGAGCCAGCGAGGGTTTTTCAATGGAAAACACCTCATGTGCAAATTCTGAATAAGCTTCCAATCTGGCAAACTCGTCTTTCTTCTCCTTGAGTTCAGATTCAAGTGATTCTGGCACTTTACCGGTTTTTCTTGATATCTCGTTGACTTGGTCCACCAATCTAGATATTTCTCGATGTGTATTTTCGGTCACTTTGCATATATGTTCACTATATTTAGTGAAAAGCTTGATTAATGACAGTCTCTCTGACGCCGCTAGAAGCTCATTCTCGCATAGAAGTACATCTTCAAACTTTCTAACAAATCCAGAAACAATCGGGAGCAGCTTTATGTTATTAGCGTGTTGAGAGAGTAGCTGTGAGATGTAGGCCAGAAGAAGAGGCCTGTCCGATTTCAGCAAATAACGGGGCAGCTTGCTCTTATCAACACTATCATCCAGACGAATCAGATCAACCAAGTACATCTCACAATACAATCTCATCAGAGTGCCCAAGACGGACAGATGCTCGGGTTCCTTAAAATCCTCAACTGAACGGAAAAAATATAATGCCAATTTTGAAGTGAATCGAGACGAAAATCGCTGATGCAGCACCGAAAGCACCTCAACAGCAGCCAATGTCTCCTTCTTTTTCAAAGAAAGTAGCCCGTCCGCCGTTGCAGGGATCAACTCATCTAAGTATTTCTCAAGCGAAACTCTCTTGATCGAGTCTATCAAAGAACTCTGTGTGTCTGCTGTGATGGCCGAACTTAGTTTCTTGAGTACAGCCATATTGCTTTTCAAAGAGGTATCAGGAGAGTCCACGACAAGCAGCTCTCCAGCCCAGGCTTTCTGGTTCAGGTGGCGGAGTTGCTTTCTACGCTCACATGGCTCAGTCATAGACGCGACGAAGAAAAAAAATCGAAAATTTACTTTTGGTGCATTATTTGTAAATTATGCTAGTATATACAGGTTCTTCAACTTTTCAAAAATGGCACCCGTTCCCTTGTGAAAACACGTCCTTCGGGAAGGCCGTACATCTTTCTAACGTTCTCTGTGTTTCTGTCCCACAAGGTACGGATGACATGCGCCCCAACCGGTGTGAGCTTATTGTCCTCCACAAATTGTCTAATCTTGAAAAATTCTCTTTTCAGTCCTTTAGGAGCGTTTCTCAGCGGGCCGTCCTGCCTGAAAACCCAAAATGCAATTCTGTGCTTTCCGGTGTTTTTCTCACAAACCGGGGGCAGGTACTCAACAAACTCGCAGTCTTCGTTCTGCATCAGTTTTTTGGCGTCGATCACGGAGTCTGTGTTGGAGAGAGTGACATCCTTGACTCCCCATAGAAGCGTAGTGGAGTAGCTGTCTTGAGCGAGATCGGGAGTGTCGGGATCGACCATCAAGACGGTATACAGGTCACCAGTAGTCTCTTTGAACTCAATCACTTCCAGCGAAGGTGGCATTTTGGTAACGTTTGATGAGAGCAAAGTTCCCGGTTGTATCCATCTATCTTGATTATTGTGCGGGAACTTTAGCTTGACCTCGACCTCTGGCTCCAGGGTAGGAAGTGTGTCTGGGATAACAGCCAAAGTTTCGAGTCTCTGCATGAGCAGCATTTTGGAATAGCCCTCCCATTCTTTCTTCATGTAGTATCTGAACACGGGCTGAGTTCTGTCGAGGCTATTTTTCATGTACTCTGCCATATACACAACCTCAGGGTTGAATTTTTCAGCCGCAACCTCAAGTTTCTCCTTTTGCTCAGCGTACGTTGGACTGTTCTTATCGAGGCTTTCAATTTTCGAGTAGATGTCTTCACTGCGCTTCTCCAAAATCTCGTATGCTAGCGGGTAGATTTGGTCAAGACCTTCGATCGATTGGTATTTCCTTCTGCTGGCTTTAGACCGTAAAGAAACTGGGCCATACGGAAGATCAGGGCTCAGCAAGACAGTCCGAAGAGCCTTGTTGCGTAACGCCAAACTTGGCGACCGCTTCACAAACTTTGACCACACTCCTTTAGACACAGACATGGACAAACCGATGAACAAAGATTTTTTTTTAAACTACCTTCCGGGTAACAAATACAAAATATAAATGTCCTTAAGGGTTGTAGTAATAAAACTTCCAATCCAGCTCGCTGGCTCTGCAATCACCGACGTTGAGGTTGATCGAACCCATGCCGGGCAGATAAGACTGCGTGTTGATGCCTCCCTTTTTTTTCGAGCTCTCGTGCCCATCGTTGGAATGGGCAGAAATGGTCGAAGATGTAGGTGAGCTTTGATTTCCAGAGCCAAATTCTGCTTCCCGGGGCGGAGGTATAGTGGTAACTTCAAACTGGAACTCCTTCAGTCGAGGGGTCACGCCTGTAGAGCCACTGACGGAGCTTTTCGTAGTCTGGATCGAGCCCGAAAAAGAGGCATGCGTGTGATCGATGGAAGAGTTGGACGAGATCGAGTCATCCGAGCTGTTGTGTGACTGTGGGTACTGAAATTCCTGAGGAACAAACTGGACCTCTGACCCAGCGCCATAGAAGCTATTGTACAGCTGTTGCTGTTGTTGCAATGCAATCTGCTGAGATTGATGCGCCCTGATCTGTGCAGCTTGCAAATGCATATGATACCGTCGCATGTCTTTTGGATCGTTGATCGCAAAACGCGTTTGGAAGGCCGGGGCAGAGCTTACGGCGATGTCTTGCAATGGTTGAGGTTTTGGCACAATCTGTTGGAACACTGGCGGTGGATGCATTTGTGGACGAAGAGCAGTCAGATCAGTGAGTGATCTTGATCTGGTTCTTTTGTGGCCTCTGTTTGAAACCGGGCATGGCTCGCAGAACGAGTTGGACCTCACACTGTTGATCGTCAGCGACTTTCGCGGATCGATTTTCTTGAGAACGCTAACGGAATGCGGCAGATAGTTGATCTCGTTGTTTAACAAGAATTCCCATATCAACGAATAAATAGGAACGTCTTTGCCCGTTCTCACAATGTCTGGTTCCTCGTCAAAATACATTGTGTGGGTGATGTGGATATTCTCAAATTTGGAACCGTTGATAGAGCCATTCGAATACTCGTTGATCAGACTGGACCAGTATTTTGCGTTCAGAGGCAAGTTGATTTTCATGTGTGCGTTGTCCGAGAGCAGGTGCCCGGTAACAGGTTCAGTGCGCTTTAGCAACAGCCTATCGCAATCGTAGACCTTGAAGATGACCCGCATCTGCAAAAGTCTGGAGAATCTCTCGCTTGAAACTGCATTGGGAGCCAGATGGGAAGCTACCCAAAGCGTGTTTTCTGCGTAAGCCACGGCCCTGTTGGATTCTAAATCAACGCTCAAATCAGGGTTCAAGTTCAATGGCACTTTAGTATACAGTAAGGAGTGGTCAAAAATTAAGTCAGGCGAGTAGATGTCATCAATGCAAGCTCTCAAAAAATTGTTCTTGTTGCGAAGATCCATAATATACTTTTCGTCTTCTTCAACCTTCAAAATCTGGTCCAGGTTGGCAACTGCGCTCAGATGATTATTGCCATAGTATCCTATGCAGATTTTCTCCACACTAAGACCCTTTGATTTTCCAAACCGGCTCTTCTTTTTTCTTTCTCCACTTTCTGCTGGGCTGCCACCAGTTTCAGGAGCAGAACTCCCGACAGAACGCTTGTTTTCCACCATCGTGTTCTTCCTCTTAATGTAGAGTTTTCTTTTACGGTCGCTTTCCCGGACCAAATTCCGGATTTCCTCCAGAATAGTCATATCTGCCAGCTCATGCGATAGTCCGTAATTGAGAAGCTCCTCATCGTTTCTGGCCATCGTCAGATAGTCGTTGATCATCTTTGTGCGCAGAGTGCACCCGACGCTCTGGCCGTAGTTGATAAGGAAGTCAGAGCGCACCATAACAACGCTTTCCGGCCCGGCGTTAGCCAGCTGGTAGTTGTAGTCGCGCAGTCCGTCACGAAGGACACTAAAGATGCGCATCATTTCATCACGACGGTCCGTCGCAGCGGTCAGACTGTCAGGGTCTTTCATATCAACGGTGGCTGCTGGAGACTCGTCTGGAAGAGTGGGACTGCTCCTACTCACGAGGGAGTCTGCAAGCAAGTCGCACGAACGTATCTCCTGAGTTTGTTGTTTGAGAATCCTTTCAACCCAATCTTTCTGATCTTCGTCGTCACCGACGTTGATGGGAACCATGAGTTCAGAAAAAAGTGACTCATCCTCATGGATGATGTTGAGCCCTTCTGGATGTCTCTTCTCTGAGGACTTTGGAGGGGTGAACTGGGACATTGCTCCATAGTCGTTTCTTGATCTCTGCTCGTGGATACCCTCCCGCTTTGGTTGCGGAGTCAACGGCGCCATTCCAATCAAAGTGTCAGCAAAGAGTCTGCTGTTCTTGCAATATTGGATTGTTTCAAGTTTACAAACAGGTTCCGCACCTGTCTCAAACTTTTTGATGTTCCTTTGAAACATCCGGTAAACAGAAAAACAGGAGTGGTGTGAGGCGTGTTCGTGCACCCACGCGTCGAAAAATAAACATCACGTTGGCCCCGAAGACGTGATGCGCGAGTTTTCGCGACGCCTGACAAGACGCCCTAAAAGGGTAACCAGCCGGCGGAGAATTATGTTGCAGAACAAAAGTGTTGTTGCAACGTATCTGCCAATGTCGTACTTGGAGCTCTGTTCGCAAAGACAGGCATACAAGTAGGAGACGATCGGACCGATGATGCCGGTGAAGAGCAGGTCCCACATGGTAAGAATGAGGTCGACAAACTCCACAAACCTCAGGGTCCATCTCGCTCTCTCGCCCTCCGGAGGAAAGTGCTCTGAAGGACTCACAGAGCTGGCTGTCCTGCTCGCCATTTCCAACCCCCGTTTGGCCCGCTCGATCGCCAGCAAAGCGTCCTGCTCCCTGTTCTGCTGGCGGTGCGCTTTGAACCGCTCGACCAGGTTGCTGTCGGATAGAAACGTCTCCAGAATTAGGAATTTCAGCTCGTCGTCAATCTTGTACAGAGTGGACGTCACTAACCCTGAATCGACCATGGAGTCCAGAATCCTGGCAAAGGCGTCACTCAGATGGTCCGAGTCCTTTTGCAACGCCTCTGCCAGTAGCTCCAGGCCTTCTGCCAGAGTCCCGGTATATATGTGGCTAGTTGCTTCGCTTTGGGCCGGGGACGGCGAGGAGGGAATTGCAAGTTTGTGCACATTTTGCAGATCCAGCTCGGGAGTCACTGGACGCTCATCTGTGGCTTGGAACAGCCATGTGCTCACAGCTTTCATTGCTACGTCTTTCTTCCGGGCTTAAATTTAGTTAGCAACGCTGAAATTCTGCTGGTGCACCGCCCTAAATTTGCACTGCCTAGTCTTTAACATCTTCCATGTGAAACTCTGTAGCGGTTCTGGCCTCATGGTCGTCCTCTGCCAGCCAGCGGGTTGCATATTTTACATCGCGGGTATATAGCTTTGCGTGCGGCTTCTCGATGAGAGACAGGTTGGCGAAATAGAAACCCGGACATTCTTTGCCCGAATGGTAGCCTCCGTCGCAAAGCCAGAAATAGTATCCCCTGGATGCGGGTTTCTTGTACATGCGGCGCAACGTCATGGACGACTTGCAAACCGGGCAGCACGGCGTGTTGTTCAGCAGGTGAGGTCGACTCATGCGCAGAGTGAGGTTGATACGCGTCTCGCCAGCTCTAGGATGCCTGGCCACAAGGGAGTTCCCCAATGACGGTACACAGTGTTTGAACTCTTCCTGTGTGCCTGGAAGCATTAGCAATAGGGAGTTATGTGGAAGCGGGATGTTGTAGACCGGACTGTCACCGTACTGTTTTCTGACTCTAAATATTCGGGTCGCTCCCAAAGTTAGCGAACAGATCAACGGCAATGGTCCAATGGTGGTGAGACGGTCTGAGTGCCAGTCTAGGTGGTTTTTGTTTGTATGGAAGTAGTTCCCCACACACAATGATGCGCGCCATTCGGACTGTACCTGGAGCGGGTGTCTCTTGGTGGTTGCAAGCACTTCGTTCGCCTGGTCTTCGATCAGGAATTTGGCTGTTCGCAAGGTTCCGGTGAACGACTGAGCCATATATTTTGAGTTCTGGTAGAATCCGTTGTCGTAGAGCTGTTCGGTCATGCCGCCGTCGTAGAACACTGTCGATTGGTGGTTTGAGTGGCATTCGTTACCGGCAATGTGGAACATCTTATCTTTAAAGCTGGCTCTTTTCGACAGGAGTTCATCCAAAAGACTGTCTGCAAGACTCTCGGGTAGGAAATTAGGATAGAATTTCAGATACGGAACCACGGATTCAATCTGCTCTTTATTGTATAGGGTGGTGGAAATGTTTGCGCTAGCTTTCGACACCTTGAATGATATCTGTCTTTGACAGAACGCTCTCTTTTTTGTCAAGGAACAAGATGTGTTGGCAGCGGCTTCGCTCTGTGTCTTGCGTTTTATACCAGAGAGCTTCCCTTTGATCTCTGTCTTGATGTCTGTCTTGATCTCCCGGGGCCCAAATTGCTCCTCGAGCATGGACTTGGTCTGCTCGACAGAGCCATCAAAAGTGACTAGAAGTTCCAGCAGCACATCCTTACTAACTTCTGGAAACTGAGATTGGAGTGTATCTAACTTTTGCTCCGTCTCCATCAAGATTTGCCCCACAGTCGCGTGCAAAAAATATTTCAAGGCCGTTTTTTCAAATCTATTTACCGTTATATTTAAACGAGCTCAACGATTTTCTGTCGAGGATCGGGCCACCTTGATTCGTCATATCCCGCAACGGCATGCGGGCGCTTTGTTTGTGCGTGACAGACACCTGGACAACTGGCTCGTCGTCTTCGTCTGGGTCTGTTATGTTGTAGTCACTGGAATTTTGTTCGCTAAACACGCTCAGCGTGTCCTCTGTGAGTGTAGATGCAGTAGATCGAGTGAAATATGTGCTGGTTTCGGACCCAGAATCTTGTGAGTCAAAAAGTAATCTGCGCCGCTTCATGTTGGATGTCTGGACAGACATGAAATGGTCGATGGTTCTGATAGCAGACTTGCGGGCCTTTGGCTCTGACGCAGACCGCACCACAGGCTTGCTTTTGACTTGGAGCAAGGCATCGATTGTTCTGGATTGTTCTTTTGTGGTGATTTGCGCTTTGGGAGCGATGTTAGGCCGGGTACTAGAGGCTTCGCGGCCCGACAAGGGGAGCTTTGTTATTGGATCCAGCTCGCCTATGGCAATTTTCCGGTGAAGTTCGTGGTTGTGCATTTTCCCTGCACACCGTTCAACCTCGAGGATATCGTCTTCCGGGGACAACGGGTTCAAATGCACGGGTTTCTGCGTTCGAGGGTCGAAAACAACCTGATGGTTGAAGGCAGTGATAGCACGGTAATACTCCGTTTCGAACTCGACAGGGACTTTCAGCTTTCCCTCGTACCGGACTGCTTGCAGAAGCCTTCCAATTGTCGAGTACCTGTGCACAAGGCTAATTGCACGCTGCATTCCAACATTAGGGATTCCTTTCGTATAGTCGCATCCGCTGACAATAGCCATCAGCTTCAACTGCTCATTGGAAAAAAGACCAATTGCAGATTCCCGACAGTCCTTGAACTTATCTCTCCGCACCTCTATACAGGATCCGGAGTCGTCCAGCTTCGTGATAAGTCTTTGGCACCCAAAAATCAAAAGATCCGAGTCCTCAGAGATGATTCCCTGCACGATACCATGTTTCTCCAGATACACCATCTGTGCGTCTGCCTCGTACGGGGCAACCACGTATTGGATATTTCTGCTTTTCAGTTCCTCTATCACAGTTTTAGCTATTTGTGGCGTGATATCACACGCCTTATTAAAGTAGTTGTATGCCTCAGAACGTTTGTTTGCGCGTAGGGCCTCAAGACCCAGCCGTTTGTACTCCTGTCTGCGCGCCTCGCGCTCTTTTTCCGTATTCGCCTTTGTGGGCAAGTAGTCCCCGTCCAGAACCATGTACGGAGTAATGCCGTAATGCGCCAGCATGTCTAGTCGTCTATTCATGTAGTTCAGGTACGCTCTTGTAGGTTTTTCCAGCACGATCTCCATGGCACAGCCGTAGATCGCCTTGTGCAGCCACGAATACGTGTCAATGGCCAGTGTTTTGCCCCTGTACTTCTCCAAATGGCTGATTTCCTGGATAGATTTGAGCGCCGGCAGTAATCCAGTGACCCCCATTTTTATGTGTTTACTCTCGAGCGCGATCCAAAGAAAAAAAAATAACAACGAAGAAAATTCGTGCCATATTTGTGATGAACCAATATCAGGAAACAGTCACTCAACTGGACAATCTTTCTTTGAAAGGCGCTAGAAAGAAAAAGACCAACCATGTGCATCACCAGCTAGTCCCAGACTACATCAGGGACGATCATGTGGACTCTGGCTTTGACCCTAACGCGGCTGCAATGAGCCCAGGCATGCAGGCTCCTCACTACTACGGCCAAGCTACCGAGCCAGGAGCGCCGGGCCCTACGATGCCCCAGCAGGTGGCCGTGCCCGCTCAGCATCACCTTCAGACCAGCCAGTACCAGCCACAGAGGCCTGACGTCGCACTGGACGCAGCAGCCACAGACGATCTCTCCATCCCCAGCATCAGGTACCAGCTAGATTACACGTACAAGGAGTCTGATTTTTTGACGTTCGAAAATGTATCGCCTCCACTCGCAGGAACACAGTACACGGCCATCGACCAGGGCAATGCATCTCCCAAATTTGCGAGAATGACACTCTACAGCGTCCCTAGCTCCGAGAAATTGAGACAACAAACCAAGATCCCGCTGGGCCTGGTCCTCACCCCCTTTGCCCCGATCGCGTCTGGAGAGAAGCCTGTTCCGCAGGTCGACTTCCGCGAAATGTCCTCGGTTCCTCGGTGCAGACGGTGCAGAGCTTACATCAACCCGGCCATGCAGCACGGAGGATACAATATGATCTGCAACATCTGCACGTTTTCCAGCCCTGTTCCACAAGAATATGTCAGTCAGATCGATGCCAACGGTGTCAGGTCGGACTACTACGTGCGTCCCGAACTGCATTCTGGCGTGTACGACCTGATTGTGCCCAAAGACTACAATTTCGATGAAAAGGACTCTCATCCGCTCCACCACGTGTTCCTTATCGACCTCAGTTACGAGGCTATTCGATCAAAGTTCCATGTGGCAGCCTGCTCTGCTATCAGAATGGCTCTGTACTTGAATGGTCAGTCCAACCTCCCAAAGGGCTCCAAGGTATCGATTGTTGGATTCGCCAATAAATTATATTTCTACAACCTGGCCCCAAGTTTGCAGCAGACCACTGTATCGGTGGTGGGCGACCTGGATGATCCGTTTCTGCCCTTCTATGACGGCATACTCGCCGATCCGATAGACTCCTGCGCCATCATCGAGGCCACCCTGAGCACCATCGAACAGCTGACCGACTATTCTGGTCCCGAGCCAGCATACGGCGCTGCACTGTTAGCCGCCAAAACCATCCTCCAGGACGTCGATGGTGGCCAAGTGATCACCTTCCTTTCGGGCCTACCCTCATGGGGACCAGGCTCGCTTGCCGTCAAGCTGCCTGCGCAAAAAACTACTCCCGACTATGACAAAGAGGTGATAACTGCAGGAAGCAAATTTTATCAGGACCTGCTGAAAGAATATGTCAAATTGAACATTGGCCTGCATCTCCTGAACGGCGCGCACACGCCTGTTGACATGGCCAACGCCGGACTCATTCCTATAAAGTCCGGCGGGTCAGTCAAGACCTGGCACAGCTTTAATCTCGACCGCGACGAGGCAGATCTCATGTACACTGTCAAGCATCTGGTGGCGGACGCGTGCGGATACCAGGGCCAGCTGAAGGTGCGCTGTTCGAACGGACTGCAGGTGAACAAATACTATGGTGGATTCCACACCTCGGGCCAGCCAGACGTGCCGTATTTGCCTATATGCCATAGCCAGACTAGTATTGCCTGCGATTTCGTCTATGACGGAAAGCTGGACACCAAGAAGGACTCACATTTCCAGGCTGCGCTGCTCTACACATCTGCGGACGGCATTAGGAAAGTGCGTGTCATCAACTGCATTATGTCGGTGACGGAACGCGTAGCCGATGTTTTCTCGTTCTCTGACCAGGACGCTGTTTTGAACCTTGTGCTCAGAGAGAGCCTGAGCAGATTGCCAAACATCAGCTTTGCCGCACTGCGCAGTTACCTCAACATTCAGCTGGCTGACATCAACGCAATGTACAAGCTCTACGTTGCCAAGAACAACTCTTCTCCTGGTCAGCTTGTTTTGCCCCACGGGCTGCGCACGTTCCCGATGTTTTTATTGTCTGCGCTGAAAACCAAAGCTTTGAGAGAACGCACGGGCAACCCCGACCTCCGCGTCGAGAGTCTGTTCGACCTCGCAAATAGCACGCCTGAAAAACTGTCCGTTTATCTCTATCCCGTGATGGTCAGTCTGCACGACCTAGACGACTCCGAATGCCTCTTTGACGAGCAAACTGGATTTTTCTCCACTCCAAAGACCGTTGGATTGAGCCAGGCAAACCTCGAGATGGGCGGAGCGTATCTCGTGTTCAACGGCAAGTCACTATTCCTCTGGTTCCACACTGACGTTAATCCGCTCCTGCTACAAGATCTCTTTGGGGAGCATGTCACTTCTCTGAGCCAGCTGGACCCTCTGACCTCGCAGTTGCCCGTTCTTGATACCCATATCTCATTGCAAGTGCGCAACCTGGTCAAGTTTTTGGGCAAGCACTATCTCAACGTGGACTTCTTCCCTGTCCAGATCTGTCGGTTCAAAACAGACGCAAACGAAGCTGAATTTTTAGAGCTTCTCTATGAGGACCGCTCGGGCGACCTTGTGTGGTCGTATGCTGATTTCCTTAAACATCTTCACAAGCAGATTACCGGAAAAGTCGAAACGAGCTCGTCGGCTCCAGCCATAGATAAAAAAGATACTGTTTCGCTGGGAAGCAGGTTCGGTATTTTCTGAGCTAGTTTACAATCATATAAATGCATTTATAGATCAGTCTAGTACTTTTCCAACAGTGCCTCCTTCAACAATGTGTTTCTGGGAGTCGTCCACCTTTCGCAGCTGCTTGCCGAGCGTAATTTCGCCCAGCAACGCTGAGATGGGGGCTGTTTCGGTGACTGCGCCGTTCGCTGCGCCGTTAGCCAGGGCAGGAGCTGGCGGGGCTGGCGGGGCTGGTGGAGCGGGCGCTGGCGGTGGCGGAGGAGCAACAGAAGCCGGCATTGGTGGAGCGTCCACAGATGCTGGGGGCGCTGGGGGCGCTGGTGCAGAAGGCACGGGTGGAGCCTTTATGGCCTCAGAGTCGTCAGAAGAGTCCGGAGCAGCAGGAGCCTCCTCAAAGCTATCATCTTCGGAACTATCTGATTCCGGAGAAGAAACCGGGGCCTGGGGAATTGGCGGAGCAGCCGGAACGGGTGGAATTTCCTCAACTAGTGGCTTGTCCACCGGCAGAGCTGCAGGAACAGAAGGAACTGTTTCCGTGTCAGTTTCTGCCGTTGCTGGAGAAGAATTGTGTTCAGCAGGCCGCTCAGCCTCTGTCTGTTCCACAGGCTTGTGTTGCTCGGTCTGCGGCGCAGAGTGTTCATTCACTGTCGACGACGAAGACTTCACGCCCCCGCCAAAAAGCATTGAGGCCAGTTCGGCCTGTTTCGAGGCAGCAGGCATTTCGTCCTCGTCCTCGTCCTCCTTGTCCGAGTCGGACCATCCGTCATCGCTTAGACTTTTACCTCTTTGCGCCTCTCTCTGGGCCTTGAGTCTATCGGCATCGTAACTTGACTCGGAGGTGAGCTGCGGCTTGAAGAATGGATTATTGCTCTTCGGCTTAGGCTCTGACTCTTCCACAGGAGCAGCCATTTTCGCGAATGGGTTGTTGCTGTGGGCCGAGGTCACAGAAGCTGCAGACACAGGCTCTGGGGCCTTTGCTGGCTCTCCAGCAGAGGGCGGAGGAACAGCTTCCCGATTGGCCTGTGAATCCTCCAACTCGTCTTCGTCGCTGCTCTCACCGCGCGCTTCCTTTTTCTTGAGCTCCTCCATTTCTGCTCTGAGCTTGGCCAGACGAGCTTCTCTATCCTGCTTCTTCTTTAGTTTCCGCTCGCGCTCTTTGGCTTCCATTGCTTTTTTCTCGGCAATAAGCCTCTTCAATTCCTCTTCCTCAGCGTCGTCGTCGTCCGACGAATCTTCTTCCTTTGCTGGATGAGAGTTGGACACTTGGCGCGGAGCTGGCGGAGCTGGTGCTTGCTTAGGAACACTTGGTTTTGCTGGCTCTGCTGGGGCCTCCTGTTTTGGTTCAACAGGAGCTTGGGGAGGCACAGATGCAGCTGAAGTCTCTGAACCAGAGTCCTGCACAGATTCACCACTTCTCCTCAGCGAACCCTTGATTCCCAGCTTTGCCAGCTTTTCCTCCATCTTGCGCCGGGCCTGCTCTTTGAACTGTTGAGCCCGAGACTCAAGACTATCCGGAGACTGAGATGGGGTGGACGAGCGAGACACAGATTCGTGTGTGACCGGCGCAACAGAAGGAGCATGAACGGCTAGTTGCTGCGAATCCTTTGGCTTTGGTGATGGTTTTGAGGCGTTCAGCTCTCGAATAAACGTTTTCACATCGCTACTCTGAATGTCGTTTCCAAGCTCCCACTTGGAATAGCCGACTTGAGCAGAGTTGGTCAGATGCAGCGAGCTGGAAATGTCGTTCACCAACTGGTTGATCGAGCCAGCAATGTCCTTAACCATGGATTGCTGTTGCTGAGTCTCGTTCGTAATACGGTCTATGTCCTGAGAGAGTCTAGCCTCGTTAGCCTCGAACTGGTCGAGGTTCGGAGCAGGCTTTCCAGTCAGGGCGGCCATTTTGGCTTGCAGCATTGCTTTCTGCTTGGCTATGCGCTTGTCTGCCTCTGTCACTTCGCCATTGCGACCCGTTCCCTTGATTTGAATACCAGAAGGATTTTCCTTGTGGATTTTGAGCCTGGCAATTTCGATTTTGGCATTCTTGATCTTCTCGTCAATCGAGCTGAGCTCAGAAACAAGCTTAGGAACCCGGTCGGTCAATCTATTCAGCTCTTTAGACAGCTTTTGCTTTTCCTGAATGGAAGACCCGGCGTCCAACCCTGCAGCGTTCAATTTGTCCTGCGCAGCTCTAATTTTAACCTTGAGCATATCAATTTCATTGACAGTTTTCTGTCTTCCGTAGTCATTGGCAATATCCTCATCAGCTGCGTCAATGGCATCCAAAAGAATCTTTTTCTCGTGCACTTTCTTTCTCAGCTCTTCGATAGTCAACTGATTGTCTGTTTTTTCGTCCGATTTCTTCTTTGAGCTTCTATGTCTTGCGTTGCTAACATACCCGATGGCATCGTCGTCATTTTTGTACCTGGTACCGTCGAATGTGCTTGACGAGGAAATAGGCTTTGGCCTGCTCGATATAGAGTCTTCCATAAGCTTGCCCTTGATCTGATTCATACTCTCGAGTAGTAATTTCGAGGAAGGAGGAACTAGTTCAGGAGGCAGGACGTCTGGAATGTCAAAGCCGTTCAAACGTCTGTAGATCAGATGCATAGCCACCGCGAACTCGTCCTTGTTCAGCTTGCCTCTGTTGCCAGAATCAGCAAGCGTCCAGATTTTCTCCAGCTCCTGTCTATTCAGGCCAGACTTCCCGAAAACAGTGATTGCCGTGCTTCCTTCGACATAGCCCTTTCTGTCGGTGTCCCACTTCTTGAAAATGTTGTCGTAGATGAGTTTCTCCTGTTTAGTTATTGCCCACGTGACGTTGGAGGCAGCATTTCCGCCCATGGCGTTCGTCAAATGGTGAGTCTGGGAGGAGGCGTTAGGCATAAAGTGTGACTGCATCATGTCCAGACCTGGCAGACCACCAGTTGGCGCGGAAACAAAGCCCCACTGGCCAGGTTTTCCTGTAGGCATGGCAGTCAGACCAGTAGGTTGCGGCATTAGTCCTGGTTGCTGAGAATTGAAGCCTGTAGCTTGTGACAACAGGCCCGTTTGTTGAGGAGCAAAACCGCCTGTTCTTTGCGGCATAACGCCGGTCGTTTGGGGCTGGAGCCCTGCTGTATTCTGTGAACCAACTGGCACGAGACCACTGGTCTGCTGCGCAGTCAATGGAATAAAAGTGCCCGTCTTCTGGGCCTGCAGAGGAGCTCCGGTCTGCTGTGGTTGCAAGCCAAAGCCCGTCTGCTGGGACTGCAAATTGAACCCAGTTTGTTGCGGTTGCAAGTTGAGTCCGGTGCGCTGGGGCTGCAGGCCCGTCTGCTGTTGCGTGAAACCGGTTCTCTGAGGCTGTAAGCCAAACATGCCTTGAGTCTGCTGCGGCTGGATACCGGTCTGCACACCAAAGCCTGTCTGTTGCGGTCTGAGACCAGTGGCTTGAGGCTGCAATGGTTGCGACTGGAAACTGGTCTGCGGGAATGACTGGATGCCTGTTGGCTGGCTAAAGAGCATCTGGTTGAACGACTGCTGAGGAGCCGAGTCGTTGACGGAAAAGTTAATTGCGTCGACAAAGCTGCTGACCTCGTTTTTAATTTTCAGTGGCAGCTCGTATGGCACCTGCTCTCCCTTTGAAGCAATGTTGCACAGGTGCAGCGCCAATGCAAACTCGGGAAAGAGCAGTCGTCCTGAGCGAGTGGTGTCGGCCAAAGCCCAGATATCCGCCAGCTTCGTGGCGCTCAGACCAGATTGCATCATGATTTTTTTTGCGGTCTGGCCATCGATCGAGTTCTCTCCCCTAGGAACGTTCACCCGGAAAACGTGCTCGAACCGCTCCTGTTCCTTTGCAGTGATGAACGAGAGTCTGATATTGGGGATTTTGATATCCTTGTTTTCGTTTTCCGAGCTTGTCACCAACGAAGAAGTGAAACCAGTCTGTTGCGGCTGCAAACCGGACACACCAGTTTGAGATTGCCAGCTGTTTTGGATTGGCTGGTTGCCTCCAAAAGACGTCCGTGGCTGGAACCCGGTCTGGGTGGCAGTCAATGGCTGAAACCCTGTCTGCTGGGTCGCCAACGAGGGCTGGTACCCGGTTGCCTGGGCAGCCATTGGCTGAAGTCCGCCTTGATATCCCGCCTGGAAATCCTGTCTTTGGTAAGCCTGCTGCTGAGGCTGCTGCTGAGGCTGTTGCTGAGACTGTTGTTGGGGCTGTTGTTGGGGCTGCTGAAACTGCCAGTTCTGTTGGGGCTGGAATTGACTGTTCCACTGTTGTGGCTGTTGATTCCACCCGGTGGCCTGGGACTGGAATCCAAATCCAGTAGGCTGTGTTTGTAGGGACGGCTGCATGTATTGCTGCTGCTGGGAGGGCCAGTTGTTATATCCGGTGGCCTGCGGATATCCAGTGCCATACTGTTGGTTACCGTAGGGATACATCTTTAAGGCTTTTGGAAAATGTATCACTGGAGTAGCACAATCCGAAACAGAACTATAGTACAACTATGGATGCTTGAATGTTCCACTGCCTTGGGTTAGTGCAAACTTATGCGGTGATGGATTTATTAGCTGTCCAGAAATTCGCGAACGATTTGAGTGCCGGAAAAACGTGGTGTACGGTTTTCTGACAGGAGGTGTTATATATATAAGCTATAAATTGAAGAGTGTTAGCATCCGTTGAGCTCTTTGATCAGTCCAACTAGAAGATCAACCAATTGATCCTTTGCCTCGATCGAAGCTCCGAGCTTGTCGCTTCCGGCAAATATGCGCATGTTTGCCACGACGTTAAGTAGTCTGAAGTTCAATTTGGAGATGATCGAACGCGGAGCATGGTTCACGTCTGCATCCATATGGCTTTCCTTCTCCGCCTCGTCGTTGTCGAACTCGTTAAGTTTCTGGAGAAGGTCTGGCGTGGTCAGCTCTAAAACATTGAGAACGGCGACGAACTCAAATAACGACATGCAGACTCCGTTGCTGAACTTTGGGAGCTGGAGCTTGCCGAACCACTCAACCAGCAATTCGTACTGGTCTGCGCAATTGAGCAGTTGGTACTTCAGCACACAGCAGACAAGACCAACAACAATGTCGCGGTCTGCTTGTGGGTTCTCGAAAGCCTCTTTGAGGTTGTCCTCGGTGGGCTTTAGCAGAAATTTGATGATGGAGCACCGAGAAGTTGGTTGATCGAGGATTTTGGAGATATCGGCGCAGCGCTGTAATAAGCGTGTAGTTTGGACCTTGGTAGCTGTGAGCTCAAGCTCCAGAGTATCTTGTTTGTCTTCCTGGTATTTGCGGTTCAATGCATGGAACCAAACCATTTTCATGAGCGACTCCTCGAAAAGAGAGTCTGCAAGCGAGCGGAGAATTTGCGTAATGAAATCATACTGTTCATATTGTTTCAAGGGCATAATAGGCAATTCTTCGTATGCGGTGTTCTGCAACAGCAGACAAAGTCTAGGATCCTTTGCTAAACTTTTCGACTGGTTGAAATAGTACTTCCCCCAACGGTCGAATATTTGACGTCCAAAAAGAGCCGTGCCTGCAAGCTCGCCACACTTCTTCATGTAAAGACATTTCATGAACAAGGTTGTCTCGTTAGACTCCATGTGAAGCAAACCAAGAAGCCCCAGATAAAGCTTTGAAGCATCTGAAGATTTCAGCAAGTGCTCGACATCTGCAGCAGTCATATTCGTCAGACGATTGTACGTCTTGACGGGACGAAACTGCTTTTTCTCCGTTCCCAAGAGCGGAGTCAAGATGTAAAGATAAAACATGGCAATGCAGAGGAGCAGCTTGGAGACTCCCCAGAAAGGCCTCAACAAAGATGAGTTAAACGAAGTTGACGACGAAGCAGTCGAAAATGCAAAGATAGGAATGGAAAACAAACTTTTTCTATCTCCAACGCCGGCCGACATATCGTCGAAGGCGGATGCTCCCAACATGCATGTCATTCCACCGAGCAACACTTTGTTCGACAAGGGCATTGAGCCTTCAGAGTTGGTGTTTGGAGAAGAATTCGAATATTGTGAAGGCGAGGAATTGTGACTGGAGCCACTGTATGAGGGATTAAACGTTTCTTCAGGAGATTCGGTCAGGTCAATCTCCACATTTGCGTTTTTAAGCATGCGTGTCAACTGCTCATTTTTCCGTTTCAAGACTTCGTGCTTCCATTCAAGATGCTTGATGTACTCAGCAGCTTTGGATAATATGGTTGCCTTGTTCAGTTTCCTGGCGGGCTGTAGTCCGTCCAGCTTCTCTTCGTCATCCGTGTACCCGTCTCCTTCGTAATCATCAACATATTCATCATCTTTCACTGTGGAATTCGTGTGGTGGTTGTTCTCCTTCGCCACTAGAATACGTAGTGTCGGGACACAGTTCCGCAGCTCAACAATCTTGGTGTTGATGTTAGTTCTATATTTTTTCTCAATTAGGTTATGAGGTGATTTGAACTTCTTGCCTTTCGAGATTGGATGGTCAATTATCTTCGAGCTAGGCTGCTTCCTGCGCTTCAGCACGGCGATATCTTCATCTTCCAGCTTCACAACCGGGTCGCTTTGTGTCGAACCTGTTCTTGTTGTGGACAGCGACGGAAGTTCTCCAGTGTTGGCAGTCACAGTGCTGGTGGACTCGGATTTCATCATCATGTCATTGCTCTCGTCATAGCTTTGAGGGTCAAACGTCACTGGAAACATGTTGTCGGGAGACGAACCGCTGGAGTACGGGGACATCCCACTAGAGTTGTAACTGCTCATCACATCGTTCAGATCGGCAAAATTCAGATCAGAGTAGGGGTAGTCGTCATCCATAGACCGCGAAACGGATGTTCTTTTGTTCAAGGACGATATGGCACCATTGTAGGCGTCGAAGTCGAAAAGTGACATTTTGGAAAGCACGCAGATAGAAGGAACTGGTTATAAGTATTTTTCCAGTAAACAGATAATTTGGGTCATAGAAAATGCCATATTGTTAAGCTGTTTATTAAGGGGTCAAAAAATCGTACGATACTTTAAAATCATCTGATTTTATTCCTACTACACCCGTGCCCACAAAAAAATAAAAATTGAAAACTTTTACCGAGCCAACCCTGACACCATCCACGGGAGCCGCGTCTCACCCGTACACGGGCTACTTCTTGCCAAGATAAAGTGTATTTTTTTTACCTGCCCCTGTGTTTCCTTATCTGCCTTTTTTAAGCTTTCACTTAAAGCGAGTAACTCATGTGATTTTTTCCGTAATGAAGGTAAGTGTTGGAATATAACGAAAATGAGTCTACTGGAGCTTCTGTCGTTGGTCAGTGCGTTTCTGGTCCTCTCGGAGACTGAAGTAGCTAGATGTCCGCACAAATCCGAGTCTCAGCCGCTACCCAAAGTCGTGTGCGTGTCACAATAAATATACGAACAGCTAGGTCAAAAATTTCATCAATCCTTCTTTGTCATGGTCCAAATCCCCAGGTCATACGCGGAATTGAAGCAGAAGGTTCCAAACATTGGAATCATTTTTGCGGCAATAGCTTCGTGGTTCTCGTTTAGCTTGCTCATCTCGCTTTACAACAAATGGATGTTCTCAGACCCTACTTTAAACTTCAAGTTCCCTGTGATCATTACAGCCTGTCACCAATTCGTGTTGTTTTGGCTCAGTTGTTTGACGCTCACTTTTTGGCCGAAATTCAGACTGAACTACGTCGATCCCTCCAAAGGCATCTCCTCCTCTGAAAATCTCAGCTACTTCATCAACCCGAAAGTGTATATCACCAAGATCCTGCCGTGTGCGCTGGCTTCCGCAGGAGATATTGGCCTGGGAAACTCTTCTTTGAAGTATATCACCATCTCGCTATATACTATGCTCAAGTCTTCTGCAGTGCTCATCTTTACGCTCTTTTGGGGCTTTCTTCTCAGACTGGAGAAGGTCACCTTGAAGCTCTGTTTGATCACCTTCATTATGACTGGCTCGGTCATGATGATGGTGTATGGACAGGGAGAGCCCTCCAATGAGACCAGTCCTTCCGCTGTCGAGGAGGAGGCAGGGGAAATGAAGCTCAGATTTGTCAGACACCTCATGAAAAGAGCAGCTTCTGTGTATCTGGGTGTCAGAGACGACGAGCAGCAGTCCGACGCTTTGGTGTCGGGCAGCACCCTTGTTTCCTCGTCCTCCGTTACAGGTGCTACGTCCAAAGCCTCTGCTGCCCTGGACACCCTCACGGCATCCTCCATCATCATTGGCTGCTTCCTGGTTTTGCTTGCATCTTGCATGTCTGGTCTCAGATGGGCTTTGACTCAGATCGTGTTGCGTGGCAACAGGTACACCAAAAACCCAATTCTGACCATCTTCTATCTTAGTCCAGCCATGTGTGTCTCGCTGATTATCATGGGTTCGCAGGTCGAAGGCATAGGCAACTTTCTTGGATCGCAAGTTTGGGAGACGTATGGTATTTTGGGGACCTGCCTGTTGCTTTTATTCCCAGGTTTCCTGGCTTTTTGCATGACGCTGTCGCAATTTATCATTCTACAGTATGCACCGTTGCTGACGCTCTCAATTGCCGGTATTGTCAGGGAGCTCATCACCATATTCCTTGGTTGGCTGATTTTTGGCGACCACCTCAATGCGATCAATATGCTGGGTATATTGATCACGCTGGGAGACATAGCATGGTACAATCTCTACAGACTGGAGCAATCTTCGGTAAAGCCTGCTTCTGCTGCGTCGTCCGAGGACACAGAAAGATTTGTTGCTGAGGAGCACGAGCTTGAGTCTATTGACAGACGCAAGTGAGTGCTCTTTGTTGTAGCACAGATATTAATCTTGGGCTCTCCATAGATAGACTAATGTTGTGTGTGTTCTATTCAAAAGTCAAGCACTATATATTATTCCCGGAGTTCGTTGAGCTCGATGTCCCTGCTTTGTCTCCCGTGCTCTAAAACATCAAACGAGGGTGACGGCGTGACTTTATTTTTAGTGGTGGTTTCGTTTTGGATTTCATCGAACCGGTAGAAATTGTACCACACGATATCTGCAAGGGTGATGGCCAATCCCACGAGGTTGACAAAGGTAAGCTTGTCGCCAAACAGGAGCCATGAGGTGAATATGGTAAGCAGCTCCTTGAAAATGCCGGCAATGGAAAGCGTTAATAGCGTGGCATACTGAAGCAGCACAAATTCCGATAGAGTCATGAAAAATGCTAGTAGTCCTGGGATCAAAATCAACAAGCAGGTCAGACCGAAACCTTTCTCCTCCCAAATCGGACTTCTGGCAAAGGACCTTAGTCCTTCAACCAAAGAGCCCATGATCAATAGCACCACACTCATTGCTGGAGAGAGGTACAAGATCGTGAGAATCGGGTTAGTCGTTCGTGGATTTCGTTTCAGCATGATTTGCGTCAGCGCCCATCTTAAACCAGACATGCATGCCGATCCCAAAACAAGAATCGAGCCTAGGAAAATCAAGTGTGCAGCTTTGGTCTCTCTGCTCAGCAATCTGCGCATGATTCGGGATGACATGTCCTCGTCCGGATCTGCCACAATCTGACCAGCAGCAGGCGTGTTTGGAATAGGAGTAGGCTCGGAATCGTCCTCATGTTGGCCCCACACCATCATGATGACTCCGATGGTCATGATGAGCACAATCGATACGATTCTCCAGGTCATTCGCTCGAGTTTGAACAGAACGCCCCACAGGAGCACAAACACAAGCGACGAAGTCTTGATCATGGTATAAAGCGAAAGAGAGATGAACCGAAAAGCCGTGTTCCCAAGACCTATATCTCCGGCCGAGGCCACGGAGCAGGGAAGTATCTTAGTGAGATACTCCCTGACTGGCATTCTGTAATCGAGCTGTTCTGGCTTTTTCGTCTCCAGCAGCTCGTTGAGCTCGTCGCTGGAGTTGGCGTTGTCGGAATTCAGATGCTCTGCCTCGCTGGCGTAGTGTGTTTGGAAGTGGTAATTGAGTCTAAAACGCGGAATCATGGCCAGTGTGAGCATACTTAGCAGAAACAGAATGCACTGGTGGAACGACGTGATGATGATGGGGAACGAAAAGTCCAGATTCTTGTTCGAAAACATCCATCTGTTGTAGAGGGATATACTAAGCGAAAACCCGTACCAGCTGATGATAGACATCATCGTGATGCCCAGGTGAGGATAGGCTCTCTTTATATTGAGCAAGAAACTGCGTGAGGGAGAAACAGGCGCGTCTCCAAGGCTTTGCGGGTCTTGACGGGCGAAACTGTTCAGTCGGCCTCCGGAGCTTGAGATGCCTGAGTTCATCAGTGCTGGGGAGGCCAGAGAATCCATGTTCAACAAGTCCTGGCCGGGTAAAGGAGACGCGAGTCCCTGAGCACTGCGCGCGTGCAGCGGCGAGTTGACAGAGTGCGAGCGTCGATGGGCCTGTGTTCTGCCTAACGCGGATTCGATCGCCTCCTTTGGTGAGCCCAAATTCGAGGTGATCACGCTGAGCGAGCTCTTACGTCTTCTGGAATCCACCGCAGAGGGCATGCTCTCCGACAGAGACGTTGCTCTAGACCTGCCTTGGCTGTTCGTTGCTTCTGTAGACATCTAAGACAGATCTAAAAATGCCAACTGTGAGAAAGTTCTGATGAGGTAAGCGGATAAGGTAGCTCAAAATTTGGAGACTCCACCAAGCAGGATGTGCGCCAAGTCCCGAAATATGCTGAGTCTAGCTGCTGACAGCAGTATGGTCACTCCCACTCCCCTGTGGGATCACTCCCTGTGGCCATGCTAAATTGCGTTCCCCTCTCAACTGCCTCATGTACGCCGGGTGCACGGATGTTCCAATTTTGCTGTGGCAGCACAAAATGGCGAAGAAAAAAAAAATTACTCCATTCAAGCCATCGTTTGCCCAAACATTCAGACACACGCAAAATATCACGACAAGCCAATTACGCACTACAAAGACTCTCCATCTCTCACATTTAGGCACAACAATGTATGTACGCTTCAAAAGTCCTGGAATGGTGGGCTATATTGAGGGGTTCATAACTGCTGTTTTCACTTTGATTCTGAGCCTTGTCCAGACCGTCGTTCCGCAGAGGAAGAAACCTGCGCAACCGTTTTTGGACTCTTCCATCAACGTCAAGGAGACCTTGTTTCCACCATCGTTTCAACTTTTCAGAAATCTCACCACCAAAGATTTGAAGCCATGCAGCACCTCCGACTCGCAATATGTTTCTTTCAAAAGTGGTAGTGGTGAAGTTAAGTTCCAGCTGGTCGACAAAAACCAACACCAGCTGTCTCCGCTGTCTGAAAACGGGTCGCCTGTCCTGAGAAGCAAAGACACTGTTGTCAAGACAGACGACTTCATTGCGCTGTCGCCGGTATCCTCCGTGAAATCGTCCAACTCGAACTCAAGCTCTTTGCGCGAGTCTTGTACCTCAGACTCGTCTCCTGATGCTGAGCAGGGGAACAACGACTCATCCAAATTTTACAAATGCAAAGAGTGCGACGCAAAGTTCAAGATCAAGGGTTACCTGACCAGACATCTCAAGAAACACTCTACCAAGAAGGCGTACACATGTCCATTCTACGATAGTAACTCGTCGCAGAGGTGCCACGTCAACGGCGGATTTTCCAGAAGAGATACATTCAAAACACATTTAAAGGCAAGACATTTCAAATACCCCAAGGGTGTGCGTTCTGGTGATAGAACCGGGGTCAGTGGCTGGTGTATGGCGTGCGGCGAAGAGTTTTTGAACAACGAAATCTGGGTCGAGCGGCACTTGGAGTTGGGGTTGTGTCCTGGTCTATCTAGCGAATACCTCGACCGGCTCAAGCTAGGAAGAAGGAAGACCGGAAAGCACTCGAAGCTGCTCGACGTGGCTGCGCAGACGCATACCAAGACACCTATAGCGATGATGAATTCTCCGACTTCACTGACCTCTACTCCATCGCCGCAGATTAGTGGTCAATTTACGCAGGGACCTAGATACAATGCTGCAACAGCGATTGCCCTGCCGATGCCGACATACGGTACGTTCCAGATTGCTCCTCCTGTGCAGAGCGGATATGTGGCATCGCAATCGCCGCCATCCGTGGCGGACGACGATGACGATTACATCTCTTTGGACTCGGAGAACTCGCCGTATGTGTTCCGGTCGCAGCCGCAGCCGATGTGGACTTCATCATACACGCCAAACCACCCTTTCGCTTTTACGGGATATGCTATGTAGAATATTGAACGAGCTATCAGATTTATGACATAGTTAGTGTACACGGTGTGAGATCTCCAAAAGGAGGCATTTCCCGAAGGGGAACAGTTGCCAGATTCTAAACAAGCATGGCTATTTTTCCGTACAATGGACACCGTTAAAATTGCTTTTCAGTATTATTTTCGGCAGGAAAAACGTGTCAGTGCATATGTCCGCGGCGGTGACTTTTTTTTGTCGATTCCAACCAACTGCACAGAAGCCCAGTTTTTCAGAGTCGTGCGTCATAGTTATAAATAACTGAAAATTTATTTGTAATACCACACGAGCTCCGACCATGTTCCTGCTGAAGGTGCTGTTCTTGGCCTTGCTCACAGCCGCCATGGCAAAGAACACTACTTCGGCCTCTGCCACAGTCGACTGGCTACCGGTCTTCATGCTCAAGGTCAGAGACAACAGAGCTTTTGATTACACAGTGGAAATAGGAAGTCCTCGTCAAACACTGGAATTACGGCTAGATGTTGGAAACGCAAACCTGTGGGTGCCCGGCGGAGACAACTTCACAGCGTGCCCAACCGAGCGCGCGTCCCCCACCATAGCAGACTCCTCCACCTCGGAAACTGACCCCCCTGCGTACACCACTCCTTGCGCTCCGCTCGGTGTCTACGAGCTCAACAGCTCTTCGAGTGGGTCTTATTTTTCTGGTGTTGGCGATACCGCGGTTGACAGCGAGGCCGACGCCACTGGGGTGAAGTATTCGTACCTCGACGGTATCGAAATCTCGGGGCATTTGGCAATGGACGGCTTCGACTTCCCCCTCTACGACGCATTCAGAAACGGCTCTTCTGTCAACCACTCGCTGGCTTTCCAAGACGTGGGATTTTTGTACGCTAACGACTCGAATGTGAACACGGGTGCGCTCGGCTTGGGAATCCCGTGCCACGAATACTCTGTCAGTTTCATTGACTACTTCAAAGACGCAGAATTTATCAAAAACAACTCGTACTCGCTAGTCACAAGCACGGTAAATAAGAGCGACCCAGTTTTGATATTGGGCGGGGTCTCCTCGACGCGCATTTCCGGCGATTTTTACCAGTACGACTTCGTCCCTGTTGTTGATGTCACGCAGCGTTTTGTCACTGTCAACGGCGGATACACCGATGCGCTGCCGATTGTTCCCATAACCGGTATCGGGGTCACAGCTAGCGACGGTGACTCGGTTATGTTCCCCGACACATTCACCGAGCAGAACGCCACGGGAACGTACCCGAAACCTGCTCTTCTGGACTCGCGGACGCTGTACAACTTCATTCCGTACTCGACGCTCATTGAGCTGGCGTTGGAGCTCAACGCGTACTACGCCAGCGACATGGACGTGTGGCTTGTCAACTGCGATGTTGGCTCTGTCGGCACCATCGACATCCATCTCGGAGACCTTGTGGTGAAGATGCCGATCAGTAGCGTGATGTACGAGCAGAAGAACGACGACGGCTCGGACCTAGTGTTCGAAAGCGGCGACAAAGCCTGTGCCCTGGCATTTCTCCCAGATAACACCTTGGGATACTCTCTGCTAGGTCTTCCTTTCCTCAAGAACATATATCTGGCCGTCAACAACGACTACAGAACGCTGGCAATCTCCAACATTGTGCGCGACAACGAAACGAATACCAAGGCAGACGTTTTATACCCAATGGACTCGGAGACCATTCCTCTTGCCCGCTATAATAACATTTCCAGCTACTCGGACATCACCATGACTGTCACCGCGTACGCTCTGAAGCCCTCTCAACTGCCAAAATACACGGAGGTGTTTGTTTCTGACGGCGAAGTGTACGTTACGCGCACACCTGACTCCCCGTCTACCTCAGCAGAACCATCGCCCTCTGGCTCCTATTCCGGCTCTACCAGAAGCGCGGCTTCCAGCCACCGCCAGAGCACGGGAGTGCCGTCACTGCTGGTTCTTCTGGTGCTTTTTGTGTATTTTCTCTGAACTGTTGTAGTACTACTGCATTAATTGATAGATAGCTTTAATGTTACTTGCGCAAGGAAGACACTTTCCAGCGGAAAACCGGGTCGAATCGCGTGCCCCCAATGATACACTGCACAAGCCATTCCCAGTCAACCACAGAAACTTCCAGCTGCCCACCAGAACTGTCTCTTCGCTGTTTTTTCGGCCGTCGTTTGTACACCTGGGCGTCCAGAGATTTTTTGTCCATATCTGTGAGCAACAGGTTCTCGTGGCCAAGTGCTGCGACGTCTGGGAGGGTGATTTCGGGTATGACCCTGACATCGCGGCAGCCGAGCGCCTTGAGCAGAAAATCAATGTCCTTAACACTGACTGGCAAGCTGCTGCGATCAACAACAACGACCAGCCCGTCCAGCAAACGCACAAGCCCTGTCTGCTCGTGGAGGAGCTTCCCGCTGTGAAAGTTGCGTAGGAAAGAAAACACATTGGCGCTCAGTATGCAGTTGCGAATTATGCTGTGTCCTGCAGGGAGCATGTAATTATGGAACGTAGACTGCCATCTGCTGAGTTGGTCCGGGTTGGATATCAGGTCTTCAACAAAGGCTGTCGATAAGATTGGCCATCCTAGAGACAGCGACTGTAGATATTTCATGGTTCTCGCGTGTTTGGGAGACAGCAGTGCCGCAAACTTGAGCTGCTCAAGCATCTTGCCAGGTTTGAGTCCTGCTTCATCTACGTGGAAGAGTTTGGGAAAACCGTCTTCGATTATAAGCCCTCCCTGCTTTTCGATGAACCTAATCATTTCCCTGACTTTAGTTGTCTCGTTCGTTTGTGACTGATGTGGCGCAGAGGTAAACACAAACACACAACCATCAAAGGGCAGAGAGTTCTTTTGTAGGGCGTTCGGCACATTTGGGCCCTCTTGTTGTTGCAAATCTGACAAGAATTCATGAAAATATTGCTCATCGTCAAATATCTTAAATTTTAGCTTTCCTGAAAGATTCGCAGTGAGATAGGTGTCCTCCAACGGAACGCTAAACTCGTCATTTGGCACAGAACCTTTTTCGCAAAGGTATACACGGTTGAAGCCACGCATGCAACACACGGCGTTGGGTATCTTGGGATCGTATTGCAAGCCAGTTACTTTGTATACTTTGGTTCTGTTGGCAAACAGTTTGATGTGGTCTCCGACACAGATCGAAAGAGGAGCAAACAGTTTCACGTAGTCCACTACTTCGAGCATCTGGGAGTTTGCAACTGACACAGAGAACTGTACGCTATGAGATTCGTCGTAATATTTCGTCACATCTTTAATGCTCAAGGGCAGTTTCAAATTGTCGAACGTTACCCATACTGAGCGCGGGAAGATAATGTCCTCTTTTCGAAACCTTTTTTCTGTCTCATCGGTTCTCAAGATCTCGTTCTGGGTCAGCGATTGGGGCACGAGGTCTGTGTCTTTGAGATTTGGCGGCCTGTACGTGTTCTGGCTTTGTATATCGTTGGTGTTTTCGAATTCTGGCGAAGGAAGCTCTGGAGAGTTTCTTTTCGTGCTGAGAAGCAGATCGATTTGGTCTCTGTCTAGCATGGTATTGATCCGTGTCTCATCCATACTGTCCTTGACTTCTTTTTCGTCAGAGCTTGAGTCAGAGTCGTCCGGGTCGGAGTGATTCCTGGAAGAATCGGTCGAACTGTCATCCAATTCAATCACTGGAGGGGATGATCTCGCAACTTTGCGCTGAGACACTTTTCTGGGACTGCTTTCTAGTACGCGTTTGGGACGCAAAAGCAAGCTGGACGTGTAGGCGACCTGAGAAAGGGGAGCCGAGTTGGCTTGTGCGTCCGAGTTCGGATCTTCCATTTCCTCGGTTAGTTCTCGTGTGCCTTCGTCCTGCGATGGTATGTGGACAGTGGGATGAGACGACTCGTAGCCATCTTCCCTCTGAGAGCTTTGGGAGTTCTGCGAGAGCCGCATGATAGACTTTTTCAGCTCTTTTTGAGAGAGCGAGGACGCCGTAGTTGGCTGGTCGGTTTGCGAATTGGAGATTCTAAGAGTCTCGCTAATATTGTCCTTTTCGTCTATCTCAAAATCGCTAACCTCCTGTGACGACGGCTCGTTCATATTCGGCGAGGAGTTCCCGACCTCCTCCTTTTGGGTGCGGTACGAATTTGCGGGCCTATGATGTGAGATTGGGGAAAAGACACTTTGCGAGCTAATGATTTCGTCGTTCAGCTCATCGTGGCTATTTTTACTGGGAGCGAGCAATTCACCGCAACTTTTGCTTGTCAGTGGACTGCTATTTGAGGCGATTCCTACGCGACTTTTTTCAATGGTGCCTGGCACCTGCACGTCGCGCTGCTCTGTGTTTTCTGTAGAGCTCGGCAGTCCAGACGGCTTGCTGCTGGGCTGAGAATGTCGTCTGTGGTAGTTGTTCAAATATGAGTAATCCGCGTCGTCCTGCAGAATGTCTTTCTGCCGCAGCTTGTCGTTGATTTCCTGGTGGATATTGACATCCATTTGGGTGTCTGGGGACGTGTTTGCAGTCACATCGGCATTGAACTTGCCCAGCAAGCTAATGTACCCCGTATTTAAGTTCAACATAGCACCGGAATGGTCTGCAGTCTCTTCCGGCTCGCTATAGCCATCCAGAACAAGGCCGACCTCAGTATCGTACTCAAGGGCCTCTGGAAGCTGATCTCGCATTTGCTTGAAAATCGACGCCGAATCTTTCGGAGGTTGGGCGCTCGCTGGTGTTTGGAAAGCCTGCCTAGACGCGCCCAGAGGCCCATTCTTGTGCCGAGCCGGCGTACTGGTAGAATCTGGCGAGTCGTCAAACGGATTTTTCAAGTTTTTGAGCACAGACGCAGGAGTGTCGTTTATTTTCAGATCTTCCAAAGGCTGCGTCGAGCTGATCTTGCCTCCAAGCACTGACCCGTGTTTGTGTGTCTGCGGCGTGGGATACGAGTCTGTCCGGCCCAGAGGCCGCTGGTGATCGTCACTGCGCGCGTCACCAGACACAAACCCCTTGCCAGGCACATCAGAGCCGTGCGACCTGGCGGCACCATTTTGTCCCTGTGCTAAACTCGTCCGTCGGCCTGGTGATTGCACCTGGCCACGGTCTTGACTGCCACCCATATAATACGTGCATTTTGAAAAACATCACTTCGTTTTGGTGTATGGTGTCGGTCTTAGGTGTGGCCATACTAAGGTAGCACGCCAGCGCTTGAGAAGTACCAACAGGCTTCTTTGCAGAACAACACCTACTGGCTAGCATCACGCTACCTTTGCTATGAGTGAACCTAGTACTGGCTCTTATCAACACATGCACCCGGCAACGAGTTTGCTGTCTGCCTCCAATCAGGCTCTTCCCAACCATAAATCCATGGTGGAAAACGACTTTGCACACTCAAGACTCGCAGAATTCAGCGCCGTTTCACTTCTAGATCCCGAATTCGACAGCGAGAAAAGACTCGAAATTGCCTTTTCTTTTATGGTTCTTGGCCGGAAAAAAGCAGCAGCTAGAGAACTTGCCAATGTGGTCAAGCTGGGGACAGTTTTGGAGAAGTCCAAGTTTCTGCGCCAAGTTGGCGACATTTTCATGAATTTTGGTGAAACAGATACGGCGTATCAGTGCTACAGAGAAGGACTTCTTCACAGCAAGATTTCCAAGGACGTCGACATCACTTTGGTGACGTACCTAAAATCGAAGATGGCAGACTTCGAGAACGAGCATACCGACTCGTCCAGCTCTGTGGGGTCAATAATACGGTCCAAGGAAAAGACTTTCCGGTCCATGATTTCCGAATTGTCTGTGCACGAAAATTCCAGACAAGAACTGGACGACCTGGCCCAGATGGTAGCAGATCCGCGCATGGAGCAGAGATGTCCCTTTGTCAGGAATTTGGTGGAGAATTTTGCTGCTTCCTGTGTGCTAGAGTCTCATCTAGACTCCTTTGAGTTTAATGAGTGTCAGGATACATCGATGAGCGAGTTTCTCGATCTTTTGATGGTGGAGCTGTTCAAATTTCCCGATCTGAGTCTTTACAAAAACATTTTCAGCTCTGCGCGGTTGGAGCAGGTTTTGACTTATTTGGGACTTGCGGCGCCGGATTTCGAGTTGCCTGCGAACTTCCCGGACCTAATATCCATTTTGCGCGAAAACTACGAAATGAAAGAGCCGATGTCGAAGGTGGTGGAAAGCCTGGAGTTTGAGCTGAAAAAATCGCTACTGCTTGGTTGCAAACAGTATGTGGAGAAAGATTACGACGCTTCTCAGGAGACTTTCACCAGAGTGGTGATTGCGTGTGATCTGTTGTCCAAGATCTGTTGTATGACGGGCTTCAAGGGCTCGGACAAGCACGTTCTAGCAGAGCTCAACCAGGAATGTCGCGAAAGACTGCGCAAGGTGAGCACCATTTCCGGAATTTATTCGTCTTTTTACGCTGCGCAGAGTTTTATAAGGCGTCAAGACTCGTCGTTTGACGATCTGGCAACGAAAACTGTCGAGTTGATGGCCCTTCTGCAAAACCTCAACAAGTACTACCTAACAGCAAGATACATGAAACTTCCCATCAAGTACGACTGGATCCATCTGGCACTAGGAAAGCTGAATGAGTGGCTGGCCACCTGTAAAAGCCGCCAACTCAGAAGAGATTCCAACTCTCATCATGACCTCAGAAAACTGGACGACACGCATCTGGAGTGTATGCTAAGCCATTACATACGAGCGCTCAACTTGAAGCTTCCAGACGACCCGTGTATCGTCGTGCTGTACGACAAAATTATCTGGGGCATACTGATGCACGGTGGCTACCATATCCAGACCCTCTGGATTCTCAAGTTTTTCAGGGACTGCTGTGTGTTCTATAGCGACACCTGTTTGCTCAGCTATGAGGAAACATCCTCGTACAACAGCGACGTTTTCAAGCTGCGGGACTACCTGGACGCTAACGTCCAGATAGTGGTGAACAAACTGTACGAGCAACGCAAGCAACTGAGCAAGAAACAGGGGTCAATATTCGTGTCTTCGAGCGCGAAATTCATCCTGCCGCAGTTCTTCTACACGAGATTCTGTGAGCTGGTGGCATCCCAGGAGTATACTGTCACGCCCGCGGTGTCGTTGAAGCACAACTTCAAGTTTCCTGGCGGCGTCATGAAAGGCATCCTCAAGGCCGACCCGGGAGCCGTCGAGTCTTGTAACAGCATCAGCGAGCAGCTGCTGGAGGACTGGTCCAAGGGCAACTGGACGGCCCGCAACCTGGTGTCTGAGCAGACGCTGCGGAATTTTTTCGACTCCTATTACGATGGCAGCAAATTGAATGCGTTTTAAATAATTTATACAGTTTCCTCTGCAATCTCCAGTAGCAGCTTGAGGTCGTGTGCCAGCGCCACGTTCCGGTACAACTTGAGTTGGGCGACGACATCCTTCCTGCCGACGGTTTGTGTCCACGCTCCGGAGCACGAGCAATGCGCCATAATCTCTCTGTCTTTAGTTTTTCCGCACTTGGCACATTTGAGGTCTTGCGTCAGGAACCGGAAGAGCAATCTGTTGAGCTCCGAGATGAGCCGCTCCTCGAGCAGCAGTTTGTTGTAGGGCTTGTTGCACTCCTCGCAGTGCCACAGGACGTGTGGCTCGTCTCTGCAAACGTCGACGTCCTTGATGTGGTTGCAGTAGCTGCAGATCACGTGCGGGAGCACGAGACTGGCTGCCGGGTTTTTGAAGACACCTTCTTCGCTGAATTCCTTGATCTCAAACAGGGACAGGATCTCCTTACGCAGCAAACGGACCTCGATGTTGCGTTTTTTGGACAGGCCCAAAATATGGCACAGGTATTTGGTGAGTTCGAGCGTCGGATTCGACATTTCGAGATGCGAGCCGGGCAGCACAGGGAACTGGTACTGCTCCATGATTCCCGGGTCTAGGCCAACCTCATTCTGTTTCTTGATGAGAGTGTGCAGCCGTTTCAGCAGCGGGGCCCTGAACAGCTCGCACACACCGTTCGCGACGGTGTCAAGTGTGTCTTCGTCTTTTTGGTCGCTAATTTTCTTAAGAGCGGCTTTTCTGTCTGGTGTCAGCTGGGTGCTCTGCGACAGTTGTTTGAGCCGGCCGTCTCTGTGCTTGATGAGCGAGTCGAGAATGAGCCACGTCCACTCTTCAAACTCGCTGTGTAGGATCGGTGGTAGATAGCTTTTCAGTTGCCAGTTGGAAACCGCCTCCAGTTTTTGCACCTCTGCCTCCTGCACCTGGCGGCAGAACCGGCCCATGTAGTTGTACTTGTCCATCCAGACAAGCAGGTCCCAGTACTTAACCACCTGGAGGTCCAGGTAGTTGAAAAGTGGGCTCGCTCTGATCGAGGTCAGAATGTACTGGCTGTACGCGTACGAGTTCTCGACCGCCGTTTTCGACGTCTCGACAACGACCCTGTTTCTGTCTGCAAATATGACTGTCGAGCCCATTTTCTTGAACTCGCCGAGCAGCTGGATGAAGGACTTTTTCGTCAGGTTGTGCACGTGGTAGTGCAGCGACGAGTCGTACAAAAAGGAGGCCGGGTTCTGGCACCACGACACAAAGCCGTGCACCATGGAGTCTGCCTCGGAACTATTTTTGATGGCGTCGTCCCACCAGGTGCGCACCAGACTGCGCAGCACGACGAGCGCCGGCCCAGAAAACGAGTCCTCCGCAAAGGCAATCTCTGCAGCCGCGTCTGTCGAGCTGAAAACGCCTTCGGCCTCATTAATCAGCGACGACGTCAAAACCGTGTTGATGGTGAGATTTTTCAGCTCCAGCTCCAGACACACGCTCTCGTACACCTCAGGCTGATTGATCACCGGGAACTCGAACGACTCGTCTACGGCAAAGGTGTCCTTCTCGACGCCTCCGAGATCTGGGTTCGGAGTCGGCGACCACCACAGCACAATGTTGGCCTGCGACAGCTTTCGTGCGTACTCGATGTCAATCATATAGCCGAGATTGTCGATTTCAAGGTTGCACAGCGGAATGTTGCTGTATCTGGCGAGTGAGATGATTTTCTGCAACCATCCGGCCACCGATAGGTAGTGGTTTATGATACGCTTCATTATCAGCGAGTGCCACGAAAGCGAGTTGATGTGGATCTGGCCGGCGCCCATCCGCACACAGGGGAATTGTGCGGCCGCAGCAAGGTGTCTGGCTATTTTGGAGCTGTATGGAGACTGCACCACGAGCAGTGACTTGGATGCACTGTGTTCGTCGAGCGTGAGCAGCTTGGAGTTGAGCTTCTTGTACAGCTTGACTGCGTCGGTGAAGTACTGTGTCTCGAACTTCATTTGGCCCTGGTAGTTGATCAGATCGGACGGCAGCGTGTCCTTCTTGCTAGCAAAAATGTCTTGGTAGAGAGAGTCAACATTTGCAGGCAGCTGCTGGGCCGTGGCGGTCGGCTTGAGCACATACACGTGAGCACTCGAGTCCGCAGGATTGAACAGCGTGAATATCTCGTACGAGTTGGACGACACGTGCAGCAGGTACAGCACGCCAGTGGAGAAATCGGAGAGGTACATTTCTGCAGCCACGGGGCGGAGCAGCTTGACATCAAAGCCCTTTTCTAGCGATTTTCCAAGTGCTCCCGGTCTGGTGTTGTCGAACTTCACGCAACTGCCAAGCTCGATGATCGCGCGCTCGGTGCTCTGGATCTGGGTCTCGTAAATCCCGGCAACGTGCGGACTGTTCAGCAGTCCGTTGGTCTTGGAGATCTCGCGGCTGTAGACCTCGTGAGACATTACCATCTTGAACAGATTGGCACTTTTCTGGCCGCTAGGGAGCAGCTCTGCTGCCCGCGTGACCTCGCAGCTCTCTAGAACAGTGTCCGGGAAAGGCTCTGACTTGAAGTCCAAATACAGCTTTTTTGGAACGTGCATCGTGAGTGTGTGAATTTTGCCGTTGATCAGCACAAACGCCTTGAGATCGCCCGGGTTTTCTGTGCTCTCGCAATACTGCAACACCTGCCACGTGGACTCGGCATAGTTTTCGGCCCGTTTCCGCACCATGTTCGCCACAGACATCCGGCTACCAAGCTGCGCCGTCTCGCCAAACAACCGCTTCCTGCGCTCGCGCTCCTTGGCCTGCACCTCCCATTTGATCTTCTGGTACTGCACGAAGCCGGCATAGTCCGTCAGCGGGTCCGGACATGGCTGGTTGGCGAGCTGTTGCTGCGACTCCTCCAACGTTTCGCGAGCCAGTTTCCGTTTGCGGCACGTGACCTTGCCGACTTTAGGTCTGGCCGCGCCTGCGGCCAGATCCTCGATATCCTGCACCTGGTTGGTCACGTCGGACATGACACCCTTTTTCAGAAACGCGCTCAGAGACGACTGCTTCATCTTATCCTCCTTTGTGTTGATGCGTTTCTGCAGCCAGTCCGGGTGCGACACGCGTGGCACAGGGTTGCTGACGCCCTGCAACGCAGCCGGGATGGTGATGATTTTCTGGATCACCGACGCGAGGCGCTCTTTGTAGTAGCCCCAGTCGATGATGGAGCGCGGGTCGAAGTCCTCGAGCGACTGGTCGACCAGCCAGCGGCGCAAATACTTGCGTTTCACAGCGATGTCGGACGAGAAAATGGCCGTGGGAATCGCTCTCTCAGTAATCGGCGCGTCGATCGGCCGGTCGGCGATGACATACTTGCACGCCAGACCTTTGTCCTTCACCATCTCCTCGCCCAAAAACTCGCCGAGACGTCTTGCTGTCGTGATCGACGTCGACTTCTGGCCGCCGTACTCCTCCAGTGTCTTCGACATGCTGCGGTTCTCGCAAATCAGCTCGATCAGGTCTTCGTCTTCCAGCATCTGGCCGCGGCTATCCAGCACGTCGAGCCACCGGTTTGCGATGTTGGCCACCGCTTGGTAGCATTTCTCCAGCGAGTCGCCCTCCAGAAACAGCTTGAAAATGTCCGACTGGAAGTTTTTGATCAGCTGCAGCTCGCCGCGTCGTTTCAGCTCAAATCCCTTCAGCTCTGCCAGTGAGCCGTCGAAATTGAACACCGCGTACCGCTTCTTCAGGCCCTTGCCCTCCTCCTTCGAGGTCGGCAACACCATCGCCTTGTACGGGCCGTCGACCTCGAAGAAAATCGAGTTGTCCGAGATCGTCTCGTACTTGAGCCGCACGGGGTCCACCAGCATCTGGTATTGGTGGTTGGTGAACCGCTGGTGCACGAGGTAGTTGAGCATCGAGCACGGGTACGACACGGTGAACGACTTGCCGTTCTTCAGCGTGAACTTGAAGTCTTCGGGGAAACTCGACGGCAGGATGCACCAGATTCCGTCCGTGTCGAGCTCCAGCGGCCGCCCCAGCCGCTCCACCAACGACCGGGCCATCTGGATGATGGTGGCGCCCGTGAGACACGTAACACCGGCCATCTCCATCGAGTACCATCGCGAGCCCTTGCGCATGACGTAGCCGTAGAACGAGTTGAGAATGACCTTGTGTGCGAGCTGGAGCGAGTCGTACAGAACGACCATTTTTTTCGCCTCGTCGACGGCGTTCTTGTCGTCCGGGCCGATCTGGGCCACCTTGCCCTTCCACACCTTTGCCAGGCCTTTGAATTCGTACCTTCTGTCGCGAAAGTCGCGCACCGTGTTGACGTAGAATGGGTTTTCGCGTTGGCAGATAATGGCCTCTCTCTCAATGGTCTCGGTGGCCTTGATGCGGTGATACACTTTCCGGGAGTAGTCGGAGACGCGTTTCTTGATGTGGCCGACCTGCTCCGTGTAGCTGAGCTCCTCGAATGTGCGCCGAGGTAGCCCCGGGTGTTTGGGGGCAAACTGCTCGTTTTTGAGCGCGTTTTTGATCATGTTGTACTCGTTGGCCTCGGCAGGATAGAACTCGCCACGCCAGGCCCACGGTAGCCGGCGGTCGCACGTCTTCCCTGGCCGGTTGAAGTCGCAGGAAGCACAGTCTTTCTCCGTCTTCATTGAGTCCGGTTGCAACCGGTTGGTCGTCATGATGTTCGGGTACATCGACGCGACGTCGACGTGGTAGATCAGCGGCGTCTCTGTGCGCTTGTTGTTGGTCTTGAGCTCTGTCAGCTTGGCGCGAATCTCTGCACACACCTCGTCGTAGTTCGTTACGTCCTCGAGCTTCTTTTTTTCCTCCACGGTGATGGAGAACTTGAGAGCGTTGTCGAGGTCGTTCAATATTTCGTCCACGGCGGCCGGGTCGACATTGAAGTCGGTTGCCAGGTCCGCACGGAAGACTCCCGCCTCAAGCGACTCGACGTGGCCCCCCACATACGTCTCCG